TCTGGGCTTCTTGCCCTGCCAGACAAATCTGGAAATATCTCTCTGCCACCTCTTGAAACAGTCCATTTTGTCCACAATTTGCAGTGTTTGAAACAAAAACAACATTCTAGGCAATACATTCATTTTTACCGCAGCAATACGGCCCAGCAGTGAAAGCTTCAAATTTGACCAGATTTCTAAATCTTTTTTCACTTCAGCCCAACATTTTTCATAGTTATCTTTAAATAAATTCCCATTTTTTGCTGTCATGTTAATCCCCAGGTATTTAACTTTCTTAACCACTGTTAAACCTGTCACATTCTGAAACCTCTCTCTCTCCATTGGTGTTAGATTTTTCTCTAAAACCTTAGTTTTTAATTTGTTCAATTTAAATCCTGCAACCTGACCAAATTCTTGAATCAGTTCTAAAACCCTTTTGGTACTAGATTCTGGCTCCTGTAACGTCAGTACTAAATCATCTGCAAATGCTCTCAATTTGTACTGTTTAGTTCCGACCTGTATACCTTTAACCAGCTGGTCCCTTCTAATCATGTTCAGCAAAACCTCCAGGACCGAAATAAAAAGTAGTGGGGAAATTGGGCAAACTTGTCGTGTCCCTTTTTCTATTTTAAGTTCTTCCGTCACCACATTATTTACAATTAATTTAGCCTTTTGTTCTGAATAAATTGCACTTATACCATTTTCAAAGCCTTGGCCTACCCCCATACCCTGTAGGTTCTTCTTCATAAAGCCACAAGAAATATTGTCAAAAGCTTTCTCCGCGTCCACAAATATCAAAACTGCTTTAGTATTTATATTCACTTCTAGTTTTTCCAAAATATCAATTATATTCCTCAAATTGTCAGACAAGTGTCTTCCTGGGAGAAAGCCCGCTTGATCTTTATGAATCTCTTCCATCAACACTTTTTTAAATCTCTTAGCCAAAATGTCTGCAAAAATTTTGTAATCCACACTGAGTAATGATATGGGCGGTAGTTCTTAAGCTGTGTCTTTTCAGTCTCTGTTTTCGGTACAAGTGTAATATAGGCTTCTTTCCACGACTCTGGTGCTCTTTTCCCCTCCATTATTTCATTACAGACCTCTTTCAAAGGTTGTATTAACCATTCTTTCAAAGATCTGTAATATCTAGAAGTCAGTCCATCTGGTCCTGGAGACTTACCCAATTGCATGTTTTGAATGGCACCTTCTATCTCCTGTTCAGTTATTTTATAGTTCAACATTAATTTATTTTCTTGAGAGATTTTTTGTAATCCATTTGTTTTCAAAAATTGATCTAGGTCAGTTTCTTTCAGTGGCCCTTGTGTATATAGTTGTTTAAAGTACCTCTGGAAACAATTTCTAATCTCAGCTGGGTTCTGTATATTCCTTCCTTCCACTTCTAAATTCGTAACTGTATTTAATTTTTGTCTTTTTCATTTGCAAAGCCAACAGTTTCCCACATTTGTTAGCCGACTCAAATGTCTTTTGTCTCATTTGTATAATTTTCCATTCTATTTCCTGATTCATCATTTTCATGTATTGTACTTGATGTAGCTTTAGTTCTCTCAGAATCTCTTGAGATTTTGGATTTGTTCTCAATCTTTTTTCACTTTCCTTTATTTTCTCCAATATCTTATCCTTCTTCTCATTTTGAATTCTCTTCTTTACTGCATTCTGTTGTATCAGAAACCCTCTCATAACCGCTTTACTTGCGTCCCAGATTACTCTTTTTTTCCACGTTGGTGTTCATATTTATCTCAAAATAGTCTCTCAAGGTTTTTTGGGCCTTCTTTAACACTTCTTCATCTCTAAATAAGGTGTCATTCATCCTCCATCTGAAGGAGCCAGTTGGTGTTAGTTTCATTCCCATCTTGACAGCATTATGGTCGGAGCAAGTTTTCGGGCAGATTTCCACCTTTCTTGTCTTAGGTGCCATTCCTCTAGTTACCCATATTTGGTCAATTCTTGTCCATGTCATTTTGGCTTCAGAAAAGAAGGTTCCCTCTTTAGCCATGGGGTTGGAGCAATGAAGATTCTAACCCGTTTTCTTCAATGTTGCTGATCTGTCCTGTTCTCTGGTACTTGCAGGGTCTATTCTCTTTGAGGCCTAATCTGTACCACTTAAGAATGTAGGTAGTGCAGACATTCATCTCCCTTAAGCCTCTGGTGCATGTTGAAGTATTATAGTTGTAACTGTGTGTCTTTTTTTTTTAGCAGCAGAATGTATTTAAGAGAGACAATATGGTACAGTGGTTAGAGTGTTGGACTAGGGCCTGGGAGACCAGGGTTCAAATCCCCGCTCAGCTGAACAGCTCACTGTGTGACCTTGGGCTAGTCCCTGCCTCTCAGCCTAACCTACCTTGGGGCTGTTGTTGAGAAGATGATTGAGGAGGAAGAGAACCATGCACACAACCTTGAGCTCTTTGGAGAGAAGGCTTGATATAAATGTATGTATAATATATATAATATGTGTCTCTCTCTGGGTGTGTGAGACTACACACACATATTTGTATGGTACACCTATATCAGCACAACCCGATGCCTTCATCAGCCCCAGTTGCATCAAAACATCTCTCCCCATAGGTGCCAACTCCATGGTGCCCTGGGTGTCCGATCACCCACAAAATTCCCACATGAAGGGACCAAGCACCCACAAATTTTTGTGCCAGGGCCATGCATGCTGCCTGGCACCCACGGCCCTGGGCACCTACGGTCGTGGGGCCAAGTGGCACTCCTGTCTCTCCCATGTCAGTCTCTACAGCCACAGCAGGCGCTGTAACCCAACGGTTTAACTCCTTCCACAAAGGCACACTCTTCCGTTGTCTCCCGAGACAGACGAATGCCAGCCAGGTTGTGTGTGTATATGTGTGTTTTTGTAGTGACATTCTTAGTGAATCAGGATCTCCCCTATTTGCTGCCAGACCCCTCTGGCATCAGTGCCACCCACGCAATCCCTTCAGCTCCCTCACGGCTGTGGGCGCTGGACAGGGACGTCTTTACCATTGGGAGTAGTGGCGCAATGAGCTAGAGCATCAAGCAGTGGAGGGCGCCAGGCGGAGAGTCCGGGGAGGGGAGAGCAGGGAAGTAAGCGAGGCGGAGCAGGGGCTTGGTGCCTGCACGCCTCCAGCGCCCTTCGGAGGCAGTAGGACCCTGTTCCGCTCTGCAGCACCAGGGTCATCCCACATCCCAGGCGCACCTGACTGATCTCCCGCTGGGAGAACAATGGACTGAGTCTACCAAAACCTCCTCATTAACTTGTTAACTCTATCATAACCTGGATGATGTCAGAGTGAATGTCAGAGTATTTCCAAAACCTGTCGACTTTAGGAAAAAGCCTCAAAACTTTGGAAATTCATATAAAATCACTAGTTCCTTCGATTTGCTTCATTCCAGTGCCCTTTAATACCTTTGGCCAAGTACTTCAAGCCCCATCAGTTCCTGCCATGATCCCTCAGGTGTGCAGTCACGTACTCAAGCTCTCCTGGGCAGCCCTGTTGCCACTGTGGAGTGTTCCTTCGGCTCACTGGGTCCTGCCTGGTGAATGGGGCTTGGGCTACAGGGCACATACCAAACTTTCTGTGGGATGGCCGCCCCTGGAGCCCTTTCCAGTGACTGCCACAGGGAAGCCTGTTTATTTATTTCTTGGAGTATTTTAATCAAAGTATCACAGAACTGGATGGTTGGAAGGGACCCCGAGGGTCCTCTAGACCAACCCTCTCCAGTCCAGGAATCACAGCACAAGCATCTCTCACAAAACACATTTGCTCCATCTTCCCTGTGAACTGAGGAGATTTCACCCCTCCCATATCCAAGAATCTCCTGATGAGTCTGGTGATTTTCCAGAGAGGAGGGGACTGTGTTCTGCTCTCTTACTCCACCCCAGCCTAACATCAAAGAGTCAGTCAGTCAGTGGGGGGGGGGGGAGAGAGAGACTGTTAGAGATCGTGTGTATAGATAAGATTGCTGCTAAGAGCAGCTGCAGGCACTCAGTGCAGTTCAGCATTCATTTTGCTTAGACCTCATTTAGCTCTGTATATAGTTTGTGTATTATAGTTGTAGATAGAATAAAGAAGATATTCTACAGAGCTGCTCTCCGAGTCGTTTATGCTCTGCTACACTCTGCTATACTCTGCTGTGCGATGACTGTCTTCTTGTGGAAGTGAATCCGGTGCTCACAACTCTAGGCTGTGAGTCCACAGCACTTTGACCTGTTCCTGTGCAGAAGGTGGTCTCTGGAAGTGCTACCCAGCTCACCTAGCCCAGTCGGGGCTGAAGTGGATGAGTCCAGTTGGTGGCACTGGCTCAAGGGCGATGCTGACATGAACAGCCCTTCAGTTACAACAGAATAACAGAACCATTCACAGAATTGGAAGGGAACCACCAGGGTCATCTAGTCCAACCCCCTGCAATGCAGGAAACTTTTGCCCAACATGGGGCTTGAAACCACAACCCTGAGATTAAGAGTCTCGTGCTTTACTGACTGAGGTATATCTAAGTTCAGCATTTTTTCTCTCATTTTGGTGCCAGGTTAAGCTATGTCATTTTGCTTGGACAATTTAAGACCAGGAGTGAAGTGACTTGTCAAAATTGGCTGGCCCACATTCATCTGAGACTATATAAGTGTGTATATAGGTGCATAGTTAATAAATGAACAACTAAAAAAAGGTTGTTTATGTTTCCTGTTTTCTTTTCCCAAGCAGAGATAATGTGTAAGCGTGGTGTCAGCTCCCTTAAAAAAGGTCAGCAACTTTGGGACACCCCCCCCCCCTTGACAACTCTGGGAAAGGGGGGGATCTTTGCACCACAGCGCCGGATATGCTTAAGACAGCCCTGGCGCTAGAACTAAACTCCCCGAGCCACGCGCGCTCCGGGCTCCTGGGCACGGACAATCGGGCATCAGTCACCTGCCTCGACCCCTCTCCAGCCTCAGCGGGTCAGCTCTCCCTCCCCTTCCCGTCTCCAGACCAAGTTGGCACCGCCCCGCGACGGCCTTGCGTAGCGCACACAGGGGCTGGACTGCCGGGTATGCGTCGCTATGCGTCCTCCTCGCTAGTTGCCCGGCCCGCAGCGGGCATGGTGCAGCCGCCGCCCGGGCGGCATGGCGACCTGGAAGCGGGACAGTCGGCTCACCGCTCTGCAGCGGCTCAGCTGCGCCGGGCTGGCCGGGGCGCTGAGCCACAGCCTGACGGCGCCTCTGGAAGTTTTCACCGTCCTGGCCCAAGTTGGCACTCACCACTCGCGGCGAGGGCTCTGGGAGACGGGGCGCAGCTTATGCAAGGCCGAAGGCATTGGGGCCCTCTGGAAGGGCAACCTCACCGCCTGTTTGCGCCTCTTTCCCTACAGCGCCCTACAACTGGCCTCTTACCGCAGGTAAGCCGGGGTGAAAACCCCCCTCGGCTTTCGGACCCAACCAGTTGATACCAAAGCAATGGCGTGGTGCGGGGACACGGCTCTCTAAGGGTTAATAATTCCTGCAGTTCGTTGTGGCAGCCCAGCATTTTCCCATTTCCACAGGCTCATGGAAGGGGAGGGGACTCCAGTAAACTTCAGTCTTATTTTCACCTAACTAAGCTCTGTTGAACACAGTGAGACCTCCGCGTAAAGATGCACGGAGGTCCGAGTAAGAATGACTTCAAAAATAAAAAAAATATTTACCGTATATAGTATTAACCAATCAGAGGGGTGGACTGAAGAGACAGAGGAATACCGGTAGTTAAAGGGCTCTCTGAACGCTCCAGCTGATGTCGAATTTCCTTCCTGTCTCTAGGAAGGTGTGTGGAACAGTGTAGCTTTCTGGAGGTGTTTGTTTTTTAACTGTCTAACTCTGAAACCTAAAAGACAGTTAATCTTTCTGTCTACAATTAACTGTCCACAAAATGTATTTTCCATGCAGAAAGTGAGTTCAAAAACTGGTTCTTGCCCTGTGCAACATACGGACTTTCATTATAAGCTGCATTCTGTGCCCAAAAACAGAACTTATATTTCCCTTTTGGTTTTGAATAAGATAATAGGATGAAGGTTTTCTATATTTCCCCCAGTGGTGGGAGCTAGATGTAGCTTCCGGGGTGTGGTGCTGAAGAGAGAGCTGTAAATCAAGTTTGATTTCTTTTAAAAGAAAGACAGAAATAAATTAAACCTGTTTTAGATCATCTTAGGCAGCTGAGGTTTTTTTGCCTTCTGTTAGCCAGACTTCACACATGCATAGTAGGCCTGCCACTTTTGTGTTGGACGCAAAGTTCTCCTTATTTCAGACTTAAGCTAATCAGGAATTCATCAGAACTTGCATTGAACGGAAAGTTCGCAGAAGGCCTTTTCGATTATTGTCTGGGGCGGGGTGGCCAAACTACAAAGGTATAAGGCAAGAGCCACTGAAAAAAATGAAACAAATGAGGGGGGGAAGCCATGGTTTCTTTGATTAACTCATGGTTTGTTAAACAGTAGCTTAAACAAACCATGATTTAGTGTTACAAATGAATCACTGACTTTATCTACGTTGTGTATCTGACTTGTGATATCCCCACCCCTATATATCATACCAGGTTTGTCTTGCTGTTTGTGGATGATTTGGGCCACATCTCCCAGTGGGGTTCGATCATGGCTGGAAGTTTGGCTGGCATGGTGGCTGCTGTTGCAACGTACCCAACCGAGGTCGTCAAAACCCGTCTCATTGTACAGAACCGGTTGGAGCCCTCCTACAAAGGAATTCTGCATGCTTTGTACATGATTTATCATCAAGAAGGCGTCGCTGCACTTTATCGTGGTGTTTCACTGTCAGTATTAGGTATCGTGAGACTGCGTTCTTTTTCCTATAACATTGGGGTTGGAATAGTGACTGAAAGGAAAGTCAGTGCTTTTTAGTTACAGTCATACCTTGGGTTGAATGTGCTTCAGGTTGAGCGCTTTCGGGTTGTGCTCCACGGCAACCCAGAAGTAACGGAGAGCGGTACTTCCAGGTTTCGCCACTCACGCATGCGCAGATGCTCAAAATGATGTCACGCGCATGACCCGCACACGCGCAGACACGCCGTTGCATCTTACGTTCCATTCAGGATGTGAACGGGGCTCTGGAACGGATCCCGTTCGCATCCTGAGGTACCACTGTATTTTACTTAGAGTATTTTCTGTGCCACCTGTTTTCTGGGCAGCTTCTAACAAAAAGACATTAAAATACAGCTGTCAGTTCTATCAATAAAACAATAAAAGGCAGCATTAAATTTTGAAATGCAATAAGACAAGCCCCCTTTTTTAAAAATCGCTTGTGTCAGATCTCAGTCTATTGCCTGCAAAACTGGTGTATCAGCAATGAGCTGTTAACTGCATTCTCAGTCATTCATCCTCCCCAAAACGATGTGAGGAGATCCAATTCTTCTGATTTTGCAGATGGGGGATCATGATTGAGAGGCATAAATTTTCCCATGACCAAATGTAGCAAGGAAAAAAGAGGCAATGCACACAATCTGCAATACAGATTCTGATTGGACCCAACAGCAGATACTATACAGTGGTACCTCTGGTTGCGGATGGGATGTGTTCCAGAGGTCCGGACGGATCCCGAGGTTTCCACAACCTGAGGACTGCTTCTGTGCATGCGTGCGTGGCAAAACCCAATCAAATACTTTTGGGTTTGCCGCTTTCGCATCCTGAAGTTTACGTAACCAGAGGATTACTTAACCAGAGGTACTACTATATATGGTTTTTAAAAGACCCATTCAATTGCCAGTGATGGCCTTGGTGCCTCACCTACTTCGGCTTTTATAGTCCAAATGTTTTAGAAAACCAAGTATATCCCAAAAGAATATTTGCATCTTACATTGTGCCAAGTTCTGTAGTACAATGCTTTTCTGTTTTAGCCTTAACAAAAATGCAATCAGACTTTGGAGTTAATGACATTTCCAGGACAGTAAGCACATGTTAATCAGCAACTTCTGCTACAAAAGAGCATGAGAAGAATCCTGCTGGATCAAACCAAAGTCTTATGTAGTCTAGCATTCTGTTCTCATTGTGGCCAACAAAATGGCTGTAGGAAGCCCCAAAAGCAGCCCCTGGGTGCAAACACACTTCTTACGTTTCCATTTTCTGGAGGCCGAAATTATTGCAGGAGAAAGATATTCCCATCATACCCTGCTTTGCAAACTTCTCAGAGGCATCTGATTGGCCAGTGTTAGCAGATGGGATGTTGAGCTAGGTGGTTTCTTGATCTGAACCGGCATAGCAATTTGTATCAGTAAGCACCTAACAGCTTCCACAAGTCTCATTTGCTTGCTTGCTTTTCATGACAGGTGCTATCCCGTTTTCCATTGGCTCTTTCCTCGTTTACACACATCTGGATAAAATCTGGGGTCAGCCCAGCATCCGCTTCACTCCTGTGCAGAACTTTGTGAATGGTTGCCTGGCTGCTGGTGTCGCACAGTCACTTTCTTTCCCTTTTGAAACAGTCAAGAGGAAAATGCAGGTATGGAATTTAGGGCTACCATATTGCTCTAGAACTGGGGTATGCAACACACCAGCCTCTTGCTCAGGGGTTGCCAACCTTTGTTGGGGGACTGTAGGCACATTTGCAAAAGCTCTTGTGGGCACCACACCCCCACAACCAAGCACATGTTGCAACCTGTTCTGATGACTACAGCAGAATGTATCTTTCACACCTAATTTCATTGGAGGGAGGGAGAGGGTCCTGTTGGCATCAGGGAAGGTCAATGGGCACCACATTGGCAACCTCCACTCTAGTGGCATAGGCAGCGGAAAGGTTGTGGCATATTGGGAGCAAGAGGGCCCGTAGACGAGATGATCACACCTCTTCTGGGCTGCACTGTAGTCTGCTTAAAGGACGGGAGGGAAAATCATACCTGGGACTGTGGACATATGTTTAGCACTATGTGCTAGATTCTGGAACTAGAAGGTAGATGTATTGGTAGACCTTTGAGTTGTTTGCAGGGGATCATCCAGGTTTTCTGATTTGACTGATCCAACCTGCAAGTTTTATCTCAGAGTCTCATGATTTCCTAGCTGTAAAATGGGGCTTTATTTATTTAACAATTTCTTTACCACTTGGTTAGAACAAAAGCTCCGAGTGGTTTACAAGAAAAAATATCAATAAAAGCAGTTAAAATCAAGTAGTTAAAATGCAATTAAAACCAGCTGTAAACTTAAAAAGAGTTCCAAAAACATCAACATATATGTGTTTGGATAGGCTTGCCATAAGAAAAATGTTTGAAGCAGACTGTATAGTTCATCACTTGCTGTGCCTTAAATTTGCAAGTGCAAACACCCCTCACATGCCACTGTCATGTCTTGCCTTGAGTCAATCATTTATCTCTCATCTTTAATGTTCCTTGCCTATAAATAACATGAGTATTAACTGGCCGGCCCTTAGAATAATTTTAGAGCTTTGTGATAGAATCCCTAGTCTGTAATAAGTCAGAAGTAGTTTTGTATTTGTATATGCAGTTTATCCAAGTGTATGGCTCATGGAGGGGATGTGGGTGGCGCTGTGGGTTAAACCACAGAGCCTACGACTTACTGATCAGAAGGTCAGCGGTTCGAATCCCCGTGACAGGGTGAGCTCCCGTTGCTCGGTCCCTGCTCCTGCCAACCTAGCAGTTTGAAAGCACGTCAAAGTGCAAGTAGATAAATAGGTACCGCTCTGGCGAGAAGGTAAATGGTGTTTCCGTGCGCTGCTCTGGTTCGCCAGAAGCAGCTTAGTCATGCTGGCCACATGACCCAGAAGCTGTACGTCGGCTCCCTCGGCCAGTAAAGCGAGATGAGCACCGCAACCCCAGAGTCGGCCATGACTGGACCTAATGGTCAGGGGTCCCTTTACCTTTATGGCTCATGGACAACAGCAGAGAGTTGGCAGCACCATTTTGCATCTGTAGCCCAGCTGTTGAGCCTTGGGGTTCTAGTAACGAGCAAAGCAGACCGCCACCATTGCACTAGAATGGTACCAGTCCTTACATTTGCCATGTGGCATCCTTTGCCGCAAAGGAATTGTTGCTTTAGAGCAGGGTTGGAGAACCTGTAGCCCACCTGGTGTTGTTGGACTGCGGCTCCCATCATCCCCTACCATTGGCCATTCTTCCTGGGGCTGATGGGAGCTGGAGTCCGGTAACATCTGGAGGCTGCAGTTTGCTTGCCCCTGAGTAATGGTACCTGTGTTGTTTCATGCATCCAATGAAAAACAGCCTGGGAAGCAGGGCTTGTGGGAGACACTGCAATGGAGGGGAAGATCAAGCACACCCTGTTCCATCCACCAGTTTTCCCCTGCAAATGCTCTCTAAATGCACATTAATTTATAGATTTGGAAACTTGTTATAGGAAAGCAGGGAGGTTCTTCATACTGCCGTTGGTGCATCTAGCTCAATATTGTCCTCATGGACTGGCAGTGCCTCTTGTATCCCTACCTGGGGATGCCAGGTATTTAGTCTGAAACTTTCTGCATGCAAAGCAGATGCTCCACTCCCGAGTTATGGCCCTTCCTTGTCTACAACATTTGCCTTGTAACATGTAGTTCTGCCCTTAGCTATACAGTTGGCGGAGGAGAAATGTTAGGTCATTTTGAGCCACTAGATGGTGCTGTTACTCCACAATACACTTCCAATTCAGGCTGATTTCTGCAGCCTCCAACATTTCCTCTCTGGTCTTTCTGCCTGGATTTACCAGGCAGAAACCTTTTTTATTATTATTAAGTTAGGATATTGCACACACTTAACTTGGAGTAAGACCCGTTGAAGTAACTGGGACTTAATTCTCGCTAAATATGCATAGAACTGAGATATGTGTTAAGTTGCTTCTTTCTTCATTTTAAAAGCATCCTTACAAAAATGTAAATTTGCAGCATCTTTGTTGTTCACCCTAACTGTATCCCTTTGTCTCCCTCTTTCCCTTTGCTCCTGGTTGACCTATTAGCGAACTAAAAGGTATAGTATGCATGTTTGGGCATGGGTCCTCGTGGATTAGAGTAAAAAGTGCAGATGCTGGGTAGGTTTCTTTTTGCTAACATGCTGCTGAATTTTAGAAAGAAAGGGGAGGGAAGCAAGAGAGTACTAAAGCATAAGGCAACAATGACTTTTCATAACGCTTTCCATTTTTAGCAAATGTGAAAGGCTTAGAATTTTCTACATAAGAGCAACGTTCGCAAGATCCTTTTACAGACTCTTAGATCCTTCTGTTGCACTGTGACCAAACAAACCAAGAAGCCTTCAATTAACCATAGTTGCCCAGTTTGTCCAGACTGGGAAACTGTGGTTTCCCAAGGCCATGGCTCCATGGTAAGGGATCTGCATTCTATGCACAAGCTCCCAGGCATCTTCAGGTAGTTCCTGGAGAGACTTCTGCCTGGAACCGTGGAGAGCTGCTGTCGGTCAGTGTTGACAGTACTGAGCTAGGTGGAACAGTGCGGTGACTTGGTACAAGGCAGCTTCCCCTGTTCCATGTAATTTCTGGCTTTGGATCAAGCCTAAATATTAAATTGTGACTCGAAGTTGGTTTCTTATGTTCTGAAGCTGCTAACTATAGATTCTTGGTTTGGATAAAAGCTATGGTTAATTAAAGGTTTCATGTTTTAATTACATTTTGAGTGAAGGGAGATACAGAAGGGCTTCATGCATTGGGGAAAGACTTGCTTTATTAAGCAGATATACGATTGAAGCAAATGCACAATGGGTCAGTGCATCTTGCTGTTAACCAGAAGTTTGGTGGTTCAAGCCCACCAGGGATAGCTGTGGACAGGATTCCTGCACTGTAGGGGGTTGGGACACAATGACCCTTGAGGTACCTTCCAACTCTACAGTTCTATGATTCTCTGAAACATATGATTGTCAGAAGCAGCTGGAGTACTCTTAAACAAATATATGATTGACTGAAGCAGCTAAGTACTACTCATTTATTTATTATATCCACCCCTCCATCCTTTCTCAAATGAGCAAAGGGCAGCATGCAAGACTCCTCCCCATTCTGACCCCCCCCCCCATTTCATCAGCATAACAACCTTGTGAGGTAGGCTAGACTAAAAGAAAAATAGCAACTGGCCCAAGGTGAGCTTTATGGCCAGCAGATATTTGGACCTCTGTCTCCAAGATCCTCCTCCATCCCTCTACAATGCCACCTTGACAATTTATAATTGTTGCAATTTAAATAAAAAGAAAGGGTAATCTATTCATTTATTTAGAAGACTTATATGCTACTCTTCATAGTATCTGTCCCAGAGCGGTTCGCAAAATAGATCAATAAAATAATAATAATAATAATCTACAATAATGGAAGTAGGCAATTCCTGGCACCCAAACATGTGGAAGGAATCCTTTAAATCAGGGGTGCAGAATTTGTGCCCTTCAGGTGTAGTTTTGGGATTACAACTACCCTAATCTTGAACTGTTGATCATGCTTGGCTGTAGCTGAAGGGAACTGGAATCTGCGTGTGTGTGTAGAAAGTAGCCTAGTGTACAAAGTTAAAAGTCACACTTGTTGCTCCACCTACATTTGCCTGTGGCCCCACCTACTATTGGCATGTGGCCCTTGGGGGGTTATATAGAAGGGAATGTGGCCCTTAGCTGGAAAAGGTTCCCACCTGTGCCTTGTATCATCCATTTTTGATGCACCTAGAACCTGAGAGGATATATCAGAACACACACACACAGACACACACACACACTTCTCTTTTACAGAAGCTTTCTGGACTGGTTGCCTCGAGACAGATTTTATTTACCCAGTGGGACTGGCTTGGCGGTAGATTAATGACAGGCAAAAGAAAGCTGTTCCTTGCACAATGCATACTTTTATGGAGTCGGCTGCAGTGAAAGCCACTTGCCTTGCAGAGATTTCAGAGGGCGCTCAACAGGTTCATGGAGATCAGCAACTGTTAGCCCTGACAAGTGGGTCCTGTAACAAAATGCTGCAGTGTGGAGTGCTTTGCTTCACTGTTGAAATCAGCCAGCCATGTCTTCCTCCACAACACTTCATTCCATTCTCCCTTCCACCCCAGTTTTCTCCTCCCTTGCAAATTCTACGACCATTGAGTTCATAGGCCTGGTTTATTTTGGGAGCAGGGGTGTCGGCTCCTCAACAAGCTGTACACTCGTACAGTTATTCACAAGTAATGTTCAGCGAGTGCTGTGCTTTCCCCCCAGAGGTACTCAAGGGTACGTAGTACCAGCACCTCTTTTTCTAGAAGAAAGGCACTAGCTAAAAGTGTTGCACTTACTGTAACAACTTCATGGTGAGTACCGGCACCTTTTCCCCTAGAAGGAAAGCACTGAACAAGTGTATAGTTTGTGTGCCTGGGTACCCAACATTCAAGCTGTACATGTGCACAGTCATTTAGCCACATTGAATTCAGTGGGCTCACTGCTAAGCAGATGCGTACAGCATTGCACTACATGTCATTTTCCTTTCTATTCCCTTATTTCTGTTTCTGTTTCCATAAAGCTCAAAGTCAGGATCCCAGAAAGGAACTGATTTGTGATAGGCTTAGGGGAGTCAGAAGGAATCTCAAGCTAGGCCAGAGAAAGTATAACTTGTGGAATTGTTTGGCAGAGCTCCTGCACCTTTAGAAGCTGAGTAGGAGAGGGAAGCAACACCTGCTGAAATCCCCTGTCATGCACAGCTGCTAATATGCTAATATTTCAGAGCTGAAATTTGGGGTCAGACTAGATGACCGCCAGCTCCCTTTTTGTCCTGAATATGCTGAAATTCGGGGTCAGGCTAGATGACCCCTGGGTCCCTTTTTGCCCTGAATATGCTGAAATTTGGGATCAGGCTAGATGACCGCTGGCTCCCTTTTTGCCCTGAATATGCTGAAATTTGGGATCAGGCTAGATGACCGCTGGCTCCCTTTTTGCCCTGAATATGGAGATATGCCCACTTTGGCATCTGGTCCTCCTATAATGGAATTCACCACCTCGAGATCTGGCACTGGCCATTAGCTCCAGTGGCTTTCATAGCACAGTCCTATAGATGTCTACTCAGAAGCAAGCCCCACTGTGTTCTCCCTGGTAAGTGTTTATAGGAATGATTTCTTGGGAGGAGTACAAGTCTACCAGTTGGCTGCGATAGCTAAAAACAGATATCCTCAGAAGAAGGATTGGAACCTCAGAACAGAATCCTGAAACATTAGATCAGATTCTGATATCTGGCAACCCCAGACCTTGTTCTCACTTTGGGTGGCCTGGTGCAAAAGATGACAGGTGCTCTTACACCTTTATGTAGGAAACATCATTTTACCAGGTGCACAAAATCCCCCTCCTTTGCAGTACTATTAAAAGTTCTTTCTGGACACCCTAGTATCAACCAGCAAAGGAAGTAGTATCAACTTTTAGTGTATGTATTGTAAACAAACCCCCATTGGAAGCCTGAATTAATCCACCACCAGCAGGGAGTCCTATTGTCCCAACCTAGTCCAATGCAGAAACCGTGCCTGATTCCAAAACTGTTTCCCTCTAGGGATATAACTGTGTCAGTTTCCCAGGCCCTTCCTTTGGGCAAAAGGAATAAGCACATCCCCAGACAAACAGAATCTCAAGTGCTTCATTGAAGCTTCGACTGAGGGCTGCAAGATGTGAGGTTGGGCTTCATTCAGCCTGGAAGTATTTAAATATCCCCAATCGTCCGTGTTAACCTAGCCCTTGAAAGGATTCTGTGTTCTTATTTTAGATTTCAGATTAAGTGAAATAAACGCCCCGAGTAATTCTGCGCCACTTCTTTTCCTAATCCCTTATTAGCAAGGCTGGCACATACCGCACTCCTAGGCTTTCTCACTGAAAATATAATTTCAAAGAATTATTGCAGGGCAACTTTTCGTACCCTGGAAAGATCCATAAAAACCTGTGTCTTTATTTCTTAATTCATTTCTATATCTCTTGGGTTTGGGCCTATATATATATATATATATATATATAATTAATGCATGTATTAGTTGCATTATTGTTTTATTTACTTATGGGATATTAGTGGGGGGTGTTTTAACCTTGCTTTGGAAGTAAAGGGACTTATATTGAGGCCATGGTGAAGGGGATTAAAAAAAAAAATTCAATCCGTTAATCAATTAATAAGCAGATAGTAAATCCAATCAAAATTCTTCTGTCCAGTTGAAGAGTGCTTCTCTGTAGCGGAAACATGTCCTGGAGGGTTCATCTTTCAGTAAACAAAGTGAAGCAGCCAAGAACTTAAAATATGAGCGTGGAAGCATCTCATGTATCATCACAAGGCATCCCTCCGACAGAGAGGATCACTTTAGGCTTATCACTGTTAAGAAGCTGTCTAAGGTCTGATTTAACACAGAACATGGGGCATAGAGAATGCTTTCCCCTTGTGAACCCTCCAGGCATGTCTGGGTAATTAAATCTCTGGTGTGCTAGTGTTAACATGTGAATTTAAACGTAACCTAGGTAGAAAACATTCCTGCACAGAAATCTGCAGGACTGAGGCTGGGTCTGCAGATGCAACAGAAGGAAATGGTAATGAGGCAGGTGTTTGAATTGCTTGTACTACTTAGGTTGCAAGTTGAAGATACTACTTTTGAATGCTGTCATTTTGTTGTTTTAAGGCCCTGCAAGCAGAAATGTAACACATCTGTGAATTTCATCTGCAGTTCTGGTATTCTGTTTGCAAGAAGTTTTTATCCTGCAGTCCAAAGTGGTGTGATTTATCCTGTTGACTCATTCTTCTTGAGTTTAAACCAGTCCTAATTCATTGTAAGAAAACGAACTTGTTTCCTCTATGGTGAAAGACAGTTTCCGAGCTGAACCTGCAGCGCTAGTGTCTCTTTGTACTTTCAAAGTTTCTTGCAAATTCTCTCTAATGCTGAAGAATGAGAAAAGGAAATGAGTTCTGCCCTTATGGCTTAACTTGTAGGTCTTGGCGGATATCTCACACAGTGCCTTGCAGACATCACTTAGCATAACATTTATCTGGGAACTAGGCCAGAGAGAGAGTGAGATGCAGAATTCCCTTGCTGGAAGCACAGAACTTGTTGTCGTTTCCCTTCACTGTGGCTGCAGCAGTGATTTCCAAACCGGAGCCAGGGCACAGACATATGTCCCAAGAGTATTGCCAGTGTGGTATAAGCAAGCAATTAATTAATTAAATAACTGAAGTAGAAGTGGCTAACATATGACCCTCCAAATGTTGCTGGACTACAACTCTCATCATCCCTTGCTCTTGGCCATGCTGGCTGGGGTTGACAGGAGGTGCAATCCAACTCTACTTAAACACATATACAGAGAGAGAGAGAAAGGCTCTTTGCTGTTAGGAAAGTTATGGGGAAATGCATTTAAGAGTGTGTGAAAGAATGGAAGACATGTAAAGACCCTCCAAACAAAACAGAACAAGTGCTTATTGCTCTAGAACCCATCCCATAAATAAATCAGAGCAAATGCTCAATGAAGACTGGACCTAGCCTGACCACTGGATAAATTTTGGGCAAGCAAATTGGGATGAATGCTGAATAAATAGGTCATCTGGAGGATCCCTGACCAGACATGTATTGAATTGCGTTGTAGGCCTGCAATTCTAAACACACTTCCTAAGGCGTTTTCCCCATTGAAATCAGTGAGACTTGAAAGCAAACATGTCTTGAATTACTCCATGATAATGTAGCTGTTCAACATAGAATACTAGCAGGATTGAATGAATGAATGAATGAATGACAAAAGTATGTTGTTGTTGTTTAGTCATTTAATCGTGTCCGACTCTTCATGACCCCATGGACCAGAGCACACCAGGCAGTCCTGTCTTCCACTGCCTCCCGCAGTTTGGTCAAACTCATGCTGGTGGCTTCAAGAACACTGTCCAACCATCTCATCCTCTGTCGTCCCCTTCTCCTTGTGCCCTCCATCTTTCCCAACATCAGGGTCTTTTCCAGGGAGTCTTCTCTTCTCATGAGGTGGCCAAAGTACTGGAGTCTCAGCTTCAGGATCTGTCCTTCCAGTGAGCACTCAGGGCTGATTTCCTTCAGAATGGATAGGTTTGATCTTCTTGCAGTCCATGGGACTCTCAAGAGTCTCCTCCAGCACCATAATTCAAAAGCATCAATTCTTCGGCCATCAGCCTTCTTTATGGTCCAGCTCTCACTTCCATACATCACTACTGGGGAAACCATAGCTTTAACTATTCAGACCTTTGTTGGCAAGGTGTATACAAAAAAGTATACTTTTGTGTGTGTACAAAAGGTGTGTACAAAAGTATACTTTAGGTTAAAAGCACACTTAGCAGATGAGTTTATAAGTGAATAGTATGGAATTGCTAGGCAGTGTATTTTTCGTGTGTCTGTGTAATTTAGACCAAGGGTGGGAACCTGTGGTCCTCCAAACATTGGACTCCAGCTCCCATCATCTGCAGCCAATACAGCCCATGAAGGGCTATATCTCAGTGATAGAGCATATGCTTTGCACATAAAGGGACCCATGTTAAATCTCTGGGTAGAGCTGGGACTGCCAGTTGGTGCAGAGACAGAGAACCAAAAGTCCCCCGGACGCTGATGGACTCAAGCTCCCATCAGCCCTAGCCAGCAGGTCTAATGGCCAGAGACACCGGGAGTTGTAGTCCCAACAACTTCTGGAGGACACCAGTTTCCCACCTCTGGTATAGACAAGACTGAAATACTTGGACCAGTGGTTTGATACAGCAGCTTCCTATGATCTGTGATAATTGGAGTCCAGTAACATTTGGAGAAGGGACACGGGTGGCGCTGTGGTCTAAACCACAGAGCCTAGGACTTGCCGATCGGAAAGTCGGCGGTTCGAATCCCCGCGATGGGGTGAGCTCCCGTTGCTCGGTCCCTGCTCCTGCCAACCTAGCAGTTCGAAAGCACGTCAAAGTGCAAGTAGATAAATAGGTACCGCTCCGGCGGGAAGGTAAACGGTGTTTCCGTGCACTGCTCTGGTTCGCCAGAAGCAGCTTAGTCATGCTGGCCACATGACCCGGAAGCTGTACGTCGGCTCCCTCGGCCAATAAAGCGAGATGAGCACTGCAACTCCAGAGTCGTCTGCAACTGGACTTAACGGTCAGGGGTCCCTTTACCTTTTTAACGTTTGGAGAGCTGCGGGTTTGCCACCCATGGCTTAGGCAAATAGGATCAGGTAAACTGCTGTGCAGAATGGAAACCCCCCCCCCGTCCCACTATCTCCTCTCCTTGTCTTTGTATTGGTGCAAGTCTGAAATTCAAAAGCCTGGATCTTATGTCCAAAATCCGTAAAGTAAGGCAGCAGCAGCAATACTAAGACTGCAATCTCCTCTGTGCACTTAATGCGGAAGTGTAAGGCCCATTTAATTCAATGGGACTTCTGTGCAGATATTCTGTATATATATATATATATATATATATATATATATATATATATATATATATTTGGTGCTAGGCTGCATTCTTAAGTGCACTTAAGTAAGAGTAGGCCCCATGGAAAACAGCGCAACTTGCTTCTGAGTAGACATGCATCAGAGTGCAGTGTTAGTGACTTAAGGGCACTTGAAAACTATCACTGTTTTGGGGTGGGATTCAGTCACATACCAGCAAATGCAGCTTGCGCAACTGCAGCCATACTGGTGCTCTTGCACAGCAAACCCACTTCCCTTTTTGCAACAAAGGAAGTGATGATAAAGTGTGGGATAAGACTTGCTTTGATGCAAAGTCAAATAACCTCTGCTCAAACAAATCAGAACAAATGTTCAATCCATCGCATAACCTCCCTGCAAACTTTGTGCAATCAAATTCGGATGAATGCTCAAGAAGTAGGGCACCCGGAAGTGATCTTAGGCTGCAACCATAACCCCACTTCCCCATTAACCTTACTAGGACTTACTTCTAAGCAGACATGGCTAGGCTTCTGCTGAAAGGGTTTCAGAACAACAGGGACTTGTTTTCCTCCTTTAAAATGGTGATGTGTTCTCTCCCGAGCAGGCTCAGAGTCCTTGCCTCCCACACCACGGAGGGGTTGATATCAATTTTGCAGGCATGGTGGACTGTTTTAAGCAAACGGTGAAGACAAAAGGGGTGCTCGCCCTTTGGAATGGACTCACTGCTAATTTACTCAGGGTACGTACTAAAGCACCTGTTGTTCAATACGACTGGAGGTCTGATTTATTGTGCTCCTAATTAGAAATTTATTCTTTTTTCCTCGTTCCAGAATTTAACCATGAAGTGTTCATGAAAGTTAAGGATTGCATGCAGTTTTTTAAAGCTGTCATTCTTTGTAGATCCATCTTTATATAACCTCGGAGTGGTTTTCAGGGTTCTCTCCTTCCCTGTTTTATATTCCCAACAACCCCATGAGGTAGGTTAGGCTGATCTAAGATGACTGGCCTGCGGTCACCCAGTGAGTGGGGATTTGAACCCAGGTCTCCCACTTCTAATGGTCCACCATTCTAACCACTGCACCACACTGCCTCTCGATTAATAAACATGCTCAGGCTTTCCCCCTATAGTAGGCTTGAAGCCTGGATAATGAAAGTACATGACTATTTATGTGTTTTTGTTTGCTTGCTTTCTAAACAGATTGTTCCTTATTTTGGAGTCATGTTCAGCACTTTTGAATTCTGTCGTCGCGTCTGCCTGTATCGAAATGGTTACATTGATTCCCCTCTAACCTACAAGCTAACTCCAGGTGTGGACCAGAGTTTAAAGCCTAAAGAACTGCAAGAATTTAAACTACTTGGAAGAAGAAGCTTTTAAGCCTCAGGATGCATTTTCTACAAAGCAATACTAGGTCAACGCTGCAAAATAAGACATTGTGGTTTACTACCAGTTAACTAGCCCTCAGTTTAACAGCATGCGACTTTTTCCTTAAAATGCCTCTTATTGATAAAACTAGGCCCGAACTACTAAATGGGCCACTAAGCCAATGGAGCTCACCCGATATTGATTGTGGTCTGCTGTGCAGTAGAGAACCTCCAGCCCATGGCCACAAGTGGCATCAAGTGTGGAGCAGACGGCTGCCCACTTGTCAATCACAGGACGCCACAATGGTGTCAGGTGCAAGGTGCTTTGAAGTCCCAAAGTCAGGACTTCAAAGCACCTTGCAAGGCACTGCTAAAACAGAGGGCAGGGCGTCTTTCGTGTTCTTGGGGTTTCCTTGCAAACCCGTCCCTGAATCAGGAAAGGGTTTGCATGGAATCCTGCCAAACTGAGCAGGATTTAACCCTGTTCATCAACTGATGAGTTGCAGTTACCGTATTTTTTGCTCTATAAGACGCACCAGACCACAAGACGCACCTATTTTTTGGAGGAGGAAAACAAGGAAAAAAATATTCTGAATCTCAGAAGCCAGAACAAGAAGAGGGATCGCTGCGCAGTGAAAGCAGCAATCCCTCTTGCTGTTCTGGCTTCTGGGGTAGCTACGCAGCCTGCATTCACTCCATAAGATGCACACACATTTCCCCTTATTTTTTAGGAGGGAAAAAGTGAGTCTTATAGAGCAAAAAATACGGTAAATCCTGCTCCGTCTGGCTGCACACCAGTTCAGGATTTAACTCTGCCCTTCTGACTGTCAGCTATCAGCTGACGTCTGCTGATGGACGGGTGGGCACAGTTTGCAGGCCGACTTGGCAGTCCAAGATTAGCCCATGAGGTGGTTGTTCCCTACCTCTGCTCCAAACAGACTTCAAAGAGGCTCCCTGATCATTAGTTACAGCAAACTGCTATGGAGGCACATCTTCAAAGGAGGCTGCTGTTAATTACCAATCAGCTGTAACAACAGAGGGATGAGGAATTAGGGATCCAGCCTGCTGGTTCCCTTACCCTGAGCTGAGCAAGCCTGTTGTCTCAAACTATACGTGCAGCAGAATGAGATGACAGAATGGACTATAACACTCAAGACTGAAAGTGGGGGTGTATGCAATTTTTTATTGCTCTCCCATAGTTCACTCCACCTCAACATAACACAGCAGGAAGAAAAGTTCTGTTCCAGACCCCTCCTTGCTGTGCTATTTTTTTCTGACTCCAAATAGCTTTTTGATATAAGGGAGCACTGGCATTTGTGGTCCCACCACCCCCTTTGAAATGATAGCCCTTTCTCTTCATTTGACCACCTTATTCTGCTATGTATGTAGACCTCAGAGGCCCCTGCTATATGTAGAGGCCCAGAGAGGCAGCAAAAACAAGTCTATTGAACCTTTGCAGGCCATCATATATGGAAGGTGGGCTGCATTCAGCACACTGAATCTCAGGCTGTACATGCATGGCCTATACTAATGATGTGACTGTAATCACAGCAGGGATGCAAAGTCTTATCGGCAGGGAGGAGAAAAAACCACTTCAATGTCTTTTGAGAGGGAGAATGCCAAAGTGAGAAATGGGGTGTTTTTACTTGCATGCACTGAAAATACTGAACTGTTTTTGAAAAGTAAAAAAAGCACATGCAAAAAATAATCAAAAATCACACAAAATTGACATTTGATGCTACATGTCTTTGGGAAATACATTAGGTGGTTCACAGGTGGGGTTGCCCTGCCCACCTGTCAAAGCTGACCTATAGGGGGCCACCAGGCCAAAAAGATTCCCTGTTTATGATGTATGTGATAAGTATATATAGATAAGTTAAGTATGGAGGTGTTGATGGAGAGTAGTGAGATGACATGATGGGAGTGCTTCTCCACATCAGAATTCCCTACTCATAAGAAACCAGCACAGGGAGATTAGATTGGGAGCCTGTCTGAGAGATGCAAGGTTTCCACAGGTACAAAGTTTATTTTGGGAGGGTGAATATTTACATAACACAATGCTGGGTGCCATTTGAATTCTGAAGTGGCACTGCACAAAGCAAACTTTGCTACATTATGCTTCTGGCTACGGGGACTGCAGAATTTTCTGGTGGACTGTGACCTCAATGCAATGCAGGGAAAACCCACTGCTGGGTCTCTTTGTGACTCCTAGAAAACCTCACAAAACCAGTGACTGTGCACTTTATAAACGGCAAACCAAAATGGATGACAAACCGTTCTGTCTCTCAGGCACATGGAATGCAAGTGTACTAACAAAAGTGAGTCTCCGGGGAGGGTGTGTGTGTGTGTGTGTGTGTGTGTGTGTGTGTAGAATTGTGGCTCTCTGTGTACCCTTGTTGTCATTTTAGTTGTGAGCACATGCACACTGCTGTCAACAATTGCTGTTGAAACCCTTGCAATAACAGTCCTTGTTTCACTTTGCCAAGGTGTATTTGATATTAAACTTAACTTTTTCCAGGAAAAAAAGTACAAAATGGTGATGTGGTTAAAGAGTTGCAATGCTGCTTTGTCCCAATTCTCTCTCATATTCGTATGTGCAAAGAAGAGGGAATTTTGTCATACAAGGATAGGAGAAGCCAGCTATGCAAAAATCCCCACTTCTACATATATACTAAAGAGGAACAGGCGTGCTGTAAATGTCTTTTGCATCTGTGCAGAACAGAAGGATCGATTTTATTGGAAATCTCACTATTACTGAAATGGGTTCTTGTAGGCAGACCAGACCCTAGCAAGATGCAGGTAACTTCCTTCACACCAAGGGTGCCCCAGTCCTTTCTGGGCAACATTCCTAGGACCACATGCCAGGTATGGGAAGGTCCACAGGCAAAGCAATGAATGTAAATGTTACCTAGTTTCTAGACACACAGACACACAAATGTCCTTCTATCCATCTAGGCAAGCAGAAGGCGTTATCAGAGTGCATTAGTGGCTGCCTGACACCCATTGGGGCTGGTAGGGCAGAATGACAGGCAGATCCAATTAATTATGCTTCTGTTTCTTCCCTCTCTGCTCAGTTCTACAAGCATGCCAGTCACACAAGCATGCTGGTCAAAGATGGAGTTAACTCTTTATTAGAAAAAAAACCCACAATCTTCACTTACTTGATTTGAGTGTCAGGCCAACAAGCATAGCAGCTCATTCCCAGTGCTCATACTCCATGAAACTTAGTTGCCAAGACTGAAAGCCCCTGCTCCCCACGGTCAGGGCTTTTCCCAGGCAATCAGACTCTGCTTACATGTAGTCAACCTCTACTCCACCTTTTTCGTGCCTCTTTTGGTTCTGGGAGACAAGGGGGGAGGGGAGCTTGTTGCATCAGGAAAGGGAGACACCATTGCTTTTTCACCAGCTCGACTCATGTCTGCTTCTTGGCATCCCCCCTTCCACCCTCCTGCTTCTGCTTCTGCCACTGATTCCGAGCTTCTCTCTGCCATGGGCTCTCCCCGCTCACTAAGCCCTGGTTACCCAGTCTTCTCCCTCTTCTTCCCCTGACCACTGATCATTGTCCCATCACCACTCACCAGGCTCTGAGCCTTCTTCCCTTGGGGGTTCCCCAGCTGGATCCTCCCACCAGTCTGTGACGGTAACACTGACACTGGAGGAGGAAGCTGGAAAGCAATGCCATCCTCTGCTGGTTGTAAGGAATGAGGCAGGTGGGGGCTGGCTGAAGGTGGAATGTGTTTGGTGGGACAGTGTGCCACATGCTCTAATTCACCAGCCTCCACTGTCAGAGTATACACCCTGAGGCATCATGCCTCTACCTGTTGCTTGGAATTTCAGGTGGGGAGGGTGCTGTTGCACCTTCAGGTCCTGCTTGTGGACGTCCCGTAGGCATCGGTCTGACGAGTGCAACAACAGGATGTTGAACTAAGTGGTCTATTGGCCTGATCCAGTTGTTGGTATCTGTCTCGAGATACAATGGAGTACACACAATGGGGATGAAGTCAAACCTGCTGGGGAACCACAGCGCCTGCTGTGGCTGCAGAGACCAGCAACTCATAACCGCTGTCTCCTGTGTTGTTTTTGCTGAGTTAGCAAGCCTGGGCAGCATAGGAGTCAACTCCTATGGGCTGAAGTCTCTTCGGCCCTCCCAGTAAAATATCCCCCCCCCCCATGTTGAGGGACATTTCAAGTGGTGTGTGTGCACCACATCATGTGATCAATTATGCAGGGTGGGGCTTGCCTGCTTCCCCCCCCCCCAGGTTGGCACCCCTGCTGGACAGCGTGTATGGAGGTCCTGGGCTGCCCACATGACAAGACCCTCCTCTCAGCCTCGCTGATGTGGTCCAAGGGAAAGCAGAGCAATACGTTTGGCACCAGCTGGGCTGCAGGAGTTGCCTTCTCCTACTTTCCCAGGTCCACGAGCCCCATTTGCCCCTGTCCCGGTAGGGCTGTTCTTATTGAAGGACACCGATTCCACCTTGCTGCTGTCAGCCAGAAAATGCATTTAAGGACACACAGCCAGTTCCTTCCTGAGGTTGCCTGGGGAACACCCCGTCTGTGTCATCGCACGTCACCCAGGTGCAAACCCACCCCACATCATTCAGTAAGCGAAGCCCTGCCCCCTCCTTCCAAGGTTATAGCCAATCTCCATCGCGCGCTTCTCCCAATGCGCCCCATCCGCTGCAAGCCTTGGCAACTCAGGATCGGGGCTTCCTTGTATTAAGGCATCAATAGGCAGCCAAGGCCCACCTCCTCCCTGGCTGCCAGGGGTCCCTCAAGAGGAAGGAGCACAGAACTCCCCCACCCTCACACATTGCCACCGCAGTTCTCTCAGCGGTTCCTCCCTCCAGCTCGGGTCCAATCAGGGCACTGGGAAGCGGCTGTACGTAGATGCCCGCGTTTCCCCTCCCTCCCTCTGTTCCCACGTTAAAGCCTGAGCGGTATAAAAACCGGCCATTTAATTTGCTCGGTCTCAGTGAGCCGGCAGCCTGCCTTCCATCTCCGTGTGTGCAGCCATCTCCCCTCGCTGCGTCTTCTCTTCCGATCGGATCTTAAAGCAGTTTTTCTTTCACTTTTTTCCCGAGCGCTCAACCTTCTTGCAACCGGCATCATGACTGACGCGGCTATTTCTTTCATGAAAGATTTCTTGGCGGGCGGCGTGGCAGCCGCGATCTCCAAGACAGCGGTAGCCCCCATCGAGAGAGTCAAGTTGCTTCTCCAGGTACTACGGGGTGGCTGGCTGGGTGGAACCGCGCGCCTTTCGATGGAGAAACGATCTGGAGAGGGTGGAGGGAAGAAAGAAGGGGATCTTTTAAGTGGTGGCTCTCACGGGCTTTGAAGTCTGCTGGGGACGACGAGGGGGCCGGGCAGGGATCCCTCAAAAGAGGTCATAGGCGGGTCGACTGAGTTGGAAGGCCTCTTTTGTCCAGAGTGCGCTGGGACGTTCCGTGCGCTATGGCGCGACAGGCGGATCCTGCGCTCTGCCTTTGTCTGAAGCGATGGGGCCTCGTGGCTTATCCCAGCTCCGAGGAGATGCGAGGGAGTTTTTTTAAAAAGCCGCGGTTCTCTTCCCTGCCTTCCGCACCAAGGTCGCGCCAAGGAGATGCAGGCCGGAGCATCCTTTGTTCAATGCCTTTGAACCCAAGAGAGCAACAAAATTAGATTTCCAGCCTCAGTTCTGCGCCTGCCCTGCCGCTTGCCCAGGAAAAAGGTTCTTGCTGACCCAGGTAGAGAGAGTGGGCCGCAGCTTTCTCTGGCATCCAAGATCAGCCCTAAAATTCTATGCTAGGCTTGTGATCGGGGTTTCCTATGTCCCAGGCCTTGGTGATGGTCCGAGGCAAGCGGTCGACCTCTGCCCGTGCCCAAAAGGAACACGCAGTTCTTTTTTTCCCTTTAAACGTGCCGGTCGAAGGGGAGGAAAGCCCACGCTTGCTGGCAGTTTGCGTCGGAGCTGCTGCTGGCGAAAACTAGTTCCGCTTATGCAAATCCCCGCCTGGCGTTGGATTAGTTGCGGGGGAAGGAGAGACTGGCAAGGAAGGGCAACGCGAGTAAATCGCGGCCTGTCCCCGCAGAGAGCCCGAGTTGCCTTTCTCTCTGCTACCGTTGCGGGCAACCTGCCACTTGGCAACGTGGCTGCATCCAAGCAGCATCGCCTGGGAATTCGAGGAGGCACGAAGGTGGCACTTCATCCCCTCCAACGTGCCATTGCTTTTGGGCAAAGCCCAAGGTCTTTGAAGTGGAGCCTCTTTGGAGCTTGGGAGTCACCTGGCTGTGTAAATGAGAAGGAGGCATATAGCACATGGTGCTAAAACCTGTCATAAAAACTCAAAACTCCATAAAAATCTTACTGAGGGTTTTATTTCAAAGAATCAACCCAAAATTTTGGGCAGGTGACCTTGAAGGCAAATCTCTAATGGACACCAAGTTGAAACTGTCTTGCTACATAAATCAGCCACCTGACAGGTCTTTGTATTCTTGTTGCTTCATCAACAGATTGGCTCCCTGCATATGGGAGAGCAAAACGTCAAAATTTAATTAAACTTGCCTTCCAAAAACTAGGGTGTTGTAGCAAGAGAAGGTCTGTCAAGGTCATGTGGGTGGATTGAAAGTACTGAACATAACCTATGGTAGGGGTCTGCAACTAGAGGCAGGAGGGCCAGATCAAGCTCCTTAAGGAGTACTCGCAAGAGCTGCCAGTTGCCAGAGATGGTAGATGGGAAACTGAGATGTGTTGGTCATTTTATTTGGGACACAGGTTTGTCATGTCACCTTCTAGTCCCTCCTGTGGATTTAGAACACAGCTGTGGACACCTTGGGGCCTTTATGAGATCTGGAACACCTCAATGATCTGGGCACAACCCCTTGTAAAAGAGGTCACCTTGCAATGAAGTTATCATTGGCTGAATTACAGGCATTGTCTGGCTATCTTGCCAGAGGCTAAATAGAATGGAGTTTGAATACAGATTTGAGAGATGACCTATCAGGTAGTTATTAGGTTCAGCTAGGATACAGGATTCTCTTATCGGACTGAGATTCTATTCTATTCTTCTTTTTTTAAGCCTACCTCTCTCTTGTCTTGTTAAGCTAAAGTTTAATCTCTGCCTGATGGCCTGGTGTTTTCCTGAAGTTTACTTTGAGTCCATGGTGATCACTCTTGCTTTCATGCCTCAGAGGCAAAAAAATTGCACCTAAACTTTATGTTAACATAGGTCTGAAAATGATGGTTTGCGATTAGGCCTGGGTCAAGTGTGCCTGGAAAGGACAAAAGGGGCATTCAAGGTCCTTCTCCTATTGCAATAGGCCGGAAAGAAGAAACTGAAACTTAATTCTTAGTCATCAGTGTGTACAGTGGTACCTTGGTTGTTGGTTCCTGAACACCGTAAACCTGGAAGTAAGTGTTCCGATTTGCGAATGTTTTTTGGAAGCCAAACGTCTGACGTGGCTTCCAATTAAGTGCTGGAAGCTCCTGCAGCCAATCAGAAACCACACCTTGGTTTTCGAACGGTTCCGGGAGTTGCATGGAGAGGAGACCCGGAACGGATTAAATTTGACAACCAAGGTACCACTGTAGTTCTAAATGGTGGAAGAAAAATGCACAGGCCCTGCTTGCTGTAAGTACTTGTGAGTCAGAAAGAATGATTTAGGCCTTGTAACATGATACTTCTAACTTGAGCCTTGCTGTGTGCTACTTGGTTTCCCCAATAACCTCCCTTTACAGCAGGCATCGGGAACCTATGGCCTTCCAGATGTTATTGGACTCCAATTCCCATCAGCCTCCCTCAGCCCAACAGTTGGGAATGAAGGGAGTTGGAGTTCAAGTGGCAGCCAGTAGTCTTCTTCTGGAAAGAAATATCGCCACAACATCTGTTATATTAATCTTCATTATCACATGGGTGACGTGCCTGTATCTGAGTATTTAAACTGTAACTTCCAGTGTCTCTGGACAGTTCAGTTGGTTAGAGCATGGTGCTGATAATGCTAAGGTTGCAGGTTTGATTCTTGTATTGGACATCTGCATATTTTTGCATTGCAGGGGGTTCAACTAGATTATTGTCAGGGTCCCTTCCAACTCTGATTCTGTGTGTAAAGAATGATGTACTATGTTTTCTCACATAGCTTGATACTGATTGTTCTGTTGTTTAAAATATATGTTTAAGTATATATCTAGAGGGGATGCGGGTGGAGCTGTGGGTTAAACCACAGAGCCTAGGACTTGCCGATCAGAAGGTCGGCGGTTCGAATTACCGCGACGGAGTGAGCTCCTGTTGCACGGTCCCTGCTCCTGCCAACCTAGCAGTTCGAAAGCACATCAAAGTGCAAGTAGATAAATAGGTACCGCTCCAGCGGGAAGGTAAACGGCGTTTCTGTGTGCTGTTCTAGTTCTCCAGAAGCGGCTTAGTCATGCTGGCCACACGACCCGGAAGCTGTACACTGGCTCCCTCGGCCAGTAAAGCGAGATGAGCGCCGCAACCCCAGAATCAGTCATGAGTGGACCTAATGGTCAGGGGTCCCTTTACCTTTACCTTTATATATCTAGAAGGGCCACAGGACTCCCCCCACCCCGGCCTAAGTTAGAGCTTTGGTCCATATTCTGGAGAAAAATGAACAACTATGCTAGATTTTTTTAAGCTTGGGAAGAGCCACATTGCCAGTGAACGTTGAGGCATTGACAGTGAAAGGGTTTTGGGGATAGTATTTAGGAGCCTAAGGAGAATACTACAGAGAGATAAATCCAGTTGTGGCATAGCAAGTCATGGTTAAAATCATAGTCCGCAAGACACCTCTGTTTTAACCATGGTTTATGAACCATGGTATGGGACATGAGTGGCGCTGTAGTCTAAACCACAGAGCCTAGGGCTTGCCAATTGGAAGGTCAGCAGTTCGAATCCCTGCAACAGGGTGAGCTCCCGTTGTTCGGTCCCTGCTCCTGCTAACCTAGCAGTTTGAATGCATGTCAAGTGCAAGTAGATAAATAGGTACCGCTCCAGCGGGAAGGTGAACGGTGTTTCTATGCGCTGCTGTTGTTCGCCAGAAGCGGCTTAGTCTTGCGGACAAACGCCGGCTCTCTTGGCCTATAGAGCGAGATGAGCACGCAACCCCAGAGTCGTCCACGACTGGACCTAACGGTCAGGGTTACCTTTACCTTTTATGAACCATGGTTAACATCAACTATGGTTTGCTATGGCTTAGCCATGGATTACGTCACTGACTATGCAGCCAGACTTAATTTCCACTTTCCATTTTGTCAGGTGCAACATGCGAGTATGCAGATCACAGCAGACAAGCAATACAAGGGAATCATTGACTGTGTGGTCCGGATCCCTCGAGAGCAAGGTTTCCTGTCCTTCTGGCGTGGTAACTTGGCCAACGTTATCAGATACTTCCCCACACAGGCCCTCAACTTTGCTTTCAAAGACAAATACAAGCAGATCTTCCTGGGTGGCGTCGACAAAAGAACCCAGTTCTGGCGTTACTTTGCTGGAAACTTGGCATCTGGTGGTGCTGCTGGTGCTACCTCTCTGTGCTTTGTCTACCCTCTCGACTTCGCCCGAACCCGTCTGGCGGCTGATGTTGGAAAAGCTGGGGCTGAGCGTGAATTCAAGGGGCTTGGAGACTGCCTGGTCAAAATCTTCAAGTCGGACGGCCTTCGGGGACTGTACCAAGGCTTCAACGTCTCTGTCCAAGGCATCATTATCTACAGAGCTGCTTATTTTGGTATCTACGATACTGCAAAAGGTAATTTTCTTGGGCTTTTGCTGGGGCCTTTTGGTAGTTTTATATTAGGAGAGCCAGTGTGGTGTAGTGGTTAAGAGCGGTAGTCTTGTAATCTGGTGAACTGGGTTCGCTTCCCCGCTCCTCCACCTGCAGCTGCTGGGTGACCTTGGGCCAGTCACACTTCTTTGAAGTCTCTCAGCCCCACTCACCTCACAGAGTGTTTGTTGTGGGGGAGGAAGGGAAAGGAGAATGTTAGCCGCTTTGAGACTCCTGAAGGGGAGTGAAAGGCAGGATATCAAATCCAAACTCTTCTTCTTCTTCTTCTTATATGGCTTCCCATTCAAAGTTCGGAAGTATGGATGCTCAAAACAGCATTTCCCCTTATTTCTGATTTCTTCACTTCACAGGGATGCTTCCTGATCCAAAGAACACACACATCTTGATCAGCTGGATGATTGCTCAGTCGGTTACTGCTGTTGCTGGCCTGACCTCTTATCCCTTTGATACAGTTCGGCGGCGTATGATGATGCAATCTGGTCGCAAAGGTGGTAAGTATCAAAGCCGCTGCAGGGAGCACAGAAAGCACAGCTGGTGGTTTTGCTAGATCTTTTTGCCACCTCTGTGATGTCTGCACAGTCCCACATATGTGGGACCTGTGGCTGTATACCTAGCAGGGGCATGGGTGGTGCTGTGGTCTAAACTACTGAGCCTCTTGGCCTTGCTGATCGGAAGGTTGGCAGTTCGAATCCCCACGACTGAGTGAGCTCCTGTTGCTGTGTCCCAGCTCCTGCCAACCTAGTTCAAAAGCACGCCAGTGCAAGTAGATAAATAGGTGTTTCTGTGTGTGTGGTGTTTCTGTGCGCTCTGGCTTCCATCACGGTGTTCTGTTGCGCCATAAACAGTTTAGTCATGCGGGCCACATGACCTGGAAATCTGCCTTTGCACAAACACCAGCTCCCTTAGCCTGAATGTGAGATGAGCGCTGCAACCCCATGGTCTCCTTTGACTGGACTTAACTGTCCAGGGGTCCTTTACGTTTACCTAGCAGGCATGTTTTGGGGGCACAATGCGTTGTCTACTTTACCAGACTGAAAGTGTGCCCCTTCTAGCTATGTATTGTTGGTTCTTACTGATGATAATATCTTAAGTTCAAGCTTGGCTCTACTACCTGGTTTTCCCTGGTGGAAATCATAGCTAGAGCTTGTTTCAAACAAAAGCATGCAACTCTTGTAGATGACCAGCTTTGTTCTGAAACTTCACGCAGGTAAATGGAGTGTTGTGGAAGAGATGTTTCTTGCTAAAGGACAGAGGGACTGGTTTATAAAAGAAAAAAGAGCCGCACTGCCTTCTGGAGTGTCTCTAAATTTTATTAGAATAGATTGAGCATAGGCATAAAATGGACTGCTTCTTGGCTGTACCAATTCTACTTCAGAATAAGAAATCCTATAGGAGAAATGCAAGACCTAGAAATTTGAGGAAGATGCTAGACTTCTGGAAGCCAGGGTAAAGCTGACTCTTTGGCCTGTCTTTTGCTCCTTTAGTGAACTCTTCAGCAATAGAGAGCCAGGGTGTTTCTATCATGTGAGAGCAGATGGACTAAATGTCCTTTAGATACATCATGTGTATATGATTCTCCCTGTCTTAAACAGTGAATATTTGTTAAAAACATAACTGGAAATTACCCAAAGGTCATCCAGCTCACCTGCTGCATGACCAAGTCAAGTAAACTCATGCATCTCAGTTTCACCATTTAATACATGCTCCTAGCATCTGTCCATTTCTCCCTTCAAAAGCTTCCAGAATAATTAGAGGGTTGGATAGTTTAAGAGGGAAAGCATTCTTTACCACTACAGGGTACTTTTGATAAGTACTTCCAATTTGTACAGACCACAAGCACTGCAATCTATACAAATTCCAAACATGCGGCCATTAACTAAAGGAAAACACATTTTATCATGCTTCGCAAGATGAGTGGCTCAAAAGGCTGAGCTCTGTGAAAGAATGCCTACTTTGCATGCATTTGATCCCTGGGATCACCAGGTAGTGCTGGAAAAGATTTCTGACTGAAACCCTAGAGAACTAAGGACAGCCAGTGTGGACAGCATTGAGCTAGGTGAACCAGTGATCTGATTTGGTACAAGGTAACTTCCTATGTAAGGGATGCGGGTGGCGCTGTGGGTTAAACCACAGAGCCTAGGACTTGCCAATCAGAAGGTCGGCGGTTCGAATCCCCGTTGCTTGGTCCCTGCTCCTGCCCACCTAGCAGTTCAAAAGCACTTCAAAGTGCAAGTAGATAAATAGGTACCGCTCTTGCGGGAAGGTAAACGGCGTTTCCATGCGCTGCTCTGGTTCGCCAGAAGCGGCTTAGTCATGCTGGCCACATGACCCGGAAGCTGTACGCCGGCTCCCTCAGCTAATAAAGTGAGATGAGTGCCGCAACCCCAGAGTCGGTCACGACTGGACCTAATGGTCAGGGGTCCCTTTACCTTTACTAACTTCCTATGTTCCTAGGCACTCTTTTCCCTTTAAATATGTGCTACAGTATTAGATCCTTATTTCTGTTTGGCTACATGTGGTAATAAGTGGCCTTGAATGGCTAGCACACTCAGCCAATGAGAGAATTTTGTTCCACTTCCTACACCTCTGGTGAACTGCTGCAAATTATCCCAGAAGTAGGTGTGTTGGACAGGGACAGATCTACCATAAAACTAATGAAGCTTAAACTTTGGGGCCCCTAATTCCAGAAGAGTCCCAGAAGTTACTTTAGTCCATGTTGCTTAAAATTTTTGGGTCTAGTAGACCTATTTTGAGTTCTACAAGTGGAAAACTATAAGGCATAGGAAAAAAATTGTTCACACCAGTGACTTTGATATGTGAGATAATCCAGTACAGTGGTACCTCGGGTTACAGATGCTTCAGGTTACAGACGCTTCAGGTTACAGACTCTGCTAACCCAGAAATAGTACCTCAGGTTAAGAACTTTGCTTCAGGATGAGAACAGAAATCGTGCTCCGGTGGCAGCGGGAGGGAGGCCCCATTAGCTAAAGTGGTACCTCAGGTTAAGAGCAGTTTCAGTTTAAGAACGGACCTCCAGAACGAATTACGTTCTTAACCCAAGGTACAGAAATTTTAACCAAAATCTGAGATGCAGTAGTTAATAAAATAAAAATAAAAATTGTGATCTGTAGTGGAACAACCCCATTGAAGAAGGTAACAGTAGTTACCCAGACCTCGTTGCTGTTTGCAATGGGCCCCCATAACAGTTCCAGCTTCAAGGACTCCCTAATGTAGGTCTGCCACTGGTGTTAGGTATTTTTACCCTAACGCAAAGTAAACATGGTAGATAGTGGGATGTAAGAGTACCATGTCTTCACCGCTCTTGCCTTTGGCTCAGCCCTCTAGTTCCCTTGCCCTGCTAATGACTTAGTCCATAACTAAGCCTATTCCTTCTTTATCTTACCCCTGATTCCACTTTACTCCATTCCTGTCCCCCCCCCCATGTTGAATGGTAGACTTCCCGGGGCTTCTTCCTAAACTCACGTTTTGCATGCATTCATGCTGCACAAATCAGTATGTGCGTGGAAGCCAAACAGAACAGCAGAATTGCAGTATGCATCAAAAGAATCACTTGCTCTCCCATGCCAAGTTTTCTTTCTCTTTTCTTCTTTAGCTGACATCATGTACTCTGGTACAATTGATTGCTGGAAGAAGATTGCCCGTGACGAAGGAGGCAAGGCTTTCTTCAAGGGTGCTTGGTCCAACGTCCTCAGAGGAATGGGTGGTGCTTTTGTCCTAGTCTTGTACGACGAAATCAAGAAATACACATAAGCTACTCCCCTCCCGGATGGCACTTACTATGTTATGTTCATGGACTGCGTCAAAACTATTTATCAGTTCCTACTGAAGTTTCTACTGGTTGGCAGAGGGCCACAGTTCTACTTGCCTGATCCATTTATCAAGTTGTTCCCCTGACAATGGGACTCAAACTTTATTTTTGTTCAGTCACTTCTGTTAAAATAAGTTTGAGATAAATAAAATTTAAATTTAAAAACAGAAACAAAGGTGTTTTGATTCTTTCATTAATAACTTGAATTATCCACTGCTATGAGTTGTACCGTTAAATCGATGAGCATTTTGCCAATGGTGCCAGTATTATGTGGATTGCATCTGGGAAGACTTAATAAGGGTGGTGGTTTTATTTTTGCAGTATATTTTGAAGCATGGAGCTTTAGTGCTTGCTATGGGGCTTTCTGGGGGGAGGGGCTTGAGTAAAATGACTTTGATTGGTTCTTCTCCTAGTGAACCCGCCTCCTTGCCCTGGCCACCTCCACCAATTTACATAGCTTTGTCCTCTGGGCCCCACTGGCATAATCACCCAGAGGGAGAGTGTGAGCCAAGTCTGCTCTCCAAGCACACAAGCAGTGACAGGAGCAAGCAGGAGGAGGCACTGATTGGCCACTTGGAAGCAGGTGGGCCTTAGCGAGGTATCCAACAATACTGATGCTGGCTTCAGCAAGCAGGGTAATGAGTGGTATTTTCTGAATGGCTAATTGTCCAGGAATCGATAATTTTACTTCTTAGTTCTGCAAAAACTAATATAAAACAATAGCCCAAGCAACTGTTTAGAATTACTCACGTACTGCATTGGGAAGTTAAGGTTATGATATCCAGGAGAAAATATAAAAGCCATCTTCATTCATCCCAAATCACCTTTCTGTTAATACCTGCGAGTCACAGGCTGGTTACAATTATGTTCACCTCTAGCAGCAATAGATGATGGAGCTACTCCAGGTGGCATGAAAATCATTCATAGATCTCTCCCCATGCACATTGAACTGATCTTTTTGTTTTTACTTCTCCACAAGTTTTATTCTCCATCCCTCTTGATACCATGATTCCAGCGTTTGGGGGACATAATTCTTTCCAGGCTAGCTGCAGTCAATAAGAATGCTACCTTTTCCCCTTTTTATGGTATGACTGATTTTAAATTAGGGAGTTACTTAACATTGTATAGGCTTGGCCAAGTGTGTCCTTGTATCCTGCTACCCTTCCCTTTCCCATCTTTTATGGCTCAATATAATATACAACATCTCAGATTTGGGGTGGTTTTGGGCCCTGTTGGACAAAATGTGCAATGACAACATTGCACTGACTTCTACACCAGATTATAGTGTCTACTCTGTTAAGAGCCCAGTTTATAAGCAAAGTAAATCCATTGACCTGTTAGGGTTTTTTTAAAAAAAACAAAAACAAAAATAAAGCTTTAAAATGTCAACAGAAGAAAATAAACATGGGGCTTTTATCTTTAAATTTCACAGGTAAGATTTAACTTTATGCCTAGTATGCAAACATAAAACATACTGGCAGGACTTAATTTCACTTACAGATTCTATTCTATACCAATAGATTAAATGCAGATGCTGGGAGGATTATTTTATAGCTAAAACAGGGCCACAGAGAAACAACAAGGAAGAATTGACAAGTTAGGGAAAACGCAAGGCTTGTAGAAGAATGAGTTGTTTTAATTCCCCACTAGGGGGGAAAAGATTGCAAATGTTCCATTGAGGACTGATCATACTGAGCGGATACAGAATGCTAAATCTCGGTTGCGGTGGCAGTGAGAAATCTGCTTGAGAGTCCTGGAAGAAGATGTGGCTATTTTACTGCTGAGCCCTATAAGTCTACCAAGAAACACACATGAATACGCTCAGTATACACTTTCCCAAAGTAACCGCTAGGACCAATTCTTGCAAATACATAATTGCAGCAAAACACATTTGATGTCTAAGGCTACCCCAAACTTCGCAGTTTGGGGGAATGGGAATGAAATACTTCTACCATGCTCTAGGGAAACCAGTTCCCATTTTCTTTCCTGCTTCACCAGTCTGAGTGACGGAAAGTTTCATTGTGTAGTACTTGGCTACACATGGAGACCATAATTGTTAAAAGGCATTAACTGGAACACAGAGTTCAGTTCCAAGGATCGGCTTGGCAAGTGCGCTGACCTGGAATCAACACCATAGCTATGGCTCCCTCACTGTACAGCCACCACCTCCTCTTCTGTGATATGAGTGATATGCAGCAGTTTCATCATGCTTACATGGCTGGCTGAAGTCCCCCGGTTGCCTGTTCCAAAAAGGCCCAGATTCCTTTGCCATGTGTTGCAGCTTGGATTGGAAAGAAGCCATTGGGATTGGGATTTCCAGTTCAGCAAGTTCACCACCTTCCTACTGGAGGTTGAAATTAATCCTTCATTTTAAATGTACAATAGGAAGTGCCTTTCTTCTTTTTTCAAAATAAAGTGAAGAAAGAAAAGGTGCATGGAAAAAAATAAAAAGGGCAATAAAGAGGGTATAATTATAGCACACTAAATGTAATCAGTTACAGATAGGTAGCCGTGTTGGTCTGCCATAGTCAAAATAAAAAAAATCCTTCCAGTAGCACCTTTAAGACCAACTAGTTAGTTCTGGTATGAGCTTGTGTAAGCACACTTCTTCAGATACCTGAAGAAGTATCTGAAGAAGTGTGCTTGCACACGAAAGCTCATACCAAGAACTAACTTAGTTGGTCTTAAAGGTGCTACTAAATGTAATCAATTTCACTTCCACACATTATTATATATGCTAATGCATAGAGAACTATTACTAACATAATATATTCCTTACTTTTTTCTTTCAAGGGGAAAACCCAGTAAGGTCCCTTGCAACGCTATTGTGGGATGCACTCCAGGTAACATTAAGCATCCAGCTGATGATGACTTAAAGGTGTGGTTGTACATAATTTTGTGCAAGTAGGCCTTGCAACAAACCTTGGAGGCGTGGAGCGTGTCTGTTCCAGTCAGTCAGCCAGGATCTCTTCAGTACTTCATTCTTTACCCCACCTGGTTTTCTTGCCTCTTCTTTTCTTCCCCTGATCAGCCAGCCAGCAGTGAACACATTCCATCCTCAACAGATTGTTGCTGAGTTTTCCCCTCCTTAGGGTTTCTCCCCGTAAATATATTTTGTACTTCTGCAAACTTCAGGTTTCCTACTAGCTGGTGCCACCCTTGGTGCCACTTGGGCTTACAGAAACAGCAACACTTATGCTCCAACATCAGAAGCAGAAAGAATAGTACTGTCTTCTTGTTGCTCAAATGCTTGGCTGAGCATGTGTTGTCTAGTAATTCTTACAACAGTCTGTATAACAGGCCACTTTTAGCGCTATATGGCTGATGTGGGAGGCTGGCAGAGAGTGGATAGTCCAAGGGTACTTAGTGCTATCACAGCAGAGGTGAAATTTTAACAAGGGATCTCATTGCATCTGCTCTTGGCAGCTATGTCACGTCACTTAATTGCAATATCGTGGAGAGCTGGGCCATGTGTTGGCTAGTGTCAGGGCTGCCTCAAGTCTCAGCTCACAAAAGACCAACGCCTATGTCTTCTTATATACAAAAGTGTTTATTGCAGTTCATTGTTTGCTTGACATCCTAGGTGCGCAGCCCTACGTCTGCTACGCTTAGACCGCTGAAGTCCCCTCTGAATCCGTCCCTCCCCTGCACCAGTTTAAGAGGCTTGCGCTGCTCCACCTCTTTCTCTCTTTCCTTTTCCGCAGGGTCCTTCTGCCCGCTGGGGTTTCGCCTCTCCTGGATTCCTCTGACGCGGAATCAGACTGCTCTTCCCCCCTCCTGCGGGCTTTGGGACCTGGCCCCTCCTCCGGGCTCCCTGTACTTCCGCGCGCCTCTACATTTGAACTTGGCACGCGCGCCCAACCTCTAACCTTCCTTTCAACAGCTACACTACTCCCTTCACTACTCCCCTCCCCTTCCGGGAGGATGGCTTGCTCCGACCTCCCTCCTTTCTCTGCTGCCTGAGCCGCTTCCCCTGACCCACGGAACCCTCCACCCCCGGCGCTGCCCCCTGGCGGGGAGGCGGGTCCTGACACCCAGCTGCCACTTTGGGAGCCCCCGCTGGCCCCCTGCTCCTGACACGTCCCCCTGGGGCTCCCTGGGCTTGACCACCGGCGCCCCTTCTGGGAATCCTCTGATTCGCTGGAAAGACTCATGGAATCTCTTGAGTCATTGTCATCCTCTTCCTCGCTGTCCTGGGATTCATCCCCATCGCTCTCCATCTCCTGCCTACCCTGTGCCTCTGTCCCTGAACCCCTGACAGCTAGTCATCAATAGAACTGCAAGATTTCATCAATAAACCAGTTAGATTATTTTTTAAAAACCCACAATGGCTAAGAAGGTACCTTGGTTAATCAAGCAGCATGTTTGTTTATATGTAATATTTTTATTATAAATACTTACAAAGCTGCAGATGGGAAGAACCATTTTAAGAGAGGTATGCCCTATTCCCTCACACTTGGTAAACAGTGCCTCTTCTAAGATTGCCTGCTATGGCCCAGCAGTTAGAATATAAGAAGCTGCTGGATCAGACCAAATACCCAGCTTGCTATTCTCACACTGGCACACAAGATGCCTCAATGGGAAGCCAAATGGCAGGACCTGAATCCTATAGCACTATCGCAGTTGGTGATTCCCAGCAATTGACATTCCTAAGCATATTGCCTCCCAACAGCATAGGTAGAGAAAAGCCATTGTGGCTAGTAACAGTTAATAGTATCATCCTCTGTGAAGTATAAATTGGGTAGCAACATTGGACTGCAAGAAGATCAAACCTCTCCATTCTTAAGGAAATCAGCCCTAAGTGCTCACTGGAAGGACAGATCGTGAAGCTGAGGCTCCAATACTTTGGCCACCTCATGAGAAGAGAAGACTCCCTGGAAAAGACCCTGATGTTGGGAAAGGTGGAGGGTGCAAGGAGAAGGGGACAACAGAGGACGAGATGGTTGGACAGTGTTCCCGAAGCTACCAGCATGAGTTTGACCAAACTGCGGGAGGCAGTGGAAGACAGGAGTGCCTGGCATGCTCTGGTCCATGGGGTCACGAAGAGTTGGGCACGACTAAACGACTAAACAACAACAGCAAAGCAACATTTTTAGGCCCAAGGGTTGCATTTTCTTCTAGGCAACCTGCCAGGAGTAGATATACCCAGGAGCAAAAATGAGTGGGTCAGTTAATTTTATCTTTGAACGGTAGGACAGGTGCATTCACACACTCAAGTATCTCTCCCGGGCAAGTAAAGAGAGTGATCATAGTTCAAAAACACATGCCAGTCACACTAAAACACTCAACAAAGCTGCAAAGGAAGAGATGGAGCAAAAATCTGATTCAGTTCGCATTTAAATGTGAACTTCTGGCCAAGATGGTGTCGAGAAAGGTTGTTATTGGCAGAGCTCTGCATTTAAAAGTGAACCTGCCCAATCTGCCGTTTCAGAAATACCGTATTTTTTGCTCTATAACACGCACCCAACCATAACACGCACGTAGTTTTTAGATGAGGAAAAGAAGAAAAAAAATATTCTAAATGAAACAGTGGATGTATGATTTTTGTGGTTCATGCTGTGGCCAAAGACATGTGATCTGACAGTGAGTTTGGAGTAGCCCAATGCAAAAATCCTGAGAATCCATGTGGATCCATGCTTTGTAACCACGTTTTTGCACCACTGCGGCCCCAGGCAAGTGGGTGCGTGATTTTTTTGGTGGCATGATTTTTTCCATGGCAAGATGTAGCCATGGAAATGCTATGTGATCTGATGGTGAATTTGGGGTGACCCAGTGCAAAAATCCTGAGGATCCATGTGGATCCGTGATTTGTAACCACGTTTTAAGTGGGGAGGGAAGGAAAAGCACTCAAGGGACAAGGAGCACGCATGGGGTGTGTGGAGAAGGATGCTGCTAATAATGCAGAAGAGGGGTTTAAGGGGAGAAGGAACATGCGTGGGGTGGGTGGAGAAGGATGCTGCTAATAATGCAGGCGAGGGGTTTAAGGGGAGAAGGAACACGCGTGGGGTGGGTGGAAGATGCTGCTAATAATGCAGGAGAGGGGTTTAAGGGGAGAAGGAACACGCCTGGGGTGGGTGGAGAAGGATGCTGCTAATAATGAAGAAGAGGGGTATAAGGGGAGAAGGAGCACGCGTGGGGTGTGTGGAGAAGGATGCTGCTAATAATGCAGGCGAGGGGTTTTGAGGGGAGAAGAAGCACGCGTGGAGTGGGTGGAGAAGGATGCTACTAATAATGAAGAAGATGGGTATAAGGGAAGAGGGCTCCTCTCCTCTCCCACTTTGCTCGTTTAAAGCAAGCAGGCTCTGCTTTTCTCCCTCCTCCCTGCTCATCCCCGGCTTAGCGAGCTGAAAAACTTTGCTGCTATGTAGCGAGCTGAGTGGGGAGGAGAGAGGACAGAGAGCCTGCTTGCTTTAAAGGAACCAACCGGACAGGAGCCGCTTACACTCGTGTAAGCGGCTCCTCTCCTCTCCAGCTTTGCTCCTTTAAAGAAGCAGGCTCTCTGTCCCTCTCTCCTCCCCACTCAGCGGCTCTTATCCCGCTTTGCTGTTTCAAAGCGAGCCACGGAGGAGGGAAGGAAGGGGAACCATGGATCCTCTGCTCACGACTGCAGCAGATCCCCCCCGCCACCCGTAGGCATTCCCTCCATAACACGCACAGACATTTCCCCTTACTTTCTAGGAGGAAAAAAGTGAGTGTTATGGTGCAAAAAATACGGTATTATGCAGACTGCAGAAATCTACAGAAATCCAGTTCTCCAGCTGATTAATGTGTACAAAAATGCATATGCTTGGCTAAAATGCATATATTAGTGAAAATAACAAAACTAAAATAATTACATTAGAGAAAATTGCTTCACAGAAATATGTATACTAGGAAAAATACCTAAATGTGTACATTGGGATAAATTTGCATTAAAATGCTTAATAATTTTCATGAGGACTTTAAAAAATAAATAAATCTCAAATTGATGTGGAAATGTGGAGCACTGAACTTAAGGTGGAAACAAATGAGAAGCTGTGGGAAACCAAAATTGGTAAATTCACTCATCCCTCTTAGCAATCAAGGTGTGTCCACTTAGTCTATGAATTGCTTAATAAATAGCACTAACATATCCCCTTATGAATCAGATATGTTGAAATCAGATGAGCAACACAGCAGCTTTCCCCTCTAGGCATCTGCTGCTTCTTCCCTTTCCCCCGGCCCAATTTATCTCTTGCCAGATTGGGTTAAATAACAGTTTCTTTTCCTGGAGAAACAGTGGTGTTGGGAAAAAGTGTGCTATTTTACACCTAACTTACTACCCCTAACAATTGAGGGAAATCAAACTAGTGAAAGTCATTTTGGTTTGCCCTCTTCTCGACACCCATCGCAGAGATTTCCTAGTGACTCCCTTACAGCTCAAAATTATCAATTTACAAAGAGCCTGTAAGCCAGTATTTGTTGAGGGATGATACCCCCAAAACTACCAAGACTGTTTCAGGGGTTGAGATCTTTAAAGCTAAATCTAAAATTGCCTGATTTATTCAGTGGTGGCTATCTAGTCTTTTATATATTGTATGTGTTTGGATTTTCAATGTATTTGGATGACTTTGTAAAAAGATAGTAGTAGTAGTACTAGTAGTAGTAGTAGGTCCCTGTGTGCATCAGTAGTAGTAGTGTGCTCACTTGCTCACTCTACTACTTCTGGTAGTGAAAACGTTCAAGTGAGTAATCTTTGACTTCCCCAGGATTACCTGGTGAGTAACAACCCTCCAGCAGAAGTACAGGGGCAACTCCCTCCCTGCCCCAATTCTCCCTTCCCACTTTCCTCAGGTGCTAACTAACTATTGTGCAATTATAGTTGGCAGTGGAAGTCCCCAAAGCGGGACAGTATGCTTGATCAGGCAACAGGAGCCTCCAGCCCTTCCGGCTGCCTCCTCTCATCAGGGCCTCATGACTCTTCCCAAACATGCCCCTCTGCAAGACCACACCTCCTCACCAGCGCTGATCCTTGTACTCCCCTGGTGCTTTTGTCTGCCTGCAATGTGTCCATGTGTCCTTGAGCTGTGGCAAGGTTTCTTGGTTGTCAGGAAAGAGATATGCATGGTGTGTGTGTTGTAGAAACCTTTGACTTCTGCATGGCTGCAGTGTAATAAACGGTGGTGCAAAGGTAAGAGCCACATCCATGTCCTTTTCCTCACTTTTGATGCTGGCACCAACCGCCCTTAGTATGAGGTCCCCAGAAGGTTGTCCAGGAAGGGATAGTATGTCATAGGAGCTTGGGAAGTTGTATATAGTCAATTTATGACCTAAAAGGGAGGTTCTTTCACATTCATTACTTGTTATTTACAGAGTGCTTTATTTGGGATAGTTACTTACAATCTTTCATTGACAAGAAGTTGTGTTAGATACTAGGTCATTTGTTGGGAAAGTCATCTGCACAAGCTCTGAAGGGAATGGAAACGGTGCCATTCATTTCGGCTGGGCTCGTACAGGAGGAGAAGGGATAGTTCAGCTGGTCAGAGCAGGAGACACTTAATCTCAGGGTTGTGGGTTTGAGCCCCACATTGGGTGAAAGATTCCTGTGTTTTACTAGTTGATCCTCGTGGTCCATTCCAACTCTTCAGTTCTGTAATAGACATTCATCTTGGAGCCCAAGAGCATTCACACAACTAATGTATTGCACAGTTTCCTTTTAGATAATAGCAAGTTAATTACCTGGCTTCCAGCTCTCATGTTAGCCATTTTAATAAGGAAAATAGTTTGTGGCTAAAGTTTGACCACTGCACTGCCACCAACAAGAGTCAACCATTGTATACTGTGTGGGAGTTTAAGTTGGCACAAACCTCATTGACAAATCAACGGGCTCCATGATACCAGCATTCCAGTGTTGGCACTGCCTTCCTATAGATTTATGGGTGCAAAGGGACCCATTGGGGGAATTTCCCCCAAAACAAACTCTAGGATCAAAGGAGGGATTTTCCTTGGGACTGCATTGGGAGAGGACAATATTAACCCCCCCTCCATGCCAGTTCTGATCCCTTAATTAGCAGTGATTTGCGTGTTAAATCGTCACAGTAATTTGGTCCTAATAGGATCTGAAAAATGTCCAGCATGCTGGTTTCTCTTGCTGCTTCGTGCTTGAGGCCTCCTGCTGACTGCTTTAGTGACTTTGTGTTTGTGCTGAGCAGGAATTTTACACAATGTGAAGAATGCATCTCTATGCTCTGTAGGGGAGGGCAAGCAGGCGGCTGAAAAGTTATTGCCAGAGAAGTACTTTGACCTTAAGAGCATGGCCCAGTAAAAAGACAGAGGGAGGGAGGAGCACATGGATAAATAATTGCCAGTTCGTGGCAAAAGCCAGCACTACTAGGAACTATATGTTGATCAAACAGTTGTCACCATGCCCTATCACAGACATAGATAGTCCAAGGAGCTTTTAAGCTGGATACATGTAAAAAAAAATCAGTAAATAATACCAGCGGGTACTGTGCACAAGATCCAGAAGACTAATGGTACAATCCTGTACCTCCATGAATTGGATTTCACTGTAAGAGTGAAAAAAGAAAAGTATGTTCAGAAATAGAATGTGGTACAGCTCTTTCTGGACTGTACCACCTCAGGCTATAGGCTGAGATATTTGTTTAATATGTTTACATGCCGTCTGTTCACTTCAAATAAAGCATCCAAGGCAGCAAACATATTTTTTCAAAGACCCTAAAAACAATTTAAAATACAGAATGGATGAAAGCCAACAATCTAGGAAATGCCTGGCAGAGTACATTTTTAGAATATGGTTAGGTCAAAATACCGCTGGAGCAAGAAGCTTTACAGCTGCATTGGAACATAAAGAAGCAAAAGGTGAAAGGAGCAGGGAGTTCCAGGGCTTGGGCGGCAGAGAACAGATGTTGTCCCATAGAATAAGAAGAAAGCACACCTTCCCATAGAGGTATATGAGAAAAATCTCCCTGACATAATAGCTTTCCGAAAATCCCACGTCAACGTGTGCAAAAGCAAACAAACGCTAAAGACAATCTGTTCCGATCTATGCTACAAAAAAATAAAATCTTGTTAAAACATGTGTTCATGTCAGCTGTGCAGTTTGGTTTAGGCCAAACCAAACCAGATGTAGAAACTTTCCTCTATCTCCAAAGCTGCTTACCTGTCAAACAAGTTGCTCAGCAGGTTCAGGCCAACCGTCAGGTATGCTGTTTCCTTCAGAAAGTGTGAGTCCTACCTACATTTTATTCATCCTCCTGCCTGCAAGCTTTTGTAGACAATATGATTTTCAGATATCTGGCAGTGCACAGAACCTTTCCTTATTTGAGAACAGTAAAGCGCTGCAGGTAACTTTTAGTTTAGAATTTTGGTGCTCTAAATTTTGATAAACCACAAAAATCATTTTAAAAAATAAAATGAAATAAATGTTCAGAATTTCAGCTTCCTCCAGCATTAGAAATCATTTCTGGTAGGGAAGGACCTGTCATTTTTTAAAACACACACACACACACACACACACACACACACACACAAAAGAACACATGGAGTTATGAAAGTGTCACTGCTTTATTAATGTTCTGCCTTTCTTCCACAATTCCAAAGACAAAAGAAGTTGCCTTTTGCTGAGGAAGACCACTGGTCCATCAAGCTCAGTCTTTGCTAACCTGGAACATTCCAGAAGTTTTGGACTATGAGCTGCAGTTCAAAACATGTGGAAGGAATCAGAGTAGAAAAGGTGGACTCACTCACTGGATCATCACCTTGTCGTGGTGAGTGGGCTTGCACGTTCCTATGACCCTTGTGAGCGAAGCCATTGGGAGTCTCATACTCCCAGCTGGGTCACCCAAGACGGTAAGATCAAAGGGGAGGAGCTAGACCAAGAATGATCCAAGAAGTCCTCAACGGCAGAACAGGCGGAAGATAAGAAGCGGTATGTTACAACGGCTGTGAAGGCGGATGAAGGCTGCAGCAGATAAGAATCTACTGGTCGTCGTGATATTCATGCCATCGGAATAGAGCCTTGCTGCTGAGCACTGCAGCATGCACAGATCTACACACATAAAACAAATTCACGCACAATGTCCCCTAACCCCCACCAATTGTAAAGAATTCAGCCCACACTTGATCAAAAGCCACCTCAACTCATATGAGCAAATAAAAGGCAATTCTAGAGGGAATTTCCCAGGGAGGACAGCAAAACCTTCATATGTCGTATTGGAGCTACACCCGGCCATGAGTGGTGTAAAAATCAACATCAATCAATTGTCTGTTTGTGTTCTACCACTGAACTACTGCCCTCGGTACATGACAGTTCTATATTAAAAACAGAGTGTAGTAATACTGAATAACCGTTATTTCAAATAAAACTATTCCTGGAGTGCCCCTTGCCTTGTTTTTATTTTCTACCTCGCCTATGTTTTTAGACCACAGGATTGGCAGCAAATGAATGTACAGTATGTATGTAAAAATTTAAAAAGGCTGTTTTCTTTTTTGATTGCCCCTTGGCTTGGTCTCACGAGAGTTATATTCCAAATCATCTGGAAGGCACCAGGTTGGCAAAGGCTGCCCTCATGTACGGTTTTTGTTCACGCATGGAGTTGGGTTGTTGTTGTTTGCATGAGGGGAGTATTCTAATATGTATCCCACCTCATCCCTACACTCCCAAAATGGTACAAATTTTGCTGAGCACACCTGAGTCTCTGAGCGCTAAGAGATCTCAGGAGTATATTGGGTTTCGTATCCTAGGAGTGAAGGTCACTGGAAGCCTGCCAGTATTGTTTTTTCTGTGATGTAAGGCTTAAGGCTTAAGGCGGGTGGCGCTGTGGGTAAAACCTCAGTGCCTAGGACTTGCCGATCGTATGGTTGGCGGTTCGAATCCCCGCAGCGGGGTGAGCTCCCGTTGTTCGGTCCCAGCTCCTGCCCACCTAGCAGTTCGAAAGCACCCCTAAGTGCAAGTAGATAAATAGGGACCGCTTTCTAGCGGGAAGGTAAACGGCGTTTCTGTGTGCTGCGCTGGTGCTGGCTCGCCAGCTGCAGCTTCGTCACGCTGGCCACGTGACCCGGAAGTGTCTTCGGACGGCGCCGGCTCACGGCCTCTAGAGCAAGATGAGCACGCAACCCTAGAGTCGGACACGACTGGCCCGTACAGGCAGGGGTACCTTTACCTTTACCTTAAGGCTTAATTAGTAATATATATGGGCTGAGTGCAGCATGGGAGGCTCACAATATTAACACTGCTGTATTTGACTAACTTCGGCTTAGACTAGGCCCTTTGAAGTTAATGGACCTCAGTTGGTCATGGCCATTGACTTCAATTTACTACTCTGAGCAAAGGTGAGTTGAATGCAACCCCAGGTTTCTAGGAGCACCTGGGCCAGACTTCAGGGGGCTTCCAGCATGGTGCCTCTGTGTGTGTGTGTGTGTGTGAGAGAGAGAGAGAGAGAGAGAGCGCGTTTATATTCCTTACTGAAAAATAAAAAAGTCCAAAATTACAAGTGTGCAGAGTAAGATAAGACACAAAAAAGAAGAATCAAGAAATAGTACCCACATAGAAAACAAAACAGAACAACAACAAGAAGAAGATATTGCTTACATTACCCCCCCCCCAAAAAAAGGGTGGGACTTGTTATTGTAGTCAACCAGACTTTAATCTAGTATGGTGTTTATAAAAATGAATCCCAAATATCATTAAATTTGTCCACGGCAAGTCTACATTTGTACACAACTTGTTCATGTGTAGCAAGTTTGGTGCCTGTGATGAAATCTCACATGCTGAACACCTTGCCACTCACCATGCAGCCACTTAGCCTTGGGCAGCAACCATAACCAACGTGGCTCCTGACTGTGGGGGCTGGCGGCCATCATAATTCCTCCAAAATGTAATGCCCTCGTCTATTCAAGGTTGGGCTCCCATTCCAAAGTAGTACTACTGTCCATCCAGTTCACCACTACAACAACCATCTGGGAGCCTGGCAGGGAGGGCAGGGAGCGGCGACACAGCCAGGTTGGACCAGTGAGGGAACTTTCTGAGCCCCACAGAGACACTTGGCCAATGCCCAGGCTGACCAGCTGCTACCTCACCTGGCCCTTGTAAGGACATAGCACTCAATCTAGTAGACAGTGAGTTGGGCCTCTGTGTCTCTTTTCAGCCCCAGTCCCAAGCCTGACTGCCCTCTTTCAGGCGGACACACCTTTCTGGCATTTCATCCAGCCAGATGTGGCAGAGAGGCGAGGGGAGGTCTTTCCCCTTCTGCTCATCTTCCATTAGAGTCTCCAGCTATTTCTTCCCATGACCACTCATTGTCCAGAGCTTACATTACAAAGCATATACCGGTACTTAATAGACAAGGAACTGTCCCCACTCCTTCCTGCACAGAAACCAATCTTGCAGGTATAAAACACGGGACTAGAGAGGACTCAAAAAAACATCCCATTCATTGCAGCGTAATTGGTCAGAGATTCAGGCAAAGAGTGACACCTCCCTGCTACCAGTGTGTGTGTGTGGAAAAAATAGCTGAGCCTGTCAGAGACTGCAGATCAAGCATTCTGCAGCAACTGAATGAAGACTTTTGACTTCCACGGTTGTGAGAATGACCTTCAGCAACAGAAAAGTGCTTACTTCCCCCTCCCCTTTCTCTTTTGCCCTTTAATTGTCACCTGACTGAAGGTCACCCATGGGCCATGACAGTGTCCCCTCCCTCCCTGCTGCTGTGTTTCCTTTTAAGGATATTCAAGATGCCAGGAAGTGTTTTTTACTTGATTAACTAAAGCTCCACCTTTGCTTATGTCATCATCAGAACGCCTGTCTGGGAAACTCTCTCTGAGTAGGCCTGCTGGGGCTTTTGCCAAGCGAAGGAGCTGGGAACCGCTCTGTGGCCACACTCTTAAGATTAACATCCAAACCATTTTCAAAAGCAGAGTTGCCTTGCCTTGCATCCTAAACTTGCTAACGATTCCTAAAGCAGGCAACACAGCGCTACATCAGTTTGCATACCAGCTAGCCACGTGTTGCTGGACTACAGTTCCCATAATCTCTGACCGTTGGGTACGGGGGAAGGGGCTGATGGGAGCTGAAGTCCAGCAATCTCTGAATGATCGCAATTGGCCCAGCCTGAAATAAATATTCAACCCAGTCTTTTGTTAAATGCCTGCAGTGACCTGGTTCCCTGGATTCAATGCTGTTTCTTTTCACCCAGAAGGCAGAGACCTGTTCTGACTCTAAACTACTGCCATTTGTTATGAATCCTCTGTAGCCCGCTAAAAGATAACCTATCTGCCGAAGCGTGTGTTAGAGAAGCTACTACAAATATTTTGCATTTAATTTCCTCTGCTGCGGTCTAATTTTCTTTGGTGTTTTGCTAGCAAGCCTTCTGTTTTGGTTAAACAAGGTGATATGTTCTAATTTGGAAGGCTCCTGACCGCTAGTATCTCCACACTGTTTTAACAACTCCCTTTGGCTTTGCTGCCGCAACAGCATAACAGTAGCGGAGCTGGATAGTTAAAGGATGGAAGGAGGCAGAATTGTAACAGGAGACCTGTTGGATCACTTCCCACTTCATAAGTGGGAGTCCTGCCCTTTTATCTCAGTAGGTGCGAGGCAGCAATGGATTATTTAGATATAATTAGGTTGAATCTTGTTCCAGTGATAAAGCTGGAGCAATTAGATGACCACTAAATTTGTCTTATCGGGAGGGGGGGTAAGAATTTTACAAAAGAGTTTGGAACTAGAGGCTGGTCCACAAGAACAAATGGAGCACTCTCCCAACAGAAGTCCCTACCTGCCTATTCTCTTAGAATCGTAGAGTTGGAAAGGGCATGAGGGTCATCTAGTCCAACCCCCTGCAATGCAGGAGTCTTTTGCCCAATGTGAGGCTCGAACCCATGACCCTAAGATGAAGAGTCTCATGCTCTATCAACTGAGCCATCCCAGCTGGGAATTTATATCCAGTCCAGGTCTAGCAAGGGCTATTTTTCCTCTCTTCCTTAGTCTCAGTGTTGTCCCTTGCACAGCTCTGCGCAGAAGTAGTTGGAGACAAAACCATTGGCTCTGGTTTCACCTTCTGTTGGGCTCTCAGCCCCATCGGTCGCATTGCGTACCTGCCACCACTGCAGCTCAGAGACATCGGCCCAGTCTGCTTCTCATCCTAAGCTTCCTTATAGATCATTGCGAAGATAAAGGGGTGGAGGAAAACAACACACATCAACACCACAAACCCCCTGGAGGAACAGGTAGGTAGCCGTGTTGGTCTGCCATAATCAAAACAATATAAAAACATTCCTTCCAGTAGCACCTTAGAGACCAACTAAGTTTGTTATTAGTATGAGCTTTTGTGGGCTGAAGAAGTGTGCATGCACACGAAAGCTCATACCAATAACAAACTTAGTTGGTCTCTAAGGTGCTACTGGAAGGAATTTTTTTATTTTGTTTCCCCTGGAGGAAGGGTGGGATAAGACCACACTAGCCCTATTCTGGCATTGGAGTGTATGGGATGCTAGGGGAGGGATAGTACTTCCGGCGAGTGTCACATCATGCAACTTATTGGGGACTTTGTCCACCTTTGATCCCCACCCTGCACTCAGCTCTCAACTGTGGCTATCAGCATGCAACAGCAGCCACCACTCAGAAAACTGCTTCAATTGGCTGGCTAAATCCAGCGAGGGTAGCCAATGGGTCTCAAACCTTCAGTGAGTTAGGAGTTTCCCCTGCATATGAAGATGGGCTCCAGCGGATTGAGCGGATGAGACCAGTAGTGGGTCCAACAGTCAAGAGGGAAGCTTCTGCATGTGCTGTGGAGGGAGGTGAGGGGCAGGTGGGGCTTGTCAACCTGGGAAGATAGCCCATCTAGAAGGAAAACTCTGATCCTAAACCTCTGCTGCCTTGCAGCCAGACAGTGGTACCTCTGGTTGTGAACGGGACCCATTCCGGAGCCCTGTTCGCAATATGAGCAGAATGCAACCCACGTCTGCGGGTCACGATTCGCTGCCTCTGGGCATGCGCGTGACGTCATTTTGAGCAGCTGCGCATGCACGGTACTTCCGGGTCACCGCGGGACACAACCTGAAAAGACGTAACCTGAACCGAACGTAACAAGAGGTATGACAGTACTCATTTGTGAGAAAGGCTTCAGGAGTAAACCTCGAGGCAAAATCTGTACCCACTGCAATGCAAGACATCTTTAGGGAAAGAAAAGTGTAAGACGTAAACCCTACACAAATCCAGAGTGGAATCCCTAAACCGGTTGGGTGGCGCCTTGTACTCCTCCTTCCGGCAACTCCTGCAGCCGAATTGGTGCCAAATGTATTGATCTGCTTTCCTTTGGATCACAACAGCGATGCCGAAAGGGGAGTCTTTGTCATCTAAGCAGCCCAGGACCTCTATACACACTGCCCATGCTTGTGCCTCAAAGAGGCAGACAGATGCCAACAACAATTCTGGCACTGTATTCATAAACATGCAGAACACACAAGTGGGGACAAGAACACGTGTCCCATCAGCAGCCCAATGCCCTCCCTGAGTTGCGATGTCCTCACGCTTCCCACACCGTGTAGAACCAGTGTAAAAAACTGAGGCCCAGACTCACCCAGCCTACTGAAGAGGCTCCTCATGAGGCTGGAGGAACATCACCCAGCTATTTTTTATTGATGATTTAATATGCTGTAAACTGCTTTGATATTTTTATTAAAAATATAAAGCAATGAATGAATGAATGAATGAAGGCACCTTAAACCTAGGTTATGGGCGCTGCAACAGAATGTCTAGGCACACTTTTTTAATAACAAAAATACAAAGCTGAAAATAAATGAACTGCAGCTGAAATATTATGTTCATTTTTCACATGGTCTAGTCCTTCCCCCCTAATATACTTAAGAGGGTCTCTTCTCTAGTCTTCAGAGAGTAGCTGGAGGTGGGGAGGCAGAAAAAGCTCCTTCTTTCCTTCCACACTGCAATTTTAATCTGAAATCTTAGGCGCAGTACTGCGCCAAGAGCTCAGAAACTGCTTGCGCTAACGAAATTCCCTGTCGCAAAATGCCCCTAGAACAATGGAGTTCCAAACACTTTGTAGAACCCCAATTTCTAATCAACTTGGAATCCTAACAGGAGCAGAGCAGGCTCCCAGCCACAGATGGTTACTTTCCAGGAGTCTTGGAGGGGGCAAAGTTTTCATGTTTGTTCCCATTCTCCCTGATCATATGATGGTCTCATGATAACAAAATTATTACTATTAATAACAATAAAAAACGTAAAGGACCCCTGACAGTTAAGTCCAGTCGCAAACAACTCTGGGGTTGCGGCACTCATCTCGCTTTACTGGCCGAGGGCACTGACATTTGTCCACAGACAGCTCTTCCATGTCATGTGGCCAGCATGACTAAGCCGCTTCTGGCGAAACCAGAGCAACGCACAGAAACGCCGTTTACCTTCCCGCCAGAGCGGTACCTATTTATCTACTTGCACTTTTCGGGGGGCTTTCGAACTGCTAGTTGAGCAGGAGCTGGGACTGAGCAACGGGAGCTCACCCCGTCGCGGGGATTTGAACTGCTGACCTTCCGATCGGCAAGCCCTAGGCTCAGTGGTTTAGACCACAGCGCCACCCATGTCCTTTGCAAGAAACTTACGCAGGGCTTTAAAAAAAACAACCCTAGAGTCTATTGAGCAATCACTCTGATTTGTTTGCCCATTCACAGGAGCCCTCCCATGAGTGGGACTCTCCTTCCATTCATGGAACACACACTTTTGATTGGTCCCTAGTTAACAACCTAGGTGAACCCAATCACTTCCTGCTTGGCTTGGCTATTCGGTTTGAATTTTGCCAGCACTGTGCTATAATTTGAGGCCCCCAGCAGGCCAAGCATTGTTACTACAACAAAATCACTCTCTTGCTTAATGAAAACTTGGATTTTCTACAAAAGCTCCAGAGAAACACTGCATCTCCACCTCTATTACACCAGGGTGCCGTTCCTAGACTACAACTCCCATCTTCCTTGACCACTAGCCATGCTGGTTGGGGCTGATGGAAATTGAGCTCCCAAAATCCGGAGGGCATCAGACCTGCCCGGTTTCTCTTTTTCCCTCCCCTACAAAGGTAGATTGAATCAGCTATAGAGGGGAGGATCAAAGGAGGTACAGAGAAGGGCTTTTATGCTTTTCTTCCACTATTGCAGCATTGCACTGTTATTTGCTTTGGGGTGAAAGGGGAATTCCCCATTTGCATGACAGGGAGATTTCCCCCAAAGCAAATATTGTGGTAACGGAGGGGAAATGGTTAAATTGCCTCCCCGTGCATTTTTAAAAACTGCATGATAAATGTTGAGTCACATTTGATGCCACCTTTAGTATGGCTTTTAGTGTGATCAATATCTGGGTGGAAGACTACCTGAGAGCTCCAGATTACCCCCTCTGAGCTCTCCAGGAACGATGGAATACACGTGTAAAAAAGAAATTTAACTTTATGTCAAGAGACATGGGTGGGTGGGAAATGATAAGCCACATAAAAACAACTTGTTAGGGGTTTATTTCTCTGTACACATTGTTTCTGCCTCGGCAACACAATGCTTACAATATGTAAAATTTCTACGTACATATGAAGATTATAAAAATTTAAAAACACTGCACAACAGAGGCAAACTAATACCTCTCAGCTCTGCAGTGGAAGAAGTAAAATTCAATGGAAGTAAAATTCAATGGAAGTATAACTCAAAAAGTTTCCGAATACATTAAAAACATGGTGTGCAGTGCGGAATAAAATGCAAAATCCATAAAAACAATGGAGCAGTTCCATCTTCCATGGTAGAATCAACGAAGCAAATTAGTGATTTCATAGGGCAGATTAAAAAAGGACGAAGGGGTATTGTGTTTTCCCCTGTCCCTGCTTCCTAAATGACATTTCTTGGCTAGTCCTCTATATCGATGCTCCTTATTTGAACTGGTTATCAATAAGAGTCCCTTTCATTTTGGCCTTCTTTGCTTCCAGCTCAGCCTGATTAAAACAAAATTTTAAAAAAATTAAAGGGTAAAATTTTATTAAATATTCTTGGAATATCCCTAAATCCAGTGTTAATTACTATGTTGGTGCTTCAGAAACACAGACAAAAGACTAGAGGAATGTTACCTCCCAGTGTGCTAGTTTTCAAATTGTATTCCAGGGAATAGCAAGTTCCTCAGCAGCTTAACCAAGTATCCTTAGATCAATAATATATTGAGCTCCTGAATATTCACTTCACTGGCCACTAATCACATTTCTTCATGATCTGACATACCACCATGGCTGGATATACCACGAGCAATTCCAGATATTTCATGCCTCTCTATCTAGGTCTCAGAGCTCCCTCCAGACACACCGACCCCTCTCACTCGCCCTTGAGATGAAACATGTTTCCCTAAACCTGCTGTAATGGTCTGAATATTACCCAGCCCAGACAGCTAGCTCCAGGAAGACACTATTCCATTCCTTTCTTGATAAAACAGTTCAGTGCTTTTCTAGAACAAATGCTTCGCAATATACTGGTGGCACAAAAATATCTGTAGAGTTTATCATGCCTGTCTGCACTTGTAAGATGTGCTGTTAAAAGAGGGAAAATGTGTTTCTTTGGATGACCATATCTCAGCTTAATAAGCTTTGTGGGAGCACACACAGCCCCACCACTCCTCCTTGTGCAGAAGGAGAGAATATACCAGGAAATATTCAATTAACTGTAGTTTCCCTTTTTTTCTGCCTAGAGTAGGAAAATGTCTTTAACAGCACTGGAACAGGACAACTTGCTAATGTGGAATTCTGTGCTGCAGCTGACCCCTGCTGGAAGCCAGTACCTATTAGCTGATTAGCGATGATTTCAAGCCCCGCTTAGATCAACAGGGAACTTCCTTTGTAGGAAGTGACTTCAACTCAAGCTACACTACAAAAGAACACTGGGTCACCTGATGCCATTGTGACATGGAGGTGGTTACCCCAGGATCCAGTCTGCTGGTTGGAAATGTTTCCCCACCCCTGAGTCTGGACTGGGAGGGATTCTAACAGTTTTCTCACTTGTGCAGTCAGAAGGCTTGTTCCTGTCTTAGCTAACTAAGGGATTATCCCCTCTTACCTTTTGCCCTGCGCTTTCCAGGCACATGTCCACGCTTTAACGCTCCGTGTCTGAGCATCTTATTTTTCCTTTTGCCCCAAGTTTCCCCCAGAAAAACCTGCTCTTTAAAGCTGAATCGGAGCAAATGTCAATTTGGGTTTTCCACCGATTGACGTTTGCTCCAATGGAGCTTTAAAGAGAAGTTTTTCACATGGAAAGTTCTGGAGCAAAAAAAACTCCCAAAGCAGGGTGTGTGTTTGCTTGCATGTGGAGCTTTAAATTGTGGGTCGTTACTGAGAAAAGCAGAGAAAGGTAAGTGTGGATAAGCCCTAAGCTAAAATGTGATTGTCTGAAAGTAGCCAGTGAGCTGAATCTTACTAGCATATAAAGAAAATGATTGCATCTAGCCCATTCATTAATTGGGAAGGAAGGAGAGAGAGAGAGAGAGAGAGAGAGAGAGAGAGAGAGAGAGAGGACAACAACTCACCAGCTCCTGCAGCCTTCTCTTGCTCATGCCCTTCCGCTCCAGCTGCTTCTCAATCACTTTGGCGTTCTGTGCATACGAATCAGCAATTTCTCGCTGGAAAAACACATGAGAGTTAGGGAAGTTAACACAAAGTCCAACTCTTAGTAGTACTCTGCACCAGAAAAAGTTATTAAAAAGACATTGCAGGTTAAGGAAGTGGCATTACACTTTTCTCCCTACCCCACCATCTATTTTGGGAAGGTATTTAAACTCCTCAACTGCTAACTTAACAATCCCTTTCTGGTGCCTTGATTTCCATTGGAAGCCGATACATATACCCTCATATACATATACTTTTGTTTGGCTGTACCATTTGAGGCTACAGAGGATGAGACTTGAATGCTCAGCCTATGAGAAACCACCCTCTGCAGAGAGCAGCCTAAGATAGTGGAACAGTCTCCCTTGGGAGGTTGTGGACTCTCCTTCCTTGGAGGTTTTTAAGCAGAGGTTGGATGACCATCTGTTGTGGATGCTTTACCTGAGATTCCTGCACTGCAGGGGTTGGACTGGATGACCCCTGGGTCCCTTCCAACTCTATGATTCAGTGATATCTATTTCTGTTTTAGATATGCTAAGAATAGTTCCATGGGCTTGTGGCTCTTCAAGAGATGCTTCCTTACCCTTCCTCACCAGCTGCAAAGTGGCTTTCATGTGTATATAGTATGACACCAGCCTTATATTAAACAGCTCGCCTCCTTGCCATAGGTGACCAAGAATTCTATGCATGAGAATGAGTGGGCTTCATGGTGGAGGGATTGTTCGCCTTGTTACTCTTCTGGCAGCCCACTCAGTAGAAGGCAGTTTCTTTCGCAAGAGATTAGCATTAATTTATAGTGCTTATGTCGCCCTTTCTATCTAAGAGGCTCTCGGGGCAGCTTGCATACAGTTATCACAGCAAAAAGCTCAGGGGCATCAGGAAGAGAAATATCATGATGCACTTGGTATTGCCGGACCTCATCCTTGGCCTTCCCCTGGTGTTTCCTTTTGGTCTCCGCCTACTAGGTGTTGGAAGCGCAAAGCAGGGTTCATTCAGTTTGCGACAAGGGTTAATTCTGTTATTGTTAAAGTCAACCAACCAAGGGGAGGATGGGTAAGCCACTGCTTAGCAACCAGACAGAGTGGCATGATCTTCACAGAGGTAGAAAGGAGCCTGATTGGCTGTGTAGTTCTGAGGGCGCTTTTCCTCTGCATGTTTAGTTGAATGTCTCCCAGCTATATACAAGGCGTCAGCGAAGGAAAGACAAAACCTCCCTATTCCTTTCTCCTTGGAGTATGCACTGTTTTTGCTCAGTTTCCTCAGTAACGTGTTTATCAAGACTTTTTTCTCTGGAGGCCATCTGGGTTATTTAAGTCACTTTGCTAATGCCAGGCAACAGCTCCCACTGCTGTCCTCTGAGGCAAAGGAGTGGGGCTAGTACCTGGAATTCAGCCCACTTTGCTGGCAGTTGCACCTGCAACAGCTTCCCTTTCTCTGCAGCCGGCATGGAAACATAGGCTAGTAGTCTTTCAGGAGGCTAGTTACTGTTGCAGGCTTATTTGCAAGGGTGTATGACATGCACGGTATGTATTCATGGTGCCTCCTTTCTCTACCCCTCAGAGGCAGCTGAGACTGAGAAGCAGCATATCTTTGTGGCGGAGTGGGAGGTTTCAAATGCGGTTCTCCCTGACCAAAATCTTTGCAGAAGCGCTCCCTGTTGCTAGCTGCCAGTGCTGGTGGGCGTACCAGAGGCAGAAATGGCCAGTAAGTGGAGGCTGGCCTTGAATAAAGCCATCACCATGTGTGAGTGCACACCCAGGCCAGCTGGTGCACCAACCAATTGGTGTGAACTTCTGGGAGGTCGTCAGCAACGAGCACGGCACTGACCCCACAGACAGCTACCACAGAGAAAGAAACCTGCAGCTAGAGAGGATCAGTGAATACCACAGTGAGGGCCGCTGTGGTCTAAACCACTTGGGCTTGCCAATCAGAAGGTTGGCGGTTCAGTTCCCTACGACGGGGTGAGCTCCCGTTGCTCTGTCCCTGCTCCAGCCAACCTAGCAGTATGAAAGCACGCCAGTGCAAGTAGATAAATAGGTACTGCTGCGGTGGAAAGGTAAACGGTGTTTCCATGCGCTCTGGTTTCCCTCATGGTGTCCCATTGCACCAGAAGCGGTTTAGTCCTGCTGGCCACATGACCTGGAAAGCTGTCTGCGGACAAACGCCAGCTCCCTTGGCCTGAAAGCGAGATGAGCGCCACAACACCATAGTCACCTTCCGTCCAGGGGTCCTTTACCTTTTACCTTTACTACAATGAAGCATCTGGTAACAAGTACGTCTCCCATGCAATCCTTGTTGACTTGGAACCTGGCGCAACGGACTCAAGTCAGGTCTGGACCTTTTGGCCAGATCTTCAGACCTGACAGCTTTGTCTTTGGCCACAGTGGTGCTGTAAACAACTGTGCCGAGGGCCACTGCACAGATGGAGCCAAGCTAGTGCACTCTGTGTTTGATATGGTAAGGAAGGAGTCCGAAAGCTGTGACTGCCTGGGCGGTGGTACTGACTCTGGGAAGGGGATGAGCAACATCAGCAATATCAGTGTAGCCTGAGTGTAGTGTGAGTGTTTTGGGGCACAGCCTTTTCCACGCTAGTGATGCATGCATTTTCTGTTCTCCTTGGCTCTTTCCCTGTTGACTTTGCAACCAAATTTACTCACTGTGTCCTTGTAGTTACAAATGACATAGGAAGAAGTCCCTGTCTAAACTTCTGATTCAAGCGTAAAACACTTTTTTGTGCTTCACAAATAATAATAATCCTACATTCTAACCAGTTAACCATACTGGAGCTCTTCCCAAAAGGGAAAAAGTCAATTTACAGGGCCAGCAACTGCAGAGGCCAGCTCACACACCGATCTGAACTAGCTGGCCAAATAAGATGGCTACAGAAATGCAGCCTAGATTTCGCCTACTACCACAGGGAAGGAGAGAGAAAACTCACCGCTTCAATCTCCTCCTCCTCTTCATCAATGGTGGAGACTGTGACCGAACTGAATTTGCCCATGTCTTTCGTCCGTTTGGTCATCATCACCTTGAAAACAAAGGCATGTATATTTTTAATTAAGTGTGCATCAGCTTGGGGCTTAGAACAGTGGCAAGGAACCTGGAGCCTTCCCTAAATTGCTGGACTCCAAGCTCCTATCTGCCCTAGCCAGCATGACTAGCACTCGGGGATTATGGTATTTGAAGTCCAGCAGCATTTGAAGGGCCACATATTCCTCATCCTCATCCATTGCTTAGAATATGTAGAAGCAACTATCCTCTAATTAGAAGAGGCTGTTTTGGTGCTGTGAATTAGAGGCAGTAGCAGTAACAGGAAGAGAAATTAATTCCCTTTTGGTGGAACTCTAGAGAAGAACAAAGGGCCACCTAGCCCAGGCACGGGTCATCTCTGTGTTGGGATTTCAGCCCCCACCAGTTGCCACGCTGGCAGGAAACAGCAGGTGCTGCTTACATCATGTGAAGTCTCACAGCATGAGAACAGAAGCTGACTGTCCTCCAGGTGCTTCTGTCTGGACCTTGGAATTCTCCCCAGATTATACAGCCCTCACCAGCCCTCCTTGAGCATTTTTGCTTCGCTAGAAAGTATATTTGAACTCTGATCATACTTCTTGATTGCCTGGATAGAGAAAAGAGGGGGATTTGCAAGTGTGCATGAAATGAGCCTAGTGTTCACATTTGTTGCCTCTGGTCCTGCCCACCACTAGTATGCTGTCCCCAGAAGGTTGCCAAGAAGAAGAAGAAGAAGAAGAAGAAGAAGAAGAAGAAGAAGAAGAAGAAGAGGAGGAGGAGGAGTTTGGATTTGATATCCTGCCTTTCACTCCCCTTCAGGAGTCTCAAAGCGGCTAGCATTCTCCTTTCCCTTCCTCCCCCACAACAGACACTCTGTGAGGTGAGTGGGGCTGAAAGGTGACTGGCCCAAGGTCACCCAGCAGCTGCATGTGGAGGAGCGGAGACGCGAACCCGGTTCCCCAGATTACAAGACTACCGCTCTTAACCACTACACCACACTGGCTCTCAACCCTAAGCTTGAAGGCCACAGCCATCTCCTACTGTTCAAGCTGAGCAACAGCCAGGCACTCAGAACCACAGTCTCAGTTTTGAGCTCCCAGCATGGAAGCAGCCATGATTCTACAAAATCCACGTCCCTACCTTCTTGGGTGGCTCTTGCTTCTGGGTGTAGATGTTCGTTTTTCCAAAGCCCTGTCCAAATTTGACCACAGCACCATCAACAATGAATGTTACTGGGGCGTTCTTCTGCTGGTGCTGGTAGAAGAGAAGAAGTCCACACCTAACAAGTAGGGGGATGGGGAGAAAAAGAAAATAAAAAGTATGAATGATCTGCTAATTCATTGGACATAAAATAGAATCACATTGGCTGGTCAGGTATTGCTCCAGTTGTGACAAAGTTATAAAAGCTTGAATCTCTCTCTCCCTTTGTGTGTGTGTGAGAGTGTACCTGTATGTATGTGTGTGCAATTTAAATTTTAATTAATTATTTAGGAGTTTCATAAAATGCTTGATCAAAGAACTTTCCAAGCAGTTTACAAATAAAATTGTAAACAAGACACCGCTAAAATTCCCAAAATACCTACGTGTAACGTCATACTCACTTTCCACACTTCTTTCTGTACTGCCGTTCAATGCCCTCTGGCCTGGGGGAGGAAGAGAGATAGTGTTGACTGTATGAACAGAAGACCCTAACCACACATACTCTGCGCTGAAGAACTGAAGACAAAACCCTAACAACCGCAAGAAAGAAGATCACTGGCTTGGGGTGAAAAACATTCCTCCCTTCTGCTGTATATTAACAGTGAACTGATTCCTCCAGTGTCAATCTTTCTGTAATTAAAATGTCCCCATCTACACAAAGTATGGAGGTATCAGCAGCCAAGGGAGAACCCCAAGGTTTGTACAAGTAAGAAAACAAACCTTTAGCAAGGACACCCAACTTCTGAGTAAACCATTTTCAGTTCTGTTCTGCCCATATGCAGGCTAGTAGAATAAAAAAGGGCAGCCCAGGAACCACAAGGGTAATTAAGCATTATGCTTGCACAGCGACTTTGTGGAAGAGACTGGATTTTCCTACCTGCGGAGATAAACGTTTTCCTCCTCTTCAGTGTTGCAGAATTTGTGGGCGTGTTTGGCCGCATCAATCACCCGGGCCCTGTCTCGAGGTCTCATGGGCAGCTTCTCCAGCTGACAATCTGCAGAAACACAGAGACTAGGGGCAGTTTTTCACCACATAAGGACAAAATTCTGTCCTGCTAAAGGCCCTTGGGGTCATCTGTTTTTAGTAAGCTAACTGGGAAGAAAATACAAATTTCCATATATTTAAAATGTACTTTCACCCTCACAGCAACTTATAAAGTAGGTCTTTATTATTCCTTTCCCCGCAATTTTATTATTATTATTTTTAAAAACACGCAAATGTTTACCCAACAGTGAAAGCAGAACATTGTTGCAGATGCTGAAGGTTGTTAGAAGGCCCTCCCAGAGCTACAATTCCCAAGTTCCCTGGGAAGAGGGATTCATTATTAAACCATTCTGGGAACTGTAGTACTGTGAATAGGGGAACAGGTGTCTCCTAACAACTCAGTACCTTTGGGAAACTACAGTTTCCAGGATTCCTTGGGGAAATACGACTGTTTAAAATGGCACGATACTGCTTTAAATATACAGCTCCTAGGCGACCTAAGTCCCACTGAACTCAATGAACAATAAAAGAGAAGTGTATAAAATTGTTCATGGTGTAGAAAATACAGATAGAAAGGTTCCCCCCATAGAACAAATAGGCCTGTTCACACCGAATGTGTGCAATGTATCTCTGCAAATGTACAAGTGTACATGTTTTTATTAGTTCAGCTGCTGAACTTTACATGTGAATAACTATAAATAAACAGACTGACTATTTGTAAACACAGGGACAGAGATTGAACACACAGAACCGCTGAGTTGGAAGGGAGCCCATGGGTCATCTAGTCCAACCCTCTGCAATTAGGAAATCTCAACTAAAGCATCTATGACAGACAAGCACCCAACCTCTGGGACAGCTCAGTTGGTGGAGCATGAGACTCTTAACATCAGGGTTGTGGGTTCAAGCCCCATGTTGGGCGAAAGATTCCTGCATTGCAGGGGGTTGGACTAGATTACCCTCAGGGGTCCAAGACTCTACGATTTATTTGGGCACGAAAGTAGAAAATAGGGTCTGCCTCCTGGTGGGGGGCGGGGTATATTTACCAAACCATTCCTGGGTCCATATTTTGCATTTTTATGTCGTGAACCGCCCTGTGATCTTTGGATGAAGGGCGGTGTGTACGAGCTAAATAAATATATGATTATAGCACTAAGATGGGAACAGGCCTCGCCAGATGTCTCAGCAGCGCCCAAATAAATCCGATTATTGAGGTTCTTGCTCACCCCACACCCCCACCCGACGGCAGCGCCTTGAACAAACTGCAGATCCCGGAACCCCTTCGTGGGGGTGGAGAAGAAGGAAGTCCGCGGCCGTTGACACAGCAGCATCGCTGAAATTTAAGCCTGCCTGCCTTTGTCTAGCCTACCTCGCAGGGTCGTCGCGGGAAAGAACCGCGCCGGCTAAACCCAGAGCCCCGGATAGGTGGAAGGCGTGGGATTGAAATGGAGGAAGCGGAGAAGGGAAGCCCTGGCTGCGGGATCGGGGCCGCCCCTGCCCCGGCTCTCTATGCTCACCCAGGACCAGCACCATCTGCCCGCACAGGCAGTAATAGACGTGCAGGGGCTTCTCGCCGTCGTCGTACTCCTCCCGGTCGCGGGTGTCGGAGCAAACCACGGAGCGGGACACCACCTTGGGCATGGCAACGGAGGAGGAGGAGGAGGAGGAGAGGATCGGGCCCCTCCTAGCCTCCTATGCCAGCTGCGCTTGCTCGCGAGGAAGTGCGTTTAGGGTTTTAGGACTTTTCTACAAAGGCCCATAGGGCTACCTTAGCTCTGAACGAAACCTGCACCTACACTTCCGGTTCCCAATCGACAATACACGAGGGTGCCAGCTTGAATAAAATATATCGGGGGTGGGGGCGGGCTAAGTAGATAAGCCTCTCCCCACATGCTCGAACTCATTGCACACCATTTGAATAGCGAGGCCCATTAACTTGGGGTGGGGGTGGGGTGGCCCCTCAAATATGTTGGGGGCGGGGGGGAAATGAAGAGACCTCATCCCCTAGGAGCTGGCTCCTATACCGATGCAAAAGGCATGGGGGAGGAAACATTCTCTAGGAGAAGGGAGGCGCAGGGAACTCCCCACCCCTCTTCGTATTGTCTTTCTGCCCCGCATTCGTCGGGCTTCGCATATGAACCGGAAGCGAGGGTTTTGTGCAATGCTTATAGGGATTCCCCATCCCCCTTCTTTTCAACCTCTATAGCTTAGTGGCGTCACTGCGTTCTCTCTCCGCCAGGGGACTCTCCGCCTTCAAACCGATGTGAAGGTCCTCAAGCCAATCCCTCGTTCTGATTGGTTCTCCTCCCGGCCAATCCCGAAACGGCCCGAACGCCTTGTGCAGCTTTCGAGGGGTGCTCCTAAACCTTGAAACTTTTTCCTGCTAAGTCATATCGGATGCTGGATCTTCCCGCGACTTCGTTGCGAGCCATGGTTGAAGCAGCGTCCGCAGAGTGGTGAGTAGTCGGTATCTGTTTGTGAAACATTCTTCTGAGCATTTTCTTAAGTTGGTTATACACCATCTCCCTAAATTCTTTTATTATTCTACAAGACTACCATTAATGATAAAATGTGCCGGGTTTTTTCTTTGCACTTCCAGCATAGGTCATCTTTAGACCGGTCCTGGGTGATATATTGCCCAGGCACAGTTCTCTTTTAGCGCATAACTAGCAGTCAATTTTAAGTTTATTTTCCACAACTGTTCCCACAGGTTCAAATCAACATTATGACCCACATCTTGTGCCCATTTAATCATAGAAGATTTCACAAATTCTTCTTTCGTTTCCCAACTGAGTAATATTCTGTACATTTTAGATTAATTTTTAACTAGATCTTAATATTTCTTCTTTGAATTGTGATGGCTTTTATGCAAATCCCAATTTCTTGTCTACCTTAAATTTTGAATTGATTTGGTTATAATATAGCCAGTGCAACACATATTCTTTAATCCCTTCAATTTATTTCTTTTTTTTTTTTGTTCTTTTGAAAAGTCTAACAATTCATTATAGGCACCCAAATTATCCCTCATATTACTTTTTTTCCTTGTGTCAGCTTCTGTTGGGGATAACCATGTTGGTGTTTTGTTTTCTAATAAATTTTTGTATTTTTCCCATACCCTAATTAAGTTTTTTTATAATAATAATAATAAATTTTTATTTATATCCCGCCCTCCCCAGCCGAAGCCGGGCTCAGGGCGGCTAACAACAATCAAATAATCAAACAATCAAATAATCAAACATTCTAAAAACATTTCATTATAAAAATTAATTAAAATCAAATTGATGGCAACCGTTAAGCAAAATTCTGTGCAGGTTGCCAGAGGAGGGAGTCAGGCTGCGCCCTGACCAAAGGCCTGGTGGAACAACTCTGTCTTGCAGGCCCTGCGGAAAGATGTCAGGTCCTGCAGGGCCCTAGTCTCTTGTGACAGAGCGTTCCACCAGATTGGAGCCGCAGCCGAGAAAGCCCTGGCTCTAGTTGAGGCCAGCCTAACCTCTCTGTGGCCTGGGACCTTCAGGATGTTTTTATTTGCAGACCGTAGGTTCCTCTGTGGGGCATACCAGGAGAGGCAGTCCCGTAGGCACGAGGGTCCTAGGCCGTATAGGGCTTTAAAGATTAAAACCAGCACCTTAAACCTGATCCTGTACTCCATCGGGAGCCAGTGCAGTTGGTATAGTACCGGATGAATGTGATCTCGCAGCGAAGACCCCGTAAGGAGTATCGCCACGGCATTCTGCACCTGCTGGAGTTTCTGGGTCAGTATCAAGGGCAGCCCCACGTAGAGCGAGTTACATTAATCCAGTCTGGAGGTGACGGTCGCGTGGATCACAGCGGCTAGGTCAGGGCGAGAGAGATAAGGGGCCAACTGCTTAGCTTGGCGGAGATGAAAAAATGCCGCCTTTGTTATAGCTGTAATCTGCGCCTCCATAGAGAGGGAGGTATCGAAGATTACACCCAAACTCTTAACGGACGGTGCTGGCACCAATTGCACCCCCCGCAAGAGATGGGAGTTGCTCCCCCAATCCCATATCGTCCCGTCCCAGCCAGAGGACCTCTGTCTTCGAAGGATTTAACTTCAACCGGCTCCCACGTAACCATCCAGCCACAGCTTCCAAACATCTGGTCAGTGTGTCTGGGGCCGAGTCAGGATGGCCATCCATCAACAGATAGAGTTGGGTGTCATCGGCATACTGATGGCAACCCAGCCCAAAACTCTGGACAAGCTGGGCGAGGGGGCGCATAAAGATGTTAAAAAGCATCAGGGAGAGTATCGCACCCTGAGGCACTCCACACACCAAGGAGTGGCGCGATGACAACTCCCCCCCAAGCGCCACCCTCTGTCCCCGACCAGAGAGAAACGAGCGCAGCCATTGAAGGACTGTGCCCTGGATCCCCACGTCGGCAAGGCGGTGGTCCAGGAGTTCGTGATCGATCATGTCGAAGGCTGCTGACAGGTCTAGAAGAATCAGCAGCCCCGACCTGCCTCGATCCAGCTGCCTGCGGAGATCATCTGTTAGGGCAACCAAATAATAACATGGTTGGCAAAGCTTTTATGTATTCCAGCTTTTCCATACCAAATACAAATGTGCCAACAGTATTTGATGACATGGCCCTCCAAGTCTAGCAACTGTGTATTTTCTAGCAGCAGTACCCAATATTGTATCCAGCACAGGCAAGCAGTTTCAAAATACAATTCTAAGTCAGGGAGTGCGAAACCTCCTCTATCTTTTATGTCAATAAGAATCCTAGGCTTTATCCTAGGCTTCTTCCCCGCCAAATAAACTTAAGACAGATCTTTTCACCACTCTTTCAGACATTGTTTGGAAAAGAAATAGCATTTTTGGGAGAGTATTCATTTTTATTGCCAAGATTCTCCCCAATAATGATAATTGCATTTTGCCCAATATATCTAAATCTTTTTAAACTTCTTCCCAAGTCCTTGCATTGTATCTTTATAGATGTTATTTTTATTTATGTACTTAACTTTTTCTCTATCTTCCATCTGGTAATTTCCCCTGACTGGGTTGATTATCCATGTTCTTAACTAACATTTTGGTTTTATCTTTATTTATTTTGAAGCCCCCCAATTTTCCAAATTCGATTATCTCCTTTAACAGCTATAGTACACTTTCTAAGGGTTGTTCCAGAGTTAAGACAATATCATCCATGAAAGCTTTTATTTTGTAGTTTTGTTTGCCCACTCTTATTCCTCTAATTTTATCATTATTCCTTATATTTTGCAATAAAGCTTCTAGAGTGAGAATAATAGTGGAGAGAGTGGGCACCTTTGTCTTGTTCCTTTCATGATACTGCATTTTTCTGAGATGATGTTGTTTACTATAATATTTGCCCATTGTTCCTTATGTAAAGCGTTGATACCTCTTAAGAAGGCACCACCTGGTTCCATTTTTTCAAACACTTCTTTCATAAATAACCAAGAGATGTCATGTTTTTTCTGCACTGAGAAAAATCAAGGCAGCCGGTTTTTCACTGTGTACCTTCAGATATTCTATTATGTTGTTAACTTTCCTTACGTTATTTTTCAGTTGCCTATCGGGGAGAAATCCCACTTGATCCATATGGATCAACTCATTCACCACTTTTTAAAGCAATCGCACCCCGCAAATAGCTTTGGAGCCTTCTTGCCTCTAGCCTAGCCCTCATCCCTTTTCCTGTTCCCGCTGGAGTCTTCTTTTGCTTGCCACCCCTGCGGGCTCTCTTCCGGCCAACGCTGCCAATGACAGATCTTAAAAACTTGGTGTCGGTGAGATTCTGCAATCGCAGCACCTTGCGCCTGCTGGACCTCCTGAGCGGAGCGGGTTGTGTCTTGCTCCTCGTGAAGTAGGGTGAAATGTGAGGAGCGTTGCAAGCCGGTGCAGAGGCAGAAGGTCTGGCCGAGATGGTAGAGAACGGCTTCTCTGTCAGGGGCTTCTTCCTAACCCAGTGGAACACCAGTATCATACGCCTCTTAGATGGGTTGGACATGCTGAAGAAGGTGCTGGAGGCCCAAAGACCAGGGTGACTTCAAAGTGGAGGACGCAGCAGGCAGTTCCCTATCAATGGTGCCAAATCCAAGCAAATGTTAGCTCCAGTCCTGTTAAATCGATCCAGCAATTATGAACGTTTAATAAGGGATTAATTCCTCAGGCGGTATGAAAAGACTTTCTGTGGCTTTTTAATAGATGGGAGTTCCCAACTACTGCCACTGTTGACAGCCTGTTGCCCCTTCACTCTGCTTGAATGGGTTATGTCACAATGGTTCCTTCATCAGGTGTTTGTGAGCATGAAAATACTGTTGGGAGTTTCAGCAATGAAGGCTCAGGCATGACATATTGTTTGAAAGTCTGAACATTTCCTCTTTTTTTATTTAACAAAATTTATATACCACTTTTATAATTTACCATATTTTTCGCTCTATAGGATGCACTTTTCCCCCTCCAAAATTAAGGGGAAATGTGTGTGCATCCTATGGAGTGAATTCAGGCTCCTTGGCTTCAGCGATAGCAACGCGAAGCCTCCGAAGCGCAGAGGGAGCGCTCCCAGTCCCACCAGGAGATGCTGGGGACTGAACCTGATGCCTTCTGCATGCTAAGCAGTTGTTCTACCACTGAGCTATGGCCCTAGCTCACAATATTGCTGTCAGGATAAAATGGAGAAGGTAAATACGGTAACTGTACAGAATAGGCACCTGAATATAGAAGCAAATCCAAAGGGGTGCATGTGTGTGGAAATAGTAACTGGGATCTTTAAGTCTCTACCCGGAACTTCAGTCCTGCAGCAGGAATCCCTGAAGTTCTCTGCTCCAGTCCCTGGTTTCCATTTTCCAGCTTTCCACCAGCCTATTTCTCCTCCGCCTGTTCTTCCTGCAAACCACATCAGTTAACAAACATGGCTACATATGCTATAATGTTATTGTACTAGTTAAATACATTGTTTAAATTGTTATTAAGGAAATGATTATTTTTCTCCTTCCAATAAAGTACAGGAGAAAAGTGGTCCAAATATAAACAGTTAACTTATTAAACCTCACAATAATTTCATAATTATCTGTCTATGTATGTGCTTTGCTTTTATTTAGTTTATGGGAAATGTTACTGAATATTGCCATTGCATTTTTATTGTGCATTGTTCCATTATTATTTTTTATTGTTTATATTGTTAGGCAGTGGGTTTTATTTCAGTTGGGCGGGTGGGGCAGCCAACATGATACCCTGCAGATGATTGTTGGAATAAAGCTTCCATTAGCCCCAGCAGCATGACCAGTGGGCTTGCATGATGGGAGTTATAGTGGAACATCATCCAGAGGGCACGAGTGAGAACACAGAGTGAGTTGAACCATTGCAACACCTGTGTGTAGGAACCAGTGGCACGATGTTATCTCAGATAGCCTCTTGCCATTGTTATAGCTTCTCTCAATTCCGGAAGGAATATTGGAAGTCAGCCCATATAAACTGGGCAGAAAGCCTTACCACTGTTTTTTTCAGTGTTATGTACACCAGCATTCATCTCAGAGTGGTCTAAAGGCATGTGATGCTGCCACGTTGTTGTTGTTTTAATTGAACATTGTTAAAGCTACGGAAGGGTCAGACTCATCATCACTTCAATAGTAGATTGCCTGGGAATTGTCTATAAATGGTTGAGCTTCCTGAAGGAAGAGCGCAGAACACAGCATGTTAAATAAAAGAAGTCACAAGCAACAAACTCTTCTTCCCCCCCCCCCCGTGTTGTTGATTCCCCTCCCCCCCAAGTAAATCCCTTCTGGTTGGCATGACTGAATGCCACTGAATGGGAGCCGAGCAAGAGATAGAGTAGGGGCCAAATGACTAGTTAAACTGCTAATATTAGCCTTACTCTGTCATTTCAGCTGGGGCTTAAATGCACATGCAAGGAAGTGAGAGGATGCAAAGGTGTGCCAGGTCTGAGTCATACACACTGAGTCCCTGTCACTCTTAGTGTGTTCATCGCCTGCAGTGGGGATGTCAAATTCAGATTCATTAATTAAGCAACAAAATACAGGTCGCAGCCAAATATTATTCATAAGAATTATACAAAATAATAAAAATGAAATCTATGCAATAATAAAAAGTACCTAAAAACCAGAATTGACCTCCTTCGAGGTACGCGCCAAAGTTTCTCTCTGTCCCCACTACTGTTTGCAGTGTTTATAGAGGCACTTTCCTTAAAACTTTGTGGGAACACTTCAGTAAAAGAGGTTACGGTGAGAAGCGTAGAACACAACATGAAAATGTTTGTGGATGACACTCTCTTGATCCTCCAGAACCCCCAGGTGGCCTTCCCCTATATATTAGAGCAACTCAATAAATTCCACAAAGTGACATGTTTGCAAAGTAATTATAGTATTCAGAATCCACCATCCTTTTGGTCGACCTGAACACAGAGGATCACAATTGGCTTCTCTCTAACTCAGGGTTTCCCTAACTTGAGTCTTCAGCTGTTTTTTGGACTACAACTCCCATCATCCCTGACTTCTAGTCCGGCCACCCAGGGAGGATGGGAGTTGTAGTCCAAAAACAGCTGAAGACCCAAGTTAGGGAAACCCTGCTCTAAACCCCCTGCCATAGTCCTAAGGATAACTCACACCTGATGTTAAACAGTTCCCTGAAGGAACTACGGTACCATTTTGCACGTGGCCAAGGCATGATAATGTTGGTACTAAGCAAATTAGAGCCCAAGTGACAAATGGCAGCACTAAAGCTCCATTCTTTATTATGCACACCTATTTTACAGCGCGCGCCCCTTGATCACTTGTGCGGCTTACTTCCCAGCAGCACTGCACAGGATCAGGCCCTTAATGCTGTAATCTTAAACAAGGGCCCTGCCCAGAGGAGAAGCTCCCAGTACCTTGCACACCAATGAGAGGAAGCAAAGCATAGCATTAAAGCATAGCATAGCATTCAATCATATATCATTCTCTCATAACATTGGAAGTAATGGGCATGGTTAACTTAGGCCTGCGAGGTCTACCACACCCTGGGAACAGCTTCGACTGGCTGGCTAAACCAAGAGAGGTAGCCAATGGGTCTCAAACCTTTGGTGCGTTAGGGACTTCCCCTGCATGTTGAAAAGAACCAAAATGCTCACCAGCTGGTCTCCGGTCCTTTGGGGATTCCGTGAGCCCGCTAGGTGAAAGGATTCCCTGCGGTCGGAGGATTTCAAGAAAACAGGCAAGACCAAGGCAAAACTTAAAGCAAAGTGGCTAAGAAGCCTGACCTTTATTTGTAAGCAAAACTGCTATAGCAGGGTCAGCACTCCCCTTGCAAAGAGAAGAGTCAAACCCCTCCCAGAAGGTGCTCCCAACTTTTATTAGTTTCCCCATTTTCAGTTGTAACATCAATGCTCTAGGTGGCACTGTTTGATAACATTCAGTGACTGGAGCTCGACAAGTCATTAAATGCAGACAATTCTAAACACTCAATTCTTTCATTAGCTATATGTAATAGTGCTGTTCTCTAGTTCTTTTTTTAGCTGTCTTTATGTACAAGGACTGTCCACTTTATTTGGAGGCTTTAGGTAAGTACACACGATATAATCAAGAACAGAAAACTGTACTCCTTGTTTTTTCTGTTGTTCAGATCTGCCCCCAGCCATGGGGGTCTTCTGGAGTTTGGGCATATGCATAATTGCTGGCTAATCTGTCTGCTCTTTACCCCCAACAGGAACAGCTTTGCAAAAAGAATGTAACAGCTACTTGACTCAGGACATCTATGGATTTCCGCTGGAATGTTTGTGGCCCCTTGCAGTCTCATCTCCTGATGCACATTTCCTAGTAGTCTCAATGTCTGCATCTAATGAATAAACTGTGAATCTATTGTCAGTTACCCTGTCTGGTGTCATTTCTTTCACTGAATGTGTGAAGTATGTCAGTGTAGTGTATCAGAAGGCTTGTGGAGTCGCCTTTCTGCAATTGTGGTGTTTTCCCCCTCAGGAATAAAGTACAGTTTATGATGCACAGGATTCCTTCGTAGTAACATTTCATATAAACATACAATGTTGCCCCCCCCCCTCACTGCTTTTAGCGCAATGTGAAGCCAGGCTCCAGTAGTTTGCAAGGACAAGTCCAACAGTCTGGGTCCAGTGGTCAAGAAGGTGGTTTCTGCACATGCTGTAGAGGGAAGTGAGGGGCATATGGGGCTCATCAGCCTGGGAAGGGAGCCCATCTAGGAGAAGGAAAACTCTGATCCTAACCCTCCATTGCAGGAGATCTTCGGGAGAAGAAAAGGCTCAGAAGTAAACCCTACACAAATCCAGAGTGGTGCCCCTAAGGCGGTTGGATGGTGCCTTATATGCCGCCGTTTGGCAATTTTGGCAAACTGGTGCTGAACGTATTGCTTGGATTTCCTTTGGACCACATCAGCAAGGCCGAGGGGGGGGGCGGTCTTTGTGTTTGGGCAACTGAGGACCCCCATACACACTGCCCAGTATTGCACCCCAAAACAGTGGTTTGACTTCATCCCAGTAAGCACACTCCGTTGTCTCTGGAGACAGACAGATGCCAACAACAACTGTTCCTGCACTGCAAGGGATTGGACTAGATAGCCTTGGGGATCCCTGCCAACTCCACAAATCTGTCCTGAACCTTCCAATATTCAGTTTCATTGGATGTCTACAAGTTCTAGTTGGGGTGGGGAGAAGCGGGTGGCGTTTTTCTATCCACTTTCCCCATGGCAATGCATCATTTTATCAACTTCTATCATGTCCCCTCTTTTTAGTGCAGAGAAAAGGTGAGCAGGAGGTGGCATGACCTTCTTCATAAGGGAGTTGCTCCATCCCCTTGATCATTTTTGATTGCCCTTTTCTGGACATTTTCCCAGCTTGCATTGCTTATTAAATAGGCTGTGTTATTTCTTTGGAAGGCCTGCTGCAGGGAAACTGCATACACACCCTAAGAAATTTAAAGCACATGACTTCCACTCCGGAGGGAATCTTTGAAAGGAGTCTGTAAAGGGTGCTGTGAACAGTTTCCCATCGTTTGGTCGAGATATCCAACTCTTTATTCCATTCCTCCTTTAATAACTGTGCATCAAACTGTTTTGCTACTAATAAACATTTATACAAGGTTATAGTGGGTTGTTTGTTGTAGTTACATAAGAGTTAATCAGCTGCTTTGATATATCTGAGGTCTCTTGAGCCTGTAAAAGCTGCTGGAGGAGGAGAAAAGGGCTCTTGTGCCCAGAGCCTGTCTGAAGGTTTCCCCACGTTGTCACCCCTGAGAACGGGGCACTGGACTAGAAAGGTTCCTTTTCACCTGATCCAGCAGGCTCTTCTTAATGCTTCTCATGACCATAGTGGTGACAATGAGCTAGTGAGAACCCGAGCGACATATGGCAGCACAAATGCTCCATTCCTTAGTCACCTTTCCTTATTCGAGAACATGTTCCCTCGAACAATTGTGGCGCTTACACCCCAGCGGCCGTGTGCAGGATCAGACCCCCCTAATGCTGTAATCCTAAACAACTGCCCCGCCCAGAGGCGCGGCTCCCAGTCCCTTGCGCACCAATGAGGAGGAGCGGGAGCCTACACAGGTACAATATACCTAATAGTTGGCTTATGCTGCACACCGGGGTGGCTTCCTCCCCCGCCTGCCTCTTCCATTTGGTATCGCCCAGAATCCTTCGCTTTACGTCACCGCCCACTCTTTCTTTCATCCTCCCTCTGGTGGTATCGCCCCCGCGCCACAAGCTGCAGCATCCCAGCTCAACCCCTCGCTCCCCCTGTTGCCTGCGCAGTGGTACAGCCCGAGCTGACTCGGCCCCGCGGAGCGCCGCCCCTCGCAACGGCAGTGGTGCTGCCCGGTATTGCCCGGCAGCCTCCGCCGCCGTAGTTAGGGCCGCGTTGTTTGCGTGTCTCTCTCTCCTCCCCCCCGCGCTTTGTTGAAGTGGTAGAGGCCGCTATCGCTCGGAGTCTCGCCAGCCGCCGCCCTCGCCCCGCTCTCTCGCCTCCGCCGTCCCGCCTTGCCTGGGGGGCCGGTGGGGCTGGTGTGTATGAGTGATTTATAACCGCGACCCCGCGATGTCCACGCCCGCCCGGAGGCGCCTCATGCGGGACTTCAAGAGGTAAGCGCAGCGGAGGGACGGTTTCCCGAAGTGGGGGAGCGGGCAGGAGAGCGAGGAAGGTGGTGAGGTGATCAAACATGGCGGCGGCGGAGGGAGCGCTGCGCCGCTAGCGTAGTGGGCAGTGTTGCGCTACTTGCGCAAGGCGGGCAGGCGAGCGAGCGAGCGGCTCCCGTAGAACGGGGGGGGGGGGGGCGCTACGCAGTTTGCGCAGGCTGGGTGGGAAGGCGGTGCTGTCACTCCTGCCACTGAGCTGCTGGTGTCCCTTGTCCCTTTCCCTCCGAAAACAGGCTTCAGGAGGACCCCCCGGCGGGAGTCAGCGGGGCTCCCTCGGAGAACAACATCATGGTGTGGAACGCGGTTATTTTCGGGTGAGTAGGCAGACCCTCTCCTCCCACCTGCAAGTGCCCCCCCCCTTTCAGGGTAAACATTGGGGAGAGGGACTGGGACGGGCAGAAGAAGAAAAAAGAGAACAAGAAATTTAACCTGTCCTCCCTTTCTCTGAAGATGGTTTCTGAAGACAGCTGGTGCAGAATTCAAGGGCCAGGTTGCAAGAGGGTTTGAGCCTATGACACCGATCCTGGTCTGACTATTCGCTGCCAGTTGGTTTCATTCAAATTGCTGGTTTTGACCTATAGAACCTTAAAATGGTTCAGGACCACAATATCCCCGTAAGGGGCAGGTGCATATTCCTTCATTGCATAGGGTTGGACTACATGGTCCTCAAGGTTCCTTCCCACTCTTATTATTCTGTGAGATAACTGAGATACTTCCAGTTCTGCCTCTCCCCATGTGAACTGATCTGGACCCTGCAGTCATCCATCACCTGAGGCCCTCCTTCATGTGTCCACCTCTAGGAGAGGTCCGGAGGGTGGAAACATGTGAACGAGCCTTTTCTGTGGTGGCCCCACTTTTGTGCATTGCGCTCCCTGGGGAGGCTTGCCTGGCGCTTTTGTTCCACATCTTTAGGTGCCAGGCAAAAATATTCCTCTTTTCCCAGCCCTTTGGATAATTAAGCACTCTGTGGTCTTTTAAATTGCTTATGTGAGTGATGGTTTTTTTTGGGGGGGGGTATTGTTCTTGTTTGTGCCTATGTTATTATGTTTGTATTTTGTATTGTAAACAGCTCTGTGAGCCTCAGATGATGGATGGTATAGAAATTGGATAAATAAATACTAATAATACAACTTACTACTAGTAGTACTTATTCGTGTTAACTCCTGAGCCTTTCTGCACCTTCAAGGGATCAAGATGTCACCGATCTGTTTTTCAAAAACATAGGCATATGCATACATTTATTCCCAAACAGGAATAATAGCTGTAATTATTATTATATTAGAACACAACAGCTTGTATCCCATGAAGAAGAGAAAGATGATGATGATGATAGTGATAGTATCATCATCATCACTATACCCCACCCATCTGGCTGGATTTCCCCAGCCACTCTGGGCGGCTTACAGCATATATCAAAATGCAAGTGTAGGAATTGTAATTGCTATTATTGTGCTGGTAGTTGCATCTTGCTCCTCTCCTTCCAATATGCTCAGGGTGGGGTGTTTGTGTTGCTATAATTATTGCTTTAATGATTATCATTGTCATATCTTGCCTTGCTCTTTGTCCAAGGAGGTTAGGGCTGTGTGGTTCTGCAGGGATGACAGTATAGCAGCTATTTTTCTTAATCGTATTTTGCTCTTTGTCCAAGGAGGGCAGGTGGTGTTGGTTTTTAATCTGCACAACAGGGCTAAAAGGCTGTATATCCAGGCTGAGAGGTATGTGAGAGAGTTTCCAAATACTAGATCTGGCGTTAGCCATAATTTTTTTAAAAAAATCTCTTCCTGTAAGGCAGTGATCACCAACCTTTCTGGTCCTGTGCTCAAATAGACTTTAAAAAAGCATTCCGTTCTACCCAATAGAATAGGCTGTGATGTGTGTGGTTCATCCATTTCATCCATTTGCACAATTTCTGCTGGGGGCAGAAGAAGACCCTGTGGGCTCCAGCGGAGGCCTCTGCAGGCACATGTGCGCTCATGAGACCATGTTGGCACCCCCTGCTCTAAGGAGCTTTAGAATGTACACATGGTTGTCATTCCATCGCTCTCCCTATTATCCTTGTGACAGACCTGTAAGTAGATTACTTGGGGTTGGTGTGGAAATATTGTTGCCAGTGGTGACCAGGAATCTTAATTTTGTTGACAAGCAAAGCAAAACTCCCTATATATCCCACCAGGCACAATGTTTTTATTTTTAAAAAGCTGCTGGCAGTGCAGGGTCACAAGACTGCAGGTTTCATGTTTATATTGGAGCACTTTCAGTGCCTTGGTCTGGGAAAGGAATGGGAAACCTGTGCCCCTCTAGCCAGTGTTAGAAACAAAATATGAAAGCTAGGAGCTAAATGGCACCTTAAACCTAGATTATAGGTGCTACAATGGAACGTCTAGGTGTGCATTTTTATAACAAAAATACAAAGCTGAAAGTGAATGAACTGCAACTAAAATAATATGTTCATTTCCCCGTGGTCTAGTCCTTCCTCTGCCCACCCCCTTAATATTCTTAAGAGGGTCTTTTCTCCAGTCTTCGGAGAATAGCTGGAAGTGGGAAGGCAGTTTTAATCTGAAATCTTAGGCGCAGTTCTGCTCCCAGAGCTCAGAAACTGCTTGCGCTAATGAAGTTCCCTGTCGCAAAATGTGCCTAGAACAATGGGGGTTTCGAACACCGCCTCTAGCTGTTGCTGGACTACAACTCCCATTGCACCTGAATATGGGCTGGGGCTAATGGAGTCCCACAACATCTGGAGGGATGTTCCCACCTTGGTATAGAAATAAAGGGTTATTAAAAGCATGCAGTAGAAACATTGCTCCTCCCTATAGCCCTATTCTCTGCTATGCAAGGGATAAACATTACTTTTTGTGGTGCAGAAAGCAAGCAAGCCAGGCTACTAGAAACAACTGCTGGCTATCATATCTTGCTAGCTTGTAGTGAACTTTTGTAAGTTAGGATGAGAGAGTAGCTGTAACTGGCCTAAGAAATATGGGGTGGTGGTTGTTATTTTTGTTTGTTTCTTTGTATGCATTTTATATTGTAAACCGCCCAGTGATCCTCGGATGAAGGGTGGTATAGAAATTTAATAAATAAAATTAGTAAACATCCTCTGTGAGTTTTGTGGCTGAGGAACAATTTGACCATCTAGTTCAGGCCCTTGCCCCCAGCAGCATTCAGAGGGATACTTTTCTGCTACGGAACTGCTGTTCACTGTAGAGGATTCTAGAGTTTGCTTTAGGTTGGAGACTCAAATCAATAAAGCACTGACTGAACTTTACTGTTCCCATATACCAGGGGTCTGCAACCTGCGGCTCCGGAGCCGCATGTGGCTCTTTTACACCTTTGCCACAGCTCCGGGGCGGATACTAGCGAGGGGAGGAGGCACATTGTGCGCCCCAACACTCCCCACTGTAGCGGGCGCTGTACTGGCTGTGACGTCGCATGGTGGCAGTGCGTGTGTTAGTCACGCACCGTCCCGACATCACCTTCCCGCCCGCCCGCTACATTGTAAGGGGCATGTACGCTGGTCACTGCATTGAAAGGGGACATGTACACTGGTCACCGTTTTGAAGGGGAGTGAAGAACACACACACACACAAAGGTAACTTGTTAATTTAACATTTATTTCTATGAGGAGGAGTAATACTGAGGGGTCAAACAAAGAAATAATTTAAAAAGTGACAAAAAAGTTGTTTTTATAATGATGAGTTTTGCAGCTCCCAGTTTTTTTTCTCTTCGGAAACGGGTCCAAGTGGCTCTTTTTGTCTTAAAGGTTGCAGACCCCTGCCATATACTGAGAGTAAACTGAGGAGTGTAATGAATGTGCTTCCTTGGCTGCACTTTGCAGGGAAAAGTCAGTGGTGCTGGGCAAACCTTCTGAGCGCAGTTTCTATGTCATTACTGATCTTTTAATTGAGAAACTCCACAACAAGCTTCTGAGGAATTGTTCCCTCTGCTAGATAGAAAAACACTGCCACCTCTGTATCTAACCGTATTATGCAAGTTTGCAAAGCTGCAGTGAAACTCTCCCCCTTCAGCATGTTTTTGTGGTGGTGGAGCTGATTCCTGCCCCAAATTTTCAGCAAGAATTCTTTTCTTCTCATATGCAGGGAACTTCCTTGCTCACTCATTCCTATTTAGCAACCACCACATGCTGTAAGATTGTCCAAGGAGTAGGTGCTGTTTCTGCCTTCTGAAGTAACAAAGCCACTTAGGTAGAGCCTGTGCCAAAGCTCCTCGAGTGACCTCCATCGAGGGTAGTCAAGAGCTGGCTGAATGATTTCCTCCCCCCTCCAATACACATCCTTATTTTCTGCATGGGATACTAAGCTTGCCTTGCCTTAAAGGCTAGGGAAACGCTATATTGGGGTAGGAAGTATCTTTCATGCCTTTGGAAGTATTGTTCTTTCATTTTATTCCCTGCAGAAACTGTGCTTCAGTAGTGCATAGCTCAGTTGGTTAGAGCATGGTGCTGATAATGTGAGGGTTGCAGGTTCAATCCCCGCAAGGGACAGCTGCATATTCCTGCATAGCAGGGGGTAGGACTAGATGATCCCCATAGTCCCTTCCAGCTCTACAATCTGTGATTCTATGTGGGACTGTTTTGTTCATATTCTTCCCGTTTCATTTGTCTCTGCCTTCCCCAACAGAATTTAGGCTGCATTCCTCAGGGCAGGGATCTTTCTCTTTTATGTTGCTCTGTAATGTGTTGTACGTATTAACATTAGCTAGAAATCTTCAGGTTGGTCAGCAAATTGAGCAAAAACCCAAAATCCACTGAGCGTTGTGTTCTTTTATTCAGGGGAGGAAATATTTTCTGAGTATATGTCTAGTTACCTGTGGCAAATTGGTTGCCATCAGCTCCGAGCCATGCACAACCCTTGCGCTGCTGCTATATTGAATTTAAAAATACCAGCAAAACTGGAGTTGGGGACAGTGAGCAGCGGCAAGCGTGCAGCATCCTTAGCTCTGCCATTTTAAAATGAAACAGTGCTATGGAGACTTTGGGTATGGCACCCCCACAATTTGTCCTGGATAGTTTCTAGGTTGAGAATAGAATTAGAGGTGGCAGCAGCATGGGAATGGGTGTCAGTTTTACTTTACACAAGTAAAACTACCCAGGTGTAGAAATTGTGAAACTGCTAAAACTTTGTTTCTTGTTCTAAAGCCCTTAAGCCTTGCTCATTCTAACTCCTGTTTCTGTTCTGGGCATGGATTAAACTACATGTCATTTTGTAAAGGCTGAGTGCCAGTTTAATAATGAACTAACTTCACTAAGCCAAATGTAAGATGCTGACATGCTCTCTCCTCTTTCAGGCCTGAGGGAACCCCATTTGAAGATGGTAAGTATTAAAACAAAACAAAACATTTTCAATGGGCAGAAGGGTGATGTGATCAAATTGTTAATCAGTCTTAGGATTCCACATCAGAATTTCATGGGTCAGTGTAGCTCAGAAGCAGAGAGTCAACTTTCCCTGGCCTCTCAGTATAATTTAAATGTTTCAGAGAGAGAATGATGCCAAGTCCTCCTCCTCCCCCCCATCAGCCACCCTTTCTAGAAAGGGGATAGGTGTGTGGGAGAAGAAACACTTTGGTTGGAAGATAAGACAGCTGCAGTTAAGCACTTTGCTTTGAAGTGGTGACTAGGCTTACTGTGTAAATAGTACCCTTTACTTAAGAACTTTCTTGAAGCTACTCCTATAAACAAAGTCTGTTTGGGGTACATGTTCAGAACCATCATATCTTTCATAACCCGTGTATTGGGGTACATGAAGGATGGCTGTCTCCATAAATAGGGAATGTTACAAATATATCCCTTGGATGAAAACTGTATCATGCCCTCTCACCTTGACTATTGTGGCCTTCTCAGTCCTCTTTCTAGCACTTTTCTACCAGCAGCATTCACATCCCTAGTTATCCTGATCACATGGTGGTCTTTCTTAAATTTGCACATTGTTTTCTTGCCCTTCCCTTGATCCAACATACCTTCCACATCAGAACCCTTCATGGCCTTGCCTTCTCTTAACACCCCAACATATTCCTGCTCTTTACTACTCCACCTCCCTGCTCTCAGCCATCTCAAGATCTATAGCTTCCTTTGACCCACTCTATCCTTGGTGCCTCTTATGCTTAGAACTGCCATCTAGAACTCCTGTCTTCCTTCAAATCCCTCAGAACCCACCTTTTCCTTGATGGCTTTGGCACAACTCCTTAGGTCCCATGCCTTACTGTAACTAGGCCTGTGTACACGTAACTGAAATAAACAAAATCTTCCTCTTTTTAGCGCTGCTGCTTTCTCCGTGTCAGATCATATAAGCCGTGGGGCAGGAGCCTTTCTAATTGGACTCTGTAATGTGCTGTTCACATTTGCAGTGCTACATAAACAGTAACGCTTTGGCTGTGAGCTTCCTAAAGCCATTTGGCTGAGGAAAGGTGGACTAATCTTTGAATCTCATGTACCAAGAGAATTTTGTGAAATGGTTGGTGCTTCTGCACTTGAGACCAATGGGAACAGGGGGTTTCCATTTGTAAACAAGATACTTATAACTTGCCTCTCCCCATTGCAGGAACTTTCAAGCTTACCATAGAATTCACAGAAGAATATCCAAACAAGCCACCTACTGTTAGATTTGTGTCTAAAATGTTTCATCCAAATGGTATGTACCACCTAAAATGAAGCGATTTGTTTCTTAACTGCAGTAGTGGTCACAGAGGTGGACCTGATACTGATAGTTGCAGGGAATTTTGGACACACTCTCTCTCTCTCTCTCTCTCTCTCTGTGTGTGTGTTTGTGTGTGTGTGTGTCCCCATATGCTAATTGTTGCTGAGTTCAATCCTACCTGGCCTCTCAAGTTTCTAGTGCAATCAGATTATTTCCCTCAGTGACTTCCTTGATCACAAAGGTGTAGGGTTTTTTAATTTTTAAAGGCAAGGGGAACATATTTAAATAAAACCATATCTACTTCATAGCAATACCTGCTCAGTTTTAGGATTTCTTATAATCCTAGTTCTTGTCTGCTGATTCTGTTTTGGCTATATGACTTCTGATGGAAGCATGAAGAAACTTTTCTTGTGGTCACTAACCTTAGTTCAAGTTTATTGCGGCCAAAGCCAGTGACACTAAACACCATAAGATCAGACAACAAGAAATCAACAACAACTTCAGAAAAGAAAAAAGGTTACACAAGAGAACTTCACAGTGTGCCATTCAACAGAAGAGATTTACGCTTCTTAATTGCTAAAGTGCAAAATTTAGCCACCTCATATGATACTGAGCTTGAGGAATCTTCCAGGAGGTATTTTCGAAGAATTTCAGGGGAGGATTCCAAATAATATTGAAGGGGTATAAATTTTGATAGAAGCGGTAAAATAAGTTGAACTCGTTCTTCACTATAGAATTCGCAAGATAGAAGAATGTGTGTGACAGATTCTACCTTATTAGACATACAAGGGCAGAGACGCGCATGCATTGGAACTCGCGTGAATTTGCCGTACAGCACTGCTGAGGGCATTGTCTCAAAGCGGGCTCTAGAGAAAGCCCATCTATAGGTTTCGTTAGTGATGTTAGTTAAGTAAGGGGTAGCTGCAAAATTAGGCCAAGCTTTTAAACATCTATACGTCTCTGGGAGTAGGGCGCCTTCTTGTTGTGATTCGATATCATAAAGTCTCCGAGTGATAGTAGCTTTTGCCTTGTTCAGAGTTCCAATAAGAATATTTTCAGGGTTTAGGCCAATTTGTTTGATCTTGTTAGTTATTTGCATAAGCCAAGGAGGATAGGGAACTGCGGCCAGGAAGCAAGGTAATAGACCCTTAGGATTGTAATGGATTTTCAGCCAGAGGGATATTGCTTGTTCCCAGACTTTTAATTCCACTCTGGGCAGTCCTGCCTCTTGCCTTAAGACTGCATTAGGTGTACACTTAGGAGTAGCAAATAATGATCTTAAGAATTTAGATTGTACTGTTTCAAGGGTCTTAAGGTTGGCAGAGGGGCTAATTTGAGAGCCATATAGAAGTTGGGCTAAAGATTTTGCCTGAAAGACTGTTAGGGCCATCGGGAGGAAGCCAGCTCCTTTCCTTCTGAATAATCTAAGGATAGCATTTGCACTTCTTTCTGCTGATATAGCTGATGTGGTCAAGTGTGTTGAGAATTTGGCATTATAGGAGAAAGTAATGCCTAAGTATTGGAAGGTCTTAGTCTGTTCAATGGCGTTTCCCTTTACGCTCCAATTATCCTTCCTAAAGGAGCGGTTAAAATGTACAATTTTGGTTTTGGCAAAGTTAATTGTTAACAGTTCAGTGTTACATTGGTCACTAAACTTTCCTAAGGCACGTTTCAGACCCACTTTAGTTTGAGAGAGAAGAACAGCGTCATCCGCATACATTAAAATTGGTACTTTTCTGCCATTAGAGAACACAGGGGGGTGGGTTTCAATTTCACGGCAGCATGTGACCAGGGAGTTAACATAGATATTAAATAGGAATGGGGCTAATAGGCATCCTTGTCTAACTCCTCTTTGGACTAGGATTTCTCTAGAGAGTCTGCCGTCCTGTGCAAGTCTTATCTGGAGGGTATTGTTCTCATGAAGCTTAATCATCAGAAGTAATAACCTTCTGTTAATACCCATATTGGCCAATTTGGCCCAGAGCCTGCTCCTGGATACAGAATCAAATGCTGCCTTTAGGTCCACAAAGGCCGCATATAATGACTTTTTCCAATATTTCGCATACTTATAGACAAAGTAATCTAACACTAAGCAGTGATCAATGGTGGAACGTCCGGATGTAAACCCTGCTTGTTCAATTTCTAGCAAGTTATTATGATCTAACCATTCCCATAATTTTAGGCATAGATGTTTTGTATAAAGTTTACAGATCACATTCAGGAGACTAATTGGTCTATAATTAGATGGATCAGAGGGGTTGCCCTTTTTAAATATGGGAACAATTATAGCTAGTCCCCAATCTTTAGGGATTTCAGTTGTCTTATCTATATATGAAAATAGATTAGCAAGGACCGGGGCCCACCAATTTATTTGCGCTTTCAGAAGTTCAGCGACAATGAAATCACTTCCTGGGGCTTTGCCAGATTTCATTTGTAGAATTAGCGAAGTGATTTCAGTTTCAGATGTTGGGGGCCATGGTGTATCATTATCTAAGGGGATGTTAAGCGGCGCAGAAGGACGATGTTCCCTAAACAGCACTTTATAGTGCTCTTCCCATGAATTTGCAGGGATTATTGTGCCCTCATTAGGAGCTTTGGTTTGACTGGAGATAATTTTCCAGAAGTTGGAATTGTCTTTTTCTATTGACGCTTTTATGAGGGCCTGCCAAATGAGAGAGTCTGCGGTTCTTTTTTTGGTTTTTAATAACTCTTTGTAGTTCTTTTTTTAAGTTGTAACTCCAATTTAGTGATAGGGTTAGGATTTTGCTGGAAGACCTTAAAGCATTCCCTGAGTATAAGTTTTGCCTGAGTGCATTCGTGATCAAACCATTTTTTGTTGGTAGGGGAGTCATTTTGGTTAGATCTTCTGGGTCTTGACAATAACGGTTGGAGTTTTCGGATTAATGTATTATAATGGTCAATTGGGGAGGTCTCTTCAGTGTCGTTGGAAGTCAGATCAGCCCAGAGGAGTTGACCTTCCATTGATTGTGTCCAAATACCAAAATGGTTATTAACATAAGGGGGTGGTCACTAACCAAGTGCACCCAATTTAAATTTTTAGCACTCCTACAGCTGCTGATGCTTTTGTAAATGAGTTTTTAATGGCTTTTTTTTAACATGATTTTGTCATCTTGCATTTATATCTTCCCCACTTTATGAAGAATTTTAAATCCTACATTGGAAAGTTCACATTAGGCAATGGGGTACATGCTGTCACTAGGGTGACTGGCATAGATCTTTGAAAGGAGACACATTACTGCTCTTTAAATCTTTTCTTGATATGCCATGCTGTGAACTTTTTAATAATCAGAGTTGTGAGGTTATAAAGGAGGACGTGTTGGTGGAACAAGGTGAACTTTAAAAATTCATTTCACCAGGGGCCTGTTCCATAACTTGTTGAAATCAGGTATTTCAGGCACAAGTTGTCAGATGCTTTTTCTATGGGCAGCTTAAGATAGTTATGCAGCAAATGTTGATAATTAGCTGGGAGTGTCAACATAGCAAGAGAAACTTGAAGGCACTGATTCTTGTTATGAAACTCATTAATTTCCTTTTGTAGTCTATGCAGATGGTAGTATATGTCTGGATATTCTTCAGAACCGTTGGAGTCCTACCTATGATGTGTCATCCATCTTAACATCCATACAGGTAACATCAGGGCTACTGATGACCTTGCTAATACAGTTTGAAGCAGTGTAATAACTAAGGTGGAAACCTCTATCTGCCATGGGATTCCATCATCATTATTTATGACCCATCTTTTTATTTCTGTAAATTGGTTTGTGAAAGTATGGAAATGCGTATTTATTTCTCAGTGATTATTATCCACTGTATTCACAAGTGTACTTAAAAAGATCAAGAAAATGTTTTCACAAACTGAAACAGCTATACATTTAAAAAGCATTGCATCTTTTTCTAGTGGTGGTAATTATATTTAGTCTATTTTTGTACCATTGTGTTTTTAGGTGTATTTGGTGTAGCAGAGCTGTATTCTTACAGTTCAGAGCGTACTTTCTTCTCCCCTTGCTTTTTACACTTCTGTCATTCACCATCAAAGTCTTGCCTGAAGCCAATGCAAGATGACTGCTGGCAGACCAAAAGCCCTGTCCCCCCATTCTCCATTAGAATGATGCAAGAACAGTCCATCGGAGTTGATTCTGAGTCTAGTCCTATAGGCTTAAAGAAGTGGCTTGCTGCACACATTAAGCTTTGCTGTCAAAACAAAGATAATTGTTCATCGTATAACTAGTACCTGTGCAGAGTCCATGTCATTGTGTTAAAAGCAATGGGAAGGGTCAAGCTAAGCAGCGGGCTTGAAATAGTCAAGAGATCTTCCTAATATTCATGGCATCTTTTGCTACATTGAATTAATCACTTTGCTTGCATTGTGTGAAACCTCATTATGAAGCCTGAATCATCTTTTCTTTTCTCTCCCTCCCCCCCGCAAACAGTCTTTACTGGATGAGCCTAATCCAAACAGTCCAGCAAACAGCCAGGCAGCTCAACTATACCAAGAGAATAAGCGGGAATATGAAAAACGGGTTTCTGCAATAGTAGAACAAAGTTGGCGTGACTGTTGACCCTGGATGATGCAAATGAACACTCTGATGAGGAAAATATATGTATGAAGTGTCTGAGTCATCCTCCTCCTCCTCCTCCTAGCATCACTGCATTTACTTTGAAAAGCAAAATAGCTGTTGTGCTGTTGCCACCCACCCTTGCTGAAGCTTCTTTCTCCTTGGACATCAGAAAGCACCCCCTCCCCTCCCTCTTGAGGTCAAATGTACCGTACTTGGGTTACTTGTGAAAGAATTACTTAAGGCTGAATTCCACTGTCTGTGATCTACCATCTCCAGTCTTAGGGCAGCATTGTGCATTTCTGTAGTGGACACTAAGCTTTTAAGTGTAATTGTGTTATACACAGTGATGCTTACGTGTAGCTTGATTTTAAAAAAAGGGATATTTATATACAGTATACATTTTTAAGTATGATTCAAGTGCTAGCATTTTAACTGCTGCTATCAGCTTCAGTGCATCTGTAAGTACTGTGTGAAGAACTAGATTTCCCTGCTGCTTTATCTTCCCCCTGGTTTTTTTTTTCCATTTAGCAATGTGATGAAAGTATTTGGAATTGAGATGAAATTGAGAAATGGACTATTATGTCAAGCTCGGGCCGGGAGGAGAGAAGGGGGTTGCAGTCTGCTCTATGGGTCATGTGCAAAGTGATCTATCATTGTGTGTGGTAACATATTCAAGGTTAAGTGCTAGGTATCCTTTCTGTAGGGCTCTGCTTAGTTGTTTTTCGAAGCTTTTGAACATGGTTATGGGACAGGGGCGGACAATAACTTTACTAATGGTAAAAGAGGACAGAGAATGAGGAAAAACCAAAGTGCTTCAAAAAAACTTTTATTTCCCTTAAATAATTTTCATCCAAACATGCTCTTGAGAAGATATCAAGAAGCTACTGTTATGTTGTTGAAAAAAGTAGCAAGGTCAAAAGTGCTACTACTGTATGCTTCGTTTTTTCTTTCCCCACCCCTGTGCAGTTTTACAAGTTCTGCCTTTGCAAAAGCATTTTTGTAAAGCAAAGCTCAAATCAAACATTTTGGATACCTTAGGCAGCAGTGTGGGAGGAGACTGTCAGTGTGCTTGTCTGCTCTACCAGTGTCTTCTGTGTACATTGATCTGTTCAACTTTGCACAAGTAACCCATGTAAGAAACTGTACATTTTTCAATTACTTGTAAATAAATTCTTGAAGGGAAGATACTTATCACTATTTTTATTAAGACAAATTATTCTGGTGGTAGTTGATCCTCCTCAATCAAGCTGTCTTAATCGACTGTGGATGGTTACATCTTGTAGAAACAGTCTTGGAACACTGACCTCATCTTCCTATCAGCAGTGGGGAGCCTATATTCCTGGGTGTTGAGATACGACAGCTCCCATTTTCTCTGACCTTGCTGGCTGGGGTGGAAGGAAGAGTTCAGCGGGATTTTTGCCTTACATGGTATCTTGATGGTAAATTAGTATTATATACAGTTGTCGTAAGGCATCCCTCTCTGTTAATGTCTACATGAAGGGAGAGCTCATAGCACTTCTCCCACAAGTGGTACCCCACATGCTATTTTATAAAGTTAAGCAGTTTAAAACCCAATGGACTGTATAAGGTTTCTGGCAAAGTGTTTCTCACTACTTAACTTGCTACCCTTCCCTGAAACTTGCAGGGGCCAGTTGTCAGCTGTCACATTCCATTTACACTCACATTGGTTTCTGAGAGCATTCTGTGCCATTTTCAGCAGCTGCTTGGGGGCTGTGCATTTCCCAGCATCCTATTTGTAAACACCACAGTTACTTTTTGTATTGGCGACTGATAAGCAAAACACAAAACCAAGAGCAGGTATGCTTGCATGCTGGGAAACAGCTTGCAGCGTAGGAATAAACTACTCTTAAATGGAGGCTGGTAAGCTAGCACACCAAACCAACTCTATAGAGCCGCCCTTTGTTTTCAATTAGCTTTGCTATCACTGCTTTAATTTGGTTTCCTCACTTAGGTCATGGGTACATTCTTTTCATATAAGCTAGCCTTGTCTGGAGGGGTTTATCCCCACCAAGTAAATCTTACGTTTTCTTTCTTGGATGCTCATGCTGTGTTTCAGGAGTAGTTACCATTTTTGGTCGAAGGGGTGCATTTACCCTTGGAGATGGGGGTGGCGCATTGCCAGTGGTGGGTGTGCACCTTACACATATAGGCACTGAGCTTCCCCTCTCAGCTGATCTGTGCTTATCAAACCAACCATCAGTATGGGGAAGCTGGTAATTTGTACAGCCATCCAGTTGCCGGGCTGGACAGTGACATTTTAACTTTTCTGCCTCCCTTATTGCTGCCTACTTCCTTTTTGCCACTACTACCAAAATTATTGGGAGGCTTGGAACAGCCTGAAAAATATGGGGGTTTGGATCAGGTCTCTGGGTTGGGGGCTACCCACCCACCCCTGCTCTTATGACTGACTGACTGATTGATTAATTGATTGATTGATTGTATATACCGCCCTATACCTGGAGGTCTTAGGGCAGTTCACAGAATAAAATCAAAACAAGCCAATAGCCACCCCAACCCCCCCCCCCAAATTTTAAAAGGACATGGGATGTCAATCAAATCAACTACTATTTGTAGTAGTAGTAGTAGTAGTAGTTATAGTAGTAGCAGTAGTATTTCTGTTCCCTTCTGAGTTAGGAAAGAGATTTTGCTGGCACACGGTAGCTAGCTATCTCCAGTATTACCTCTCTTTTTTTAGTTCTCATGATTGGCAAGAGAAGCTATGGGTTGTTACATGCTTCAGTACCTTTCCTAGGTGGCAAAGGTCCAAGAGAGTGACCATTAAATAATTAGTTAATTCTTCAAGGTGGTCCCAGGTAGCCCAGTAATATCTAATTTATTAATTTTGAAAGCCTTCCTGTTGATGGAAATGGTGCTTCTGATTAAATTGGGCAATGGGTTAAAGCTCTCGGTACAAGTCTCAGAAGAGGTATTCCACCTTCCCTCATCCATAAAGAGGAGTGGGTGCCTCTTCTTGGATGGCACCTGCAATGATCTGTGTGCATAAGCTAAACTTGTTTTTATGCATAAAACAAAGTTACACAGGCTTAGTAAATCAACCAGATTTACTCATGGCATCCTCTACTTATTGTTTCTAGCTATGGATGACGGTTCCCAGAAAGACAAGTAGATTGAAAAGGTGGTTGATTTTTGCATCCTTAACAAGGCTGCATTTTCTTTAAAGGCTCCTGGAACTGGAAAGGAGGTATGCCTTCAAAAAAGCTTAGTTTTCGAGTGAGAAAAAAGGGGAAGAGAATCACGCACACACTAATCAAACGCCCTACAGAGAGAACCTTTTACTTGTTTCTCTCCATATTTTATACAAGCACATGTACACGAAAAATGCAGTGGAAGGAAATGAAAAGTGGAAGCAGCACACATAGAAACAAGTGGACCTGACCCAAAAGTGTTTATTTTTTAAAAAATACTTCACTGAACAATAGTTGTAGGAGAAATCCACTCCACCAGAGTTCATCTTTCTGTTAAGGTGATAGAAAACGCTTTAATTTATTCACTAACATCATCAGATTTGGAAAACAAAAGCATGGCCACTTGAGGCAAAACCCAGAGCCTTGTATGTTCTGCAGCATGCAGAATAAATCAATTTTATGTCAAAGAATTACAGATTCTGGCTCTTATGACGGAGGTGGGGAACCTGTGGCCTTGAACCAGATTTTGCAAGGCAACAATTCTCATCGCCCAAGGACTCTTGGGAATTGAAGTCTAACAACATCTGGGTTCCCTATCCCCTGCTCTATGAAATAACAAAATTTAGAACAAGCTTGCGTGTGTTTATATAATCCCACACATACAGAGCTGTGACATGCTCCTCAGGCGTCTTCCCCAAGAGGAAGCAGAAGGCATTGCCTCAAACTCTGAAAGCTATCATAGAAACCGTATGCAACGTGCCACAGTTGAACACACTTAAGGCCCACTGATTTCAGTGGGAGTTTTATGCCATAGTGCTCCTACTAAAATTAAAACAACACAAAATTAAAACAACTCCCACCCACTTATGAACTTTGGCTTATAAATATAGATTTTAAATAAAAATCTGAGACTCGGGCTTTTCTGACTATCTCCCATTCTGGGTTTATATCAGGGATGGAGAACCTGTGGACCTCCAGATGGTGACCGGCTCCTAATTCCCCTCAGCCCCAGCCAGCATTACCAATGGCCAGGGATTGCGGTAGTTGTAATTCTGCAGCATCTGGAGAGCCACAGCTTCCTCATCCTTGGCTTTTAGGGTACAAATGAAGAAGGCAGTCTTGGGTAAACCAAATCACGAATTACTCTAATGATGCTGCATTTTGAATAAACTGAAAAGCAAGTTCCCCATCCTTCCCACAATAAAATCCAACATTTTAAATACAAAACATGCAATTCTTTGCATGTCCAGAAATAAAAAGCTATTTAGTATTAATACCAACTTTACATAGTTTTCTACATATTGCCACCTTCTTTATTTTTGTATTTTTTATTTTATTTTTTAAGTCAAAAAATAGAGAAGGAAATCATCCTACCCTTTTGCTTTAAAGCGGTGTGCAAACTTTCCCTGTCACACAAAGTGTTCCTGCTATTACAAAACTAGGAAAATGTGAAGGAAACAAGCCTTTTCCAAGAGATTTCATAAAACAGTTAAACTGCTTATATAAAGCTCTTATTTTTTTCCCTAAGAAAGTTTTAGAAAATTAACGAACAAGTAAAACAGGTTTCAATCATTCCCACATCCATGTGCAACTTTCGCTCGGTTTAATGGAGAATTCAGCCTCAGTCTGAACATCCCCAGAAGAAATGGATGGCCCTCAAGTCTTATTTATCCTGTGGCATAATGAGTTCATAATGGCCAACCTGACCATCTTGCTTTAGCTGGTGTAACAAGTCTTCTTTACGCCTCTTTCGGCTAACCACTAAGTATCTATCACGGCCCTGTCCATGGGATTTACTCTTAAGCCCGTATTGTTGGGCTATCTGATGAATCTGTTTGCGCTCATCGTTGGTCAGTTCTGTTGAGAACGTCAGATCAACTTTGCTGTCCGAGAAGGCATAATTCTGGATGATCTGTTCAACATCTTTCTTTGCAATTTTTGACCCCCTTTCATTGTCCATCCCAAGCCCTTCCCTTTTGAACTGTTCCTTCACGGCAATCGGTTCTCGGATCCCTTCCCCACTTTTCCCCAAGCCACCGCCTGTCCAGCCCATTTTCCTTAGAATCTGATTCCCAATGTTGTCTTCCTTGATCTGCTGCTTCGATGCTTCTTCTGCTGAACGACCGCAGATCTCGTTCCTTGAGATGACGTCTTCGACGGTGCCTTTTTTCAGGTTGTTGATGACTGTTGGTTGGGTTCTTTTCAGGACTCTGACAGCCTCTTCTGCCGCCATGTGCTTGACACTCTTCTTGACCCCAATTGCTTCAGCAATTAATTCCTTTTCCAGCATCACCTTGCACCTCCACCGGATCCCCATCACCCTTTCAAAGATGTACTCCACTGTCATCTTGTTGAACTGAGCAGTGTCGTTCAGGGTGCACACAGGGTTCATGGAATTCTCATACACAACAAGTTCCTTCAGACTCTTCTTCTTGGGGGGAATATGAGTGGCCCCGCTAAATTTGCGAACCTGGACTGCTTTGGTGGGCCCAGTACTGGACTGGGTCTTCTGGAGAACTTTCAGCGCTTCGTCTGCTGCAGCATGCTTGCTTGTTTTTTTCGTGCCATACCCTTCGGCTAAAAAGTGGTCCTGCAAATAGACACAGCAGCGCCACAATCTATTTGGCATCATGGCATATTTGTATTCAATTGACATTTTGTTGAAGGAGGCTGAATTGTTCAAAATTCCAATGGCATCACTGGCGTTTTCTGTGAGGACAAAGTTAGTCCAATGTTTAGCTGAACTGGAGCCCTGCTGGGGGTTAAAGGTCAGCTGCCCAGGTGACCATTCTTTCATGGAAGTGACAGTGTCATACAAATGCTTGAGCACTGGAGGGAATTCAGGAGGAGATTTGCCCTTCTGACATAGCACTAAATCCTCCAGGGTGGTGTTCTTGTACTTTCGCTGGGCAACCTTAACCTCCACAGGCTTTTGCAGCAGAATCATTGCCAGTTCCGTCGCTCGGTCCCTCGATCCATTTTTGCTGCCGGCATAACCTGTGGCCAAATATATATCCTGACACCTCACCTCACAAGCAAAACCATCTTTTAGGAGCTTCTTGTTATCGGGAAGGTCCTCAGGGGAAAAATATTTCAAGTGGGAATAAATATACTCAGGGTTTGTCCTGCAAGCCTGTATGGATCGTGTCAACAGAAAAGTGTAGTTAATTTTGTCTGGCTCGCAACTAGCTTCAGGGCTAGCAAGATTATTGCGGACTGCAACTGCAAGTCTGTTAATGAAATACTGCTTGGCTACTATAACCGATTTGGGAAATGTTTCAGAGGCAGCCTGGAGAAGAGAAGGCCCCCACAAATCTGCTGCAACACCACTGGCAGAAGAGTCTTCGTTTTTGGAAACCACTTCAGCTTCCATCTGGTTTCCCTGGGTACTTCCATAACCTAAACCTACTGTTCTGGAAAACTGTGTGTCCTCATCCTGGGTACTGAAGCTGCTGAAAACCCGATCAGCGTAGTTTTGGATTTGCTGGGTTATGTTCTCACTGGCCTCCTCTGCTTCATTTTCTGAAGCAGGCTTTTTTCCTTCATCTGGAGTATTGCTGGCTACAAAGTGTATAGGTTCAAAACGAGGCCTGACATGGTATTTGGCAGTCTGCTTCCTTGGAGGTTCGAGACCTATGCAATGTAAGAAGTTAAAAGAGGATTTTTAAAATGAAAAATGAAACATGGGTGAAATATAACTTTTCTCTGCAGGCATGAGAAATTGTAACTTTGGGCCGGGGGGCGGGGGGCAGAAGTGGAAGGCAGATTTTCAAAATATTATATTCCATAGCTGTGTGATTAAAGCTATGGCTGAAAACGCATACAGTCTGCGGAAGATCCACTTATTTAATGGAACTTATTCTCAATTAAGCATACATAGGACTGCAACTTCAATATTCCAGTGTCAGTCAGTTTTATTTAGTTTCTTTGGGGGGGGGGGGGAGAATTGTAAAGTGGCAAGACTTTGCAATTTGAAAGAGGAAGCACTTTTGGTTTGGGAACTACAACTATATGTTGCAGTGTGGAGGTGTATCTGAGGATCAATTTAATAATCCAACAATGGGGCAAAAAAGAACTGCTGTTGCCTATATTAGGTTCTGGCAGTGATGAATCTTCCACAGAAATCCTGTTTTGCTGTTGACAGTAGGAGGGGGAAGAGTTACAGAGAGGTGAATTAAAGGGGCAGAGGAGGTGAAATGAAGTGAGCAGAGTTAAAATAAGGAAAGTGAAGGAGACATAGAAAGGTAATACCAGCAGATAAAAAGGAAGCAAATGAAGGTGAGAGAGAAAGGAAATAAATTTTTGAGAAGGTAAAGAAAATGTGGAAGAAGACATGAGCTGAGAGAAAGAGGAAACAGGCAGAGACCTAGTGATAGAAAACATTGAGAAAGAAGGTAAGACAAAAGTAAATGACAAGAGATAAAGGACTGAGAGGGTGCAAGGAGGAGGCAAAGAGAGGGAGGGAGGTGTAGAGGAGAACAACAGAGGCAAGACGGGTGATGTGAGTCCAAAAGTGCAAGGTAGGCAGAGAAAAAGGCACCAGCAGTTGACAGAGAAAAGTTATGGAAAGCTAAAAAAGTGACAGAAAGCCTTTCGGAGGGGAATATAACACAAATATGACTTGCCCTCTTGCTCAGTGTTGACCATAGAGTAAAGATAAAATATTAAAGAGGACACATCTACCAAAAGCGTACAAAATTTGACCGACGATATATTAAATATTGGCTCACATGCTTTTTTATAGTGTGCGACGTGTGCTGAGATGTCAGCACAATTAAGTATAAATCAAAAGTGAAAATCTGAATGTGGGTCCCATGTTGCTGGTTGGGATTTAGAGGTGGGTCTCAGGTCTAGATTGGCTGAAGACCACCGTGCTGGTGCAACTGTTGCAGCGCTGGATTTCTCAGCTGCACAACATTTAAAACTCACTCGTCCACTAGTGCATGAGGCCTTGGGCTAGTGGACAAAGAATATTAGATACAGCCCTTGGTCTTTTCATGCCTGACATTGCTGATTCATTTATCGTCATTAAAGAGCCAATTCTGCTGTGAATGGAATGGAGGGAAATGGAGACACTCACTACGAGATGGAGAATTGTCCGGCAGGGAGCGTGGCCTTTTAGTTGCCTTGGCATCAGGCACCAATTCAAATGACGGCATCTCGCCAATGTCAATCCCTTCGGCCATACGGAGGACTTTCTCCATAACTTCAGGGCTATACCTGCATTTAAAAGCAAAGGAAGCTTTAAGTTATAGATTGCTATTACAAACCCCAACCCCCTTGCAGCTCTACTCCTACCTCTGCCCACCAGAGGACTACCTAAGTGGGTGTCCTGTTGGACCAAGAGATGTGTGGTTACAACACCTTTTCACACTTTTGCCCAGCGAAACATAGTACAAGATACAGGAACACAGGAAGCTGTTTTATTCAGAGTCAGGCCACAGATCCAGGTAACTCAGTATTGTTTATGCTTGGAATAGTCCATGTGGCTCCCTCCATATATTGTTGGACACTAGCTCCATCATCCCTGCCAAGGTATCCCGGCTGGGGCTCATGAGAGCTGGGAGTCCAGTAACATCTGGGGGTCACAGATTGGGGTAAGCTGCTTTTGGCAAAAGGAAAACTATCTGGAAACTCACAGCTATACTAAAGAAAACTGTGGATGCAAAACCTTCCATCATGATATCTAACTGGCAACTATCTCCAGTTCAAATGTAAACAATGGACAAGATAAAGGAATATGCTGGCGTTGATCTTTGGCACAAGGGGTGCTATGGAGAGACACGTGGCATTTCCAGCAGCAGGGTATGAGAAAAGAACCCAGACATTGTGAGGGCAACTGTTGTGACAGAACAGACAACGCTGAGTTAGAAGGACTAATAGTCTGGCCTGGTACAAGACTCTTTCCTATGTTCCTAAACCTTGTTGATTTCTGACCCAGTTAAGTGAATGGAGAAGGCAGCCACTGGTCAAGGACAGCTTGATTCTTAGCATATGCAACCTCTTCCCCACCAGCACTTTTTTTTAAGGCTGGTAGCCAAAACAAGGAATACTGCACTGAATACTTGAAGGTCTGTTTTCAGTGGCTGCTATGTCATAATGGCAAAGGCCACACCATACATTTAAAGCACTACTGTACCACTTTAGACAGTCATGGCTTCCCCAAAGCATCATAGGAATTGTCATTTGTTAAGGGGGCTGAGAGATGTTAGGAGAATCCTTTTTCCCTTTGAGAGCTACAAACAATCCCTCTTCCCATAGAACTATGTAAACTTTGGCTCTCAGAGGGAAATAGGGGCCTCCTATCAACTCTCAGAACCCTGAATAAACTACAGTTCCCAGGATTCTTTGAGGGAACCCATGGCTGTTTAAAGTGACACAATGTATGGTGCAAGTGTGGCCCCAGTGGTAAAAAAGACAGGGCTTCCATCTGCCTGTAACTTTCTTGTTTTGGGGGGGGGGGGAGAGAGAAGAATGGGTGATAGTTATTCTGGGGAGAAATAAAGGTATTTGGCTCAAAATGAAGTAAAGTTAAGGAAATGAGGGCTGCCTACCAGAGCAAACCCAAACAGGGTACAACAGTGAACATGGCAGACTGTTAAAGATCCCCACAAATATACAAGGCCTTAAAATATTTGGAGAAATATTGCTTATGAAATAGAAGATTTCTCAAGGACTGGTTTTGACCCACGACAGTGATGCCAAGCCAATAAGCAATGTTCTTTTGAAGAAGACCTGTACAGTCTCAAGGGTGTTGGGAACTTGCAATTGTTTTGTGAGTCAATAAAGAAGCTAAACAGAAATTTTAATATTCTGCCTTCCACTGGCATTGCTCTCAGCCTCTGTTGCTGCTCTATAATGGCAATCAGACAGATGTCAATGAGGTGCTCCCATGAGGGCTGGGGAGATGGAGGCTAGCACCACCACCTATTGTTGTACTACCCCTTCCTTATTCCTGATGAACCCTTATACGGAGAACAGGGCGAATAGGGGGCTTTGCAAATTGCCCTTGCAAAAAGAAACTTTGGAATATTCTTCCTGCAGAGATTTGTCCAGTTTCCTCTCTGTTGCCTTTTGAACCAAATGTGAAAGAGTTTTTATTCAGTAAGTCTTTTCATGGTTAGTTCTACTGCTGTTTTCCCGAAATATTTTATTTACTGTGCAGTTGATGTTTTTAAATGGGTGGTTTTAGTGCAGCATGCCCTTGTTGATTGCACTGCTACTGGTTTTCTGTTTGCAAACTGTCTGTAGTATTTAATTGCTAGAAGAGCATGACTAAAATATTACATACCAAACACTAATAATCACTGCATGGAAAGGAAAATGAGTTGTGAACAGAGAGTAATGGGAAGAGAAAGGGGAAGGGTCAAAGGTGAGTGGTAGAGCATGCATCTGCTTGGCATGGAGGTCACAGGTTTATTTCTTGACATCTCCAGACAGGGCTGGGAGAGATCCCTGCCAGATATTCTTGAGAGCCACTGCCAGTCGTTGTACAGGATGGGGAGTGGGCAGCGGCGTAGCTATTTATTAACAATTAATTAATTAATTAATTAATAATACCTAGGGATGGAGAGCCAGTGGCCCTTTAGACCTTGTTGGAGTCCAGCTCCCATCATCCCTGGTTAATAATAACAGCACTGGCCAAGCTTAGTGGAGCTGGTGGAAGTTGCAGGCACAAATTCCCCACTGCTCTTGTGAATTAGAAGAATATCTTCCTCTTGTGAACTTCTGAACTAGGCACACCAGTGGCTGGCGCTGGACAAGGCAGCGTTTTGTACCTAAAACCACTGTAGGGAAGGGCTGCAAATCAGTGGCAGAGCAGCTACTTTGTTGGCAGGAGATCTCCCTGGTTTATTTTCCTTGAAACCCTGGACAGCCGCAGCCGGTTAGTACAAAAGACAGCATGGAGCTGCATGGACCGATATAATAGTTGCGCTGAGTCCCTAAGCAAAACAACCGGAAACAGCCTAACGGCTGAATCAGTGAAAGTATGCTCAAGGCCAGGCGTGCGTGGGTGGGTGGGATCACAGAGTTGTAGAGTTGGAAAGGATCCTGAGGGTTGTCTAGCCCAACCCCTTGCAAATAAGGAATCTTTTGTCCAGCGCAAGGTCTCGAACCCACAACCCTGAGATGAACAGTCTCATGCTCTACCGGCTGACTTATCCCAGCAGCTCAACAGACCTCTATTAACAACTCAAGCCCCCTCCTCCTCCGTTAACTGCGATACGCACCCAACGTGTCACCAGGGCTGTACACACCACCAGTTTACCACCCCCCAACACGTGTCATTGCGCGCGCGATCGATCGCTGAAGTGGGGAAAAGAAGCAGAGAAGCGCCCCGCGCCTTACCTGCACCCCATGAAGACATGGTTGGCCCAGGCGTGGGAGAGCGCCAGGAGCTTCTGGAAGGAGACGTCTCCAGGGTAGTCCGGCAAGTTGCGGAGAAGGAACTGCCTGCGCAGCGCCCAGTGCCGGTCGCTCTCCGGCTTCTCGCGCCAAGGCTCCAGGTCGGGCTCCTCGGGGGGAGTAGCGGCTGACCCCTCGGCAGGAGGCTGCGGCGGCTGAGGAGGCACCGGCTGGGCAGAGGAAGGCGGCCGCGGCGACAAGAAATCCCCGCCGGGCAACGTCCACCCTCCGCCGGCCATGGGCTGGCCTTGTCCGGGCACCAAGGCCAACCGGCGCCGGCGTGAGGCGAGCGGGAAGGGGGGCAGCACTCAGGACGGGGCTCCCCGACGGACCGATCCCGTCTAACCCCGATCCGGATGCGGAAAGGAGAGCGAAGAGCAAGCGTGTCCGTTCACACGTGCGTGAGACCCCGCTCCTTCTCTCCCTTCAAGTGCGCTCCCCTTTACCCCTCCTCTGTCTTCTTTCCTTCTCGTGAGCATGCGCGAGCGCTTCTTCCTAGCTCCTCCCCCCAGTCCCGCCCGCTGCTTTCCATCTCTTCTTTTTCTGCTTGTCAGACGCTGCTCGCGTGGGCGGGATGGAACGTTCGAGCCGCGCGAGATCTCCGGAGGAGGCGGGGGAGCCTAGGGGAGAGCGAGGTTGGGGGGGGGGCGGCATGTAAGGGCCGCAAGGAGCGCGCTCCGCTTCTCCCACAGCGCCATCTGGAGGTGGGGAGGAAAAGAGTCCAGGCAAGCGAGCGAGAGCGCTTCGGCCGGCAAGGGGAGGAGGATGGAATCATTATTTGAGTCTGGGGTTCAAGTCCCACGTTGGGTGAGAGTTTCCTGAATTATAAGGGGTTGGACTGGGTGACCCTCGTGACCCCTTCCAACTCTACAATTCTATTAAGGCAACAGATGTTTGCTGTTGAGGAAGTTCTGTGAATGCGTTTAATGTTATGGTCCTTCTCTAAAACCTTTGCATATTTGGAATCAAGAATATGTTTACCCCCAAGTCATATGAGGACAATGGTTGACACAGATTTTATTCTGAGCTAGAATCACACAACTGTAGTGTTGGGAGGGATTCCAAGGATCATCTAGTCCACCCCCTGCAATGCAAGAATCAGAGTTAAAGAATCATTGGTGGATGGCTTTCCAACCCATTTAAAAACCTCCCCTGAAGGGGAGTCCACTACCATTCAATGTAGTTCCTTCCACTGTTGAACAGCTCTTAACACCAGAAAGTTCCTCCTAATGTTGAGTTAGAATCTCCTTTATGGTAACTTGAATCCTCTGCTTCAAGGTTTCTTACCCCTGGAGTAGCACAAAACAAGCTTTCAATAATCTCAGCTTCAGCAGTTCTTTAGCAGGAGGGAGGAGCATAAACACAGATGAGCACAGTAAGCACAGATACAGCAAGTTCTTTGCTTGTAAAGGTAAAGGGACCCCTGACCATTAGGTCCAGTCGTGACCGACTCTGGGGTTGCAGCACTCATCTCGCTTTATTGGCCGAGGGAGCCGGCGTACAGCTTCCGGGTCATGTGGCCAGCATGACTAAGCCGCTTCTGGCGAACCAGAGCAGCGCACGGAAACACCGTTCACCTTCCCGCCAGAGCGGTGCCTATTTATCTACTTGCACTTTGACCTGCTTTCAAACTGCTAGGTGGGCAGGAGCTGGGACTGAGCAACGGGAGCTCAGCCCGTTGTGGGGATTCAAACCGCCGACCTTCTGATCGGCAAGTCCTAGGCTCTGTGGTTTAACCCACAGCGCCACCCGCGTCCCTCTTTGCTTGTACAGTATGTTTATTTAATCTCTGGGTTGGGGTGTGTTGTTTGTTATGGATAAATGCTACCTTGCAACAGCTTTAATAAAGGTATTTCTACATCAGTTTCAAGTCCCATGATGCTATTCAGTGTGTTTATTTCAAATCTGCAATCCATCAAACTGACTTAGATTTATAGGAAATGCTGAAAGCTTGAGATAGGTAACAAAATCATACTGCCCCCTGCTTTTGTCAAATTCCACCGAAGTATCAACCTCCCTTCCCAACTAAACCCTGATCTGCCCCCATCCTAGATTGGCAGAACTTGCTACACTTCTGAAATATGGTCTGTCTTGAAGTGTGGTGGTGGGTTTGTAGAGGGAGTACCAAAACTGGGAGGCAACCACTGAGAACAGCTCTCTTCACACCTTTGATATTGGAACATGATACACAGATAGTGTTAATCGCAGGTGGCTCTTGGTGAATTTCAGATTTTAACAAGGCACATGATCAAAGAAGACTATCTCCAAGACACCTTGGGCTTACGTTATTCCTAATTACTGCTGCCAACCATACTTCTGAGTGCGTGGGTAGGTGAATGAGTTGGTGGGGAACAGTTGTATAGTTTCTGTATAAAATTACAGAATAAATTGTAGGCAAGTCAAATGGTTTGTTATGATGAATAATGATGTCATTCAACTTAAATATATCTTGCACTACAACCTTAGGCATGTTTACTAAGTGATAAGTCTTACAGAACTTAATAGATCATACCCTCTTAAGTTAGCATGTTTAGGGATTGCACTGCAAGACAATTAGACTTTGAAGCTGATCACTCAATAAAAAGTATTTGCAGTTTTGAAAACAGGAGTTCTGAAGATGACAGGCATGCTTCTTTTTAAGATGCTGTATGTATATGTCACAATTATCTTAGAAGAGGCATTCCCTTCTGCATGAGTGAAGGAGAAGGGAATGCCTCTCTAAGATGGTGCCTATCACCTGCTGTTACTATAACCATGCCTATTAAAACTAACATTTTAAAATATGTTTTTTAAAATGTGGAATGCATTTTTAGTCAATTAAAAAGGGTTGTTTTAATTTTAAAAAATTAAGTAATCTAACTGATGAAACAAATAAAAAATTGCAGCTCTAATAGTTTCCAGAGCAGTAATCATGCTTGTGGCAGCCAAAACAACAGCTGTATCAAGTTTTACATAGAGTATACCAGCTGAAATCAATGGCCTCAAGTTACTCATGCCCATTAATTTCAATAGGTCTACTCTAAATATGACTGACAATGAAAAGAAGAAGAAGAGTTTGGACTTGATATCCTGCCCTTCACTCCCCTTAAGGAGTCTCAAAGCGGCTAACAAGCTCCCTTGCTCCCCCACAACAAACACTCTGTTAGGTGAGTAAGGCTGAGAGACTTGAAAGAGGTGTGACTAGCCCAAGGTCACCCAGCAGCTGCATGTGGAGGAGCAGGGAAGCAAACAACCCATTGAGTTTTTTAGCACTTAAAAAAACTAACCAATTTACAGTAGTACCTCGGTTTCTGAACGTCTCTGTTGATGAACAGTTCGGATTTCAAACACCGTAAACCCGGAAGTAAGAGCTTCAGTTTTCAAACAAGCCTTTCAAACAAGTCAAACATGCCACGCAGCTTCTCTAATGAGTTTTCTGTACTGAGTTTTCCGTTTTGAGGCTTCTGTTTTGAGATTTCAGTTTTCGAAAGTTTCAGAACTCGAATGGTCTTCTGGAATGGATTACGTTTGAAAACCAAAGTCCCACTGTATTATGGAACACGATTTCATGGACTAAATCTGCTGAAATGAACTAGAATTTACAAAACATTATAGCAGGGGTACCTGGAGCACCCTTCAGATGCTGTTGGACTGCAACCGAGATGAGTCCCTGCTTGGCATAGCCAATGGTGAGGGATGTGAACAGTCTTCATCCAGCAACATCTGAAGGGCCACAGCTTCTCCATCTCTGACAAAAAGCCATAATGCATTTGCAAGTATTTTAAAACAACAAAGTCTTTGCTGTTTTAGTCCCAATAACATTTGACATACAAATACAATGTAGACTGATCCCACATGCGATGTAATCTACGTGTGCATCAAAAACTACAGCATAATGATATAAAATTAAGCTCAGTGAACACAATTCATTCAATGGATTCCAGAAATAATTACCAGGGAAAAAAGTGATTCTTTTTTTTTTTTTGGGAGGGTTACTTTTTATTGAAAATTGACAACATTAGAAAGGTATCAAGCTCAACAGTGCTGGTTCTTTCGTGTGGGTCATGTAAATAGATACTGAGTGCAGCTGTCAAATCACAATTCTTGTTTGTAGAGAGACCAAAAACAAAAAATAGAGAGAAAAGACAAGAGAACAAGGTATTGGGAAACAGACCCCCATGCAGTGAACGTTCCAGAAAAGTTCCAAGAGTGCTCGGAAAATGCATTATTAAGGGCAGTTAACACTTGACTTGCATGATAACTTTTAAAGAAACAGATGACCAATTACAGACAAATTTCTCCACAACCTTGATATCGACAATAGAAAAGTCAGTTTGTAACCCAGAAGACGTCTGGGAAGGGCTGAACTACGGGGATTAAATTAATCATGGTTAATAATACTTAAGTCTTTACTAAAATGCTTCCCCCTCCCCCAGTGTTCAGAAAACACTTCACATATTTTACCGTGGTAATCCTTACAACATGACTGCAAGGTGGGCAAGCTTGATTATTCTCAGACTGGAGGAGGGTGGACAGCTGAGGCTGGAAGAATATGTAGTTTGCTTAAGGCTATCCTTGTAGTGAAAATGTATAAATGGTGTGCTTTCTGGCTCACAGTCCTTCCTCAACCGCTAGGGTCTGTGGAAACTTTAGTGGACCTTTTTTAATTAAAAAAAAAAGTTAAATGAGAAATATTACTCAATCAACCTGATTATTATTTTTTCCGAAATGGCAGAGGTTATCTATGACCCCAATGAAAAATATACTTCCCCCCCAACCCCTCCCGCACTGTCCTTTGCTTCAGTGTTAAAATTAAATATTCCTCAAGAGGTAGCAAAGTCGCGTGTTTCTCTGTTTGCTGTTCATTGCATAAAACTTGTATTTTTAAAGTTTTTGTTTAGTTTTTAATCCAAGCAAACCAACGAATTAGCACATTTTTTTTCACAGATACTTATAAACCACCCATCATATTTATATTGAGGCAAAATAGAAAGGAAATACTTTGCTTAAAAAAAAAAAGAATCTGTCTCAGTGTCACTTGGCTACATCAATAATTTGCCTGCCACCTTTAGGTTGCTCCTCAAAGCTTTTAACTGATACACAGATGTTTGCCTTTCCAATATTCTCCCTGTCTTGCAGCGAAAACCACAAAACACCTCAGCTTTAAACACACCCCATGCACATCAGAAAAAAACGGGAAAACAAAACCAAGTCTTTCCAGATATCCAAAGACTTATTCATTCCTCCCCCTCCCAAACAGGATGGGAATTCCTAAACTCTTCCTCAAGTGGAAATCTTCTCCATCAGATATAGAGCAGCGGGTGGAGACAGATCAGAAAAAGCTAGAGAAAGAAAGCAAGAGAGAGAGGCGGGGGGGGGGGAGAGAGAAAAAAACACAAATCATCAATTAAATGCAAGGAGGGGTGGAAGAAGCATTCAAAGAACAAGCAGAGAAAAAACAGATCCCACACACAATTAAATTGAGAGAGAGAGCAAGACGACAGATGAATGGATCAATGCTCGTGCTACCATTGGGGCCCCAGACAAAGCAGCATTGATGCATCAGAAGAGTTCAAGCATGTTAAATATTTGGACACAGTGCACGATACACCTTATAGTAGAGTTAGACTGTAAACACACTTTTAACAAAATGCATGGGAGCAGAATAAAGTATATATGGAAAGAGAGGGTTTGCTTTTCAGGGCAGTGCAAACATTTATAGGATGGTTAAGAAACAGCACAACAGTGGTCCCCTTGGCTCAAGGCATCTAATGCAACTTTCTCTTCCCTAGATGCACCAACCAGATTCCTCTGAGGTGAAGCCTACAAGCAGCGGCATAAAGCCAAGAGTGCTCCACTGTTTCTTTGTCACTCTTTCTTTGTCATTGGCACCCCGCACTTGAACATGGATTCATGGAGGAAGAAATCGTAAACCGCTCCCACACCATGACATCTCCATTCTGAAAGGATACCTGGCTTATGCGGTTGCCTGACCTACCTCACAAGGCTGTCATAAGGGTAAAATGAGTAGGTTGCTTTGAGCTTTTTTGGAAGAAGAGATCAATATGTAATTAGAAATTAATGGACACAGCCCTTGCTTGTTTTTGTGGAGCAGCAAAAGAGTACCCTCCTACAGCAGGGAAGAGGGACCTGTAGCTTTCAAGATTATGTGGGACTACAACTATCAGCCTGTACAGGCATGGCAAATAGTAAAAATAGAAATAGAAGTTGAAGTTCAACAATAAATATCTGGAATCTTCCCTAACCTTGGTTGTGACCCATGGATCAGGATCGGCCTACCTTCGACCCTGACTGTGGGGGTTGCATCACTTCTCAAGACAGCCACTTGCAGCTGCAGGTTCATTTTTTGTTTTGTTTAACCTAACCAGGGGAATAACTGACGCCGTTAAGAGTGCTCTCTTGATTTCAACCCTTCCATCCATCTGAACCACGAGAAAGAGGCCTCACCATGTCACAATCTGGGTCTTTTGTTAAGAGTTGCACCCTTCTGTTGCATTTAAATCTCCTAACAAATTTGAAGAATATCAAACGTATTTCAACAACTGGCTTAAGGGTAATAATGGTAACTTTGCAACTCCTGTGATTGACCAGTGAAGAAAGGAACCTTCTTTCAAATATTAATTGATATTCTAAGAGGTCATCTGCACATTCATACAGAACTTCTCTAAAATGCTTATTGTTCAAAATCTTGTGGAACTTCTGATCTTGCTAGGTGCCTGCTCCATAATATATAGCTGTGTGTGATCAACACACTTCTGTCTCTGAGTACACAGCAGTTGAGGATCACATCTCAATAAGCTAACCACATCAGGTTCTACCTTACCTGTTTTTCCAAGTGGTGGGACCAGCTAAATGTCCCCAAAAATATTGACACATATAACGACGATACCATTACTGTATACAGTGGTACCTCAGGTTACATACGCTTCAGGTTACATACGCTTCAGGTTACAGACTCCGCTAACCCAGAAATATTACCTCGGGTTAAGAACTTTGCTTCAGGATGAGAACAGAAATCGCACAGTGGCAGCGTGGCGGCACTTAGCTAAAGTGGTGCTTCAGTTTGAGAACAGTTTCAGGTTAAGAATGGACCTCCGGAACGAATTAAGTACTTAACCCGAGGTACCACTGTATAAAACAATGTTTAACTGTTCTCCCCACTCCAAACTTTAACTAAAGTTAGTGATGTTGTCCTGAAACAAACAACCCACCAGTCAAAAACCAGCACTGTATTTTTGCTAGGAGAAATCAAAAGTCATTAAAACAACAGACCAAAGAACTCCTATTTTGTTTGCCAGATGGAAAGGTTCAAGGAAATATATATATATCAGGCCCTTTAGGGTCTTTATATTTAGCAGGCCCTTTAGATTCAGAAGACATCTCATGTGAATCACGACATTCACATGTACAGCTGATCATAGGTGCTCTTTATGGGGCTTTTCTTAACCCCCAGAAAAAGGGTATTGGCCTATGGGCTGTCTGCACAACTGGCTCCAATTTGCATGGAACACTCTCCTCCATTGGTGCAATGGAGGAGCTCTGGTGCCACCCAATCACCACATTAGTTCAGAGCTGGCCCCTGGCAAATGCATGAATTGGGGCTCAAGTCCCACAGTAAGGCTGGGCACGGGGTCTGGCAACACACTTGACTAATATGGGGGTAGCCAACCTTGTGCCTTCCAGATGCTTTGGACTGCAACCCCCCATCAGCTCCAGCTGGCACAGCCAATGATCAGTGATGATGGAAGCTGGAGTCAAAAACATTTGGAAGGTACTACATCCTAAGGACTTTTGTTAAGAACATAGGGGGTCACCTGCTGGATTCAGACATTTACAAGCAGGGCCTTTGCAACATCTTGACAACAGGACAAGGTCCAGCTGAGGTGTAATGAGTTAAATAAGCATAGTGTGGCATAACAAGGGCCTTGATCCAGGCATACAAAGGCAAGGACGACCAAGGTTCACATTGGCAGACTTTGGGGGTGAGCCAAGACTAGCAGGTCAAAGCTTGGATGATCACAGGATGCAAAGGCCCCTGGTTTGATGCAGGATATTGTCCCTTCCATCTTCTTCAGACTCCAATTTCCACAATTCCCCAAGCTGCCTTGGGCATGGCTTCTATTACTTGGTTTCCTCACCTTTGGAAAGAAGCACACTCAAGAGGCTTCTGAGTGTTCAAGGCAGTTTTCTGACATGGTCAGCCAGGAAAAACAGTAAGACACATTCCAGCAGGTCTGTTTACAAACATTTGTGCAGAATGTGGAGTTTCAGGGCTCATGTTTGAGGAAGCTTGGGGAAAGCCTCACTTCAGAGATCTTAAGCTAATTTCTAATTTCAGTGGAATCAAGGACAGTATACTTTTGCAGGGAAGATGCTGGAATCCCTTCACAGAATTGTGGGGTTGCAGTAATTCTACAGTACTGGTGCTACTTCTTGGACCCAGCAATGCCAGAGTCATTCCTTCAATCCCAGCATACGCTAGAATGGATCTATTTGTAATGAGAAAAAAGAACTACCAAAAGGGACAGTAGTTGGAGTTTTTCATCTCTTGCAGCAAAAAAAGTTGCCCTGTGTATTGACATCACACTACTATGAATTTTCCTGCCTTGCACTAATGGCACATAAGGGCACAACAGGGTAACGTTAGGGAAAAACCATACAGGCTCCATGGTAGAGCACAGGCTTTTAATGAAAAAGGTCCCAGGTTCGGCTCCTAGTATATCTAGCTTGGAAGGTTATTAGCACAGCCTTTCTCTGACTCAGACTTACTAGCCTGAGCAAAAAAGGAAGGGTACAACCTGGTACTGAAAAGGCACTGAGATTCAGAACCATGTGTACCCTCCCTGTAGACAGGATTCCAAATACTGGGGTTGAGAAAGGAGCCACAATCAGAAAGGCCCTATCCTTTGGCTAACCTTTGATGGTGGGGCCCAAAGAAGGGCTTCAGAAGATAATCTTAATAGTCAGGTGGGTTCAAGTGGGAGTAGGTAGTCCTTGTGGTCCCTACCTGCAAGTTCTCTTTTCATTAGGGATGTGAAAACTGTGGTCCGCCAGAAGTTGTTGAACTGCAACTCCCATCATTCCTAACCATTGGCCATTATGGCTGGGCTGATGGGAATGGGAGTCCAGCAACATCTGGAGGCTGCCCAGGTTCTCCATCCCTGCCCTACATGACTATGAGCACAAGCAAGTTAGAGGACAATTGTGCACAGGGAATCCATCACTGCTGTATTACTGAGCCTGGAACAGCCTTGCATTTAAGCACTAGCCTGCTAGCCACAGGTGATAAGAAACTGCAATCAGATGAGTGGATGGCCTGGCAAAGAAGGGTAGAATACTTTCCCCTCAGCACAGAGGCCAAGCCAGCTGCCAGAGGATGGAAGCTAGCCTCCAACATGCTAGTAAAAATGTGTTTTTTAATAGGCTAGTACCTTTGGGGTGGGGGCTTATCAGCAAGGTTGGTATCCTAAAAATTCCACAGCGTCTTCAAACTCTATAGTGTTACTTTACATGGTATACAAACACACACCATTATACAGTCAAAAATAAAATAAAAATAAATCAGATACTGATTAATGTAGAATATGCATCTAGATTAACACATTGGTGGAAGCATCATGAGAAGACCATGGCTGAACGGAAGCGTATTAAATAAGTGAAGGTCCAATTCCAGCCCCATGTACTCAAGGGAAATTACTCAGTACACAGCCATGGGTTACTGTAAAAGAAGGGCAAAAGAACAAAAAAAAACAAAAAAAAGTATTAACCAGAATTATTGTACGAAAGAAGTTTATTCTTTTAAAAAAAGTTTTCCATAAAAAATATAGACTGTAACAAAGCAACACAAAGATAGACATTTTGTTACATTTAAGGGGACCTGAAGATTTCAGTGCAAAGATTTCACTTCTGAGTAAGTACTTTGTAATCCAAGACTAATTCTAAGTCTGATTCTAAGTGTACATGTTTGTCTAGAAATCCAATTAAGGATAATGGGGTCGTGCATGCAAGTTTCCAGGAGAAGGGGAGTCTACACAGAAGCACTGTAATCAGATTATAGCTTCTTTTAGCTGTTTGTCTCAGGGATAGCCAACTTTTGCATCCTGAGGTGTGTGGGGGGGTATTCCTAAGGGAGAAAGCTAAGGGACACAAGTGTATTTTACTGCTAAAGGACCTCACCCTCCCTCACAAGTAGTCTGATTCCATTGCTGAAACTGAAACTGATGCCATCAAATAGAAACAGGTGCTCAGGCAGCTGGGGTTGCTGCAAATCCAAAACAGAGATGAAATGCTGTCATGAAAGCTTCCTCACTTGTGTATTTAAGGAAGACAACCTGCTCTTTTTGGTGTTGAAGGTGACACATATGAGGTCACATCTACACTATCAACTTACATCAGTTGCATACCATCTAATCCAAAATGGCTTTCCCCTCCAAATACCTCTATTCCATATAGAACTATGGTTTCCAGGATTATTATTTTTTTTTGGGGGGGGGGGGAGAATGAATATTAAGCCAGACCATAATTTTTTCTCAGTATTCTTATGCTATATTTTTCTGCTTCATTAGCTCATATTATATTTCTTTAAATTAGACAGATTTTAGTATTTCACCATTATCTGAACCCTTTGAACTCTCACTTTAAAAATGTAACTCTCCCCACCAAATTAAAGTGAAATACATGTAAAAAACTGCAGGCTCTGAAAAAACAAATCAGATTTCCTTTTTCCAAAGGGTGAAACTTCTAAACAAAACCTTCCAGTATAAAAATAAAGCTTTCAATAAATTTTAGTAAAAATGAAGAATATTTTTTAAAAAATTGAATATATGGTTCTTTTCAACTTTTGGGAAGGAAAAATACTTACTATTTTCCAAACTAATTATAAAGCATGAGAAGAAGTCACATTTCTAAAATATAGTTGATGTTTAAGGCGAAATACTTAAATTTAATCAGATTTAAGGGGATAGTCCTGCAATACCAGATTTGAAGCAAGCTTCATTGAAATGAAAGGGTTGCCAGTGAACAGGTTTAGGATATGGTCTGACTTCGTATAAAGGGCCTCCCACGTCCCTAGAAAGAAAGCTGTGGGAATTCTGTTCAGATAAAATAATTCTATCCAAACCATGCTTACTAAGAAGCTGAGTTCCACTGAATTCAGCAGGACTTCTTAGTAAACATGTTATAGGATCAGTCTATTTACCTGGCCTAGTTCTCGATGTGAACAACAGGCCCAAGGACAGAACCTTGAAGCACCCCGCGGGTCACATTTTTCCAGGATGATGATGAACTCTTTGGGTCCCATCAGACAACCCGTTTAAAGTCACATGATACTGATTAAAATGTATAGTGCAGATGGGGACTCACATCCCTGAGGCTTTTTTTCATCAGGCCTCTGTGACAAGTTCTGCAGCTAAAAAGGTGAGGTGTGGGAAAAGGAATCTTTTGCACACAATTTTTTTTTTGCCTTTCTTAGAGAGTCTGCAACAGGGCTCAGGCATTGCAGAACAAGTAGTAAGCCAACATGCTGCCCTATCATGCAGAAGCACGCATCAATGCATTAATGAGATGCCGACAAAGAAATTCTTAGGACATCGGTCCTGCAAGCTTCTGACTAAGACAGAAAAGTACTCAGAGCCTTTCTTATCAGCTCCACAGAAGTGACTGCCAAAGAGTTCTTCACCAAAACAGCCTCTTTTTTGTGTTTAGGAAAAAAGCAAAACAAAAGCAAAAAGGGGGGTGTGTGCAGTGGGGAGGAGATGGACAGGTGGGTACAGAAATGCACTGCATGTTAATTCAAAATGCGGGGTGGTCGTTTCTGGAGCAAAAGAATAGGATCTACAGGAAACCTGAACTGAAAATGAAAAAAAAGAAAAAGGATTAATGTTTATCTGGATTAAAAGGAAGTTAATAAAATATATATGGTTGTAACAGGGGTGGGCAACATACCGTACTTTGGCCACAATGGAAACAAATGAGACATAGAGGTCGTTTGCATGGATATTACATGCAATTTGCTCATTATTACATCAACATGGTGAATTTCAATGATTGCTATATAAATTGTGATACTTCTGTTCTGAAACTGAACATGAATAATCTAAACAAGGTTGTTTGTATGTTAAATAATTGTCTTTGGAAATGAAGAAACAGCTTCAATAACAGGCAGAGATCAACAGAAAAGAATGAATTTGAGCCAGTGTTTAACTGCCTGGTTCCTGAGCCATTGAGCTCATAAATATTGACATCACATTGTCAAGTGGACTAGATATTTAAAACTGATGTTTAAATCTGGGGTTCCAAATATGCAAGCAAAATATATGCAATACCAAAGAATCTGGGTGCCCACATTTATGTAGCCTGTGGCTGTGCACTGCCCACCCCGGTCCCTCATTTACAGAAGGGAGGGGGAAAACACACACATTAATATGGTTTTTAATTTTACTTAAACATGCTTGAAGACACAGTAGCATGAATGCAGCCTTTGAGTTTTCAGCCGATTGCAGCGGGGTTGTTCACTTAGATGCAAATTGTTTATGCTCTGGCAAAAATGAGGAAGCCACGCAAGGCTTTTCAGGCCAAATCAATACTGGAAAGTGTTTTGTGAATCGTTGAACAGGATTTTTGGCTATTGCACTTGGCAAGGACAAATGCTCCCATTCAGAAAGGGCATGTTTGCAAATTGTCTTAGGAACAAAAGAAAGAAAGAAGAAGGCCTATTTGAGCCACTGACCAGCACGCCACAGTCTTGCATATGGCAGCCTGCCAAAAACAATCCAGAGCTAACAAGAACACACAATGTTTACTCCTGCTACTCTCCAGCCCCTAGATATGTTCTCAGGCCCCACATAAAACACTCCTATTGTTTGAGCTTATTTTTTCAAGTCTTGAAGACCAAACCATTGTTTTCCCATCTCACCACTTGCGTCCCTCCCTTTTGTTCTGTATGCTTATTGTTCAGGATAAAGCACATTTAACCCAGAATAATTCCCATTCAAATTACATACCAGGCCAGACAGGGGAAACAAAACAAATAGCAGCACGAAGGCAGCTTAGATTCAAACAAGATGCCATACTGAACACGAGCACTGTTAAGAGTGCATGCTTCCTTGCTAGCAGCTTGGCTGGCAGGAGGGTAAATTATTGTGGGACCCTAATGTTGACCTCTACCCAGCAACTAGTTGTGTTTTTTTAACAGGGTCACAACTCTGAAGTAGAGCAAGAGGGAAAAGGCAGGAAATGCTGGTTCCACGGATTGTTATATGGGCAATAGGCTTATTAATCCTTTCCTATGTGAAAAAGAGACATGTTGAAATCCCCACCGTCACCACACCACTGCACCTTAGGCTATGAAGAAGTCAAGCAAAGACAAAAAAAATGTGTAAGTAACAGGAGTACATAAGAACTTAAAAGACAGGTTTTGTGGCCGGTTCATGCTGGACAGGAGGGGATTAAAAAGCCCTTTGCTTCTTGGAAAAAAATGGCAGACACATTATTATTATTATTATTATTATTATTATTATTATTAAGATTTGTATATTGCCCTTCATCAGAAGATCTGAGGGCAGTTCACATAACTGGAGAGTGTGTATATGCTGGGATTGCTGGATCAACTAGAGGCCAAACTGCTGGTTCAGAATACATTGTGTCTGTTTGCACAAAGTGCCCATTCGGATCCCACTGCAATGGCTATTTCATTTAGTCAAGCTTACCAGCACAACGTGCCCTCATGCACCATGCAGCAAACGGCAGGGTTAACTGTAAAAATAGCATACAAATGGCAACTAAGGAAGATGAAGGCAACTGAGTGCACCAAAAACAAAAATGAAAGTGGGGTGGTAGTGATCAGATCTTGATTTTACACCCTGTATTTTTTTAAAAGAAAAAAACCTGACATAAAAGCAACTTGCAGGGCTTGTTCATGATCTACATGCGTAAACTGCTTCAAATTTAAGATATGACAACTCGAGCAATGTTCAAATTAGGGGGAGGAATGATCCCTCTTAACTTCTGGCACCATTTAGAAGACTAAGAGGATAGATTTTACCAGGCAAGGTTGGAAACTCTGTGGCCCTCCAGATGTTGCTGGACTCTTAACTTCCATCAGTCCTGGTCAGCATGGCCAGTGGTAAAGGAATGATGTGTACTGTAATCCATCAACATCTGGAGGGCCACAGGTTCCCCTCCTCTTTTTTAAAGGCTCCCTACCTTTGTCCCTGTGATTCAAGCACTGGAATGGAGCAACGTACCTAAGCCTAAAGTACTGAAGTTGAAGGCTAGATGATGAAGTGTTGCTGTATCCCTCCACGTCTGTGATGAAAGCCCTATATGCCTGCCATTGGTGATGACGAGCGGCAACCAGTTCAATTTGATACAAAGTGAAAATAAAGGATATGCCAAAAAGGTTAGGATCCCTGCCAATGGGGTGAGCTGATTAAGATGTAGACACTGCTGCCCCATGGAATAATTAAAATGTGGCCTCTGTACAGCGGTCAGCATATAAAAAAACAACTTGTTGTCAGGTGATTCCTGCATGCTAGCACAGGCCTAGACTTGTGCTATAGGAATAGGTTTTCCTGATAGGCCTTTCACTTGTCTAGCTTTTGCCAGCATGAAATCAAGGTGGGCCAAAGACTTGTGGGGCAGGGGAAACACTTTTAGCGACAACTGTTTGAGGTAGAACATTGTAGTCTCCCACCATACTGTCCCAAACCCTTGCCTGTACTCAGGCCAGGGGCTGAGCAAAGCCAAGGCAAGGGCAGTGGTGGGAGAAAATGATGAGGCAAAATGCCACCCAACTGAAAACCAACTTACTTCTTCCTCTCCTTGTCCCTTTTCAGAGTTTGCGAGCCTCCCGCCTGCTGAGCCTGAGACTGGAGTAATTCGGCCGCCGTCTTCCTCTGCTTAAATGCGTTGACTTCGTCATCCAGGGATTTCTTCTTGTCCTCCACTTTCTTCTTTTCGTCCTGGTGCAGCTTCTTCAGGCGGTCAAATTTCTCATGCAACTGGAATGGAAGCCCAGGGTAAAAATATGCATGAGTGCAAAAACAGGGAGCTGGGGGATAGATGCTTGGCGTAAGAGATTTCAAAGCTATGCTGCAGGGAGCCTTCAGGTTCCTCATAAACCTACCATGGGGATCCTCAAAAAGGAAATCAGTGATGATGTTCCTGAAAGACAGCTTGCCCACTGCTACTGCTTTCTCTACAGAATGCAAAGCTACAATGGAGTGCTGAGGGTATACTCTGCACAAGGCAACCACAAGACCTAGTAATTCTGCAACCAGTGCTATTCATGAAGAGACTGTACACCCAAGAATATGCTCCCAAAGCCAATGCACTGCTTGCAGGAGTTTGGAGAAGCAAGTCAATGCCTATGTTCACACATTGCAGTAAGCCATAAGCTGGGGTGTGGGATCTTTTGGCCTGGTGGATCATATCATTATCTGGTCCCACCCCTGCAGGCCAACTTAGGCAGGTGAGCGAGAGGACAAACCCACCAATCACATGACAGGTGCATTGTCCTGCCCACCGGTCAGTCCCTTTTACTATGCTAAATGACTGTTGGGTGCTTGGAAACCACAGCAGAAGAGACTTTGCCAACCCTATGGTCAACAAAGCACCAAGCAGAGGGCTGGCACAGCTGTTTTCTGCAGGGATTGGCTTCATGGCTGAGTTCTCCAAGGAGAACTCTGTCATGCAGCCAATTCAGCAGTGTGAACACCTTTACTGTGATAGGCTGCGCAACTGAGACTCTGTTGGGCAGCCAATCCATACATGTTCCAACCTGCTCCATAACTGATGTCACATACGGTATTAGGTGGGTTGTTTGGGAGAAACGGTTTCGTGGACCAAGCTGTGACCCATAGTGGGCCAAATTTGGCCCACAAGGCAGAGATTCCCCACTTCTGTCACAGCCATGGCTTGCTTTCTGTGCACAAGTGAAGTCATGCCTGCTTTGCTGCTCTCAGCTCATACCAAGAAGAAACAAATCACAAACCCTAACTTAGTTACATCTGAACTAGGAATCATGGTTTGTTTCATCCCCAACCAAGCACAATCTGTAGCTGAGGATTGTTCTTAGATTACAGACTATGATTTCTTGGGAGCAAAAGCATGTACCACATGATCACAAGTTCAAACAAAATGCTATGCCAGAGACCATGGTATATTTCTTTCCAGTAGAAGCCAGGAAAAGCAAAGCAGGTAGACAATGAGAAAAGGGTTTTGTAGCAAGATCGAGAGGAAAATCAGGAGAAGATGCATGTAGTATTATAGGAATGTGAGAGGGTGAGCAAATAGCCCTGCTTTCAAAATCAGAAATTATTCAACCTATTGAATACCTATTTCTTCCTATTGCTGCCACTGATATAGTGTTGATTTTTTCCTTTGCTTACTCTCTGCCCCCCACCCCCACACAAACTAAATTAGACATAACTGAAGACACAACATATTTATAGTGAGGGATAGTCTTCCAGGAGTCTGCTGCTAGGTCCTTGCCTGGGAGACTCCTAAAACACTGGTTACATGGATAAGTTTTCAGCTGTTAACTTTAAAATACACAAGCGTGCCATGGTGTGGAAGTGAACCAACAAATGTGAGATGATAAAATAGTGCTAGTTTTATTACACCAATAACAAAAATTATGTGATTGATATAGAATACATTTTATATTAATTTTGTTTGATTTGTATATTTTAGAATAAAAAGAAAAAATTAGCACTAGTTAGCCTTGATTAATCTGCAGAAATAAACCTCCCTGGTTACAGTTAACCTTAACAACACACACAGTTTAAGCCAAAAATCAGAGAACACAGTCAATAAAAGTTATCACGTTAACCTCTTTTTCAGCCTCTTTCAATTCCGCTTCTTTCTCCTTAACTCTCTGCACAAACATTTGCCGCATTTCCTCCTCCTTTTTCTGCAGCTCTCCCAGGAACTCATTCCTTTTGGCCTCGTAGGTTTCTTGTAAACTAAGGTGACAGGATGGAGGATGAGGAGATAAAAGAAACATTTCAGAGAGATACAGAACAGGGAAAGCAAAAGGATCAAATTTTGTTTCCCACTCACGCAACCAGAAACCTACTAATGCCGCAAGAGTCTACAAATATGCATTGCTGTGATAATGCTGAACTGTGTGAAACAGGACCTCAAATCTCAAAACGCCGTGTCTTAGGTTTTTGTTAAAATTAAATGCTGCACGTTTCTAGACTTCAAGGTTGAAAAGGGGGAACTTTAAAAACCTTTGGTAAACTGAGGCTGGTAAGTTTCTTCTCACTGCAACAAACCTCCTTGTGACAAGAATGAAATAATCTTTCAATAATCAAATTCCCTCTGAGGGAATCTAAAATTCTGTGTTCAGAAAGGAAGGTTGAGTAACTCTCTTGCCTATTTGCTGTGAACAATTTATTATTCTTCAATTGTTTGCAGCTTCAAATTATTTTAAGGTGTTTTTAAGATCGAGACAGCATAGATGGAAGAGATTTTAAGGACGTGGAGAGATCAGAAACCATGGAATGCAAGGAATGGCACATGACACTGAAGCTTTTTTCTACACACTGTCCATATATGTTTCCAAACACTTCACTAAAGCCATGAGGACTACAAACTAAATTTTCAAAAACATGACACGAGATTCTTTGAATGTCAAAATTTGTTACAGGACATATGTTCCAGACACACACTACTAAACCCAAAATTTAGTGTTCCTCCCTGTGTTCCATGGCCAATTAACAAAGCGTTGGCACTGTTCATTTAATATTTTCTAAGTGGACAAGTGTTCCTTTCAAGACATTTCTCACCAATGCCTAGTAATAATATTCTGGTGAAATACAGGCGTCCCCCCACTTATGCGGGGGTTACGTTCCCAGATGCTGTGCGTATATGTGAAATAGTGTAAAGTGGGGAGGACACTGTTGAGAGAGGCTGGGAAGTCTCTCTCTCTCTCTCTCTCAGCAAATCCCATCCATCACACCCACCTTCCCTGGGTGGCGATGCGCCCTTGCACATGCATGTGTGTGACCCGCCTGCCTCCAGTGACCGGAAGACTGAGCTAGAGGTCAGTGGGTCCAATGGGCCATTGACTGGGTGGCTCCCAGTGCCCAGTGCCACTGCAGGGCCTCTCAGCACTCTCCCTGTTAAGTCTTGGAAGCTGCTGGAGACAGTTTGTTTTTATTTATTTCTCCGCCATCCCCCACCCAAGAAATAATGTTGCTGCTTGCTTTGGGGGCAGCAGCGGCCAGAGGGCAGAGGGTCTCTCAGCTCCTGCCCAAGGAACAAAACTGAAAAAGAGAACAAGCAAAGGGATGGGCAGGTTGAGTAGAGAGTGATGGCTCTGCAGGCCAAGGAAGAAGAAAGTCAAGGAGGATGAATGAGTGGGGGCAATGAGACGCTCTGAGCAGCAATGCAAGCTGTCCCCCCTCCCCACACTCTCCAGCTCTGTCCTGCTCTTTTCACACTGTTTTGGATCCACTTTCTGGTTCAAGTTATTTATTTATTTCGCCGCCGTGCGTAAACGCGGTCGCACCACGAGTGGAATGGCCGTAAGTGGGGGGATGCCTGTATACCTGAATGGCTTGCTGTCTGGATCAGTGTCCTTAAATCCCATTTCCTCCAGTTTACATCGCCGGTACAACTCGTAATGGCGCGTGTGTGTCTGTTCACGGAGATCCTCCATGTTGACACGGATCAACATCTCTCTTAGCTTCACAAAGTCACAGTGCGCTTCGTTTTCCACTGTTCATGGTAAAAAAAGGAAGGGCCACTTGAATGCAGGCGGCTCTAAGCATGTGTTACACAGGGTCCTCCATAGTTAAGGAAATAAGAAGTTTGAACCTCCCCTTGAGGGGAAAGAGAACTGGTACAGTGAAGCCTATACAGTGCTCAAAAAAAACCCCCAAAAAACAACAACCCCAAACCAGAAACTTGGAGAAAACATGGAAAGGTGGCAAAAGTTGGATGATAGAGGAACAGGGAGGAAATGGTATATAATAGCCGTAATATTTCAAAACATTCTTAGACATAAACAGATTATTACTCCAGAAAAGTCTACCCACCCACAGTAAACCCCAGAAAAGTTTTCTCTCTCAGTTCAGCTCTTACTGGCACTTATTTTCAGCAGCATTCACTATGGGTGTTCTCCATAACATCACCTACATTATCAGTACCCTGTAAGACAGCTAGATGGATTTAGCTTAAGGTAAGTACAACTGAAACATTGGCAATGACTAGGTGGCTGCTAGTACGTCATCAGAAAATGAGAAGAGGGAGCACGTATGTATCGATAATTTCTATGTGCAAATTTAGAAAGAATTGCTATAATTCAAATAGAAATACATCTCACAGCAACCTAGTGACCTGTGTCTGCTAACTACTGGTGAGCAACTTCAAGGTCTCTCCTGCTCATCTTTCTTATAGCTATTTATCTTTAAACTGAGGGCTGCAAGGCAGCTCCCACTGCTACCTAGCAACGGCTCCCAAATATTTGGGAAACCAAGGATGAACCAGAACCACGTCAGGAGAGGATTTCATCTTGGCTAAGACTGGTGCAGCAGTCGCTCTGCTCTGTTATTCAGCCAAATGTAAAAAGAGAATTCTGGTTTCCCAGTTTTGTACTGTGCTTGGCCAGCATGTTGCCACCCAATCACAGGGGTTAATGGTGTGGAAATGCTATATATAAGTCCTTGTAGTTTACTAGATGTTGAAGCTCTGGCCTGGAGTAATTTCTCATCGTTGCCAGATGTGTAGGGCCTGGCTGTGGTAGCCATGCTTAGGGAAACCATTGTTAGTTAGGGAATGGCATACTCTAACATGCTAGGCCCGGCCCCGTATTTCCAGGGTTAGCCACAGAAATAAAGTTTGAAGTGACATGCTACAACACTTTATTCCCATCTGATACTGAACTGGTTTTCCACACCATCTTCCAATGCAAAGAATAAACCATTTTCACCCACAGGGTTGTCATGGGGATAAAGCAATGCTATTTTGTTCCCACACAGAATTGCGGGCCAGTGGGTGCTTTCGTTTTTTTATGGGGAAGTACAGCTGGCTGCCAGTCATCTATTCATATAGGCATTTACGCAGTACACATAAAAACACTTCGATCTTCTCCATTTGTGTATTTCGAACCTTTTCCTATCTCTGTGAGTGAGGCTTAGACAACATAGCAGGGGATAAGGCCTGTATGTAGTATTGTGGGGAATTACCCACCAGAGGTTCAAGAAACATTGCATCACTTTTGTGAGGCCGGAATCCAGAAGTGAGGCCCAGAAAAAAAAAAATTAAAACATCCACTTGATCAGGATTTTCCCATTTATTCCATACTTGAGTATTGAGGTGCAGCGAACAAGCAATCTGGGAACCTAGCAAGAAAATGGCTGGACTACAAACAAAGGGCTCTGGGGTTTTCTATATTCATTTTAAAATAAACAGAATTTTACTGGCAGGAAGGGCTACCTGTCTGCCTCATGAATATCATCCCACCAACTACAATTCTGGCTGGACCTGTTTTTTTCCAGATGTCTCTAATTCCTGCTACTTTTACGTAGGTTCATTGTTCTGCACACATCAATAGCAACTCTGGTCTGGGTAAAAAACATCACCACAGCCAGAGCCATCACTTACCCTGCACCGTCCCCCAGGGATACTGCCGGGCCTTCATCATTTTGTTCCCTATCTTGATTTCTTCTGTGCTGCCAATCACGGCAAAAGGTAAATGGGCCTAAAACAGAAGCAATTCAAACAATAATCATAAGGGACATGGCATACCTTTTTATTTCTTTTTTCCTTTTTCCTTTTCTTTTAGAACTTGTAAAGGTGGTTTCATTGCTTTTAGAGTTTGTTGAAACGATTTTGTTGTGGTTTCCCCACCCCACCCCTGAACTTCTGGGTGGTGGTTGTTTTAAATCTTGTACTCCTTGCAGGTAAATGTGTTAAATAACATGGGTGGTATTCAAGGCTAGCCCTACTCAGAGTAGACCCACTGAACGTAGTGGGCATGACTAGCTTAGGTTTGTTAATTTCAGTGAGCTTGCTCTGAGTAGGACTTGGCTGAATACCACCCCCATATCTACAGCCGTTTTCCAGAATGCTCAAAGTGTTTGACAATAAACCTGAAAAGACAGAGATAGCACACTAGGATCCTGTTGTGATCCTTCCCAGTCTTTCTCATGAAGGATTTGGATAATTACTAAACCGCACACAACCCAAAATGTTTTATGGTTTATTATTTATATGGTGCTATTAGCCAGCAGGTACTTTTTACAATGCACAGGAGTGTTAGGTCCCTTCCCCTAAGGAGCTTACAATCTAAAATTCTCCACAGCAGCACCAACAGAAGGAAGGAAGTGGACAGCAGGGGAAGAATATGTGATTGATTCTGTTACAAGTGCTTAGGCACAGTTACCACAGATTATGAGAGGAGGGGTTCTGCCTAAAGCATAGCGGAAAACAGGAGTTTTTAGATTACCCCTTGTTCTTTCATTTAAAGTACAGACACATGATCATTTTACACTCTGAAGCTATCAATGGGACAGAAAGGCAAGAAAAATTCATAGGAAGCTGCTTTATACTGAGTCAGTTACTAGTTGCGTCCATCTAGTTCAGCACTGCCTGCACTGACTGGCAGCATCTCTCCAGATGCTCTAGACCTGAGCTCCAGCCCTTCATCCTGTAGGACCGGATTTATAGCTCTGGTTAGTGCTGCTTCTTAGGGATGCGGGTGGCGCTGTGGGTTAAACCACAGAGCCTAGGACTTGCTAATCAGAAGGTCAGCGGTTAGAATCCCCGCGACGGGGTGAGCCCCCGTTGCTCGGTCCCTGCTCCTGCCAACCTAGCAGTTCAAAAGCACCTCAAAGTGCAAGTAGATAAATAGGTATCGCTCTGGTGGGAAAGTAAACGGCGTTTCCGTGCGCTGCTCTGGTTTGCCAGAAGCGGCTTAGTCATGTTGGCCACGTGACCCGGAAGCTGCATGCCAGCTCCCTTGGTCAGTAAAGCGAGATGAGCGCCGCAACCCCAGAGTCGGCCACGACTGGACCTAATGGTCAGGGGTTCCTTTACGTTTTTAGTGCTGCTTCTTACTGGGGCAGGTGCCTCTCTCCCAGAAGAACCTGACAGGTGAAAAGCAGCATTGCACCTTATGCACTCAAATTCCTGACCAGTTAAATAGCAGAAATCCTGCCATGCGTCTTCTCCAGCTGCAGGTTTTGATACAGCAAATCTGGCAACGTCAGCCCAGACACACTCAGGAACAATGGACCTTTCCATGTATGGCAAGATTTGCATTAAACAAAAACAACCCTGAATGTGTTATAGACGACCTTTGCGTTCTTTCATTTCAAAATCATCCTTACACACAAGTGGATCACGCAATAGATATTTATACAGAAGCAGATCACAATTCTAGGTCTGGAAAAGGAAAAGGCGCCAAGCACAGGAACAGCATGGCTCCCCAGCCACGAGAAACACACACCTCCACCCTACAGGAAATGAATGGGAAATGCTATTACTTGCAGCACTGCACAGCAAGAGCCAGGGATGGCTGCCAGAAAAAGAAACACATTTCGAAAAGCAGCAGGGGTGGTAGGGGATATAAGGTTGTGTTAGTGACTGAAAAAGTGATCCCTTGAGAAAATATCTACAAGGCTGGGTTTTGTGCATAGCTACACACTTGCTGAATGCAACTGTGACAATAATACTACAGCTACACATAGCTATAATAATAAAAAATTGTTTCTATGCTATTTTGGTGAGACTCAGCATAATGCATGTGGGCAGGGCTGCAGAGCGCTTAATACTTTTCTCATTCATCCCCTCAACCTACTCCCTGTATATCAATTTATAAAGCGGGAAGTCTGTGCACAGAATAAAGGTAAAGGGCCCCCTGACCATTAGGTCCAGTTGTGGCCGACTCTGGGGTTGTGGCGCTCATCTTGCTATATTGGCGGAGGGAGCCGGCGTACAGCTTCCGGGTCATGTGGCCAGCATGATTAAGCCACTTCTGGCGAACCAGAGCAGCGCACGGAAACGCCGTTTACCTTCCCACCAGAGCGGTACCTATTTATCTACTTGCACTTTGAGGTGCTTTCGAACTGCTAGGTTGGCAGGAGCAGGGACCAAGCAACGGGAGCTCACCCCGTCGCGGGGATTCAAACCGCCGACCTTCTGATCGGCAAGTCCTAGGCTCTGTGGTTTAACCCACAGCGCCACACGTGTCCCTTGTGCACAGAATAGGAGGGTGCTAAATTGGGCAGCTCAGGTGGGGTAAGAGCAACTCCGCCCCCCCACAAGAATTGGGTTCAGGCCCCTCCCTTCCAACTGGTATGCAGATGAGAACTGCAATCTCAAGTCTCCTAAAATCAGTGGTAGCAGAGAGAGACATGCAGGCACCAGCTCTCACCCACTCCAGCAGTAAATTGGGGGGGGGCTGCCCTGGGGGGGGCTGCCCTTTGCCAACCAAAAGCATTGTGAGGGGAGTGTGAAATGGGCTAATTTGAAGAACTAAATGCAGGAGAGAATGTGTCAGCTTCTAACTGACACACTAATACCAAAAGAATGTGAATTTTCACAGGTCCCTGACTTGTAATTCTTATTTCAGACATGCATATCCAAGTCATCAATGTGCTACTCAGCGTGTTTCGTGGTTGATGTGTCAGGCCACAGTTCAAACACTCCTCTCGCCAGATCAGGGTTTCCGAAACTTGGGTTTCCAGCTTTTTTTTGGACTACAATTCCCATCATCCGTCCTACTAGCTAGAGATGGTGGGAGTTGCAGTCCAAAAACAGCTGGAGACCCAAGTTTGGGGAAAGCCTGCACTGGGGTTATACTTATGTGTGGACTACATACTATCTATGGAATAGGATATACAGACCTCTAGTGTTGTCAGGGTGGTTTTGGTTTTTTGTGTAAGAAGGTAGCAAGCTGCTAGTCCCTATGGCTTAAAGGGTGCCAAAGTGGTTTTGGATAAGCTTAACCATGAACAAGGAGCACTTCTTCCATGCAGTACCTTAGCAAAAAACCCTGATATGCTCTCAGCTTCAGGGCAAGTTCTTTTTAGCTAATGTATCTTGTGGACTTCGCTGGACTCCCTGCACTTCATTCCACCAAGGTTCATCTGAGTGAGGCAATGGCCATGTTCACACATGCCCCAAATCCTGGTTTAATATGCCAGGGTATGTACTTAAATTTTGGGCTTAATGTTGCATGAGAATACAGCTGGTGCCTATGAAAGTAAAGCCAACAAATCTCTCACACTGCAGTCAAGAAAAATGTTCTGCCCACCAGGTTATTTCAGCTGTTGAAAGATTTGTTTTTCACTATCACATCACTCTTGGCTGAGACAATATGGGTGCACTTTCATAAAATACACCCCACACTCTATATGTAAAAATAACAACGGCAGAATTTATATTGTGCCTTTTGAACATTCAAAGTGCTTAGAGTACATCATCAAGAAAATCATAACAACAGCCCTATAAAATGGCAGGCTGGTATTTTTACCCCTGTTTTGCAAACGTAAGAGACAGAAGGAAATTTGCCCAGAATAAACTATAGCAGCTGGCATTATTGCCTTACATTCATAGTCCCGTTTATCTCTGCCACGGACTCGTCATCTGTAGGGAACTGATAGATCTGCACCCCATTGCTGACAAGCTCACTTGTGATCTTAATCTTGAATTTCGTCAGCTCGCTTTTGGAAATGGCATCGGATTTGGCGATAATAGGAATGATATTTACCTGTGGAGAAACCAAGAAACAAAAAGAGGGAGGGGGGCTTTGAATGTTTAAAGTTGCCCTCATTGAACATATGAAACAACCTTGCACTGAACAACCTTACACTTAGCCCATTAATGTCCACTCTGAAAATAAGTAGCTAAGGTCTCAGGTAGGGAGCCAATATTTGCTTTACCTGCTGCCTGATCTTTCTTAACTGGTGATGGCAGGGATTGAACCTGACACCTTCAGCATGCAGAGCACCTGGTCTGCCACTGAGCTTTGGCCCATCCCCAAAGTATAGGAAACAACATGGTAGATTTGAAAGAGAAGGAAGCAATTTGTAGTTGAGCTGAGACGAGAATAACGACCAATGACATTTCCCCTCTGGGTGTCAACCTGACTCCTACCTTGCTATCGAGCTTCTTCATTGTTACCAAATCCAGGGATTTCAAAGAGTGGCCCGTGGGGGCAATGAAGTACAAGCAGGCATGGATGCGGGAGTCATGGTAGTTATGTAGCACCCGCTTGATCTTCAGTTCCTCTTGCAGGTAAGATTCGAACTGGGCATCAATGAATTCCACAATAGATTTATAGCTTTATAAGAAAGAAAGAGGGAGAAAACATGGAACATGTTGTAATAAGTGAAATCGTCCAATGCTTCAATCATTAAAGAAGCAAAAGTTTCTTCCTAATTTCTTCCCACAAAGCCTTTCATGAAAAGCAATGTCTCCCCCTCAAAGCCATCCTTGAGTCTACCAGGGCCATTCCGATGAGCAAACACATCTCCACAGAGTCAATTCAGACAATACAATGGTGGTCAACTTGCAAAGTGAAGCGAAACAAAACAAAACGAAACTATCATGCTCATAATACTACTATTACCACTCGTGGAACATGTGTACTCTGTATCCAGGGGGCTCTTTTAAAGGTCTGCTCCATCTGAGCAATGTAGAACCACAAAAAAACCTAATGGAAGAAGATCGCAACTGTGTATTTTGCAAGCTGGAAAAAGTTGGTGACTTTGGGGCAGTTCATAGACATGAAGCTGTATCATGCAAACACAGAGACTGGTTCATTTAGCCCAGTGTTCACTAACCTGGCGCCCATTCTGGTTGGGGCTGATGGGAGCTGTAGTCCCAAAACATCTGGAGAGAACCAGGTTGGTGAAGCCTGATCTAGCCAACTTGTCTGATATAACACAGATTCCTAGATCTTTCCCCCAATTGGCTACTAACATATATTCAGAGCTGACAATCATTGACTGTTAGACAAGCAATAAATTGGGGGGGGGGAGGACGACCTGATTTCCATTTAATCAAGAACAAACTTTTGCTTACCTGTCCTCTTTGTTAATCTGATCTCCAAAGCCAACTGTGCTAACAATGGTCAGTTTCAGATGGACATTGCTTTCCTGGAGATCGTAAGTACTGGATTTCAGCTGAACTCCTGGCTGCGAATGAGAGGCTGGCTCACCTTCAAACTTGGTATTGAAAAGGGTATCCATCAACGTTGATTTCCCAAGCCCTGTTTCTCCTTTGGGGAAGGGGGGAGGGAAGCAAAATGTTTTACAAGACATTAAAAATACACAATGCCTCATTTTGGGCCTGTAGTTAGTTAAGCAAGTTGAACATTACACAACAGAGTCAGAACAGTGCCGATGAAAATTGTTTATTTTTGTCTTATGTATTTAGAACCCTACTTTCCCATTGTCTGTATTCAAAGCAAATAACAAACAACAATTAAAAATCATCATCAAACAAATCAAAGACCCATAAAATCCACTGGAAAGCGGCAGAAAGCATAAATCCCCAACATCTCAAACAGTGAAGCACACACAACTTTTCAAAAGAATTCAGACTAGGGGTAGGAGATAATAGAATAGTTTGCTCAGGGTTGTTTCTAAAAATACAAAGATAAAAATAAAGTACCATAAAAAGACAGTATACATAATTTTAAAAGATTCTGGAAAAAATGATTTTTTTGATTATGTTAGTCCAGCACGTTTCAGCTCAGGTGAGCCTTCTTCAGAGTCGTAAATCACTGGTTGTTTTATCTATGGCTCAAAGACCATCCATCCTACAGGCAGAAACCGTATTTTGTGCTCTATAAGACTCACTTTTTCCTTCCTAAAAAGTAAGGGGAAATGTGTGTGCATCTTATGGAGCAAATGCAGGCTGCACAGCTATCCCAGAAGCCAGAACAGCAAGAGGGATTGCTGCTTTCACTGCGCAGCGATCCCTCTTGCTGTTCTGGCTTCTGAGATTCAGAATATTTTTTTTTCTTGTTTTCCTCCTCCAAAAACTAGGTGCGTCTTGTGGTCTGGTGCGTCTTAATAGAGCGAAAAATACGGTAACTCTGCCTGGAAGGACAAGAATATTTTCACAGCCCAGTTAAAACCCATAAGAGAAAGGGCCAACTGTCTCTAAGAAAGATTCAATTGAAGTAATATGACACCCATTTATATAATGTGTGATATTCGCCCACTAACGGCTCATCTGTCTTTTTAGACAGTCATCATTCTCTGTACTGAGGTAAATTATCCTCAGCATGTAATTGTTTAACACTGCCTACACATGTGAAATATCTTCTTTTTTTTAACATTATGCCTTCCTTTACAGCGATTTCATCTCACATGGATATAACTTGTTTAGTATTTCTCTTGATATTCAAAATTTAATTAAAACATTAGTAATAAAAGGGAGAGAGGGCCAGCTGGTCAGAGTTAGAGCAGTACAACAATCCAATTGAAAAGCTGATAATTTAAAGGTGATACTTCAAGTGTATGGGTTTTTTTAAAAAAAAAAAAGTCTTGCTGTATATTTTCTCATCCTTTATTTTATCTAGCTGCAGTTCCATTTCAGGTGCTTTTTTAAAAAAAGCATTTGGATTTTGCAAAGGTGTATCTAAGCATCATTTGTAGCAGCAATCTAAATGTGTGGATAAGGCTCTCCATCAAACTCTAGCAACATCAACCAAGAGCAATGTTACAACTCACTGCTGATCTGTCTCCAGCCTTTCTTTCTTTTTAGTAGTACATTAATGCACTGACACACATTTCCTGCATCACAGACCAGGAAAGCATTTGCCCTCAGGGGATGGGGGAAGGCAGGGAAACCTAAGCCATTACAAGAGAAAATGCCTTTTAGTCCATTAAAAAAAAATCCATCCACTTTTAGCAGGCAGATTTTTTTTTTTTTAAGGAGCGCGAATTCCCAGATTCCCAGCTTTCATTTTAAAAAAAAACCAATACGTTTTTAGCATTTGTATAACCTGAGATAACAGGCAAAGCGTTCAGACCCTGTTCTTCTCATTTGCTTGTGTGTGATAAACCAGCCCACTCCCCTTCTTTCAGTGATTTATTTTGCTTGCCCCTTGGTAAAATTATTGCAGATGCCCATGGTTGTGAACCCCTTTAGTTCTGGGTTACCGCTGCAGTGTGAGTACTGCCTCGAAATCACTACCTTGGAGCCAAATGTCATGTTGCCGTGGTAACCTAGATAGTATCAGGTAGGGCAGGATGAGGAACTGTTTTTCAGTCAAAGGCCACATTCCCTCAAAGGGGGGAAATCTGTTGAGGGCTGTATGCTGGGGGTGGTGTGACTGAAGAATGGTGAACCTGGCTCACTATTACTTCAGGTAGTTGAGGACGATTCTCAGGACATTATCGAAACTATAAAACCTGCATTGTTGGTACCACTTTTGACGGCCATGGCTTCATGCAACACATTCTGAGAATTATACCTTCAATAAGGGGCACTGATAATTGGATGATGGGGGTGGTGTGGCTGAAGGCCTTGGAGCCAGAACTAAAAGTAAACAGGACATCCACTTTTCTCACTTTCTGCCACACCACTTTCTCTCTTGACACTTCCTTCCACCCGTTTCCCCCACCCTCCTGAAACTAGGCTGCGGGACTCATGTAGACCTGAGGCCATAGGTTTCCACCACTGATGCAAGTCACAAGTTAGTCCACTGAGCTACTCCAAAGGAGGTATGGTCCTGGTGAGGAAAGCAGCAATGTGTCCTGTGCAAGGCCCATACAATATGGCGCTTCCATAGATTGCCATGGCAGCATGATCACATGTACGAACTGGGACCAAGTTCTTTACCACACAAGAGCCACCCCACTGAAAAGTGGAGCTCATCCTGACATAATTACCAGCGCTCACCACATGATGGCACATTCAGTTCACCATGGTGAACCTGGCTCACCACTACCTCTGGTAGTTGAGGACGATTCTCAGGACAATATCGAAACTATAAAACTTACATTGTTTTTGTACTACTTTTGATGGCCATGGCTTCACACAACACATTCTGAGAATTATACCTTCAATAAGGGGCACTGATAATTCTCTGTTAAAAGATCCCTACAGTCTAGCTCGTTGGCAGTTCCTAGGGCAAAGCAAGTGAGCATCTAACCGAAATTTTCCTCTCTTACTACCTAAAGCAAGAGTGCGGAGCCAATGGGCACTACCTATGGGCCCTCTCAATTTAGGTCTGCCATAAAAGACTTGGCTGTCCCACCCCTAGCTCATCTTTGTCCAATATTCAGTATTCTGTCCAGCATCCAGTATTCTGAGATATACTGCATGCTCCCAGTGTTGAGGCAACGTGGCTGTAAAGACAGCATTTGCGAGTAGTAGCTGTATAAAATGCAATGGAAGATGTCTACCATCTTTCTCTGTGAACATGGATAGGAAAGCTTTCTGCCCAAATGCTAGGTCATTGTATTTCCCAGTCAGCGATAACAATTGTGGGCGAGACAGGACATTGACCCAGCAATTTAAGTGGCTTTCCTGCTCCCTTTCTGAGCTAAGCATTTCCCCCCCCCCCTGTAAAAGCACCTTGCATTAAAGAACCAGAGACTGCCAATTATTGTCCATTTGGAGGCATAATTATCTAACTACAACCAAGGCTGAAGCAGTCTCCAAGTAATCATGGCAGAAAAGGAGAAGGGTGCTGCCAGGGCATTTAAAATGCACTGGGTCAAGGAAACCTTTACAGGCCTGCCCCCTACCCCCCCCCCCATATCAAAATATGTTTACTTTCAGAGGTAAATATTTCATGGCGCACAGCACATGATCAGTCCAGACCAAAGTACCACCATTTAATGAGGAGCAACATGGGAGGTACTTTCTGGAATGGAAGACTAGACTTAATTTCTAAAACACATGCAGGGCCTCCAGATACAAATCCAGGCTTGCAAATAACCAGCTTACCTGACCACTGACCCAGCACTGGTACTGTGTAAGTGGCTAAGAGACTGGACCCAGTTCAAACGTCACCCCTTCAGTTCATATATTCAGTTGAAAGCCATCCAATGAACGGTAATCAAGCATTGCACATGGATGTGTAAACCATCCCCAGGAAGCTGTTCTTCCTAATGTCTGTGAAAATGCTAGCTGTAGTTTCCACCCCCTCACCAATGAGCACTCTGTGTGTGGTCAAAGGCACTATCCTTCTCGTGACTGCATATGCTTTGGGGCTAAAGCCCCGGGTTAACCCCATATCAGGCCTCTTTACAGTGCTGGGAACACAACAGCGGCATAGATGGCATGGATGCCTGCCATCAGTCTCAGGAGAGATACCATGTGCCTGACTATGCCAAGCCTAAATTAGAATCTCTTTCTGCCTTTTAAAGAAAAGTATCAGCTGGCTCAGACATACTTTCCCACCAACTATAGTGAACCTTGTCTCTTTGGGCCAGATTTAATTCATGGATATATCTAGCTATAAATAAGTATTTTTATTGTTTAAGAGAACACCCCACGCTGTGCTAAAAAAACCACCCCTGTCAACACTAAAGGCCATTAAAAACAGTTTTAATTAAAACTGGCATCGTGTGAGTTGGGGACACACACGCATAAACAGCAAACATTTAAACTACAAGAAATGAAGCAAAACATGATTCCTATGCACTGCTTGGAATTGCTAATGATTGTGCCTTATAGAAAAGCCTCAAATAAATAAATAAAGCATTTCAGCGAAACAGATAAATGGACATTCCATAAAGTGCCTGAAGTTATGATCACAGCACTAAGAATTGAAGCACTACATCTGTGCAAACATGGAAAGAGACAATATCCCACCATCCAGTGTGACACTTGGACTAGATCAGTCTTCTCAACCTGCTGCTCTTTGGGATGGTTTGGATCACAGTTCCCATCAGCTTCAGGACCATATGGCTGGGCTGGCTAGGCTGAAAGGAGATGTGGTCCAAAATATCCTAAAGGGCACCAGATTGGAGAAAGTTGATGGTTTGTTTTTCTTGGCCCCAGACTGGAACCGTAGTATGTGGGGCGGGATTTGACTACACCCCTGTGCCGTTTTCATGCTGAAATTCCTCTCCCCAAAACTAACCACACTTAAATGGCGCCAACTGCAGCGAATTATACCTGCAGGGCAAAGAGCAGCAGGAAAATGGTACAGAAGGCAGGAGAAAGCCGCCAATACCTTGTGTCTTCCTGCACACTATTCTCATGAAACTAAAGCACCTCGCATTTTCAGTATTCTTAAATGCTTAGCCCTGGACCATACAGTGGCTAAAAAGCTCCCCTTTTCCACTGTTTGGGTGACTCTAGGACACTGTACACAGGGAACCCGCTTCAGAAATAGTAACGAGTCTTCGGCCCCCTGCAACCCCAGACTGCTACACTATAGGAACCAATGCTTCTTTGTCCTTGGTGCAACTAAAGCAGTGGGGCACAATCTGAGCTAATTTGTCTGCAAAGAGCTTCACTAAATGCCATTTTAAGACTGAAATAGACTGCAGTCTGGGCTTCCATCTCATCTGCTACCAGCCTTCCCACCCAGAACTCCACCCTGTCACTTCCTTTTCTTTCTTTTTAACAATTGAGCATGAGGAAGAGTTTCTGGAATTCACAAACCAATTCTCTATATTTTGCTTTTTTTTCAGCCAGCTCTAATAAAGATATTGGGTGCTACTGCCCTACCAGGGTTATTGCCAAGAAACAGTAACGGATATTTAATGAGCTACGGATTTCCTGGAACAGAACCCAAAAGAATGGGCCCTCATCAGAAGGAGGTGCAAACTGCATCACATCTCTGGGAGGAAAGTGTATGGATTTATTGCTTTTGAATTCAAGAGTTTCCTGGAATGGGACATTACAGCCCAATCTCAACTCTCAATGAGATTCCATCCTGGAGCTGTGCCCAGGCAGCGCTTCCTGACAGAGAGGTCATCGAGTTTTGAACATGCAATCTTTCACAGCTTGCCAAGGCTAGGAAGTCTTTGCCAGACCCAACTTTTAAAAGAAGAGGGACAGAGCTCTGTATGTGTGTATCAGACCATGAGTTCCTGATGATCAAGCAGAAAGCATCTAATTCCTGCATTCTTAAAACATTTTTATACAGAAAAAAAGCATCTAACTACCCCATTGGCATGATCTGGAGTAGCCAAGTTGGGTAAAGACTGAATACATCCATTAACTGAGGTCACACATCATCATATATATCATTGAAACAAAAGCAATTTGGTAAAGTGGCCTGTACAAAAATTCAGTTTTTAAAGAACACAAAGTCTAATGCAGCCATGGTAAGAGTTCAAAGTGGCATTCATTGCTGCCCCCTTTGGTGTACAACAAGTCTGTAGAGATTGGTTAGGCTGAGAGAGATGGTCTGTCCCAATGTTATATTCATGGCAGAGTTGGAATTTGAACTCTGATCAGTCTTAACCTTGCACTCTAACTACGACACCACAAGAGCTTTCAAAAAGAGTCATTACACGGCCTTAGGCCACCCTCCATCGCTCTCCCTGACCCAGTCTCCCTTTTGCAATATAGGTATAATAAACATTGCCCAACATATCAGGGCTGCAGCAGTAAGGCTTAACTATGCAAAGTGCTTTTCAACACTTTAGCGCCAAATAAATGCTAAGGTATTCATATTAGTAATACGCTGAGGTATGTGGTTTCCTCCTGCTTATAAACGACTCGTAAGATCAGGTTAGTGCTTTGAGTGCCATGACAGGTCCTCACTGGTTTTTAAAACGAAGTATCAGAATGGACAACCTTGTATTTACTAAATCCCCTGGGGGGACACCACTGTTAGCCTGTAACAGAATTCCAGGCTAATGGGAAAGTGGGTTGCTCTCCTGTCCACCGAAGGTAATAGCTGAAGCGCAGCTGTCAACTCCCTTCAGATTTCTTTCCAACTAAACAGGGCAGACAGCACATTAAAAACTGCACAAGGCAGTCAAATCTTTATGTGCATAATTCACTCAACAGGAAGGCAGCGAGTCTCGTTTACCAAAACTGTATTACTGGTGCCATATGACCTGGAATGCTGAACCTTGGTTAGTGCTAACCGTAGCTTGTTGCTTTAACCCTGGTAAGGATCACAAATGGACAATAAAACCGAGGTTTAGTTCACTGAACAAAGCCCTGCCCTGGAGGATGTGTACAGAAAAACACCAGCAAGACCAGTCACCTTATAAACAGAAAGGATGGAGAGGCAGGGTAACAAGAGAACCAGCCCTATCAATACTGGCATCCTTCTTGTGGAATGCTCTCCCCAGGTATGCTCACCTGGCACCATCATTACATATCTTTAGGCAGCAGGCAAAAATATTCCTCTTCCATCAGGCCTTTGACTTTTAACTACCTATAGACTTTTTGCATGGGTGGGATGTAGTTGTTTTTAAATTTATTTAAAATTGTACTTTAGATTTTCTAAAATGATGGTTTTAATGTATGAATGTGTTTGTTTTTGCTTAAAATACTATAAGTTGCTTTGAGCTGCCATGGCAAAAAGAGCAAGTAATACGTTTAATAAACAAACAAACAATTTAACCAGGGTATGTTCAGTGCAGATGAAATACTTAACCCCCAATCTTAGTTTGCAAACCTTCTACAAGTCATAGTATCACAGCCAGGTTGGCAACCAATATCTAAACAGAAGTAAAGTGTTCAGAGGCAATGCCTAACCTTTTTTTATTAATGCACTGAGCCTCAGAGAACACTCTGCTTTCCGCCGAGCTCTACATTTTCTGCATTTCCTATCAAGTACAGAAATATTTTTCTGCTACGAAATCTAGAAAGCAGCTACTTTAAGCTCTCTGATATGATTTCAAAGACTTTTGTTTGTAATGTAGTTGGAACAAAATGTAATCAAAAGAGCAGGCTTGCATCCAATGGGGTTCAGAAGGGAGGGGGGAAATGCAGAAGAGAAAGAATTTATGTTTCTCCAATTTCCATCAAAGGTGACTTGCGGCTTCCAAAAATAAAGCTTGCTTAAATGCTTTTTTCGTACCACTTTCAATAGCTTCACTATACATTGCTTGCTTTCATAGTGGAAGCTATCAATAATCAACTAAATTTCAACAACTGCTTGACCATAACAGGTTCTGAAGAAGGATCTGAAAAGTATCAGTGAAGGGCAGTAGCTCAGTAGTAGAGCACCTGCTTTGAATGCAGAAGGTCCCAAGCTTAAACCCCAACACCTTCAGGTAGGGCTGGGGAAAACCTTGTCTGAAACCTTAGAAAGCCGGTTGTCAGGCAGTGCAGACAACAGCAAGCTGGGTGGTTTGACTCAGCGCAAGGCAACTTTCAACTCCCAAAGCTGACAGAGATTGTGCTGCACTGTTCTCCAGCAGTCAAGAGAGAGAACTGGAATGAGCCCAGGAAAGTGCTCTATACTAAGTCAGGCAATTGGTCTATCAAGCTCAATACATCCTGACTGACAGGCAGTGTCTCTCCAACGTTACAGGCAGGAGACCTTCCCAGTCCTATCTCAATATGCAAGGGGCTGAACCTGGGACCTGCATGTAAAGTAAGTGTTCTAGGACTTCCCTGAAAACATTAATGGTGTCAATTCATGCCCCTTAGCTAATCAGGATTAGGCATGCTACTGGCGTCCAGCTGCTGAGTTTAGAACAGGGATAGGGGCACCTGTGGCCCTTCAGATATTGTTGGGAGTATAAATCTGAAGCTCCCTTTCACTCTCAAGGAGCAATCAAGGAGATCTTTTTGATCTTAGTGCTGTGGGACCTCAGTGCTTTGATTGGAGATCTCTGCTCCTAATGTCATATGGCATCAGGTGTCTGACCACTGGCCATGCTGGCTAGAGCTGATGGGAGTTAGTGTCCAGCAGCATCTATCATCTTCCCCACCCCAAGGTTCACCATCCCCGATCTAGAAGGTCTGGCAGCAGCTGCAGCAAGAAGCATTTGAACAATTTGGTTTGGAAACTGCAGCCTCTCCTAGATCAAAGGGCTCCGTGCCTGCAAGCATGCATCCTCAAAGGCCATCTACTGCAATGTGTTCTGTGTGGTTCAGAAGCTACAGTTGGTGCGGAAATAGCAGCTCACTTCCTGGCAGAGGAGAAGCCACAAAAGCCATGTTCACAGGCAGATTTCTAGCTCAAAGTCCTGCTTCTAGTTTGAAAGCCTTGCGTCATCTGAGTCCATTAATACCTTAGGGAAGGGAAGGCTTCTCTCAATGTCAGCCCTCATGTCCACTGATATTATCAGAAGAGGCCATGACAAATTGAATGGCTGAAGTGGGGCCTTTCTAGCTGTGGCCCCAACACTGCAGGGCATGTTACCCAATGAGTACTGGAATCAGCTCAAATCTATTCTCTAGAATGTCTTCCTTTCTATTAAAAAAAACCCACTTATTGTTTGACTCCCTAACAGTGGGTACTTACAATTATTATTTTTCTTTCTAACTGAGCTTATTGTTGATTTTAAAGAAGGGCAATCTTTTTTTTTAAAAAAGAGAGAGGAGCCTTAAAACAGAAAAGAGGGTGTTCGGGGGGGGGGCAATGCTTTAAACAGGATCCACAGGGATAGTAGATTTGGCTTCCAAGGAATGCATCACCTGCTGCTGCTGCTGCTGCTGCTGCTGCTGCTGCTGCTGCTGCTGCTGTGATGCCACTGGTGGCTGCAACATACTCCTTGGAGGTTGGATCTGCCCGCCCCCCATGCGACTTCTACCATGTCTCTTGGCGAATAGGAGGCACTGCTGGTCTCCTCCCACCCTTGTTCCCAATGTTAGATAATTATTCCTGCCCCCACCCCCTTGTAGAACTTCACTCACCCCTTATTCCCTGGCGAGAGGCACCATTTTGTGGTTTGCCTCAAGTGCCAAAATGTATTGGACTGGTCTTGTATGGATCAATACAGCTGCCTGTGTTTTTGGACTCTCCTTGGGGTAGCGGCATGGTTGGTGGAGGGGGACTGTCTTGAGCTGCTCCCCAACTTCAAAATGTACCACAACAGCACTGCTTCCCGAACTATGGAATTTTCCTTCTAGCACACCTGCCATTGTCTATTAGCATTACCTTGAAACTAGAGCACCGTCAAGAGAGCGTGTCACCTAGTTACATATAGCAACTCGGCAGCTTCCTACAAAGGCAATCAGCAAGTCGAGCTCAACCTTTCAACGTGCAGGGTTTATGCACAACACCCCATCCCAGAAATACACACACACAAAATAAATGTGTTACAGCAAACACGGTGCAGAAGATCCATTATCAGCTCTCCTAACTTGTTTTACTTTAAAGCAGCTTCAGTTTTCATCAGAGCAGAAGGAGGTATTTAACTACCCTCCCCCCAAAAATGCTGTTTTACGAATGTAAATTCGAATCCCTCAAAGCTGCTGAAAGCTCTTCTGTAGGGAGGAATATAGGCATAATACAAGGATCTGTAGTATTTCCCTCAGCAGGGCTAACAGCAGCTGTCAGTTGGTGGCAGTTTCGATCAGGAAAAAAGCAGGCGGGAGATATTTAATTAGGAGCAGAAAGAGGGGAGTTTCCCCCATGGCCACAAGGATGCTGCGATCTACCTGCTGCTTAAGGGGTCCTCCCTGAACCCAGAAGTGGTAAACGACTAAAGCCCAGTCGCCAACATCTCCCTTTTTTTGTCAAGCTGCTCAAGAAGGTGCATAGTCAGAAACAGATCATTTAGACCCATTTCAACTAGGGTTTTCAGTTGTGCAACTTCCCATCCAATAACTGATGTTGTGCAGTCCAGAATCAGTTCTCTCTCTCTTCATCTGCTGTTTCAACTAGAGGTGGCATATCTGCAGAGAAAGCCTGCTCTGTGAACTTCAGGCTCCTGCTGTGATGTGGAACCCTGATCAGAGAGGAAGGCAACACATGCAGAGCAAGCTCCCCTCTGCAGACGAACTCATCCAATGCACAGTTCCAGAGATCAAAAAGCAGAGTGTTTTTTTTAATCCATGTCTGAATACAACGTAATGCCAGCTTGATTCAAAATGGTGTCCAATTGTGTCCCAACATAGATAAAGAACTTCTCCTTTATCTCCGGAACCATCTTGCAAAACTTGATTAAAATTGGTACGGCTCTGAAAGGTTCAGTCTGCCACCTTGATATAAAAGAGCACCCAATTGTATCCAAAACACAGGTGACTAGCTGCTCCTCAGGAGCTGTCATGCAAAATTTGGTTACACAGGGAGACCATCTAACACAGCCTTGTTCTCACTCTTCCATGTGATAACTAATCATGTGAGGGGGGGGGGAATGCCCGAATCAAACTTAAATGAAGGTACAGTGGTGCCTCGCAAGACGAAATTAATTCATTCTGCGAGTTTTTTCGTCTTGCGAATTTTTCGTCTTGTGAAGCACGGTTTTGGAAAAGCTTCAAAAATCACCAAAGTCTTCAAAAACCTCAAAAAAGGCTACCACACCGTGTGCTATGAGTTGCTCCTCGAAGTCAAGTCGCAACTGCACCTCTTCAAGCAATGCACCCTGGGTATTAACGGTTTAAGAAAAGGAAACAAACTTGCAAGACGTTTTCATTTTTCGTCTTGCGAAGCAAGCCCATAGGGAAATTCGTCTTGCGAAGCAACTCGAAAAACAAAAAACTCTTTCGTCTTGCGAGTTTTTAGTCTTGCGAGTCATTCGTCTTGCGAGGTACCACTGTACATCATTGGAGCTAGCAAACTCACAGCAACAGCATTACAGTTGGAAGAACTTCTGTGTGTCTACTCTTTCCAGCAACAACAGGCTTAAAAACAAGCCACCCATATGATTTTCCATCAAAGAACATCACATCCCAAGTCAACAAATCCTACATGCTTTCAGTGTAAACCTCTGTGCTTCTGCTCATTTGTACCAGCAAAACACAACACATCCCACCTCATCATCTTCAGACCACCCAAAGAGGCAGTGATCCTTGTTTATCTGTTGTTAAAAACTGGATCAGATGACAACACATAATGTGTGTTCTGGATAAGTCAAAGGATTACTTTGTTAGGCAAGTTTACCTTCATTCAGCAACAGAATTTTCCAAAAATGGAAAGGGGGGAAGAAGTGTTGTACTCACCCACACACAAGATGTTGAAACAGAAACCATGGCTAACCGATTTATTAACCAGCTGGTCAGGAAGGCTGTCAAATCCTACATGGCCAGAAAGAGGGACAGTACGGCAGCCTTCGCCCTAAGGAAGTTTGAAAGAAAGACATGTTAAAATTAGATCTAAAAGAACACCACGTTCTATTCCTGGTGGCCTTTTGAAAATTCTCCCTTCCAAAGAAAGTACACCATGGGTTCTATCCAATGCTAGTCCAAGAGTAGACCCATTGGGTGGCATTCAATGAAGTATTACTTGGAGAATGCCCATTGAAATGAATGGCTATGGCTTAAGTAAGTTCCATCCATTTCAATGAGTCTGCTCTGAGGAAAACTTGGTTGAATGCCACCCACTGAAATTAACGAACCCAAGTTAGTCATGTTCATTAAATTCGGGGGTCTGCTAGGACTAGCATTAGATACAGCCCCACTTCTTTGTTTTGCCATCCAAATCTCAAAACAGGTTTTTTGCATACTTTTCCAAATCTTTTTTTCTTGACTGCTAGCATCCCTGACTGCTAACCTCATAAAAATTGGGTTTCCAACAGCACAAGCAATGCACACACCATTTATAACTGTTAGCATTTTAAAACACAAGGCAATTCAAAAGAAGAGGCACACCCAAGGACTTTTTCTCCTTATAAAATGCAAGAAGGGTGGAGTAGGAAAAAAATAAACTAAAAAGTCATCCTGAGTCCAGAAGCAATAGTTAAAAATGGAAGCTGTGACTGCATTATGACACAATTTGAAAGCCTAGCCAAAAAGGAGCAACATCTGGAAGCTCTGCTCATATGGCTATTTGATCAGTTTGGACAATAAGGCTCCAAGACATAAAACACTGCAAGACAGAATTTCCCTAAGTGGCTTGGCCAAAGCTGTAGTGGACAGCAAAGTAGTACAGTAATGTGGGGTTTCTGCAAAATTTTGAACTGGAAATTTTGAATGGGAATTTAGGGTAATCTTCACAGGGTAATAGTACTGGAAACAATTCAGCTTTCATCTGAAAACATTCTGATACCCTAGTGAATCAAGTGGGAACCACATCCAGAACTGGACCATCTTCTGTGGGCCATTTTTGACAAGTGGCTGGGGCCACTCACCTGTAAATCATCTGACATCAAACCTCAAGCCACATAACAGAGACAGACTTATGTCTGATCTTAGCACTCCAGTGACATCCCACAGGGCTAAGTTCAGATATAAGCTTCTGCTGCTCCCTTTTACTATCAAGGAGCAAGCAGGGGCATATCTACGATCTTAGCGCTGTGGGACCTCAGCACTTTGCTGGAGATCTCTGGTGTCAGGTGACTGAAAGTCACAGGCAGCTGTAGTTTATCCAAAATGGCCTCATTGGCTAAATCCAGTGGCTAATTAGACCAAACTAGGACTGTGGGCCAGAGATTCTGCCCTCATAAGTGATCCATCTCAGCACGTTTATCTTATTTGAATTTAGTAAATGAAAGTGGGGGAGGGGGAAGTACTCCACGTTCATTTTCAACTGGTTTTGTTTGTTGTCTATTACAGTGGTACCTCGGGTTAAGAACTTAATTCGTTCTCAAGGTCCGTTCTTAACCTGCAACAGCTCTTAACCTGAGGTACCACTTTAGCTAATGGGGCCTCCCACTGCCGCTGCGCCGCCACCGCGCGATTTCTGTTCTCATCCTGAAGCAAAATTCTTAACCCAAGGTACTATTTCTGGGTTAGCGGAGTCTGTAACCTGAAGCGTCTGTAACCCAAGGTACCACTGTAAGTTGCCTTGAGACTTTTGTATAAAGTAACTGACAAATATAAATATATGATTAACAACAACAACAACAACAACAACAACAACAGCAACAACATTTTCTGTCGCAATATACCACAAGTATTTGACCTGAAATATCTGAGGCAAAAATTAAAGCACACATGGGACAATCATCTTGGGTGGGTAAAACCACATTAACTGCAACTTTGAAACTGCCAAGCTTGCTTCCTATTGTATCTACAATTGGCATCCATTCATCCTTACTAATTAACTTATGAAACATACTTTCTTCCGCCCCACATCACTACAGCTGAGGACCCAGAGATGAATTCACAAAGATGGCTCTATGTATGTATGCATGTATGTATGTATGTATGTATGTTTGTGTACACATATCCTGGTAAACTGCCTCAGATTCAGGAAAGGCGCAAAGGTGCAGACAGAAGTTTAAAACAAACATTTGGAACACTTTTAAATGGGAACTGCCTACTGCACAAAAGAAACATTAAAACAGTTCTGCTTGATCAGACACAATATCTAGTCCAGAATTCTACCTCTTTGGAAGTCTACAATGAGATCCACATATCCACACACTAGCAACTTCTATCCAGAGGCATGCTCACTTTGAAACAGTACCTAAATGTTGGGCTGCCAGCTCCCAAAAAACAAAAACAAAAATCCTGACCTTTAGGCAAAGACAAAGAGCAAAGCCCAACATTCTGATGACAAGTCCAGAGGCACAGACCAACACAAAAGCTGTGTGTTCAGCCACACTGGGTAGCCAGACTGGTGTCCTCCAGAAGTTATAGACAACAACTCCCATTTGCCATTGCTAGCCTGCCCAATGGTCAGGGATGATGGGAATCGAAACCTAGCTGCATATGTAGGGCACCATGTTGGCTCTGCCTGAGCTACATACATGATGATTCCTTATACTAGTAATATAGTATGTAGTATATTTCTTAAGCTATTCATTATACTATTAGTCCATCCAGCCCAATATTTTCTATCCTTCTGGTGCAGAATTTGGTGGCTTGGTAGCTCACCGGGGCAAGACGGCTTGAGCATTGAAAACCAATCCTGGCCCAACTGCTCTGGCTGCCAACCACTTTCTGGTCCAGTTCAAAAGCACCCTTCTAGACTGCATTAATGCAGTAATGCTGGAGATGCATCACAGAACAACAAAGTGGAATGACATGCAGACCGACCAGTATAAATCCACCACTAACGAGCTATTACTGTATCAAAGGCATGTTGCAGAATCTACCCACACACAAACCACCAATCCAGAGGGGCCCTTTATGCCTCAGGTGCTGAATACATGTGCTTCTCCATCTGCCCCACTGCGTGCATTTTGATAGCTTCTCTCTTGCCAACATCCTCACCAAGTATGGTATCATTACACATTCCAAAATGCCCTGCCACAGAGTCACATATTTCGTAGAGAAATGCATTTCTGCTCATGCAAAGGTTCTCCTCCCAAGGCCTTACAAAGCTACTTGCCCCAAGCTGCAATCCTTCAAAAAGTATGTCTTTATATAAAGCAAATAGCTGTAGACCAAACTATATAAAGTTGTTTTTTTTGGGGGGGGGGGCGTTAAACAAACAGAACTGAGAAAAGGAATGAGAAGAATCAGTCAGGTGTGGTAATCAGATCAATCTTCCCATTTATTGGGTAAGGAAAAGAGAAAGCAAGAAAAATAGCAACATGAAGGGAGTCGCATCAATTACATTTTTCAATAGTGGGTCAAATGAGCATTTCAGAAATGTTTATGCTGTAAGCCATTTGTTGCAAAAGAGTAAGCAGGTGTCTAATTCTCCTGTTGCAGCTCCTCTCTGTACTTTATCCACAAAACATAAAAGCAATGCAGGTGCAACCCTTAAAAAAAAAAAGTCTGACTGAACCATCTATCAAGAGGACATTCTTTTCACTACAGTCATTTGCTGTCATTTCATCTACACTGAACTTGCTACATTGAAATTTCTGTTAGTTTTCAAAATCACAGATGACTTTAGAAGTACTGAACTGCACAGCATACTTGCTGCAAGATGCAGCAGCAAACTGTCACACCTTGGGGGTGCTGCAGAGGTAACTAAGGTGGGGGATCTTCTTTGGAAGCAAGCACACCCACCCTCTAATCCCTTGCCATTCTTGCTCCTTGAATGCAGAACAGGATGCTTAGCATTTTAAACAACTGAAAAAATAGGTAAAATGAGTCCATGTTGCTTCCGTTCCTTTCCAGGAGGTGCATTGCAAGATGCACTTACTGGAAAATACATCCAATTACAGCAGTCCAATTATAGATGCTCCTGCTGAGGAAGCTAATAACCTCATTGTGTTTTCGATCTTTAGAGCAGCACCAGCAACCTGGGCTTTGCCCTTGCCACACCATACAGAAATGCAGCATCTTCAAGAGTCACTTGTTTAAAGCACAAAGCAGGGGTGATTTAGGGTGACCAATAAATGCCACCATGTATATGGTAACCAACATCTGGCCAGCAGAGCTTCCCTAAAGCAGGTTTTCCCAAACTTGGGTCTTTCAACTGTTTTCAACTACAGCTCCCATCATCCATGGCTAGCAGGACCAGTGGTCAAGGATGATGTGAATTGCAGTCCAAAACAGCTAGAGACTCAAGTTTCCGAAACTCTACCCTAGAGATTTCTGAGGGCAGAACAAGGCAGCTCCCCCATCAACACTGTGTTCCTCTTGCTATGCAAGCTGCAGCTTTCAGCTGAGAACCAGACGTTCAGGATGCTGTGCGTCACTCCAGCCTCCTCTTGGCTCTACCTCTAGGACTAGAGGAGGAACATAGGAAGAGACCTGCTGGATCACACCAAAAGCCCATTCTAGGACAGCATCCTGTTTCCAGAGGTGGCCAGCCAGCTGCTTCCTGAAAGCCCACAAAAGCCTGAAGGCAACCCTCCAACCCCTGCTGTCTGCCCCCAACATCCTCAAACAGGCTCTCAGGGGTGAGACTTCCTGGTAGAACTAAGCTGCTGTTAATAGGCTTTTGAAATAGGCTTGCACTAATGGGGACTCTTCCAAAAACAGAGTGCTGCAAATTCCAGAAATGAAACAGCCTAGATGTTACAAGATGGGTAGCTGCAAGAGCCTTGGGAAATTAGCAAATGCAAAACTCCCCTCCCATGGGCATGTATGTGTGATTCTGCTCTTGGTTCAGAATGTGGTCAGTCTTCAAATACATTTCTTGACTGCCTCTTGATCTGCAGAAAGGGGAAATGCCAATTATGCAATGGCAGGGATCCTTGTTGGAATATGCATGTGTCATTTTGCTTTGCTGCTATTGCACACACATTGCAAACTTGCAGGAGGAGGAGCTCTAAATTTCTCTCTCTCTCTCTCTCTCTCTTTCTCTCTCGCATGTTAGTAAAGCCAGTAAACTGTGTACAGTGGTACCTCTGGATGCGAACAGTATCCGTTCTGGAGCCCCGTTCGCATCCTGAGCAGAACGCAACCCCCGTCTGCACGTGCGCAGGTTGCGATTCACCACTTCTGCACATGCGTGTGATGTCATTTTGAGCGTCTGCGCATGCGCAAGCGGCGAAACCCAGAGGTAATCCATTCCGTTACTTCCGGGTCGCCACGGAACGCAACCTGAAAACACTCAACCTGAAGCAACTTTAACCTGAGGTATGACTGTATAAGGCAGAAGACATTACGTGTAGTTTCAAAATGCACTGAGCTCTTTGGCCAACCTGAATTCACAGTTTCTGACTGCTTTTTGACTAGAAACGACAGTAACGACAAACTATCTGGATATTTTAGCAGTTCAATTTTCTTCACTGAGTCAATCAGGAAGAGAAGGATAAAAAGATACCAGTCACTACTTTGTTATTACAGGGAGAATTCAGCAGAAATTCACACAAATGGGGGAAAGCACTTCCTTCCAGCTCTTGCAAGGAGGAGCTGGAGTTCACGAGAAGGGCAGGGAAGCATGCAAAGGCTAGGATGGCACAGAGTCCCCAGAGTCCCCCGTAGCAGAAGGACATGACTGTAAACCATTGCACAGCTGGGTGGGGTTCTTCCTGAATGGGCAGGAGACTGTTTTTCAGCCGCTCTTGCTCTGGTGACTTTGCATGTCACAATTCCATCATGTCAGAAGCAAGCAGCAATTGCAATCTCTAAACAGGCAGGACTAGCATAACATCACCCCTTCTCATAAACAACAGCTGCAGCACTACCTTGACCCATTTCTCTTGCCAACCTCTATCCCATGAAAGAACCTTAATTCAGTGGAAGAGCAATACACTTTGCAGGCATAAGGTCCCAGGTTCAATCCTTTGCATCTCTAAGTTGTTGGTGTTGGCATCTGTCTGTTTTGAGAAGCAATGGAGTGCACCTCCTCTAACACCCCCCATACACCCCACCCTAAGTAAGGCAGGGTAAAAACTCCCATCTGGACACCTGGACAGCAGCTGCCAATTAGTATTTACTTAGCTAGATGGGCCAATAGGAACAAAGGAAGCAGCCTTATGCAGAGGTTGATCACTGGTCCAAATAGCTCAGAATTATCTACACTGACTGGCAGCAGGTCTCCGGGTTTCAGACAATGTTCTCTTCCAGCCCCACCTGAAGATGCCAGGGTCTGAACAAATGCACACAGTGCAAATGGCTTCTACTGAGTGATAGTTCTTCTCCAATGGTCTGATTTGGCTTAAGACAGCTTCCTAAATTGTTTCCCCCACATTGCAAACTCTGTACGGTCCGGACCACATAAAGAAAGCCTATTGCTTTTTAAATTGTGTATTAAAGGGCCAGATCCCCAATTTTCCATAATCTGAAATATAAACTTTTGATTGTAGAGGAAACTATTTCCTTTGTGCACCCACGCATCCCAGGTGTGTGTGTGTTTCTTGGGAAAGATCCATCAGGTTTGTTGCAGGATCAGGGCCATAATTCTGCAAAAGGTAGCAATATCAACCTTTCCCCCCTACTTTGCACTGCAAGAAATAATGTCACAAATAGGAAAGGTGTTAAGAAATTATTGCACTGCATAGAAACTAGTATTTCTGCACAGCTCAGTAAATAATGCATTAAGGTCAAGCAGAAGTCATCTCCCCCAAAACTGAAAAGAAGAGGAAGGAATGGGGGTACCTGAGGCCTTCCAGATATTGTTGGACTCCAACTCCAATCACCCCCAGCCACAATGGCTGATGGTCAGGAATGATGTGATTCATAGTCCAACATCATGCAGAGAGCAGCTAAGTTCCCCTCCATTGGCCTAGGCCAGGCATAGCAAACTTGGCCCTCCAGCTGTTTTGGGACTACAATTCCCATCATCCCTGACCACTGGTCCTGTTAGCTAGGGATGATGGGAGTTGTAGTCCCAAAACAGCTGGAGGGCCAAGTTTGGCCATACCTGATGTATGGCATTTCAGTGGTCTAGGGACATAATAATCAGTTGGAATTTGGTTTTTTGCAGTGTTTGATCAGGTTCAGTAATTTCCTGATGGACGCTGGCTGTCTTGGGTTTGGGTTAGCGGTGCTTCCACCACATGAAACATAAACTAGTCAAGGTAAGAGTTGAGGCACACATTATGGTTGCCTTAAAGCCTTTGATTGTTTAGAATGGAAATACCTCTTAGCAGTATTAACCAACTTCCTACAAATCCTTAAACAAATTTACTCCCAAGCAAAATGTAGGATCAATGGTATGGACTCTAATACCATAGCAATACAAAGAGGTTCTAAACAAGAGTGCCCACTATCTCCCTTCCTATTCATCCTGGCCCTGGAACCCCTAGCAATCCAAATCTGGACAGCCCCACAAACACACTAAATATTACCACCCCAATCTCCTCTCTCCCTCTCCTCTTTCTTCTTCCCTCACCTTATTCTGTATAATGTCTCGCATCAAAAGTAAAAAAAGGACTCTACAACATGAAAAAAGACAATGCACATTTTTGTGAACCAATAAAATCTTTAATAAAAATATTATTTAAAAAAAAAAAAGACAGCCAGCGTGAGTCATGCACTAAAATGAAGACATTCGCCATTTGTGGTAAATTCATTTCTTGCTTGTCAAAAAGCCACACACATTAAGACAACCCACTAACTCTCATTTGCCTGGAAGCATCAGCCAAGCCTTGTTACCATCCATGGCAGGTTGACAATGCATGTTAAATAGACCTATGCACGCTCAACACAGAAAACGCAGTTATGATTTTAAACATTCAGGTTTCTTTAGAAAGGCCTTCCTTATATATCTGCTCAGAAGACAGACTGCCAAGAAACATGAGGGTCACAACCCTGCTCATTTTGCTTGCTGTTCGACTGGAAACCAGAACAGCCTTCCTCACCTCTCCCACCAGTGTATTCTACCAGGCACTCTCCATTGTGTTAGGGAAAAAGGAGACGTCAGGGGTGTAATAATGACAATAAATTAAGATTCAGTTTAGTTTAGAGGAAATGCAAGTAAGAGGAGACAAGACACAGGTGTGTAAAATTATGCGTGATGGAATGAAAGTAGATTAAGAGAACAGTTTATCTCCCTCTCTCTTAATATGGGAACTAGGGGCTACTAAACTGAATGCTAGAATATTCAAGCCAGACAAAAGAAGGTACTTAGCCACACAGCGCAGAGTTAAACTCTTGAATTCATTCCCAGAAGTAGTGATTGCCGCCAAGTTGGATGGCTTTGAAAAAGGATTAGATGAATTCAGGGAGGATAAGGCTGTCAGTGGCGACTATCCCTGATGGATGGCTATGTTCTATCTCCACTGTCAGAGGTAATGTGCCTCTGAAAGCCATCTGCTGGGTAATTTCAGGTGGGGAGAGTGGTGTTGGACTCAGGTTCTGCTTTCAGGCTTCCTCTAGTCATCTGCCCAGCCAATGTGAGGACAGGATGCAAGACTAGATGGATCATTAGCCTGATTCAGCAGGTTCTTCTTAGGTTCTTAATGGCTATCAAACCACCAAACTCTTGCTCAGGCACAACCGGTGCTATTTCTCCATGAGACAACTGTGTACATACACGCTACATGGTAGATTGCATCAGATGCAACCCACTCCCCAACCTTCTTCATGTTCAGTTGCACTGCACCAAGGCCACAGCATTCATTTCCCACATCTTGAAACATTCAGCTTCTTAAATACTTCCTCAGTGCTCTAAGTGCAGGCCAATCTCAGCGGAAGAAGTAGCCCCTGTATAGAGGGATCTACAAAAGATGAATTCTGGCTGAATGCATCACAGAAAGGCAATAGAAGTGAATGCCTAAATATTATTGTTATTGTTATTATTAAATTTTGTATATCACTCTTCATCCGTAGATCTCAGGGTGGTTCACAACATAAAATACAAAATGCATAATAAAAACAGCTAGACTGGTGACTGCGTGTGGCTGCCTAAAGGATCTTCACTGGCTCCCAGTACGTTTCTGAATACAGTTTAAAGTGTTGGTCTGACCTTTAAAGCCCTAAATGCCCTTAGCCCAGTATACCTCAAGAAGCATCTCCACCCCCATCGCTCAGCCCAGAGACTGAGGTCCTCCTCCGAGGGTCTTCTGTGGTTGCCTCACTGCGAGAAGTGATGTTTCAGGGAAACAGGCAGAGGGCCTCCTCGGTAGTGGTGCCCTCCCCGTGAAACCCCTCCCTTCAACATCAAGCAGATAAAGAACTACACAACTTTTAGAAGACATCTGAAGGCAGCCCTGTATTGGGAGGTTTTTAACGCTTGATGTTTATAAAATTATATCATGGGCGGGGTATAAATCATAAAAGTATTATCATCAACAACAACAAACCAATAAACCCCTTCCCACACCCACTCTAGAGGCAAGGAGCACCACTCACACCACTGGGACCCATGGAAGGGGTGGGGTAGACCTGTCAGTGCCAGGAATACTGAGCTAGATGGACCAATGATCTGACTTGGGATAAGGTAGTTTCCTATGATCCTGTGTCCACACTAGGCTCCAGTCTCTTCTATCCTTAGGCAGAGTGACACACACATACACTCTAGAGTACAAGTGAGCAACATCCACAAATAATTCCCATGTCTTGCTGTAAGAAAAACAGGTTATTCCTACCTCAATAATCTTCCTTCAGTTATGTTTTGGAGCATCAGTGTTGGATTTAGAATAGGGGCAGGGAACATGTGGTCCTCCAGATGTTGTTGTTGTTGGGCTCCAACACCCATCATCCCTAGCCAACATGGCCAGTGATCAGGAATAATGTAAGCTGGGAAGAGCCAAAACATTCTCCACCCCTGATTTAGGGCTCTTCTTGCACTGCCTCTCAGTCTACATGAGGCCAGGTAGGCAACTGCCTTGGGCAGCAGATCCAGCACCCAAAGAATGCATTGCCTGCTGCCACCACCATGGTAACAGCAATAGCTGTGGTGTGCTCTTTGGAGGCTGGATCTGGCGCCACCTTGGCATTTCCCACCCCCACTCCTGAATACTGTATATGGTCTCTTGGCAAACAGAAGGCATTCTGGTTTCCTCCCACCCCCAAGGAAGTAATTGCAGAAACTGCCCTCTGGGGGCTTCCTGGACTCTGCACCCACCTGGCCTGATTCAGAGTGGGTCCCTTTTCCCTCCATGGCAGCCTCCGATCCCCACTTCAGCTGTTGGGTAAGGTTGCTTTGCTTCCTCCCCTTGTTCCCGATGTAGATCTTCACTCACCCATCTTGTGGTTTGCCTCGGGTGTCTAAATGTCTTGAGCCAGCCCTTTGCATGTCATGTGGCAGAAGGGTGACTGGGGATCTTGCGTTTGTTATGGCTGTGGACAGAACGGCTTGAGTACGTGGGGATTGCTGCGTTTCCCTAGGCTAGCAGCTAGGTTAATTTAAAAGAAACTGCAGCTTTCTTTTAAAATTAAACCAGCTGAGCAGATGAATTGCTGTTGTTTTTATTTTTATTTTTAAAAAAAGACGAACTTAAAAGCAAATATTAGTTGGTGGTGCTTTGGAAATCAGGCAACCTGGGTAAGAAGCTGCCTTAAACTTAAGAACATAAGAAGACTCCTGCTGGGTCAGGCAAATGGCCCATCTAATCCAGCAACCTCTTCTGACTGAGGCCAGGCAGATGCCAGGCATTAGCCATGTGGATTGGCAGTAGCATATTCTGCAGTCCCAAGAAGCCTTCTCACTGTGGTCTTCCACTTAAGTGCCTTTACAGGGAGCATTACACACACACACACACACACACACACAATGTCACAACAATTTTCTCTGGCAATCAGTCTGTTTTCATTCTCTTTGCTGGTTCTGACCTACAAAGCATTGCACAGCATGGAACAGGTTGTCTGAAACAGTGCACTTTCTCATACAAGCTTTTCCAGATCCTTGGGAAGAGCCCGTCTTCCTGTCCTGCCAACACCGGACACACATTTGAAGGGAAGGTCCACAGCTCAGTGGCAGAGCATCTGCTTCGCTTGCAGAAGGTCTCAGGTTCAATCCCTGACATCTCCAGGTAGAGCTGGGAATGTCCCTGCTCTGAAATCCTGGAAAACCATCTACCAGTCAGAGTAGACAATCTGGAGATCTCTGGAACAATGTTCTGACCTGATATAAGGCAACTTCCTTGTAAGAGGGCATGAGTGCAAGAACTCATTGCCAAGGGGTGTCTGGCTAGCCTGCTGCTAACTACCTAAACTGACATGTTGTATGGTTGTTTTTATTAACTTTAGTGCTGTTTTACCTGCCTTATTCTTATACTGTTTTCACCTGGAATCTTATTGCTCCTTATTATTTTATTTTGCGTTTTTATTATTGTCTTGGGGAGCATTTGGTGGAAAGGTAGGACAAAATTTTAACAAATAAATAAAATAAGGTACAAGTGGAACAACCAGGGCCCACCTTAGAAGGTGGTGGGCTCTCGTTCCTCAGAGGTTTTTAAACAGAGGTTGGGTGGCCATCTGTCACAGATGCTCTAGTTGAGATTCTTGCATTGCAGGGGGTAGGACTAGATAATCCTCACGGTCCCTTCCAGTTCTACCATTCTATGATTCCTATTAGTCTACCTCGGAGGACTCAACATGCAGCTCACTGGTTGCCTAGTGCTGCCTTTCAGTTGCTGGAAACCATAGGAACGAGAGTGATCTTGTACATCCAGGTCCTATATTTGGGCTTCCCACATGCACCTGTGCCAATGTGGTATAGTGGCTGGAGTATTGGGCTAGAACTTGGGAAACCAGGGTTCAAATCCCCACTCAGTCATAAAGCTCACTTGGTGACCTTGGGCCAATCACCATCTCTCAGCCTAACCTACCTCACAGGGTTATTGAGAAGGTAAAACAGAGGGACAGGAGAACCATCCATGCCACTACTTTGAGCTCTTTGGGAGGAATAGTAGGGCAGAAATGTCATTGTTGTGGTTGTGGTTGTTGTTGTTGTGGTTGTGGTTGTTGTTAAAGAATCCACTATGAGGACAGGATGCTGGACTAGACAGATGGGCCATTGACCTGATCCTGCAGCCTCCTGTGATGTTCACTAGGTTGGCTGGCGCTGACTGCCAGCTGTAGCCCAAAACAACTGGGAGCCACCAGGTTGGCAAAGCGTAGTGTAGCACATTTATTTTTAACTTTTATCACACTGGCATTCCAAACCTCAGTCAAGATGTTTATTAGGGCAGCATAAATGAGGTCATCACATTTTGTCTTCAGAGCTCTTTTGAGGGGGAATAGATTACAAGTGACCTGCAAAGGCCTCACAGTGAGCTTCATGGATCCGAGCAGGGATCTGGACCCTACTCTCACCATGCCAGGCCAAATATATGTCACTCTGTGATATACACTTGGAACGAATTGTGGATACCACCCAACTGAACAAACTGAAATATTGCACTCTGAAGGTCAGATTTATGAAATGTAGGGCTATAAGGAGCTATCTAATACAAGCTAGTTGTCCATCTAGCCCCAAACTGCTTGCTCTGACTGGCAGCAGTCCTCTAGAACCTCAACTAGGCGTCTTCCATTCACTTGCTCCCCATTATTTGTTTTAACTAGAGATGCCAGAGATTAAGATCTGGGACCTTCTGCATACAAGGCAAATGTTCACTAACTGACTTATGGTCCCTTCTCTTTAAATATTTGAAACTGGTGAAACTGGATTCATTCCAGCCCTAGAACATGATGCAGTACAACACATTCTTTTAGCACACAAAGATAATCCATTTAAAATGGGGTGTGGAACCTCTAGCCATCCAGCTATTGTTGGACTCCAACTCCAATAATCCCCAGCCAAGATGGCCAATAGTGAGGGATGATGGGAGATGTAGTCCAATATCTGGAGGGACAGAGAATCCCCATCCCCAATTGCTGTACTACACTGCATGCTCCTTCTTCTAACATCCTGGCAGGTTAGAAATCCCAGGAGCTCCTATGGTCCTTTCCCTAGTTAAAATGAACAAGGAATTGCAAACAAATTAGACCCATCTACAAGCCAAAAGATGTTCAATTAATTTGGTTTGCAAAGGGCTCCATCTCCTGCCTCAGGAGTGCCTCTGTGCTCCCTTTCATCACAGCAGAGACAAAAGGGCAGGTGAGCTCTGGACATTATAGAGCTTGTGCAGAGAAAAAATCTCCCACCCTTCCAATTAAAAAATAATAATAAATTCTTTGTCATATTGGGAGATGCCAGGCATTGTGATGTGAGTGATGCACCCAAAAGAAAAAAGCCAATATATAGGAATCTAAATGGAGCCAGAAAGAGAAATGAACACTTTATGGAAAATGATCACAATTAAAATTAAGCTGCTTGAAGATGAAACAATTTACGATCAAACCCAAAGCACTTTATTTATGGAGGTGCCTGCTGTGAACCCTGGCAGTTACAACCCCACAGCCTGCAAAAGAAATAAATATAAATAACCCCTCGTCTGCAAAATGCACACACGCACCACAGCTCCAGTTTAGCGTAGCCCAGAAATGAAGAAGGCTCCACAACTGAGCAACCCAAACCTAGTTAAAATCTGCCCCCAACTATCCCACGCTAATGCAAGAAGAGGTCACACCCACCGCATCATTCAACCCACATCTCCCCAGTTTCATCAGGCCAAGCCTTTAAGACAGTCATCTGCAAAGCACTGCTTCCTTCGTCCTATGCAACACGCTACCCAATAAATCCGGCCCGTCACGGCCAGTCAGATCACACACAATCAAGCAAACCCTCTTTTGTTTAATACAAAGGCTCTCCCTCAAAAAACACCCCCAAAACCCATCACCTTTAGCCAGTAACATCCTCTTGTCCTCCTGTCTTCCCACCCGCCCCCGCACACACGCGTATAAAATCCAGCCTGCAAAAAAAGACAAAAAGCAGCAGCAGCAGTCCATAGCCTCCCCGCATTCGCCATCACCCGAACCTATAACGGGAAAGTCACCGCCAAGAGCATCACCCCAGCGGCTTCTCTTATATCACCAGCCCGCTCCACATCCCTCTGCGCCGACAGTAACAGCGATTTGTAAAAATAAGACCGAGATTTAAGAATTCACATCTCTGATCATTTAAGAAAAGACGGTTTCGGAATCCCACTGTGTTAACGCCCAGTTCTTAATTCGGAACCATGGGAATATCTCGGGCTGGGGAGTGTATATGCAGCTCGCGCCCGCTTTCCTGAAGTGGCCATCCGGGTATCCACCCAGCATTCATTCATTAGCCAAGCTGCCTCTTTCCTCTCTGGCCCGTTTCCCTCTCAATCGTCGGCATCACCACCTAGCCGCGGCTTCCCTTGCCAAAGAAGCGCGCGCGAACCTTGCCCGTCCCCGAGAGCTGGAGTTCTAGCGGCAGCTTCGCAGGGAAGGCAAGCTAGCCAGCTAGCCGGCCGGTCAGCCATGCTCAGGGAGGCCCACCCCAGTCCAGAGCGCGGTGCGCCCTCCACGCCAGTCGCCGCGCACTCACCACCTGGCGCGCTATCTCGGTGGCCGCCATGGCCCCTTCGCCTCGCCTCCTCGGAAGCCGAGCCCGCTGCAAACTCTACCTCAGTCCAGGAGACACTGTTACACTGACTGAGCGGGTGGAGGAAGGACCCGGCTACTGCGGCATGGGGGGGGGGAGAGTGAAATGGGGCGTGGACACGACCGAATCCTCTGCCACTTGTTTGGAGCTAGAAAGCCGGCTAGGGGGCAGAGAAGAAGGGCGCTGGCGGGATCCTTCCCTTCTGAAGCAGTCAGCTCCTCCCGCGCGCTTCGAGGAGTCTCCACAGGCGGCTCCACAGCATTCCTCCCCCCCACCGCCTCCCCCGGGCGAAATGGTGCAGTCCGAGACGCGCGCAAGGCTAGGGTCCGCGCGGCTATGATGTGACTGTGCGCTTGCCTGGGTGGCTCTGAATGAGACCGGGGAGGAAGGAAGCCAAAGAAAGGGGAGGGAGGGACGGAGACCGCGAACTAGAGCGGAGGAGGAGGAGGAGGGCGCTCCAGCCTTACTACTAGTGGTGCCCTCAGGGCAGGACTTCAGGGCCCCCACGCAACAGAATTAGCAGGAGAGGCCTCCAAGTGCAGCAGTGCTGGCTGACCTCAGCTGGAAATAAGTGAAGCATGGCACCTTAGCATCTAAAGAGCTAAAACTACCTAACCATAGCTGTCAACGTTTCCCTTGTTTTAAGGGAAATTCCCTTATTCCGAATAGGATTCCTCGCAATAAAAGGGAAACGTTGACAGCTATATACCTAACTTAAGCCTAGCATTACCTCTAAGGCTCAAACTGCACCGTTGCTTACTAAGCTGGCCCTGCAATCCCCTTGAGCCAAGCCAGCTTCCTTCTCTCCTGCTTGGGCTGGATCAGGGCTGGGCAACCCTTTCCCCTCTCAGAGGGCCACATTCCTTCCTAGGGAACCTCTCTCAAGGGCCACATGCCAGTGTGGGCAGGGCCAGAAGCAAAAGTGGGTGGAGCAAGAAATGCTAATTTACTTGCACACCTCTCTTTGTCCGCTGCCTAGGGCAGACAGGATAAATCACAGAATCAAAAGAGTTGGAAGGGACCACAAGGGCCATCAAATACAACGCCCTGAAATGCAGGAATCTCGTGCCCTATGTGAGCCCAACAACCCCACAAGCTCCAATTTCTACTTTTTGTTAAGTATGCATTTTTATTTGGGGTGGGCATCTCCCCCCCCACCCCCTGCTACACCCCTGTACACAGCCAAAGGAAACTGGAAGCAGCATCAACATCAAAGAGTCTTGTGGCAGCTAAAAGCCTAACAGGTTTTATTACAGAATGTTGAGTCCATTTCAACAGATGCATGAACTGTAAGTCTCAGTTGGCAGCTGCAGATGCGTTTGCTCTGTTGAGATAGAAAATGTTGCGAACAGCAGGGCCCATAGCCATGAAATACATGAAGTACAATCTGTGACAATTTCTTTGTAAAGCTTAAAGATAAGCCAAGTGACCATTCATTAATAGCTTATCTTAAGCTTTCCATAAAAAACCCCACATACTGTATTTGTTGCATTTTGTGGCCAAGTGTTTCCCCTGTTTACAATTTGTTTTTCTCTTTACTCATGCACATGTGATGAGACTGAACATTTATATGGGCTCTTTCAAGCATTCAATGCATTCCACATTCCAGCCCTTACAAAGTAAATCAGTATACTATCCTCTGTGTTGCAAAGGCACCAAGAGAGTAGTTTGCCAAAGTCCACCTGGCGAGTTTGGAAGGACTCAAAAGGACCCAAACCAGGGACTTGCCAGTTTGTAGTTGTTGTGAAATTGTGTTATATTTTTGCACACATGTCCTGCATGCAAGCTTCCCACAGGCATTCTGGTTGGCTATTCTGAGAACAGGACCAGACTGGACACTGGCCTGAAATATCTCAAAACAGTGAGCAACCTTCAGTTCTCCAGAACCCTTCATGAGGCAGGGTGTTAAGCAAAGTGAGAGCAGAGGTAAGGGAAGATAGAGGAAAGCTGGCTTGAGGTAGCCACAAATCTTCATTTGGTCACAGTCATACAGTGGAGCATAGGAAGAAATCAGAACTGGATCAGCCTCAGCTAGGTGCTCTGTGAGTAACATTCTCCACCTATTAACTGTAGACACAGGACTGCACTGTGCATACCACAGGCACCATATGTGAAGGGCACTCATACTGGAATCCACAAACAACAGCACAATGGTGTTGACCTTTAAAGCCCTAAACGGCTCCAGTGCTTTATACCTAAAGGAGTATCTCCACTCCCATTGTTCAGCCTGGACACTGTGGTCCTTCTGGCAGTGCAAGAAGTGAAGTTACAGGGAACCAGGCAGTGGACCATAGTGGTGCCCATCATGTGGAACACCCTCCCATCAGATTTCAAAGAGATGAACAATTATATGACCTCCCGTAGACATCTAAAGGCAGCCCTGCATCAGGATGCTTTTAATGTGTGATGTTCTGCTGTGTTCTTTTTATATTCTGTTGAAGCTGCCCAGAGTGGCTAGGGCAACCCAGACAGATGGGAAGGGTACAAAAAAATAAATTAATCTATCATGATCATCATTAAACTTATTCTCATGGAACTCTCCATGTAGGCTCACTCCCTTTCCACCTTTCACAAAAAATTAAAGCCTTTAAAAAAAAGAAGCTGGCTTTTAAGGAGTGATCTGTAGCTTTCAGGAGATTTGTATTAGTGTTTTATCTTGCTGATGTATTAGTGTCCTGTTATTGAGCCTGTCAAAGTGAGCATGTAATTTAAGTGTTTCCTTTTTTAATAATGTATTTCCATGTTTCTCTTGCAGGTTGCTTTATCATGGTCATGCAAAAGTGGGATGAAAATATTAATCGAACTTTTAATAAACCATATTTGTGGTTTGTATTTGGAGGAGATCACTTGGAGAATGAACTGTTGAATGGAGCTTGAAGAGAGTTGTGGGGAGAATTTCGTTGCCAGTTGGAAGCAGGAGAGGGATGCCCATTTGTAAAAAGGTAAAGGGACCCCTGACCATTAGGTCCAGTCATGGCTGACTCTGGGGTTGCAGCGCTTATCTTGTTTTATTGGCCGAGGAAGCCGGCGTACAGCTTCCGGGTCGTGGCTAGGCTGACTCTGGCAAACCAGAGCAGCGCACGGAAACACCGTTTACCTTCCCGCCGGAGTGGTACCTATTTATCTACTTGCAGTTTGAGGTGCTTTCGAACTGCTGGGTGGGCAGGAGCAGGGACCGAACACCGGGAGCTCCCCCCCGTCGCGGGCATTTGAACCACTGACCTTCTGATCGGCAAGTCCTAGGCTCTGTGGTTTAACCCACAGTGCCACCTGCATCCTTTGTATCCATTGTATCCTTTTGTTCCCATTTGTATCTGGGACCAATTCAAGGTGCTCACATTATTGCTTAAAGCCCAAAATGACCAAAGTCCTAAATATCTGAAAAGCCATTTCCATCCCTACTGACCTTCTCAGGTGTTGGGGAATTGTGTCCTAGGAGAGGGTTTTCTCTGTGGCAGACACCAAATTGTGGAATGCCTTCCCTACAGAGGTGTGACTAGCCCCTTCACCCAACAGCTTCACACAAGATGCACCTCTTTATCCCAGTCTTGGACCATTAAGGTACTTTTTTCCCTGGGACTCACCGCTATAAGCTGAACTTATATAGACCCCCAACCCATTTGGAGCAGTTTCATGTGTTTTACCTTGGTAGTGGTTTTTTTTTTTTTTTTAAAGTGCACATTCTATTGCTGTAACCTACCCAGGGACCTTATGGTGAGGGGCGGGTAAGAAATCTTATAAAATAAATAGAAATTAGCTAAGTGCTAATGGGTTCAGCACAATAAGCAACTCCTTAGCAATGTATGCTTCCTTGGAAGTAAGTCCCATTAAGTCAAATTAGATTACTACTTACCTTTGCAAGTGATGTGTTTAGGATTGCAACATCAGTTTCATTTAGGAATAAACGGGTCACACGCTACCCCTAGTGGATATCTCAAGAAATGCTTAGGAGAAGATGCAGATTGGAAAAGATACTGCTTTTATCTTCTCTATAATTAATGAGAAGCAGATTTTTAAAGTTCACATCTGCCTATCGGGCAGTGTAAGGGAAAACTGAATGCTTGTTTTCTGTTTGGTCAGCCTAAGCTGGCCTAAAAATCATTGATTTTAACATTCTTTATGTCTCTCATTTGCAAGAAGCAATACGGTAATAATATTCTAGACCACAGTGTTGCTACTTCCAGTGAGAAAGCTGTGTTGGCTGGTTGCTGCAGAACCTAAGATTATTGTGATATCATAAAGCTGCAGTCTTATAAAACTTAATAATAATAATAATTTATTATTTATACCCTGCTCATCTGGCTGGGTTTCCCCAGCCACTCTGGGCGGCTTCCAACAAAATATTAAAATACAATAGTCTGTTAAACATTAAAAGTTTTCCTAAACAGGGCTGCCTTCAGATGTCTTCTAAAAGTCTGGTAGTTGTTTCTCTCTTTGACATCTGGTGGGAGGGCGTTCCACAGGACGGGTGCCACTACTGAGAAGGCCCTCTGCCTAGTTCCCTGTAACTTGGCTTCTCACAGTGAGGGAACCGCCAGAAGGCCCTCAGCACTGGACCTCAGTGTCTGGGCAGAACAATGGGGGCGGATACATTCTTTCAGGTATACTGGACCGAGGCTATTTAGGGCTTTAAAGGTCAGCACTAACACTTTGAATTGTGCTTGGAAATGTACCGGGAACCAATGAAGGTCTTTCAAGACCGATGTTATGTGGTCTAGCTGCCTCATTCTAGATTAGCTGCAGTTTCCATGTCACCTTCAAAGATAGCCCCACATAGAGCGCATTGCAGTAGTCCAAGCAAGAGATAACTAGAGCATGCACCATTCTGGCGAGACAGTACACGGGCAGGTACGGTCTCAGCCTGCGTACCAGGTGGAGCTGGTAAACAGCTGCCCTGGACACAGAATTGACTTGCGCCTCCATGGACAGCTGTGAGTCCAAAATGACTCCCAGACTGAGCACCGGGTCCTTCAGGGGCACAGTTACCCCATTCAGGACCAGGGAATCCTCCACACCTGCCCGCCTCCTATCCCCCCAAAACGGTACAGTGGTGCCTCTGAATACAAACAGGATCCGTGCCGGACCCCCATTCGCATCCAGAAGCGAATGCAACCCGCGTCTGCGCAGGTCACAATTTGCCACTTCTGTGCATGCACTTTATGTCATTTTGACCATCCATGCATGTGCGAGCGGCAAAACCCAAAAGTAACGCATTCTGTTACTTCTGGGTCACCGTGGAGCGCAACCTGAAAGCGCTCAACCTGAAGCAACTTCAACCTGAGGTATGACTGTACTTCTGTCTTGTCAGGATTCAACCTCAATCCATCAACCGCCATCCATCCTCCAACCACCTCCAGACACACAGGACCTTCACCACCTTCACTGGTTCTGATCTGAAAGAGAGGTAGAGCTGGGTATCATCCGCATACTGATGAACACCCAGCTCAAACCCCCTGATGATCTCTCCCAGCGGTTGCATGTAGATGTTGAAAAGCATGGGGGAGAGGACAGCACCCTGAAGCACCCCACAAGTGAGAGTCCAGGGGTCTGAACACTCATCCCCCCAACCCTCCCCCACCAACACAGCACAGGAGGAAGGAGCGGAACCACTGTATAACAGTGCCCCCAGCTCCCAGCCCCTCTAGACAGTCCAGAAGGATGTTATGGTCGGTGGTATCAAAAGCCGCTGAGAGATCCAGCAGAACTAGAAAACAGCTCTCACTTTTGTCCCTAACCCGCCAGAGATCATCGACCAGTGCAGCCAAGGCAGTTTCAGTCCCATGATGAGGCCTGAATCCTGGCTGGAAGGGATCCAAATGGTCTGCTTCTTCCAGGCATGCCTGGAGTTGTTCAGCAACCACTCGCTCAATCACCTTGCCCAAGAATAAAATATTTGAGACTGGGTGATAGTTGGCCATATTGGCCACATCTAAAGATGGTTTTATGAGAAGCAGTTGGAGGACCGCCTCTTTCTGCAGGTCTGGGAAGGCTCCTTCACAGAGAGAAGCATTCACCACCCTGCAAAGCCCATCGCCCAGCCCTTCCCGGCTAGCTCTTATAAGCCAGGATAGGCAAGGATCAAGGGGACAGGTAGTTGGTTTCACTCATCCAAGCAGCCTGTCCACATCCTCAGGGGTAACAGATTGGAATTGATAGCATATTAACTACTGGGTAGCTCAGTTGGCAGAGCATGAGATTCTTAAGATGTGAATCACGGGTATGAACCCCACACTGGGCAAAAAAAATCCTTCATTGCAATGTGTTGGATTACATGACCCTCATAGTCCCTTCTAACTCTAAAATTCTATGATTCTATGTTAAGTATATTGTTGTTATTAGTTTAGCAATCTCCATTACATGCATTACACATCCTCCACAAGCAGAACTGGTTTCCTGCATTAACAGCAGGCAGAATTGATTTGCAGTGGTGCAAAAACTCTGCCCCACCAGACCTACCTAAGCCCAGCATGGGGCCTAACCTGGCCCACAAGGCAGCCTCCCTCCCAAATATACCCACCAGCCCCACACCTAAAATCAGGTAAGCACCATGGCTCAGTGGTAGAGCACCTGTCTCACATGCAGCTGGCCCAAGGTTCAGTCCTCCAGCATCTCCAGGTAGGCCTGGAACTGTTCCCTGACTGAAGCCCCTGACAGCAGCTGCCGGTCAGTGTAGATAATACTGAGCTTGGTGGACCAATGTTCTGACTTGGTATATAAAGCAGCTTCCTATGTGTCACGTGTGGTGCCAGGTGTGGAGCAGGTAAAGGCATGTCTGCCAAAGGACACTCCTGATTGTTCATTGTTTGGCCACTGTCAAACAGCTGATCAGGTAGGGATTAGCTGCGCTAGGAAGTCCCCCACTGAGAACTGCTGGCCCATATCTGCACTATATAGTTTAAGGACTCCTGACCACTAGGTCCAATCGTGACCGACTCTGGGGTTGTGGTGCTCATCTCGCTTTATTGGCCGAGGGAGCCGGCGTTTGTCTGCAGACAGCTTCCGGGTCATGTGGCCAGCATGACCAAGCTGCTTCTGGTGAACCAGAGCAGTGCACGGAAACGCCGTTTACCTTCCCACCAGAGCGGTACCTATTTATCTACTTGCACTTTGATGTGCTTTCAAACTGCTAGGTTGGCAGGAGCAGGGACCGAGCAACGGGAGCTCACCCCGTCACGGGATTCGAACCGCCAACCTTCTGATCAGCAAGTCCTAGGCTCTGTGGTTTAACCCACAGCGCCACCCGCGTCATATAGTTTAAAGTAGTGTGATAAAAGTAGGCTTCCCCCAAAGTATTCTGGGAGCTGAAGTTTAGGACGTGATGTACTGCTGAGAGTTGCTAGGAGACCCCCTGTTGCTAGGAGACCCACTCATTCACAGAGTGGTTTCACAATCCTTCTTTCCCAGGGAACTCTGGGATTTGCAGCTCTGGGAGGGGAATTGTCTCCCAGCAACTCTCAGCACCCTGAGCAAAATGCATCATCCTTGATTCTTTTTCGGAAGCCGTGGCTGCTTAAAGTGGTACCACGCTGCTTTAAAAATGCATAGTGCAGATCGACTCTCCGGAACCATAGAACGAATCGGGGACTGTAGACTAGATAGGTAACCAACCCCTAAACGGTTTTTAAGGTGCCAGTCCATTTGGGGGCCGCTGTCCCTGGACAGGGGCAGGCTTTGGGCATCTTTGGTTTCCAGCGAGAAGTCAAAATTTGGCGCCCCCAAACGGATCTTCTCAGTTATGGGTCCGTTCAATTTTGCGGCGCCCTGTATGGGAGAACCATCCGCACCGCCCTAAATCCGACTGCTGCAACTCCGCAGAAAGGGGAGATGTATAGCTGCGTCCGGCGACCACCACCCTTTTGCTTCTCCCGGAATAAAAGATCGCTGGCTGTTTAAGTTTCTCGCCATGCGGAAGAACGCAGTCAGCATCACATGCGGCGGCTTAATCTATCCCAGCCAATAGGTCGAGAGCAAAGGTCACGCTGTTGCTTTTCTGCAGCGCTTCAAAACTCACCGATGGCAAACTTTGCACAAAGGAACTCCGGAGAGGCGCTGGCTGGAGACTGCGCTGAGACGCGGAAGGAACACAAGGCTCAGAAGGGGAGGAGGAGCCCCGAGGGCGGCTGCGCCTCTGCAAGGTGCCCCAGCGGCTTCCAAGCTGGGAAAGGCCTGGGGAGCACCTGGTCCGAGCCGCTGCCCCCCGCCACCCTGCAGGTACGCTTGGAAAAGGTAAAATGAAAAGCGTTGGGAACTTCCCCGCCCTTCCCAAACTGCTTCCTCATCCTTTACTGGAATAGCTAGGACTTCCTAGGGGGATTTCTTTTTCAGAAGCCCCAAAAAGAAAGTGTACAGGTGTCTAAACGTCAGCACCCAGGGAAGGTAGTTCGAAGGCTAAGTGGAACATGAGACGGTGGTTTTTCATGCAAGACGCCGGATCATTCTCGCGGTACGCTGAAGTCAGGGCTTTCGTCGCAGCGTCTCAGAGTTCGTTTTACAGACGGTCGCGTCAGGGTATGAACTTCAGAAAGTTGCCCCTTGGGATTCCCCAGAGAAACTCGGGAAAAGCCATCGTTTCCCGTCTTTGGGAAATGCTACTACTATTGACAAGGGTCATAATAAGGGCAGCGCCGATTCGGGGTATGCAAGCGGGTACCCCGCACAGGGCACGAGCCGAGGAGGTGCGTGCGTGCGTGCCCCGAGATCTACCTGCGGGGGAGGCATCCTCATGGTCGGAGCTGCTGCAGCTGCGGGCGCCTTTGCTTCCTCCTCCCCTCCCCTCTCCCGGTCCCTGCTGCAGATAGGAGATTCGCTTTCCCGGACGAGGCGCAGGTGGCACTTGGGGGAGGGAAGCTGCAGCCAGGTCACAATCCTGCGGGCGCTTCCAGAATCGAGGGTCAGCGGTGGAGACGAGCTAGCTCATGCACCCTGAGTGCGCAGTGGTGTGTGGGGTGTGCGTGTGTGTGTGTGTGGATTTTGTCCTCGCTCATGGTGCCATATTACCCAAGTTCGCCTCTGACGAGGGTTGCCAAGCATTTTGAACACAAGGATAACTACTAATAATATAAATGCTACATATCAATTCATCCACGTGTAATTCCTACTTCAGAAGTACAGTAGATTCAGTTTAAAGCATGGCTTTCTCCTGCAGTCACAACATTCCTAGGTAGAATTGAACACCTTGAGGGAATCAAAAGCATTATGTTGTATGTTCATTACATGGGTGAACATTGCAAACTGCTCTGCCTGAATGTTGTTGAATCCACACCTAAGACATTCAAGCTCAGTTTGTGTGTTGGGGTCATGCCCAGAGCATATGAAATAAGAACAAAGGATGGTGCCCTTGAGTAGGTGCAGAGAGCATTTCTTTCACCACTGAATCATAATAGCTTGTGTTTGGACTGTTGGTGTGCCACTATGCATTAGCACAGTGCAGCAAGAGAGAGCCAAGAGGTCTGAATTTAGGCCGTTTACACATAAGTAGCCATAGGCAAACCAATATACTTGAGCTTAAAAGGTAAAGGGACCCCTGACCATTAGGTCCAGTTGTGGCTGACTGGGGTTGCGGCGCTCATCTCGCTTTATTGGCTGAGGGAGCCGGCGTACAGCTTCTGGGTCATGTGGCCAGCATGACTAAGCCGCTTCTGGTGAACCAGAGCAGCGCACGGAAGCGCCGTTTACCTTCCCACTGAAGCGGTACCTATTTATCTACTTGCACTTTGATGTGCTTTTAAACTGCTAGGTTGGCAGGAGCAGGGACCGAGCAATGGGAGCTCACCCCGTTGCGGGGATTTGAACCACCGACCTTCTGATCGGCAAGCCCTAGGCTCAGTGGTTTAACCACATATTACAGCTTAGTTAGCTGTAATATGGAAACAATTAAAGCAGGCAATCTGGTTCTGTCTCTTGGGTGTTATGTTGGAGGAGTAAGACAAGGAGGAATCTATAAGGGCTGCTTTTCTTAGCTACCATAAAGTTATGTCTGTGTGAGTTATTACTGATAAGGAGGAGCTGCTTTAAAAGAACAGCAGCCTACTTTACAGGGCTGTAGCAAGGATAGCTAAAATAAGAAGGGCTGTCCAAACAGAGAGCATTTGCATGGAGACTTGAGTTCCAGAATCTCTCTGATGCCCCCCAACAGAAAAATAACCCTGAAAGTTGCTACGTTGGCTGAGGAAAGAAGTCACAGATCAATAATCCCTGCTTATCCAAACTGCGGTGGAAAGGGAACAAAGGAGAGACAACTGTGTTTGCATTTTGGAGCTTATTTAACACTTTTGACAATCGGAAAAGAAGTGTCAGAAGCCTATTTAAAAAAATATTTTAAAATCAGACCAGAATTTGCCAAAGTGTTTGCCCGAGTGTGCTGGTGCTGCCAGGTCATTTCCTTCTGCTGAAATTAGGTCTGAAATCAATAGAATAGGTGGGAGGGTGTGTGGGGGGGGGGTGTAGATGTGCCCAGGGCCCAAAACGTTGGGCAACCCCTTGAAAAAGATGTTTGTTTCACATTGTATGCCTGTGTACCTCTCAAAATGTATCTCAACAACACCAAGCAAAAGGAAACGTCAATTCATCTCTGGAGGAAAAGAAGTGGGTGTTGTTCTTTTTGGCTCTGGAATATTTAACCTGTGTATGTCTCTGACAAACAGGTTTTAGATTCCCCAGAGTTCCCTGAGAGGAGGAATTGATTATTGAACCACTCTGGAATTGTAGCTCTATGAGGGGGAATAGAGGCTCTCCTACGCACTCCCACAGCCCTTAATGAATATACACTTTCCATCATTCTTCGGGGGAAATCCATGGGTGTTAAAAGTGGTATGATAATGCTTTCAGTGTATAGTGCAGATTGAGCCAATGACGGTGTCTCACCAGTATGACAATATTTCACGGTGTTTGACTTACAGAAACTGTCAAATTTCAAATTATATATGATGAATAAGCACACATCCCACCAGGCAGGGAATGGCGTAATAAAATCTGAGCCATCCTAACTCATGATGTTTAGAGAATTATGTCTCTAAACACCCTGATCATTTATTGGAGAAATACTTCTCATTGTTAGCATGCTTGGACTCTTTCTTCAAAGTGGTCTCCAGAACCACCAGAGTCTATTTTATGCTCCATTGAAAAGACACAGTGTATATCTAACAGCAAACACTCATCTATACAATGCACAATATATGAGATGTTTTCACTACCAAGTATTGAATGCTCTGCAAATGCACACCCACCCATGAACATATTATAAAGTAAAAAGCAAAATGGAACGAAAAGTTCAAAAATGTGAAGTAGAGAAAGCTTTACTTTGACAAAGGCTGCATTCCTATGCGCACTTATTCAGAGGGTCTTCTGAATAAGGTCATTCAGTGAGACTTACTTCTGAAAAGACATGCACTGGATTTCACTGTTAATTAGATCTGGCTGTGATAAATTTTGCACTTTGTCTTGCACTTAGCACAGTCTAATCTAATTAAGTCCTAATCTTAATTAAGTACACCCAGTGCCTCCTGCACTCTATCTTAATACAAACTGTGGGCTTGCAGCACAACTCCCCTCTATCCCCTGTTTGTCTTACAGACCAGCCTAAAGAGGAGTTCTGGAGTCTGGACTACATGCAATTTTGCTCACTAATCTGTCACACTTTAGTTGGTTCTAATGAATGAAGAACTTCCTGTGCTGCTGGGTTGTTTTTCTTCAAATGACCCAATCTTGCCGCCAACCATTGTTGTGAGTTTCAAAAACCTTATTGTGTAGAGGCGACAGTGGAGCAATAGAAATCTGCACTATACATTTAAAGCAGTGCCACTTTAAATAGTCATGCTTCCCCCCCCCCCCAGGAATCCTGGGAAATGTAGTTTGTTAAGCGTGCTGAAAGTTGGAAGACACAAGAGCTACCCACACTGGAGGAATGGCAGATGAAACTGATGGACTATATGGAACTGGCGGAAATGACTGGTAGAATCCGTGACCAGGGAGAAGAGTCGGTGGAAGAAGATTGGAAGAAATTCAAAGATTACCTACAGAAACATTGCAAAATTAAAGAATGTTAGAGTGATGATGGATTGAAATTAAGTGGTTTCCAGCTGCACAGGCTTTAAAATTATATACAGATTAAGATTAAGGATTAGGAATAAAAAGGTTAAAAGAATGGAAAATTGGCTATTAATAGATAAAAATTTAATGTTATATTATATTAAGATTAAGGATTGGGATTAAAAAAGAGGGAAAGGAATTGCTGGACAAACAAACTGAATTGGAATACAAAAGAGGGAGGTATGAGGAGGTCTAGAAAATAAGTAAATTCAAAAGTAGTGATGAAAAGATGGAATTGTTTTTAACTGTTTTTTCTTTTTTTCTTTTTGTATTTTGTATTGTGTATTTTTTTTACTTTTAAATTCTTTTTTATTGATGTGTCTCTTTTTATTTGAAACTTTAATAAATATCATTAAAAAAAAAAAAAGAAAGTTGTTAGGCGACTCACTTAATTCCTTCACAGAACTACAGTTCTCTGAGTGGTTTAACAGTCAATCCCTCTTCCCAGCTAACTATACAAATTGTAGGAATAGGGGGTCTCCTATCAACCTTCAGTACCCATAACAAACTATCCCTCTGTGCTGCAGGTATGCATACAACCTTAAAGACCATTGCTTAACAATGGCAGTGTAGACTTGCAGTGGAACACTAACCTTCTCTGGCCAGATGGTTGCTGCTTGCAGTTGTCAGTTTCGCAATAAGTGTTTTCTTCCTCCTTTGTAACAAAACTAAAGTTTCTGTTCCCCTTTGCATGCAGAATCAGGAAACCCTGCAGCATTGAGACCTCAGGAGGAGCTTCCTTCTTATCTACACAGGAAAGCAACACACTGAACATGTGGCTCTTCACGAAACTGACAGTGACTTAACGGGAGAGTCAGGAAAAACCCAGGGACTTTGGGGGATTGGTGCACTCTGGAGGAGACGACATGGCAGAAAAACAAAGGGAAGATGGCTTGGAAGAGGGACAACAGGTGCTTCCAGGTTTTAAGCCATGCATACAGGAAGACGCCACCCGTGTTCGGCCGCAGACTGCTGTTGGCAGCCAGTCTCCCAGGCCCAGCAGCCGGGCTGAAAGCTTAATTCTCCGACGAGGACAGTTGTCGTCCAACTTCAGCAGAAGCATGAACAGGTCAAGCAGGCGTTCGGGGAACTGGGCAACGGGGGTGGACATAGCCAGACTATCAATGGGTTATGGTAGCACGAGAAGGAAGGGACTGAAGGATATGATCTTCCAAAGCAGCCAGGCCAAACCCATGTGGGTGACAGCTTCCCATCAGGAGAGCATTGTGCTGGACACCCAACCAGATCAGGAACCTCTCATGGATGGGAACACTGATGACTTGTCCTTAGCTCTGGATCCAGTGGAGCACGAGTGGATGTTGACTGTAGCCCAAGGAGATGTAGAGAGCATCCTCAACTTACTGGCCAAGGACCCCAGCCTTCTCTCCAGGAGAGACTTTGTGACAGGCTTCTCTGTCCTCCACTGGTTGGCCAAACATGGCCGCCATGAAGACTTGATTGAGGTGATTTCTTTTGCGGAAAGGAATTGCTACCCATTTGATGTCAACATGCCCTCAGCCAGTGGCAGACTAACCCCTTTGCACCTAGCCGCCCTCCAAGGCCATGAGATGGTCATCAAAGTGCTGGTGGGAGCCTACGGAGCCAATACAAGCCTTCGGGACCACAACGGCCGCAAGGCGTGGCAGTACCTCCGAGAAGATGCTTCCAGAGAGTTAAAGGAGCTCTCGGGGGCTTGCGAGGAAGACCTGGCCCAGCTAGGAACTGGAAACGCCAACAACAACTGTGCTCCATCAGCGCGAGGTGGAATCGGCATGTTCAAGGGGGACAGCAAGGAAGCCAGGGGCAGAGGACACAGCCAGAGGGCCACGCCCAGACTGTCTTATTTCAGGAACAAGTTCAGACAAGCCATTGCATTCTTTCAAGAGCGTTAGATGCCTACTCAGTGGTTGAGGCAGTTGGACTTGTTGGCTGTGAGTGGACTGTAATCAAAGCCATTAAATGAGAGGGTGGGACTGTAGAAGGAGGAAGCACTGGAGGTGGCTGTTGTGAGATTGAGATATGTTGCCAGAGGGGGATAGCTTCAGCAAACGTGCCTGCGTTTGCTTTTTGGCCTCAGGTATGAGATCCAAGGCCTGAAATTTGGAAGGAAGGGGAAGGGAAGGGGTGACAAAGGGGATTGGTGTGACAAAGTGGATATGGCTAAGTTTGGGAAAGCCCCTATTTGTCTCCTTCTTCCCCAGAAAGGAACCTGCTGATAGGGGAGGGGGTGACACAGGGGATTGGTGTGACAAAGTGGGTAAAGCTAAGTTCGGGAAAGCCCCTATTTGTCTACTTGTTCCCCAGAAAGGAACCTGCAGATAGGGGTGTGCATGCAGTGTGCTAAAAGCAACTGTAATTCTGCACTAAGAAAAATAAATTCTGCAACCTGTGCAAGGTTTGCTCCTGTGGAAAAAACCTGCATATTCTTCTCTTCTTTCTTTCACATTCCTAGAAAGAGAATAGGAGTTTGCTAACAACTCTCAGCACCCTCAGGACCCTAGCTTATTCCCACATTGCAGGGGGGTTGGACTAAAGCAGGGGTCAGCAAACTTTTTCGGCAGGCGGCCGGTCCACTGTCCCTCAGACCCTGTGGGGAGCCAGACTATATTTTGGGGGGGGGGAATGAATGAATTCCTATGCCCCACAAATAACCCAGAGATGCATTTTTTTTTAAAGGACACATTCTACTCATGTAAAAACACGCTGATTCCCGGACCGTGTGTGGGCCGCCTTTAGAAGGCGATTGGGCCGGATGCGGCCCCCGGGCCTTAGTTTGCCTACCCATGGACTAGATCCCTGGAGCCCTTTCCAGATCTACTGTTCTGATTCCCCACCCCCGATGTAGTTCTAGCTTAACCAACAGTAAGTTGGAATAACTTTCAGGGTATAGTAGTAATAATAATAATAATAATAATAATAATAATAATAATAATAATAAATCATTTATACCCCGCCCATCTGGCTGGGCTTCCCCAGCCACTCTGGGTGGCTTCCAAAAAAATATTAAAATACTGTAATACATTAAACATTAAAAGCTTCCCTAAACAGGCCTGCCTTCAGATGTCTTCTAAAAGTTTGGTAGTTGTTGTTCTCTTTGACATCTGGTGGGAGGGCGTTCCACAGGGAGGGCGCCACTACCGAGAAGGCCCTCTGCCTGGTTCCCTGTAACTTGCCTTTTTGCAGTGAGGGAACCACCAGAAGGCCCTCAGTGCTGGACTTCAGTGCCTGGGTAAAACGATGGGGGTGAAGACGCTCCTTCAGATATACTGGACCGAGGCCGTTTAGGGCTTTAAAGGTCAACACCAACACTTTGAATTGTCCTCTGAAACGTACTGGGACCCAATGTAGGTCTTTCAAGACCGGTGTTATATGGTCTCGGCGGCCGCTCCCAGTCACCAGTCTGGCTGCCGCATTCTGGATTAGTTGTAGTTTCCAGGTCACCTTCAAAGGTAGCCCCACGTAGAGCACATTGCAGTAGTCCAAGCAGGAGATAACCAGAGCATGCACCACTCTGGCGAGGCAGTCCGCAGGCAGATAGGGTCTCAGCCTGCGTACCAGATGGAGCTGGTAAATAGCTGCCCTGGACACGGATTTGACCTGTGCCTCCATGGACAGCTGTGAGTCCAAAATGACTCCCAGGCTGCGCACCTGGTCCTTCAGGGGCACAGTTACCCCATTCAGGACCAGGGAGTCCTCCACACCAGCCCGCCTCCTGTCCCCCAAAAACAGTACTTCTGTCTTGTCAGGATTCAATCTCAATCTGTTAGCTGCCATCCATCCTCCAACCACCTCCAGACACTCACACAGGACCTTCACCGCCTTCACTGGTTCTGATTTGAAAGAGAGGTAGAGCTGGGTGTCATCTGCATACTGATGAACACCCAGCCCAAACCCCCGATGATCTCTCCCAGCGGCTGCATGTAGATGTTAAAAAGCATGGGGGAGAGGACAGAACCCTGAGACACCCCACAAGTGAGAGCCCAGGGGTCTGAACACTCATCCCCCACCACCACTTTCTGAACACGGCCCAGGAAGAAGGAGCGGAACCACTGTATGACAGTGCCCCCAGCTCCCAGCCCCTCAAGACGGTCCAGAAGGATGTTATGGTCGATGGTATCAAACGCCACTGAGAGATCCAGCAGAACTAGGAAACAGCTCTCACCTTTGTCCCTAGCCTGCCAGAGACCATCAACCAGTGTGACCAAGGCAGTTTCAGTCCCATGATGAGGCCTCAATCCCGACTGGAAGGGATCCAAATGGTCCGCTTCTTCCAGGCGTGCCTGGAGTTGTTCAGCAACCACTCGCTCAGTCACCTTGCCCAAGAATGGAAGATTCGAGACTGGGCGATAGTTGGCCATCGTGGCCACATCTAAAGATTGTTTTTTAAGAAGCGATTTAATAACTGCCTCTTATGCGGGTCTGGGAAGGCTCCCTCACGGAGGGAATCATTCACCACCCCACAAAGCCCATCGCCCAGCCCTTCCCAGCTAACTTTTTATAAGCCAGGATGTGCAAGGATCAAGGAGACAGGTGGTCGGTTTCACTTGTCCAAGCAGCCTGTCCACATCCTCAGAGGTAACAGATTGGAATTGATCCCACACAATTTGACTAGACAGGACTCGAGCACTCTTCCGCCCCGGACCTGCTCCCACGGTGGCGTCTACCTCTTCCCGAATCTGAGCGACTTTATCTGCAAAAAACTTTGCAAAATCATTGCAGGAGATCATGTGGCCTGTACTGGGCCCCGATGTAGCAGGTGGTTCCGCTAAATTGCGAACCACCTGAAAGAGTCTCCTGCTGCTGTTTGGGGGTTGTTAGGGTGACTCCAGAGGTGCATTCTCTGTTTCAAATAAAGAACTGGGGTGTTGGGAGTCAGGGAATCCTAGCCAATTTGAAGGCTGTTTGTCTCCATCAGATACAATGGGGCACATAGACTTCCTCTCAGAACTTGACAAAAACCAACTTTGAGATGTTTACGTGTGTATGTTAAAAAAAAAAAAAGGACCATTCAGACTTCTAGCACTACACAGCTTATGAAGGGGGTGATGGAAAGAGAACCAAACTAGGGAGACCTGCAACAAAATGCAGTATGGTGTGCTCCTATGTGCATCTGCAGCCAGCCACACCCATTTTCAGTACACTCCCTTACAGTCCCTACTTCCCAACACTTTCTCTACATTGTGGCCACAGAGCTCTGTCACCATTAGGAAATTGGGCTTCATTCTGGAGCTCAGTTGGCCCAGCTCTGTGATGTCTGAAGCATCGGCTACATCATCTTCAAGCACTACATGGGCTTCACTTTATTCCAGGTGAGTACTCCTCACAAGGTGAAGCAGAATTGTCTGTATCAACAGTTCTCAAAACTCCTTCCCTCCCAAGCATGGACCACTTGAAAATTGTTTGGGAGTCTTCCTTAATAGGGACGCGGGTGGCACTGTGGGTTAAACCACAGAGCCTAGGACTTGCCGATCAGAAGGTCAGCGGTTCAAATCCCCACGACAGGGTGAGCTCCCGTTGCTCGGTCCCTGCTCCTGCCAACCTAGCAGTTTGAAAGCACATCAAGTGCAAGTAGATAAATAGGTACTTCTCTGGTGGGAAGGTAAATGGCGTTTTCGTGCGCTGCTCTGGTTTGCCAGAAGCGGCTTTGTCATGCTGGCCACGTGACCCGGAAGCTGTACGCCAGCTCCCTTGGCCAATAAAGCGAGATGATCACCGCAACCCCAGAGTCAGCCACGACTGGACCTAATGGTCAGGGGTCCCTTTACCTTTACCTTCCTTAATAATCTTCATAATTAAGAGCATGAGACTCTTAATCTCAGGGTTGAGTGTTCGAGCCCCACATTGGGAAAAAATATTCCTGCATTGCAGGGGGTTGGAGAAGATGACCTTCATGGTCCCTTCCAACTCTATGATTCTATAAGCAACTTCAGTTGAGCGGATCCCTCCCTCTCTGAGTGCCGTTTTGGTTACATAAGGATATGAACTCATAGATGAGTTTGCTAGTACATAGGAAATTACAGCAATTTGCTGTGGTCACGATGGCTGGAGCTGAAGGGAGTCTAGCAACATCAACCCCTCCTTAGTTGCCCTTACCTTAAATCCTAGCAGAATGCACCCACTCTGGAGCTGGGCACATCCAGGCAGCTCAACAAGAAAGGAGAACTAATTTAACAATGAAAGGAACTTAACCCCTCACCTCAGGCAAATGTAACAGAATCAGGAAAAGTAATGGCAAGGGCACTAGACTGCTGCTGCTGACACACCCACTCACATTAAAAGGAAATAGTCCTTCACACAGCATATAGTTCAGCTATGGGAATTCGCTCCCACAGGAGGCAGTAAGGTAAAGGAAAAGGATCCAAGGACAGTTAAGTCCAGTCAAAGGCGACTATGGGGTTGCGGCACTCATTCAGGCCAAGGGAGCCGGTGTTTGTCCACAGACAGCTTTCTGGGTCATGTGGCCAGCAGGACTAAACCGCTTCTGGTGCAATGGAACACCGTGACAAGTGCCAGAGCACACGGAAACGCCGTTTACCTTCCAGCCTATTTATCTACTTGCACTGGTGTGCTTTTGAACTGTTAGGTTGGCAGAAGCTGCAGCAGAGCAATGGGAGCTCACCCCATTGTGGGGATTCAGACAACCAACCTTCTGATCTGCAAGCCCAAGAGGCTCAGTGGTTTAGACCACAGCGCCATCTGCAGGAGGCAGTGGTGACCACCAACTTGGGTGGTTGACCACTGTGAGAACACGATGCTGAACCTAGGTGAACTAGGTCAGTTTTTCCCTAACTTGGGTCCCCAGCTGTTTTTGGACTACAATCCCCATCACCCCTGCTAGATAGGGATGATAGGAGTTGCAGTCCAAAAACAGCTGGAAACCCAAGTTTGGGAAACACTGGACTAGATGATCCAACATGACTCTTCTTACATACTTATCCAAATGAACTAATAGCAATGTACACACCAGCTTGTATGTGTGGTTTAGTTGTTTTGGGAACTGCATTCTTCCCAAAAGGATGTACCAGACAAACAAACCTTTGAGGGGCAGAGGGAAACAAGAGACTTGCCTCCAGTAACTATTTTCAATGTAAGCACACTTCATCTGGAAGGTTCTCCAGGTCATACATTAATGCACTCTTAAATTTGCCCATTTCCCTGTTCTTCCGATCCGATAAGCCAGCACACATCTTTACAAACTAGAACTGGTTAACATCAGACTTTACTCCAAAGTGCGCTAGGAGATCTAGGCTGAAGAGGGAGCACATCATTATTTATCGTTCTTCATCTTTAACTACCCATTTAATTATGTCAGAATTTAATTTATACATTTCCACCTACAATATGGCATATGTGATTTATTTAGGTCAGGAGTCAGCAAACTTATTGCGCCTTGGGCCGGTGTCTCCAGCGCCGAGCATGCGTCGGGCTGGAGGAGCGTGTGCCCTTACGCATGCGCACACACTATTTCTGGGTTGGAGGAGCACCAGAAGTAGCTTGTGCACATGTGCATGGGCCTCCTCCGACATGGATGTGCACCGGAAATAACGCTTGCACATGCGCAAATAATGCTTGCACATGCACACAAACTATTTTTGGTGCTCCTCCAACCCGGAAGTGGGCAGCCACGCAGTGCAGCGCAGGTAAGAGCGGGCGGTGGCAGCAGGGGTCGCTGCGTGTCAGATAAACGAGTCCCTCGGGCCTCATCCAGCCCGTTGTCATCATTGCTTTCTTTATACAGTTAAATCTCCTGGCACTGTAAATACAAAACTTACAAGCTCAACAGAAACCAGAAAACTATTTCCTTGTACAGCAGCCTCCCCACTGTTTACTCTGCTTAACAGTATTGACAAGATGCATTGATTGCCTTCTGAGAACCTACAGAGTTCAACCAGCCTTTTTATTCTTTCTTCCCCTAAATGCTATTTGAGAAATACAAAATAAGTTTTAATAGAATCAGGTTATGTTTTCTTTTAAAATATATTGAACCAATCCAGGCAGGGTGGGGAGGGATAACTCCAGGGGTCGGCAAACTACGGCCTGGGGGCCGGATGCAGCCCCCTGGCTTGTAATTCTGGCCTGCAGACTCTGCCACCTGCTCGGTCAGTCCCCGCCCACTGTGGACGCCTCGCTGTATGGGGACTGACTTCTGCGACGCTGGCACAGCTTCTGGGCGGGCAGCGATGCTGGCGCAGCTTCGAATTGGCTGCAGGAAGCTTCTGTAGCCAATCTGAAGCCCCGATGTTTGGATTTGCATGCAAGGGAGGTGACGGCGCTTTCCCCATGGTGAGTGCGCACTTGGCAAGGGCCCCTGGCTTCACCTTGGCCTCCCCCTCCTCCGCCATTGCTGCTCCTGCTGCTTCTCCTCCTCCCCACTGCCGCTGTGCCCTTTCTGGGCTAGTGGGATATGAGAAAGAGGTGCTGCCGCCATTGCAGGTAACAGGGCTTAGGCCTCAGGTGGGGGGCTGCTCTCAGACTTCCTGCGGCAAAGCGGAGGGGATGATCGTTGCAAAATTTGTGTGGCACTTGCACCACAATATTGTTGTGACCGTTGCATGGTGCGCACTTACCCAGGAGTTGTTGCGCTTTGGTGGGACGTGATGTCAACTTAACTTTTACGCAGAGGCCAGGCCCGCTGGAATGAATGGACCAAAGTTAGGCATGGGGTTTACTCTTGAGTAAAAAATAGGGGAGCGACTTCTGCATAAATATGCATTTTAAAAAAACAATATCCTGGCCCCCAGCAGTGTTTGAGGGACAGTGAACAGGCCCAGTTTAAGAAGTTTGAGGACCAATGGATAACTCCACAGGAAATACTGTGAAGTCCCACTGGAGGTTTTAAGGAGTTTGGATTTGTAAATTACATCAACACAAAGAATACTACCAAGTGGAAAAACCATGAAGATTAAGAAGTTATTTCTGTGGCCAGATATTAAATTTCTGAGTGCATGCCTGTGAATGCATTATTTTGTGTGTGTGGATGTGTTCTCCATCAAAGTGAATTGGAAGCCTTAAAAAAAAGCCCTTATTAGAGCAGAGGTTGGGAAATCCTGGCTCTCCAGATCTTGCTGAATGACAAATCCCATCATCTGTGACCATTGGCCACAGGGCTGATGGGAGTTGTAGTTCAGAAGCACCCAGAAAGCTTTGTTTCCCATGCCTAAATTCGATCACCAGAATTTTGAGAGTACTTTCTTGTATGTCATATAAAGTATTTTATATAATTGCACATAATCCCCTCCCTCAGCTTGTCCCTGCAGCGTTCTTCTCAGATTCTCCCAAGAGTTTTTGGCAAGGGTTACACCTGAGGTGCTCTACCCCACCTCTACACATTTCTGCCATTTCCAGCTTTTGCTTGGTACTTCCTTAGCCAAAGCCAATGGCATTCCAATCCCACTTTCAGCCGTGGAGGACGGCGATTGTCACTGTGGGGTTTTTGTTTTTTGGCCAGCTTGTTTCAAACTATTCACCCACCAAGACACAGTTGGAAATTCTCAGCCTTCAATGCAATACATGCCAATTTCACAGCTATTAGCCTTTTGTACTGCTGCCAGCTCCCCTTGTGTGTAGCAAGTATAAACAGTAAATCCAACCAGAAGTCGCTAATTCGCTAGACTATGTGGAATCTCATATTTATTAATGAGCTTCTCTCCACTGGCAACAAGAATTCAGCCAGTACGCATGGGACTGAGAACCAAAAGACATACGCTAACACAATGCTTTTCATCATTCAGTTTTTAATTCATTAATATTTGTAATAACAAATATTTTTACAAAGGTGGGAGACTGCACAGCACAAGACAGAATTCCAGTCCTGACAATGTGGCAGGTTGGTAGGAAGAGACCATTCTGGCGCTTGAGAGTTTGATGGAAGATTCAGGGTTGTGCCGGGAAGATTGGAGCCGCTTCTCTTTACAGGCCAAGCTTGGTCCTCCTCCAGTGTCTCCTTTTGGAGTTGTACCTAGAACAAAAGGGTCATGATTAGTAAGCAAGGCACAGCTCTGTCTCTCCAGCAGACCAAAATCCCAGGCTGTGTTAAGCAAATAGTAAGCAAGTGAACTGGCCACCCCCTTGCAAAGTGCATATGGCACTTTTCAAAGGGACCCACAGCTGTCAGCAGAAGAAAGTGTGACTTTCCCAGAGCCATTTGTGTTCCCCTGCTCCCTCTCACGTGAGCACATATTAATATAGTACTATATATGTGAGATAATTTCAAGAATTCAGAAGGTACTTAAACACAAATGCACATACCCAAAACCCTATGCACTAAGAACTGCTGCATTTCCTATTCTAACAAAATTATAATTTTTAACCAAAATAGTTTTACATTATGGGGGAAATAAGTTTAAATTCTAAACTTAGAATTTAAATAATTTAAAAATACTACTTGTGTGATTACATTCCTTTCCCATCCTAATTAAGCTAACAATTCCCCTTCCTGTAGAAGAGGCTCAAGTACCAGCCTACTTAATAGAATGGGTGTGGGTGAATTTTAACTAAAGCTTTTGACATCTATTAGAAATCTGAACCAATGTCAACTGGTGTGAACTTAAACTTGGGATACATTGTGGGGGCAGCTCTTTGTTCCCAGTAATAAATAAAAATGAGTCTAAAACACCAGCTTTTGGGGTCTGGCAAACCACAAAGAAACTACGTGTGTGTTTGGAGGATGGCACACGTGTGTGTAACAGGCTTTGGGAAAAGGTATGGCAAGAAGGCAAAAAATATGCACACATTATGTATCACTGACTACTACCTTTGTCCATGCAGCGGTGGCACCAAACTACGGACAGAGTTGTACTGATGGAGTTATCAATCAGTAGTTCTAGCCACTGAAAGTCTTTGTGGCTTGTTTTTGTGGGAAAAGCATTCCTTATTAGTGCACAACATAAATTCTGATTTTAATTCCTTTTGAGAGGGCTGGAAAGATGGGACTTCTGGATTATCTTTCACTGATAGAATCTGGCCTAATAAAAACACAGCCCTTTATTCACAATCATAGAGGCATTTCCCCTAGAAAAGCTTCCATTGGTCATTTTCCCTGGAAGTGTTCATGTTGTTCGGAGCTTTCCTTGTACACCTGTCACTGCTAAAAAGGGAGTCTGATTTCACCAGAACAGGTGAGATCGATTCCTAAGTAACAGAATTGCTCTCAGCAGGGACATGGCAGTGCTCCCACAGAATGAAGCACTGTAATTGCAGCCTGCTTTGGGAACACACTTTATCTGGAAAACTCACCTCTGAACAGCTGATATTGGAGACAAAGCTCAATGATTCCAACACCACAGCCAAATTATAGCTAGTGGGTAGGTATGGAAAACCCATCATGCTCAAAGGAGGCGTAAAAAGAAACAGTAGGAAGAGAAAGTGTTGTAGCAAGAAAACACACACACACGAAAGATCTGGGGAAAAACTGAGTAAGAATGGACCCTTTAACGCTGAGGTTCTAGGGTATGTCAATAGAGACCTTCAATATAGAAGGCCTGCAAGTCACACAAGGGGTTGGTTCTGGGAGCCCATGTACAAAGGCAAAATCATGCGAAGTCAGGAAACCCCCAGATACCCAAACCCCCTGCTTCTGTGTGCAGCCGGCCTTTCCCTCTGCGAAGGTTGCACAGTATCTTGGCTGGCCCCTTCTGACCCCTCCCCCGGCCAGGCTGTCCATGTATTTGTGGTAGGACCACTGCAGTAAAAGGTTCATATGAATGTTAGAAAACGAACAAAAGATGTAAGCTGGAAGTTCAACCAACCAACAGAAAGTCCTGTTGCCAATAAAAGGAAAGCACTAAAGAGAGTTCATTGTGGCATTTACTGTTCAATCAGCCAAGAAAGAAACTCATGGCTGCTTTCCTTATGGGCAAAGGATAGCATCCAGCACTTTCAGAAAGATCGTGCCCATGGTAAAGAATCAGTTAGCATAGAAGTTTGTAGGGGACAGGATTCTGCATTGAGTACACTTACACCACGAAGGGCAAGCATGATGCAGTTTTCCCAAGCAGATGAATGATAAACCACCAGGAGTGGTTATTTCCCATCCACAAAAAGTCCAAGGGAGCTAAATACTCTAGCAGGACCCCAGTTTCCATGCCTAGAAGGCAATCCCCATACCTGATTTTATTGCCAGTTTTCATGCGGATCCATTGCGGGATGGGCCGGTTCTGCTTCTGCTTCTTAGCGAGAAACCGCTTGATCTTGAAAGTTTTGTGGGAAGACTGGCAGGTTGGAAAGAAAAGATAAGGAGTTTTAATTATTATTTCCTATTGGGGGCTCAACACCAATGCTCAGAGGCGGTAGAAGATGCCAATAATCAACATCTGGAGGGCCATAGGTTCCCTATTAGGCTCCACTGTAAGACCAGGGAGGGATTCCCTTTCTGCACTACATATTTACAGCTCTGCTATGCTGAATGAAGCGGTCGGGTCTTCCCCAAAAAAGAATCTCGGGAGCTGGAGTTTGTTAAGGTTGCTGAGAGTTGTTTAAACCACGTTAGGAATAAATGCTTTCCGAGGGGAACAGGGGTCTCAAGCAAGGCTCAGGCATCCTAAATAAACTACAGCCCCCAGGATCCTTCTGGGGAAGCTGTGACCGTTTGAGGTTGCGTGATGCTGCCGCCAATTCTAATAGTGCAGTTGGGGCGAAGGGGAGGCAACTCAGCCTAAAAGTTTACACGGCCAGCCCCTCTCAATCTCTCGGAGTGCAACCTACCTCTCGGGGTTGTTGTGAAGATAAAAATATTGTGGGATATTGGGCCTGCCGTCCTTTCCCTCCCATCTATTTTGTACTAGGCTCCCCCCACCTCCTTGGAATGAACGAACCCCTCCCCCCCCCCCCCCCAATAACTACTAGGTCTCCGGGGTTTGGACAAGGATGGGCGTCAAACACTAATTCTACGCGGGGTGCCATGGGGATGGTTAGCAAAGCGGCCCCAGCGGAGGATGGCAACGGATTAACTTACCATACTGCAGCACCAACAACCGCTCACCACAATGGCTTCAAACGAAAAGAGGAAGAGGAAGCGGCGCAGAGGCTGATGGGGGAAAGAGGCGGCCTCAGGAAACGGTGCTAGATGGCCTCCCGGGTACATACGCGGAAGTGCCGTCAAAAGACGGCAGCGCCCTCTGGCGGCTCCAGGAGGCCGTTGCCGGCTTCCGAGCGAACACGTGCGTGTTTATTAAAAAGTGTGTTTTGAGCTTTGCAACCCTTAAAGCAGTGGTTTTCATCCAGTGTGCCTGGTACCTTGGGGTGGGGTGCTTTGAAGGATGGTCATGGGTGACGCAAGCAACATTGGCCTCTGTCCCTATTTCCTTCCCTCCCTCCTCTGATGCCCTCTTGCATCTCTGCTGTTTGTTGTAGCAGCCCTGGCTACATGCTCCCCAGGTGAATGGTGCCTCTGGGGCTGACCAGGGGTGCTGGTTGCCAGGAGATGAGTGTGATAGGAATTTTGAGGTCTTAAAAGGTAAAGGGACCCCTGACCATTAGGTTCAGTCGTGGCCGACTCTGGGGTTGCGGTGCTCATCTCGTTTTATTGGCCGAGGGAGCTGCTGTACAGCTTCCGGGTCATGTGGCCAGCATGACTAAGCCGCTTCTGGCGAACCAGAGCAGCGCAGGGAAACGTCGTTTACCTTACCTTACCTATTTATCTACTTGCACTTTGACATGCTTTCGAACTGCTAGGTTGGCAGGAGCAGGGACCGAGCAATGGGAGCTCACCCCGTCGCAGGGATTCGAACCACCGACCTTCTGATCGGCAAGTCCTGGGCTCTGTGGTTTAACCCACAGCGCCACCAACGTCCCTTTTTTGAGGTCTTAGATATATGGTAAAGTTCGTAAGTGTACCAACCAAGCACGTACATAGATCACAGGAAGACCAACCTGAAACCATTTTGACTCCCAAACTGACCAAATGTTTTCCCTGCAAGAAGGGGAGTGGGTCAGGGAGCCTTCCCATTGTCTCAGGAATTGAGTAATCAGCATTTTAATGGGTGACAGACTATCAGGAAAGACAACCAGGAAAGGCAATCAGATAACCTGGCAAACAGGAAAAACAACATTCAAATTTCTATTTTAGACCGCCTTTACTGTGATGTAGGTATGATGTATCTGGGGGGTGGTCTTAGGTTACACCCCTTCTGTGATGTATGATGTTTCTGGGGGTGGTCTTGATCTACAGGTTGGCAATTTCAAAAGTCTATATAAGGCCTTGCGCGCCATTGCTCGGGGTTCCTCCTGCCTCTTGTGTGGGGTGAGTGAGGACCCTGTTGCAACAGATCAATAAAGATCAGGCTTACTAGCTGCTTTGCTTCTCAATATTCTCTGGTTGGCCTCTGTTATTTTCTTCTACCAATAGGGAACATACGTAAGGACTCCATATGGGCTCTTGGATACCCCATAAGGGAAAAGGGCAAATTTTTCTTTACAACATGAGTAAGCAAGCAAGTGGGTAAGAGAGCCCAGCCAGCTAGTTTGAAAAGTGCTTGAGGCTTTGAGGCCTGGCGGGGGGGGGGGGGTTCACAAACAGCTTTTTTAGGGTAACCTGACTGTCCCCCTTCACACCAACCTTTGCTGTTGGGAATGGACAGACAAGTGGGAAACCAGGCTGACAGGCACTGTGCTGGCCTTTCTTGTGCTTGCTGTGTGCAAGGCCTGCCTGGGAGCTGAAGGGGAGCCTTTCCGCTTTGCGGGCCTGGCAGTACCTGCTGCTGCCACCCAACATAAGGTGCTGACTTCATGCTTATCTTTGGCCAGTCTCTGCTGGGCCACTAAGGCTAGGGGCATTTTCTTCCCAGCCTCCTGTGGGGCAGTGTGAGGAGGCACCTCTCACAAGGCACAGGCAGCTGAAATAGTCATACCTCTTGTTACGTTTGCTTCAGGTTGCACGCTTTCAGGTTGCGTCCCACGGGGACCTGGAAATACTGGAAAGGGTTACTTCCGGGTTTTGCCGCTCACGCATGTGCAGACGCGCAAAATGACGTCACGCGCATGTGCAGAAGCGGCGAATCGTGACCCACGCAGACGCGGGTTGCGTTCTGCTCATGTTGCGAACAGGCCTCTGGAATGGATTCCGTTCGCAACCAGAGGTACCACTGTATATAATTGTTTAAAAGCAGAGGATGACTCCTACTATAGATTTGGGCTTGCAGCAGCTAAAGCAGATAAAAGCTGGCCTATTAATTGAATCCTCAAAAGGAGAGGTGGGCAACCACTGGATAAAATGCAGCTGCTTCTTACTGCAGCCCAGCAAACTCAGGCATTTGAAAACAAAGCTTTTAAAATGCTAAAATACTAACTAACAAAAGCCAAGATAAACTGTGGAGCTGCCTCTAACGGGGTCGTCCATGTTCGATGCGTTGGTACTTTCACACTTACAAATAGGTCTAAAATGCTAATTGCTCTACTTTATGCAGTATTGCAAGTGTAATAAACTCGCACTAACTTTCAAGAAGTCAAAAAACATGGGTCTTCACAAAGTCATGGCGTATAAGCAGCTGCTAAGAGGAAATACCATTGAGCAAGTTAAGTGATTTAAATACCTGGGCATTTATATCCATTATAAGGCTGGCTGGGTAACCTGCAGAGAATTTGCTATTAATGCTGCAAAAAGTAGTGTGTCAGTGATCACTCATTTCCATTATTCCAAAGGGAACCAGTATGTTCCAGCAGCCCTGAGGGTATTCAACGCCCTCAACTACTGTTCAACACAACAACTGCATGGTATCCCAGTTTGAATAAATGCCTTCAACCAGGCTACCGAAAGACTTCAATCAGTTTTCCTCTGAAATTCCTCCCCCCCCCCCCACTATTCTTTGTCTAGAAATACCCAGCTATGATACCCAGCTCTACCTCTCTTTCAAATCAGAATCAGTGAAGGTGGTGAAGGTCCTGTGTGAGTGCCTGGGGGCGGTTGGAGGATGGATGGCGGCTAATGGATTGAGGTTGAATCCTGACAAGACAGAAGTACTGTTTTTGGGGGACGGGGGGTGGGCTGGTGTGGAGGACTCCCCGGTCTTGAATGGGGTAACTGTGCCCCTGAAGGACCAGGTGCACAGCCTGGGAGTCATTTTGGACTCACAGCTGTCCATGGAGGTGCAGGTCAATTCTGTATCCAAGGCGGCTGACTACCAGCTCCATCTGGTACGCAGGCTGAGACCCTACCTGCCCACGGACTGTCTCGCCAGAGTGGTGCATGCTCTAGTTATCTCCCGCTTGGACTACTGCAATGCGCTCTATGTGGGGCTACCTTTGAAGGTGACCCGGAAACTACAACTAATCCAGAAAGCGGCAGCTAGACTGGTGACCGGGGGTGGCCGCCGAGACCACATAACACCGGTCTTGAAAGACCTACATTGGCTCCCAGTACGTTTCCGAGCACAATTCAAAGTGTCGGTGCTGACCTTTAAAGCCCTAAACAGCCTCGGCCCAGTATACCTGAAGGAGCATCTCCACCCCCATCGTTCTGCCCGGACACTGAGGTCCAGCGCTGAGGGCCTTCTGGCAGTTCCCTCATTGCGAGAAGCAAAGCTACAGGGAACCAGGCAGAGGGCCTTCTCAGTAGTGGTGCCCGCCGTGTGGAACGCCCTCCCACCAGATGTCAAAGATATACCGGTAAACAACTACCTGACATTCAGAAGTCATGGCGTATAAGCAGCTGCTAAGAGGAAATACCATTGAGCAAGTTAAGTGATTTAAATACCTGGGCATTTATATCCATTATAAGGCTGGCTGGGTAACCTGCAGAGAATTTGCTATTAATGCTGCAAAAAGTAGTGTGTCAGTGATCACTCATTTCCATTATTCCAAAGGGAACCAGTATGTTCCAGCAGCCCTGAGGGTATTCAACGCCCTCAACTACTGTTCAACACAACAACTGCATGGTATCCCAGTTTGAATACCGGTAAATGCCTTCAACCAGGCTACCAAAATACTTCAATCAGTTTTCCTCTGAAATTCCTCCCCCGCCCCCTATTCTTTGTCTAGAAATACCCAGCTATGATACCCAGCTCTACCTCTCTTTCAAATCAGAATCAGTGAAGGTGGTGAAGGTCCTGTGTGAGTGCCTGGAGGCGGTTGGAGGATGGATGGCGGCTAATGGATTGAGGTTGAATCCTGACAAGACAGGAGTACTGTTTTTGGGGGACGGGGGGTGGGCTGGTGTGGAGGACTCCCCGGTCTTGAATGGGGTAACTGTGCCCCTGAAGGACCAGGTGCACAGCCTGGGAGTCATTTTGGACTCACAGCTGTCCATGGAGGCGCAGGTCAATTCTGTATCCAGGGCGGCTGACTACCAGCTCCGTCTGGTACGCAGGCTGAGACCCTACCTGCCCGCGGACTGTCTCGCCAGAGTGTTGCATGCTCTAGTTATCTCCCGCTTGGACTACTGCAATGCGCTCTATGTGGGGCTACCTTTGAAGGTGACCCGGAAACTACAACTAATCCAGAAAGCGGCAGCTAGACTGGTGACCGGGGGTGGCCGCCGAGACCACATAACACCGGTCTTGAAAGACCTACATTGGCTCCCAGTACGTTTCCGAGCACAATTCAAAGTGTTGGTGTTGACCTTTAAGGCCCTAAACAGCCTCGGCCCAGTATACCTGAAGGAGCGTCTCCACCCCCATCGTTCTGCCCGGACGCTGAGGTCCAGCGCCGAGGGCCTTCTGGCAGTTCCCTCATTGCGAGAAGCAAAGCTACAGGGAACCAGGCAGAGAGCCTTCTCAGTAGTGGTGCCCGCCGTGTGGAACGCCCTCCCACCAAATGTCAAAGATATACCGGTAAACAACTACCTGACATTCAGAAGACCTCTTAAGGCAGCCCTGTTCAGGGAAGTTTTTAATGTGTGATATCTTAGTGTATTTTTGGTCTTTGTGGAAGCCGCCCAGAGTGGCTGGGGAAACCCAGCCAGATGGGCGGGGTACAAATAATAAATTATTGTTATTATTATTATTATTATTATTATTATTATTATTATGCTAGCATTTAAGTTTTGTTTGTAGCTGCATTACAGATCTGAACCTAATAGTCTTCTTGTGGCCATGTTAGCTGAATAACAATCATCAGGATGGTTAAGGAGGATTGAGAACAAAATTAAACAGACTCCTAATGTACTGCTTATTCAAGAATTTGGTAGCCAAATCAGGAATAGCATCTGTGCAAGTTTGGAGATGTGCAATGTGAATAGCCAATGGCAACTTATCTCCATCACCCAACCAACCCAAACCAACACATACCACTCACAGAAACATTGTGCCCGAATCAGTTATGCATGTTCTTTTGCATTGCCTCTTGTGTTTAGACAATTTGATCCAAGTTCATTAATCAGTTGGCTGTTAGCAGGAGTGGCAGTCAGATGAGTGTAAGGTAGCCTTCCTAATGTTTACACAGGGTGGGGATAAGATGGAGATAGGCAGGTTCCTGCAACATACAATGAGGATTCATGAATAGTATTTTTAATGTTAGGTGCAGATTTTGCTGAGTGATGTGATTGTACTGAACCTTTCAGAATTTTGTGATATGCCACAGAATATGCCAATAAAGGTTTGAGATTGAATTAACATTGGTAAGTAACCAGTCAAGTTCAAGTTGCAGGTGGTATCTTCATATGTATTGTAAATCACTTTGAGATGCCTCATAGGAAGTCATTCTTCATAAATGAAAAACTGACATGCAGCCTTAAAAAAATTAAAGTTGCAGTCAGCTGGGTGGATGGGCAGATGATTAACAGGATCATAAATGCTAGGATCAAGGGGGAATTTAACCCTCTACACCCTGCTGCAGCAGCCAGGTGGAAGATCTCTTTTCATTTTTATATTTTTTTAAAAAAATATTGAAAGCTTATTGAAGCCCACCCTCATATGATCTTGGACATGATAAAACTTCAAAGACACAAAGATGCTAAATAATTACATAAAAAATAGTAACAAGCAATTTTAAATGCTACTTCATAGAGTTTTATTAAGTATCAAATAGGGTACTGCCACAAAGAGGAGGTACAACTCTTAGCAAAACCTTCCTGGGTTGCCAGATGCTCTAAAGCTTCGGCAAAAACAGTGCACAATTAAGACGGATCATTTTTCCTATGAGATACCAGGAAACAAAAGAAGGTCGAACGCAGGGACTGTTGAGGACTATGCAGCTACCTTCAATATACATCTATATCTGGACTTTAGAAGACATGTGTAAAAAACAACAACACGTTTCCTATGGCGAAGTTCATTTTCCTTCAAGCTATACAAATGTTAAGTGAAAGAACAAAGAAAAATATTAGCATCCACGCCTTGTTCTGAAAATTCATTTTGCAGTCGGTTACAAGCAGCACACCAGACAAAAAGATGTCTTCAGTACCAAGATTACGTTGGACCTTCCCACCCTACCTCCAGTTAATGAAACAGGTCAGAAGACCACACTCCACACAGCACAGTGGTAAAAGACAATTTAACACTTGAACAAACATGAGGCTCCAACATGGCTGTATGTTAAGTGCAAATACTGGTTCGTGGCTTTCATCTGAAAGACAGCACTCATTCTGGGCAACCACTCATCCTATTTTAGGGTGACAAGGCCTTTCCACCCTTCAGAGATGGAAGTTTTCTCACCCTTGTGGTTTTGCTGCCACTACCTCCCACAACTGAAAATGTATTGAGGACGCCCAAGCCCGAGTCCCAAATCTGCAACGAGGACCTGAAACCAGATACATCCAAAAGTACTGTCCCCCCTTTATTCCCTCCTCTTTTCTACAAGGCACTTTTGGACTACAAAGTTAATGCTCTTTGGCTGCTAGGTCAGTGAGGAAGCACACCACTTGTCACTCTTCTTTTGTGTTACTGGTCTCGCACTCCTGCTTCTTATCCACTCCTTGATCGGGTGATTTTGCAGAGCTTTCATCATAGCCTGACAAACGACTCCGATTCCGAGCTCCTGGTTGGTAGAGCTGCATGGCTGGGCGATCCTTAAATTAAGAATACATAAAGCTGTGATGCATAATAGTGAAAGAGTACCAGACCTGGAACAGAGATATAGGTCCAATCCCCTTGCTGCCACCCCACCCCTCCGCCTTGAAGTTCCAGGGCTTTTGGTTAAGGGGACTATATGGGATAGCTCCACAGGTGCTACTCCTGAACTTCTTACAAAAAAAGAGCAGAGCATAAATGTCACTTACTAGATAAGCAAGCCAATCATTTCTACAATCCTGTAATTGCAATCCTATGCATTCCCAGTGGGAAATAAGTTGTACTACAAACAAACCTTATTATGTAATGTCCTTAGATGGAGTCATATTTTTTTAACATTCTGTGTCTATAATAAGGAGCTGCATACACCCACAGCCTAACAAAGAACAATGATTTTATCACAGAATCAGCACCTTGTTTCTAATGCGATCCCTCTTAGCCATATCTTCTTTTTTGTCCTCTTTGGTTACTTTCTCGGATTTCTCTGCATTTCCCATGTACTCTGCCAATTCAGCTCTCTTCCCTTTCTCTCGCAATGAGTCTCTTTCCCTTTTCACATCTTCCTCCTTTCTTCTAAAGACCTTCTCTTTCTCGAAGCGCTCTTTCTGCCTCCTTCTCTCTTCTTCTTGGCGTCGGAGTTTGTCTCTTTCTCTTTGCATTCTCTCATACTCTCTGTCTCGGTCATAATCTCTCTCTCTTTCTCTATAGTCTTTTCCACAGTCATCTTCCAATCTGTATGAAAAGAGACTTAGGAGATTCAATCCGGAGAGAAGACAGTAAAATGAAGGCCTATCGCCACTGTATTGACATGCAGACACTAAAATGACGCCCTGAAAAGAGAGCATCCTGGAAAGAGTTCTAACCAAGGATCAACTAATTTACATTTCTTGAAAACCACAGCCAAAGATAACACAAGGCTATTTACTAAACCAGAAATTCTCAAGGCTGTTTCTCACGCTCCATGCGGCAACAAACCCAGCTTTGCAGCTGAACTTAAATTCAACAGCAGTCAATCCTAGTTCTCTAGCATTTGTAACACTTCGCTTTTCAGTTTACGCTTTGAGAAGCGTACTTAAAAATAATTAAATTCTAATATGCGAAGGGACCCTAACTGAGCTGCATAACTGACCATCTGCTCTTCAGCCATTTGGAACTGCGAGAAAGACTGGAAAGAGCAAAAAGTGGTCCCTCCACAGTTCTAATCTGGAACACTAGTCAACTATATAATTTAAAAGCAGATCTGGTACGAGGCAGCCCAATTAATAATCATATTCTGAGAAATAAGGATATGTACTGAAATGAAAGCACTAACTTTTTGGACTTCTCCTCCTTAGCCTCCCCATCGGAACGCCTGGCTTGCATACCGCTGGTTGCACTTGCGGCCTTTTCCTCCCTCAGACACTCTTTCTCCGGTTTCTTGGCCTTTTCTTTCTTTTCAAAGTCTCTTTCATCTTTTTCTGGCTTCTTAAGTAGCTAGGAAGAGAACAAATTTAGTTTTCCTTACTAAGTTAATTCTGCTGCTAACTGTGTTAGGATGCTGGTCTGCACTGAAAAGGCAAGGGGGTACCTGGTGCATAATACAAGAGTAAAGATATTAGCATTACATAACTAGCTATTTTCATGATCCACTGTTTCTTATCAGTTACCAGAACTTTGCTTTAAAAAATAAAATTCCCAATGCAATCCAATACTTCTGAGCACACATCCCACTGAGTCCAGTGGTGTTTACTCTCAGGCTTAATGGTATAGGATTATGGCCTTATTCTACGTTCTGCTTTTTATTCTCAAGAGATTTCTACGTCTAGCTTCTAGTGCAATAAATAAGAACTGTTTGTTTATACAGTGCCTTCAAAACACATGCGGTGCAGAACTGAGTACTATTCTATAATACTTTAATCTAAGTCTCTATAACTTAGTCCCAAGCATGCATAGGATTGCAACCTCAAATAACTGTGTGCATGCAAAAAAAAGAGCACACTTTATACAAAGCCAAATGCAAAATTGCTCTCGTATTTCACGAGTGTGCATACAAAAGCAACATATGGCCAATGCATCCTACAGGAATGAAGGCATACCTTAATCTTTGGTTCATCCTTTGATTTGTCCCTTTCTTTTTCTGGGCATCGCTCCACTTTCTTTGTTTTTTCGGCTTCTTTCCTTTTCCTCCTTTCTTCCTCTTTCCATTTTCTTCTTTCTTCTTCTCGTTGTCTTTTCCGCTCTAGTTCTCTCCTCCTCCTCTCCTCTCGTTTTTCTTCTCTAAGCCGCTGTAAGGGAAAAGATGCAGTGAGACTATAGCCAAGTCTTTATGGTGGGACAGGAGAGATTTTGCATCATAAACTGCTCCAAAAGCTCCAAACTGAGTGAATGGGTGGTAAACCATAGAACCGTAGAGTTGGAAGGTACCCTGGGGATCATCTAGTCCAGCCCCCTGCAATGCAGGAATATGCAGCTGTCCCATACAAGGATTGAACCTGTAACCTTGGCGTTATCAGCACCACACTCTAACCAACTGAGCTATCCAATTGGCTAATGGCATATAGCACTAGGAACAGTTCTGTATATGGATTAAGAAGTTATAAGCTCACAGATAGAATTAAGATTTATTTGAGCACTGTAATGACATTCATTACCTTTATCCGACAACATAACCTATCACTCTCCTACCTATTAACCATGGATCTAAGGATGTTAAATAAAAATTTTAACAGAGGATTTTAGATATAGATCTCAAGGAGAGTCAAGGAGCTGCAAGGGTATTCTGTTCCCCATAGTCACTGGGGTTACTATGAACCTTTGTAAAGATGGAACGCCATACTTGGGTTGGTAAACAATCCTTAAACCTAGGAAGTATTTCTCTCTGGCAAGGTTTAATGTTCTTCCCTCAAATTTATTAGATGGCAATAAAACTGCTAGTACATTTGCAAAGCTAAGAAGGGTCTAGTATGGTTTCAAATTAGATGGGGGACCACGTCTTGAGATTCTTGAATTGCAGCGGGTTGGCCTAGTTAACCCTTGGTGTCCCTTCCAACTCTACAATTCTATATTAAAAGACTGAAGAACAACAAATGCTGCCCCTGTAACAATGCTGTGGTGGCGTTTGTATTGCATATCTTTTTCCATTGTAGTTTTCATCAAGGGGCTAGGAAAGACCCAGTATATCCTATTACAAAGTCGCCCCATCCCCCCCCCCACTTGCCCCTCTGCGTCTCTAAAGATCACTTTGCTTCACAGTTACAATTGGTCCAGAGTAACCAATTGTTAAAGAACAATTGGTAAAGTTTTTGAATATTTTTATTAGACGCCTTATGATTACCTAATGTACATATATTGTACCTACTATATATTTTGGAAAGTGGTTTGTCTGCCGCTTCCTGTTCTTCATAAGTTTCACCACTTCTCAGGATATTGTCACCAAACATGGCCTGAGGGTTCTGGAGCTGGCAGTCATCATCAATGCTTGGATGCCGGCTGCCATTTTGATTCAAGATGGCAGACCAAATCATGACCATGGTGTTACCTTGCCACAATTTTTGGCATGATGGGTCCAAATTTACAAATCTCACTATCCATTTTTTTTAAAAGAACACAGCATGTTTTGGTTTCTACAAATACCCATGCCATGCGCTTCCCACTATACACATATATTCATTCTAGAATTTTAATTCTGTGTTTTCCAGCTGTATTGATATTTTCAATAAATGTTATCAAGTCTAATTGTCAATTTCTATGTTTTAATGGTCTGCTGAGTGCTATTTAACAAAATTAATTTGAGCAATTACCTTTACCCCAAAACATATATTCTGAAATTATGCAAAATTCAGAGTTGCTGCATTAGGACACCTGTGGGAATAATGATTTTAAAACATTCATTTCACCCTGGCAGCCTCTTCCAAAGAAAGCTGAAAATGCCGAAGTACACATAACAAGATCCAATAACAGGTTTTTCAATCTCACTCACTACTGCCATGAGATTAAGTGTTATTGGACAGCATTCAAATATTCAAAAATGCCAACATAATTATGCTGGCTGTTCTGAAATAATTGTTACCTGTTTATTCTTCAAGAAGTTCAACAGAGGAGTTGTTTTTTTTGCTAAAGAATGTAAAAGAAAGTGCTTTTGTATTTATTTCAACACATTTTATTTGTGGAAATAATGCAAGAAGAATATTCATATGAAAATTTTAAGTTACAAAACTGAAATTATGTATAACCAAAACTCATCAAAATGTAGTACAAATACATATAGTTATGCTGAGACAACAATTCTTCTCTGGTGTTTCCATATGGGGAAATAAAAATGCTGTCCATCTTTATGTATCTAACTAAATTAAGATCTTCCCTCATTACAGTGGTACTTCAGGTTACAGATGCTTCAGGTTACAGACTCCGCTAACCCAGAAATAGTACCTCGAGTTAAGAACAGTTTCAGGTTAAGAATGGAGCTCCAGAACGAATTAAGTTCTTAACCAGAGGTACCACTGTATTTGTTCTGGAGGTCCGTTCTTAACCTGATACTGTTCTTAACCTGAAGCACCATTTTAGCTAATAGGGCCTCCTGCTACCGCTACGTCGCCGCTGCATGATTTCTGTTCTCATCCTGAAGCAAAGTTCTTAACCCGAGGCAATATTTCAGGGTTAGCGGAGTCTGTAACCTGAAGCGTATGTAACCTGAAGCGTATGTAACCCGAGGTACCACTGTACTATTTCAAAAATAGTAATTGATTTTTTAAAAGGTAAAACAGTAAAGAATGAAAAAAATCACAACCATACTTTAAAGCATACAAAAGTTAAAATACTAAAACAGATTAAAACTACCTCAACTTTCTAATCCTCTAGGGAGGCTTGTCTAAACAACAGTATTTTTAGCAGGTGCTGAAAAGGGTGCAGTGAAAGTGCCTGCTTGGTCTCAATAGGGAGGAAGCTCCAAAGATTAGGCTCTGCCACGCTATGTTCTGTAACTATATGCTGTGTAACAATACTTTTTATACCTATTAATTCTTTGTTTCTTGCCTCTATTTCCTCCAGCAGTGTCTCAGGGGTGGATGTTAATTTTTCATCATCAGCACTGTAGTTTTCCAAAAACTTCTTATATTCTGGATCTGATGAGGAACCAAAGGGTAAGAACCATAAATATATGCACTTAAAAATGATACATAACATGTAAAGCTAAAAGAAACAAGACCTCCAGCTGTCATGTTAGATATATGCTCTACTTTTGAATAAAGTATGTTGCTTCTACAGTACTGTTTTTATTTACCTGTTAGATACAACAACCTAGGGTGCAGTTCTGTACGTGCTTAACTGGGAACCAACCCCATTAAATTCAATGGACTTTACTTCCAGGTAGACATGCAGAGGTTTGTGCTGTCAAAAGGCTCTTTACACATCAGCAAGTGTGCATCAACCAAACATTAAATTCCCCCTAATAACCAGACAGAATAATCACTGTGAATAGAAAGAGTGGTAATAGCCTTAAAAATAGTTAATGGCAATACTGTGTAACATTATTAGATCACATAAATAAATATTATGCAGTATTGCCATTAACTGTGGCATATGGACTTCTGACATGCAATAGGTCACTTTGATCACAAAATTTTATAATCTGTATCAAGGCAACAGCTTCTTCTGTTGGCAATTTTCAATTGGTTTTAACGGCAGGTGCAATAAATTTTGCTCCTCGCCCGCCCCGCCCCCACAATATAATGCCTAATATCTGCTAATAGAAAAATGACCCACCCCCTTCAAAGATCTGCCCAGACAAGGTACAAGAAGTGGACAAGCCGCTGCAAGAACTGCACTAAAAATGCATCAAGTCCAATTTCCTGCTTCATTGGACCTATACAGACATTGACATCCTGCAGAGGAATTTCTGCCATGAGACTATCAACAGAGTAGACCGTAAGGAATTAAACCTAGCAAGTGAAAAGACTTAGCTCCGTCAAGTTTAGTAAATTAAGTTTAGTAAATTTGGTAGGCCCACCACCTGCCTCCTTGATCCGTGCCCGTCTTGGCTGATTAGGGAGTGTCCAGATGTTGCGCGGACCCCCCTGGTTGAAATTATCAATTTGTCCCTTGACACGGGGACATTCCCAGGGGAGCTGAAGGAAGCAGTGGTGTGTCCACTCTTAAAGAAAACTTCATTAGATCCCTTAGACCTATCCAATTACCGCCCAGTTTCAAATCTTCCATATCTGGGTAAGGTAATAGAGCGGTTGCTGAACAGCTTGGTAGGTTTCTGGAGGAAACATCGGCATTAGATCCATTTCAGTCCGGTTTCCATCCTGGTTTTGGGACGGAGACGGCTCTGGTCGCCCTAACAGATGATCTCCATAGACAACTGGATCGAGGCAGGTCAGGACTGCTGATCCTTTTAGATTTGTCAGCAGCCTTTGACATGGTCGATCATGATGATCTGGACCACCGCCTCGCAGACGTGGGGATACAGGGCATAGCCCGTAACTGGTTGTGCTCTTTTATCTCTGGTCGGGGACAGAGGGTGGCACTAGGGAGGGAAATGTCGTCGCACCACTCCTTGGTGTGTGGAGTGCCGCAGGGCGCAATTCTCTCCCCGATGCTTTTTAACTTTATGCTTTATGCGCCCCCTTGCCCCGATGCTTTATGCGCCCCCTTGCCCAGATTATCCGGAGCTTTGGGCTGGGCTGTCACCAATATGCTGATGACACTCAGCTCTATCTGCTGATGGATGGCCACACCGACTCGGCCCCGAACACACTGACCAGATGCTTGGAAGCTGTGGCTGGATGGTTTCGTGGGAGCCGATTGAAACTAAATCCTTCGAAGACAGAGGTCCTCTGGCTGGGTTGGGATGGTATGGGGATGAGGGACCAACTCCCTTCTCTTGCGGGGGCCCAATTAGTGCCATTGCCTTCCATTAAGAGTTTGGGTGTAATCCTTGACGCCTCCCTTTCCATGGAGGCGCAAGTTACAGCAACAGCCAAGGCGACATTTTTCCACCTTCGCCGCATCAAGCAGTTGGTCCCTTACCTTTCCCGCCCCGACCTGGCCACAGTGATCCATGCGACGGTCATCTCCAGGTTTGACTACTGTAATTCGCTCTACGCGGGGCTGCCCTTGAAGCTGTCCCAGAAACTCCAGCCGGTACAGAATGCTGCAGCGAGGCTCCTCACGGGGTCTCTGCCATGGGAGCATATTCACCCAGTGCTTTTCAAGCTGCACTGGCTTCTGGTGGAGTACAGGGTCAGATTTAAGGTGCTGCTTTTGACCGTTAAAGCCCTTCACGGCCTAGGACCATCTTACCTACGGGACCGCCTCTCCTGGTATGCCCCACGGAGAGCCTCAAGGTCCATAAATAACAACACCCTAGTGGTCCCAGGCCCTAAGGAAGTTAGATTGGCTTCAACCAGAGCCAGGGCCTTTTCAACTCTGGCTCCGGCCTGGTGGAACGCTCTGCCTCATGAGACCAGGGCCCTGCAGGATCTGATTTCTTTCCGCAGGGCCTGTAAAACAGAGTTGTTCCGCCTGGCCTTTGGCCTGGAGCCAATTTGATTCCCTCCCTCCCTCTCTTTTTTCTTTTCCTTCTCCTCCTGCGATGAGGCTACATTTTAATATTTTAATGTTCCATTATTTTAATGTTGTATTTTATTTTTGTTTTTAAATTGTAATCATTCATCTTGTTTTTATTATTGCTTGTAAGCCACTCTGAGCCCGGCCTTGGCTGGGGAGGGCGGGGTATAAATAAAAAATTATTATTATTATTATTATTATTATTAAATGCTCTAGGCGTGAGAAAGGTGAAAAATTAGGGCATGTGGGGACAAGCAGAGCAATACTATGGTATGCTGGTGGCCTGTATCTAAGAAACTTTGCCTCAAACACATTATGAATTGATTTTATGAATGTAGTGTTGTTTAAAACTGTTTGTATGTGCGATTGCTCTTTGTATGTTTTTATTGTATTGTAAATCACTTGGCTCATGGAAGTGAATAAAGCCCTACACTGGAAGTATTTTCATCGAATGACAGCAGCGACTGCTACTACTCACCATCTTCAATAGTTCCAGCTTTGGCATCCTTTTTCTTACTCTTCTTTTTGGCAGCTTTTTGAAACGGCGCAAATTCCACTACGGCAGGATATTCTAGACCTGTTCATATATAAAAATATTAAAGACAACAACAAAAATGTTAAGAATGGAAAAACCTTTTATTTTTGTGCGTGTGTTTGGGGGGGGGGACTATATCTCAAAACCAAGAAACCCCACAATCAAGATAATGTTTTGAGACACGAGATTCACAAAACTCATTTCTTGCCAAACATAAGCTGTCTGTCCAGGCCTCCTGCAACAGCAGCCAATTGGAGAAAATGCCTCCATTGCTACCCAAACCAATACTATGGTTTATATCCTGCTTACCTGGGAAAACAATTGAACTGGCCCTGAAACTACAAAATAGTTCTGATACATTTTATGAACTGGCAAATTGGATCGTATTTTTTTTTTAAATTTAACCATGATATGAAAGCTACTTGTTTGGTCATTCAAAAGCAAACACTTACATGAGACTATCCTATCAGAAAAAGTAGAGGGGAAAAATTGGCAGTATGAAGAAGGGTAAGCAATCAAAATAATATATTTCTATTATTCTAGAGTGCCATTTCAGCTACTATTGCTCAAGCAGAGAATGCTAAAGCAGCAATCCATACCACGCTAAGCTAATGAACTCTGTTTTGCATGTCAGTACTGTACAATTAAAGTTATTATTACCAGAAATTATGTGTGCATTACAAATCCATAAAAAGGATTTGGGTCTCTCTGGATCCACAACACAAATGTGGCACTAGCTGTGCTTCTTTGCCACACCCAAAGCCATCTGCTTATGCAGTGCAACGCAGCAGCTATCCCTAATTAGCAGATTAAGGTAGATCCTCAGTACAGTAGAAGATAGGATTTAGACAAGGGACAGGGTACTGTGAGCCTCCCCAGATGTTGTTGGACTCTAACTCCCATAAACTGAAGCAGAGATGACCAATTATCAGGGGTCTGGGAGTTGTTGTTTAACAACATCTGCAACGCCACAGGTTCCCCATTATTGATGCACACCACAATCCTAAGTGTACTAATTCAGAAGCATGTCCAATTGCTGCTTGTGCAATTTACTTTCAAGAACGTGTGCTTAGGAATGGGCTGTTAAAACAACAGTCCAAGAAAGATTATTTCGAGATGAACTGCACTAAAATCAAAGGTACCTACTACCACATTATAATGCACTGAATTGGGCTATAAGCTGTCCTTTGAAATCTTGAGTCAAGTAATAAATGCATGGGTTTTCCAGAATTACAGTTTAATTACGGTATAAATGTATGCCAACATGTTTTAAAGCAGATATAATATACAGAACCAAGTTTTAGGCTTACTTGCCTTTGTGATCAACAAAAACATAACCATCAAAGCGATCCCTGAACAGAACAATGTCTTCTTGGTTTTTAAAGTTGATGTATGCTCTGGAAAACATGTGAGGGTACAAACTGCAGAAGGACAGAAAATGGCAATGTATAAGGAAACGTCGCTGAGTGATGATTGTAAATATACACAACACAGACGGATGTAAAACAGAAAGACATTTATGACATGACATTGTTACATGAAGCACAGCCAAATGTTTATAGTTCCTTTTACCTGGAGTCATTAGCAAAGAATTCAAAATAGTCATGTTCAGGCAAAGGTTGGAGATGTTCTTCAAGCTGTTCCTTGGTCAAGCTGGGAGGCAGGCGTCGAATTACTACCTTAAAGAAAAAGTTGCATTTGTTTACAAAAACTAGGTGTATTATACAATATTTTTTCTTTTAAAAAAGCAAGGTTCCATCATACAGTGGTACCTGGGTTGTCAAACCACTTAGTTGTCAAACAAATCGGCTCCTGAACGCTGCAAACCTGGAAGTGAGTGTTCCTGTTTGTGAACGTTCTTTGGAAGCCAAATGTCCAGCACGGCTTCTGATTGAGTGCAGAAGTTCCTGCAGCCAATTGGAAGCCACGCCTTGGTTTTCGAACCGTTCCGGGAGTTGAACATTTTCCCGGACTGGATTAAGTTTGACAACCAAGGTATTTCAAAACAAAGGAAAATACCTTAGATAAGGGTCACATTTCTACCACAGATTTCATAATAAACCAGCTTCTCTGCAGCCCGTGCTCTTCTGGCATGTAAATCTCTGTGTAATAAATTCCATCAAGTAAAGTAAAGAAAAAATGCCAACCTGTCCTACAACAGTCTGATGTTTTTCCATTGCTATAGGTTTTTTTGGATCCACACTTGTATATACACCAACACACACACACAAAGATCCACTAGACTATATGCTTTGTACACAAAAGGCTCCATGTTTAATCCCTAGCATTCCCAGGTAGGTATGGAAGGTAATCTTATCCGACATACTGGTGGAGCCACTTGCCAGTCAGCACAGAGAAGACTGATAGGTCAATAACGTTAATCAGTACAAGGCAGCTTCCTACGTAATCTTTCAACCAGTCTGTTGCATCATGTTCGTTACAACTGAAAGACATTTTTGCACACCAAATATTTACTGAATAGTAATGCATGGCAAGTAATAATGCATGGCAAGTAATAATGCTCTTTGGTGACCAGAATGTGAGTATTCCCTAATAAGAGAGTTTTATCAAAACAGAGATTAAAAAATGGTGCAATCTGAGACCAGTTTATACAATGAGCAGAGCTGAAAAGAAAACCCCTGTTCTGGACCACTTCTGGTATAGGCCAGCTAAACCAGGTGAGGGCAAACCCTTGGTGAGTTTGGGACTTCCCCTGCTTACGAAGACAAGCTTCAGCAGATTTGGCAGATGAGACCAATAGTGGATCCAATGGTCAAGAAGGCAGTCTCTGCACATTCTGTAGAAGGAAGCGAGGGGCAGGTGGGGCTGGGAAGGAGCAGGAAAATCCCGATCCCAAACCTCCTCTGCCTTGTGGGAGATCTTCGGAAGAAGAAAAGGCTAAGACCCTGCACAAATCCGGAGTGGGGTTGTACGCCTCCTTCCGACAACTTCTGCAGCCAAACGTCTTGCTCTGCTTTCCTTTGGACCGGCGAATCAGCGGTGAAGCCCAGGACCTCTATTGCACAACACTGCCCAGGCTTGCAGTGACCCAGGCAGGTGCTAAATGCAGCACTTTGACTTCACCCCAGGCGCTCCATCGTCTCTCGGGGTACAGAAACCCACACAGACATTTCAGGCTGCAGGTGACAGTGGTGGCCGTCAGCAGAGTTTATGCGATGGTAGGGGAATGGGGAATAACGCACGCACGCGCACCCGTCTTTTGAAACCTTGCGACTTGAAAGTGTCCCCGCACCTCGTCTTCCCCCCCCCCCCATGCCCAACCTGCGGATTAAGGAGAAAAAGCCATCGCGTCAGGAGAGGCGAAGAGCCTAGTTCTCCACGCACTGCTGGGGGAAACCGCACGCGAATATTTTTGCGCTTGGACTGTCGCCCCACGAGCGCGAGAGAGGCTGACGCCACGGGGCTACGATGCGCAGCAAGGCGCCTTCGGCCCCGCGGAGTCCAGCCCAGCCCAAGGGAAAGGCGCCGCACCTGCCGGGGGACCCCGACCCCGACGGGCCCCGCGCGGGAGCTTGTCTGCTGCGCGCACCTTGCTCAGGATCTCTTTCTTGTCCTTCGGACGCTCCAGCCTGTCCGGTTCGCCTCCCGCCTTGGCGTCCGCTGCCGCCGCCGCTCCCACGCCGCCGGTCGGGGTGACGGGAGCCCCCCGCTTCTCCTTCGGCCGCGCGTTCTCCTTGTCTTCCTTCATTGCGAACGCGGAGAGCCGCACCAGGCCTTCGCCCGTCAACGCCCCCGCCCGCGCCGCCGATGCCTCCCTCCGCCCGCGCCTCGCCAGATCCGCGCGCCCATTGGCCGCCGCTGCTCTCGCAGGAACGGGAGGGGGAGAGCGGGACGCCGCCGCCGGCAGCAGCAGCATAGTAAACAACGGCGCCACAGCGCCCCCTCGGCCGGCGAGAGGAGAGCCCGGCGCTCAGACCCAGTGGAGAGGCGTTTTCCCGCGACTACATCTCCCAGCATGCTCCGAGGTTGCCCGTCTTAGTGGGGCTCTTCAATTCGCTTGAGGCTTCGGGACTACATCTCCCAGCATGCACCGCGACAGGTGTCCTCCTCTTAGTGGGGCGTTTCAATTCGTCGGATGCTTCGGGACCACGTCTCCCAGCATGCACCGCCCCGCGGAGAGATTGCCTAATTATAGTAGGGCGCTTCAATTGGCTGGATGCTTCGGGACTACATCTCCCAGCATGCACCGCCCCGAGGAGACGTTGGCTCATCCCAGTGAGCGCTTCAATTCGCGGGATGCTTCGGAACTACATCTCCCAGCATGCTCAGCCCCTCGGAGAGGTTGTTTAATTTTAGTGGGGCGTTTCAATTCGCTGGATGCTTCAAGAATACGTCTCCCAGCATGCACCGCCCAGCGGAGAGGTTGCCTAATTTTAGTGGGGCGTTTCAATTCGCTGGATGCTTTGAGACTACATCTCCCAGCATGCTCCGCCAACCCCCCCAAAGTTTCCCGCATCTTTAAAAGATTCAATTCCCGGCATGCGCTGCGGCCTGTCAGACACCTAACAGTTCCAGTATACATCGTGGCTTTTATATATAGGTATAAATATACTGTAAGATATAGTGTAAGATATATAGTCTAAGAGCGGAGAGTGATATCCACTGAGCCTTTAAACAAAAACCAAACAAATCGCCTCAGAGCGTTCCGCGGGGCTTGTCGCCATAGCAACATCACCCCTTAACCCTGTCGTGGCCATGATAGGGGGCGGAGGGCACATGCGCAGCTGCCGCCTTTGGAGCCGGGGAGGGAGGGAAGGTTGCCTTCTGGGCCACGCTGCCTGAAGCTCGCGATAGTAGGGCTGTTGGCGGAGCATGCGCAGGAGCGCCAGCTCTGCTTTGAGTGCGAAGTCGTGTGGCAGCGCTGCTGACTGAGAGGTCGCCAGGGTCGCGGAGGGAAAAAGCCGCGCAGCCGTCGGGATGTGGTACGAGATCTTGCCCAGCTTGGGCCTCATGTACGTGTGCTTGGTCATCCCTGGCGTGAGCACCGCCTACATCCACAGATACACCAACGGGGGCAAGGTGCGTGCCATGGAAGCGGCTCCTCACGAATCCCCATCTCCCCTCTCCTTTTCTGAAATCCCATATTGCTGATTTAGGAATTGCTGTAGCTTTAAGAACTTGTTTTGCGTTTAGATGTATGTGATCGATTTAGGAACAGCGGCTTTAAGAGCTTGAGTTTTCTCTTCCCTTCTCCTCCCCGCGTTCTTTTCCCTTGCGTGCCATGACTTTTCAGAGGGTCTCTTAAAACTGGTGGGGTTGGGGGGGGTTAAGCTGCCCTGAGAACCTTTTGGGTGTAAATAAAAATTTTAAGTAAATTGCACGCCTTCTTTGAAACTCTCTGAAGAAGTCTAATATGCAACCCCAAATCCAACGTGCAGTACTTGCGTATAAACGCCAGGAGGCCTAAGAGACCGAAGAAAAAAAGCAAGTGACCCAGAATTTCTAAAATGTAATCAAGGCCAACAGCAAAATCATAATAATGAAAGCAATACATTTCAGGAGAAATCTAGCAAGAAGAAAAAGAAAAATTGTTTTCAGAAAGGGCTGCAGTGTTGATTCTGTTGATAATGAAATCCAAAGCTGTGGGGCTACCATGGAGATGGCTTTAAGAGAGGATTGGACAAATTTATGGAGGACAAAGCTACTCACCACTACAGAGGCAGCAATGCTTCCAAATATAAGTTTCTGGAAATGACAGGGAGAGTGCTGTTCTGTTTGTGTTTATAGGTTTCCCATATGCATCTGGGCAGCCATTGTGAGCAAAAGGACACTGGATTTGATGGCCCATGGCCTGCTCCAGCAGGTTTGACTTATTTCATAGACTGCCTTGTGCCTGGCAATTCACCTTCACCTGGTGGTTGGTCTCAGAGAATGGGCAACTGGGTGTGGGAACTGACAGCCCTTCAAATAACTGTGACAAAAACCTTTTTAAGGCTTTAAAGCCCGTAAGAATAGGGAGAGTCGTGTTGTCGTCCCCCACCCCCATTTCATAATATTAAAACCCAGGGCCATCCAGTGAAGCTGAATGCTGGAAGATTCAAAGCAAACGAAAGAAAACACTCTTCTATGGAATTCACTCCCAGGAGATGCACTGATGGCCACCAGCTTGGATAGCTTTAAGAAGTGGTTGGTCAAATTCGCTGAGGCTAATGCTTTCAAGGGCTATTAGCCACTGGTATGTACTACCTCATGTGTCAGAGGCAGTATGTCTCTGAATATCAGTTGCTGTGGTTCACATGTTGGGAGAGTGGTGTTTTACTCAGGTTCCCATAGGCATCTGGTTGGCTACTGTGAGAACAGGATGCTGAAGTAGCCAAACTTTCTTTAATGGCAGCCCTATGTAGAGTGCATTTCAGCAGCACAGTCTGAATGTGACAAAGGCACAATACATGAGGCCTGGACAAGTTTTATTTATTTATGTAATGTATATCCTACACCGGAGGTTTTCAAACTTTTTGAGTCCACAGTTCCCTTGACCAAGTACATTCTTTCTGCGGTTCTCCTGTGGGGCTCAGAAGCCCAATGATGTCACCCCTTGCCTGCAGAGCTGGCAGCCTCTCACCCTTTCTCAAACACCCTCCCTTGTAGAGTGTTCCCTCAGCCTCCTCCTCTCCTCTCCTCTAGCCAGCCCCAGAGGCACCATTCACCTGTCGTGCTTGTAGTCAGGGCTGCTGCAACAAATAGCCGTACAAGCCTTTGGGAGGCAGAGACGTGATAGGGCATTAGAGGAAGAAGAGAAGGAAAGAGGGACAGAAGCCATTGTTGCCTGCGGCACTCCTGACCACCATTCAACTCACTCCATGGTGCCACAGCACACTGGTTGAAAACCACTGCCCTACACTGTCATTGTAGGTTTATTCTAGGGCAGCTAGTAGAGTATTACAGGACAGGAAAATAAATATTTTTAAAGTAGTTAACAATAACAGATGGGATTCAGGTGGCGCTGTGGTCTAAACCACTGAGCCTCTTGGGCTTGCTGATCAGAAGGTTGGTGGTTCGAATCCCCTCGACGGGGTGAGCTGCCGTTGTTCGGTCCCAGCTCCTGCCAACCTAGCAGTTCGAAAGCACGCCAGTGCAAGTAGATAAATAGGTGCCACTCTGGCGGGAAGGTAAATGGTGTTTCTGTGCATTGTTCTGGTTTCGGTGTTCCATTGCACCAGAAGCGGCTTAGTCATGCTGCCCACATGACCCGGAAAAACTGTGGACAAACGCTCCCTCAGCCTGTAAAGCGAGATGAGTGCCGCAACCCCAGTCTGTGACTGGACTTAATTGTCAGGGGTCTTTACCTTTACCTCTTACCTTTAACAATAACAGACAATAACTGCTATTTGAAATGTGTACCTTTCAGATCCCTGTCCCAGTAGATAGGCAGATTGATGCAGAAGAAAAGTATCCAACTGGTGTCTGGGCTCTAAAAAATAAAAGGTTACATATAGGCCACCCTGAACTCTGATTGGATGAAGGGAGATATAGCAATGTTTTAATTAGTAAAGGTGAGGATTTTTTAAAAAAAGGAAAATGAAGAATGGTAAATGACGACTTGTAAAAAAAACAAATTAAAATAATAATAATTGTAAGAAAAAGGCTCAGTAGGATGATTTTTTATTAAATTTAATAAAAATTAAATTAAATTAACAAATAAAGCATGAACAAATATGTTCAAGCTGAAACTCTAGTTGATTTTCTTTGTTTATGAATATATTCTTTTTGGGGTGGGCATATTAAATGAAACGAGCCTCACTCACACCTGCAGTCTGCAGCAGTGCTGTTCAGACATAGGCTTTCTTACCGCATCTATTGAACCCCACAGTGTTGCCCCCTGAATTGCCCATGACATCCAAATAATCATACCTTCAGCTAAGAATGACAAGGACAGTCTGTCATGTGTATATCTGAGCCTTGGTGCTAGGCTGTGAAGCAGGGCTGAGCAGGTTGCTTTTCATCTCAAAAAAGGAATAGGTCTGCCCGCATCTGTTGAATTTTTCAATATTTCACATTTTTGTCAACTTTGCTTTAAGCCTTCTCACTTTATCTGTCTCCCACTGCCTCTTGTTTACACATTGTCCACCTTATTTCTTATGTGCCCAGGAGAAGAGAATTGCTCGGAACACCTATCAGTGGTACCTGCTGGAGAGAGACAAGCGTGTGTCTGGAGTAAATCAGTACTTTGGCTCCAAGGTTTGTTTGAACAAACTTCCTTGCATGCTGCTGTCTGGTTGCAAAGTCACAACACTATTTTTTTTGTGGGGGTGGGGAGCTAAATGCCACAACTGTTTACATTTGTTTTGGCCCCTAAATGATTTCTGTTCCTCTGCACAATGTTATTTTTATCCTTAATCTGTGTTCAATACTATAATGCGCATGACATGTTCTGCTCATAGCAGAGCCCTTTTCAGACATGTATTTCAGACATGTATCAGACAAGTTGGAGAACAGCTGTCATTACTTGTGTGGATTCCCCATGGGTAGTTATGGAGCATCTTTAAAGACTGAATAACTTTCCAAACTACAACTCCCATCATGCCTGGCCATTTGTCATATTTGCTAGGACTGATGGGAGTTGCAGTTCAGCAACATCTCAAGGGCAAAAGGTTCCCCACTCCTGCCCTAAGGAGTCTTCTTTCCTGGTCCTGTGATGGCAGAGCACTTCTGTCAGTGGCAGCCTGATGTAGCAAAGGAAAGTGCAAACCTGCCTGCGCTTGCTAGTATTAAAAGTTGAGCAACTCGCTATGTGTTTGCGCAATTAGTATTTTTCTGTTTGTGGGATTAAGGAGGACACCACCTTGAAAAGAGGTTTGTTAAACCTGATTATATAGTGTAATTTGATAGCAACAGCGTTGTGCACATTTAACTAATTTGCTTCACTTTTTATTTTCCAGGGTTTGGAGAACATTAAGTAAAACCACGGTGCAATGAAAGCAACTTAATAAACATGTATTTGACAAAGTGTGGAGCATATTGATCATAATACCATAAGGAGAGAGGACAATAAGCTTCTACTACTGTACCAATAAAATTGCAATAAAGAAATAAAATACAGATTGAAATAATGCAGATGTGAGAATGTTGACAAGACAGACAGAATACTGTATTGGGTTTGTTTTTCATGCTGACCTTCATGAAAGGTACATTTGATACATTACTCTTAACAGATGGTTGCTGTTGTTGGCTTGAGTGATGGCACTTGTAGTCCAAAACATGTGGAGGGCACCATGTTGACTTACCCCTATTTTAATGGGTACCAGATTGTTGTTCTTTGCTTTTTGATTACTACATGAAACCAATGGGAAACATCAGCTGCAGAGTTGGGTATACTGATGAGTTCGTTCTCATTTTCACCATCTAAGCCAGGTGTGGGGAACCTTTGGCCCTCCAGATGATGCTAAACTGCATCATTAGTCACGCTTGCTAGGACCAATGGGAGTCACAGTTTAACAACAATAGGAAGGCCAAAGGTTTCTTACCCCTGGTCTAAACCTAAGGAGGTGGTGATTATTCTGAATCAGTGTTTTGAAGTTCTGTTTTGGTATGAACATGGATGGAACTAGCTGAAACTTAATCCTGATAAGATGAAAGTGCTATGTTTAGGGCTTATGCCTTTACTCTTCCTGAAGGAACAAATATGCAGGCATGGTGCTCCTGGACACAGCTTTATCTTTGGATCCTCAGGTAGTATCTACCATTTCACAAGCTGTGGATGTTTCTAGAACAGGCTTTTGTGCCAATTTTGACCCTTTAGGTTTCTAGCCAGCCATAGTGACTTTCCCTAGGCCAGTTCCTCACCCTCCCTGAGTAGTTTTGCCTGGCGGGAATGTTAACTGTAATAATAATGCCTCTCGCTTGCCTGGATAGAAAAATGTGTGGTATGGGAGTATAGGCAACTTTGACTTCTGCATGGCTGGAATGTAGCCTACTGTGCAAAGGTGAAAGTCATACCCATGGCCCACCCACCACTGGCATGTGCCCCCACTCCAAAGATTGCTCATAAAGGAATGCGGTCCCTCCACCCCTGATCTAGAGAAAATCAATCTATCACACTGGAATTTAGTGGTCAGAATAGAATGTTTGTGGGTTTTCAAACTTGGAGCATATTATGCCAGTTTTATATCAATTGACTAGGTTGCCTGTTTGCTTTTAAGCCTAGTTTAAAGAATTAGACATTGACCCTTAAGGCTGTTAATAGCCTGGGACAAAGTTACCAGAACTTGCCACATGAATTTGTCTGAGCCTCCAGTTGGTTTCAGGGGCTCTGCTCTCAAACATGCCTCTGTTAGCAGATACTAGGTGCAGAGCCTTTTTATTGTAGTATCATCATAACTCTGGGATACTTTCCCTGGAAGATCCAACAAGCTTGTTAATAATAATAATAATAATAATAATAATTTATTTATACCCCTGCCCATCTGGCTGAGTTTCCCCAGCCACTCTGGGCAGCTTCCAATCAAGTGTTAAAAACAATACAGCATTAAATATTAAAAACTTCCCTAAACAGGGCTGCCTTCAGATGTCTCTTAAAGAGAAGATAGCTGCTTATTTCCGTCACATCTGAAGTTCCACAGAGCAGGCGCCACTACCGAGAAGGCCCTCTGTCTGGTTCCCTGTAACCTCACTTCTTGCAATGAGGGAACTGCCAGAAGGCCCTCAGCGCTGGATCTCAGTGTCCGGTGGGGGTGGGGGTGGAGACGCTCCTTCAGGTATACAGGACCGACGCCGTTTAGGGCTTTAAAGGTTTCACCCTTTAGGTGAGTTAAGGCTCTTTTGGAGACATCCAGTGTCATGGGAATGAAGTCTGCTTGTACAACAGGGCTGCTTTGTTCTCTCTGCAACTCCATCTGTAGCCCCAAAATCTGCTCTGGAGAGCTGAGGGATGCTTTGGAACAGATATTGTGGGGATATGAGGAGCTGTAGGGGGGAAAGATGAACCAGAAGTCCTGTTGCAAAAGGGAATTTCCTGTCCTGTTGCAAAAGGGAATTTCCTTTGTACAAGTGGATGAACATCACTGGATGTTGCCCAGTTTTCATTAAACATGCACTTGGGAGTGTAAACACTTTTATTTTTTTAATCTATCCCATCCCCAGTGTCTTAAAGATTATATTAGAAGGAGCAGAAAAGCTGTACACAAAATGCCAATTGAAACAGCAAGCACAAGTTCAGGAAAGTATTCACTGCAATGAGCAGAGCTTTTTATTATTTAATGCATATCCCACACAAAACAATGTGTTTAGATTACTAAAGAATGCGAGTAAATTGTTGTATGCTGGTTTCTAAATGTATCCCAGTAAAATCAAGAGCAGAGAAAATATTGCTGCATCAGCAAATGACCTTGTAAATGATTCCACTCCACAGGTAGCTTTGGAATCTGCAATGGTGGAAAGAAAATCAGAATCATGAATATACAGGTTAAAGTTGAGATACAAGTGGAGCTTGCAACAAAATGTTGTGGTGTGAAATGGGCCTGTTTGGGTTGTCAGACCCCTAACCAGGCCCTTTCCAATATATTTCATTTCCCCCCATTTTCACCTGGTTTTCTGTTTCCTCCTCATCCATCAACAATTGGTCAGCGTGCCATGGCCATTGAGCACACATGCTCCTCATTGTGTTAGCGTGCATTAAGAAGCAGGCAAGGCACATCATTCAGACCACTGGGCATTTTTTCAGTGATGCTCCAAAAATTACATCAATACATTGTACATCTTTTCCAGTCAGTGTTAGTTGCTTTTGGCTCCAATGGGGCACAAAGCATGAAATTTGCAAAACTACCGTACATCCTGACATCTTTTGAGTTTTATGCATTCAGTTTCTCCACCAACAATTAGGTGTCTTTTTTAAATGAAAGGTACACTCATCAACTCTATCATAGCTAATGATTTTACTAGGGCCAGAGACTATCAAACAAGGCAGTCTCATGTAACCCAGTAACCCCTTCTGTCTCATAATAAAACAAGGAACATTTCTCCTGATCCCATAGCGGGGTATCAAATAACTAAGCAAAGCGTTATACCAGCTGATATGTTACTGCCCTTCACCAATCTTGTTCCCTTCAAATGTTTGACTACAAGTCTAAAGCCATCCCACAAGCAATGGCTGTGGTTGATGGGACTTCTAGTTACTAGCATTGGAGGGCACCTGGTTGGTGAAGGCTGTGTTATTGGGATATATTGATCCCAATGCCATCTGTACTTGTGGCCTATTCAATTTCAGGGGAGATGGGGAGATGGGGAGAAACAAGACTGGGAACTTGTTTCACATAACAGAGTGGTAAGTTACTCACTTCTCCAGATCACTTTGGATTTGACGTTGGTCCAGTAGATGTCATGAGACTGGGCGACTGTAGCCCTGATACAATAGGAAAAGGGACATCACAATTACACTGCATATTGAGTTTGGGTTCTGCCTACTCCTACAATCATCATCATCATCATCATCTTATTATTATTATTATTATTATTATTATTATTATTATTATTAAAAAAAACCCTCTTCAGTTTGTAATTACTTTGATGCAGTTCCTAAAGTTCATTATCCGAGGGTTAAAGATTTCCCCTGACATTCTTCCCATGGATTGAGACAAATGAAACTCCGCACAGTTATTAGTCCTTCTCCACATAGCTACCAGCAAGAGTCAAACACTTCCCCCATCACTTTATGCAGTTGTGGAGACCTCGTCGGCAGGTTGCGTCAGAAGCCACAACTTGACCTCAGAAATCAGCATTTCATCGTCTGGAAAAAGCTTGCCTTTCAAAAATAACTTAATGGTTGGAAAGAGGTGGAAGTCTGATGGTGCAAGGTCGGGAGAATAAGGGGGTTGAAGAAGGATTTCATAGCCACAGGACCATGCTTCCGTCTGAGCAATATGTGAGTTGTGAACTGGGGTGTTATCCTGCAGGAGGTAGACACCTTTGGTCAGCATACCACGCCTCTCGGTTTTGATGGCCTTCCACAATTTCTGCAGCAGTGAAGCATAATATGTCCCGGTAACTGTGGTAGCCTTTGCCAGGAAATCAATCATCACTATTCCACGCTGGTCCCAAAAGACCATGAGCATGACCTTGCCTGCCGATGGTTGGAGGTGGTGAGGCAGAATGTTTCCATTGTTTGGACTGGGATTTAGTCTCTGGATCATAATGATGGACCCATGTTTCGTCCTGAGTAATTAATAATTAGTCTGGCGAAGAAGCCATCATGGTTTTTGTGACACATGGCCAAATGAGCCCATGAGCATGTGACATGTTCCTGCTTCTGGAAAGGCAGCAGCCGGGGAACCCACCGTGTGGACACCTTTCCCATGAACAAATGGTCATGGATAATTTTTTTCTACAGAGCCCACACTGATCTTGACATCTGCAGCTAGCTGGCGAATGGTTATGCGATGTTCCTCCAGAATGGCGATCTCCACTTCATCAATGACGGACTGTGGTCGCTCAGGAATGGGAGCTGTTCCACCAAAGTCTGACCACACTTGAACTGACGATGCCAGTGCTTGACTACGTCATACGATGAGGCATCTTCCCCATAAGTCCCTTTCATCTCATCGAACGTCTCCCGTGGTGTGTGCCCTTTCAAGTACAGGAACCTGATGACCGCTCTGCTTCAACTGGTTCCATTACCAGACGTTACTCCACGTTAGCACCCGTAACAGAGAAACTGTTAGGAGTTCAAAGCTACAAATTACCACATTACCTATGGAGAGATGTACATGTGCAATTTCATCCTCCTACGATAACCGGAAGTGGGTCAGGGTCTTTAATGAACGACCCTCATACTTTTAAAATGAACTTGCCTTCTGCCTGGCAGAATGAAATCATAGCATGCAGACAGAGAAAATTATTTCCCATTACTTGCCTGGTAATGTTTGCAGCCATCAAAAGAGGCTTCTGAAGCCATGGGAAGGAGCTTAAATCTAGATCAGGAATGGGGAACCTTTGCCTTGAACTACAATTCCCATCAGCTCTAGCAAGCAAGCCAGGGATGGCCAGGAACGAGGGTTGTATTTCAACAATATCTGAAGATTCCTCACAACTGTCTTATGATTTAGGGAAGGCAGTATTTTAGAGAACAAGTGAAACTTACACAAATATAATTACTGAAGGGCAGCCAGAGTTGGGTGGAAGCCATGTGTAACTGTCTTGTCCTGTTTTTAAATTGGTATTAGAATGAGTCACTGCGCCTTGTGGATTTCCAGAACACTGCAAAAGGAGACACAACGTCACTTTAAATAAGCTTCCTCAAATTTATCTATTTTAAAGCAGAACCAAGACCCCGTAACACTTTTTATAGAGCCAGTCCAGAAATATTGGGTGATAAATTTTTTAGTTCACTGTCCATTAGTAAACAAAATTCATTTCCCCACATTGCCCTGCTCTAATTTTTAATATTGCAACATTTTTTTTAAGCAGCCACTTAGTATTCTCCTTTACAGAGGTTCATTTGCCTTTAAAAGCTAACCAGGCACGTTCAAATTCAAATGTTGAATTTTACAATCTGAGTTAAATTGATGGCATTATCTTGAAGGTTATGATTCCTGACACATTTTATAGACCAAGAGTGGGGGGCCATCTCCACTCTAGCTGTGGCTGAACTACAACTCCCATTATCCCATTATCTGGAGGGCTAAAGTTCCCCAAAACCTGTTTTGGACATTTGGAACCAGCCATTTTAGGATTTTTGGTCACTTCTGCTGTCCAGATATCAGAAGTGTTGAACTTCCCACTTATTTTAATAAAAGACATGTGAGCCTTCCTTTCTGACTTGCTCTCCTGAACATGTTGCCATTTCTTCACAGACAGGCTGTTTAGGGCAGGGATGATTAATCTGTGGCCATCCAGACATTGTCAGACCCCAGCTCCCACTAGCCCAAGCCAGCATGTCTAATGATCAAGGGTGATGGGAGCTAGAGCTTCAACAGCATTCAGAGGACCACAATTAGCCACCCCTGATTTAGGATGTGGCCAAATTCTCTAATGCAGCTGATGGGAAGTGTAGCCCAAAACATCTGGAAGATACCAGAGTGAGGAAGTCTAAACTAATCTCATCCCCACAGCCCAGAGATGGGAATATTTAAGTTGTCCAGATTTTGGGCTACAAATCCTATCATCATCTCTGACTACTGGCCATGCTGTCTGGAGCTGATTGGAGTCCAGCAACATCTAAAGGACCACACAATCCTTAACCACTGGCATATCACCTCATCAAACTGTAAGTGCAGAAAAAATGAATAACTAGCTGGATCAACTATGAGTTGTATCGTTCAATCTGTGACCCTTCTCTGGTTTGGAGTGGGAATGGGGACTGTTTCTGGCAATGATTTTGCTACAGCAGACACTAAAGAATGACCGTTTGTCTCTTACCTGTAATAATTTAGTATTATTGGGAGGAGTTTGCCAAAAACCTAATGCAGCTGTGGAACCAAATGCACGAGCTTCCAACAGTAACCCTCTGTATGCAGAACCAAGGATCTGAACTGGAGAAAGATGACAGGCATCATGTAACAAATAAGCCTGGTTTGGTTAAATCACTTGTTTTCCGCAGCTGGACCTATAATGGTGTTTCTAACCTGTCCAGGAACAGGCTATATATTATGTTTGGGGAGCCTTTGGCATTCCAGATGTGGCTGAACTGCAGCTCAAATCGCCCTGGCCATTGGCTATGCTTGCTGAGACTGATTGCAATTTTAATTCAGCAGCATCTGGAGGACCAAAGATTCCCCATTCCTTATATACTGTATGGCCGAAATATTGGGAAATCTTGGAACAAGAATGAGACAAATTGAAATTGCAGAGTTTCGAGAAATTAAAAAACAAAGTGAGAGATTGGCTTCATTATTATCAGATAATGGAGGCATATAATTTGGATAAGAAAATTGGCTTCCAGGTGGAAAAATCAAAACTAGAAACAGAACTGTTAGAACCCAAAACTAAGAATTTGTCAAGAATGTATAACTTGCTGTTGAAATGGAATACTCAGGATGAAACGGTGAAATCTGCTATGATTAAATGGGCACAAGATGTTGGACATAATATTATGTTTGCTGACTGGGAACAGTTATGGACCACAGGTATGAAGTTTACGGCATGTAATGCCCTAAGAGAGAATATTATGAAAATGATATACAGGTGGTACATGACCCCAGTCAAGCTTGCAAAAATCTATCATTTGCCCAATAATAAATGCTGGAAATGTAAAGAAACTGAAGGTACATTCTTTCACCTTTGGTGGACGTGCCCAAGGATTAAGGCTTTCTGGGAAATGATATATAATGAACTGAAAAAGGTATTTAAATATACCTTCTTGAAGAAACCAGAGGCCTTTCTTCTGGGCATTGTCGGCCAATTGGTGCCAAAGAAGGACAGAACTTTTTTTATGTATGCTACAACAGCAGCAAGAATACTCATTGCAAAGTATTGGAAGACACTTTGGAAGAATGGCAGATGAAGGTGATGGACTATATGGAATTGGCAGAAATGACTGGCAGAATCCAAGACCAGGGAGAAGAGTCGGTGGAAGAAGATTGGAAGAAATTTAAAGACTATCTACAGAAATATTGTAAAATTAATGAATGATAGAATGATGTTGGATAGTAATTAAGCGGTTTCCAGCTGTAATGCTCTAAGAGAATATGAAAAAAGGGTTATAAATGGGTTAAAATCTAATGGTAAGGATTTGCTGAACCAATAAATTGAAGTGGAATACAAAAAAGGGAGGTATGAAGAGGTCCGGGAAATAAGCTAAAGGAAAATAAGTAATGGAAAATATGTGTGTTTTTAACTGTTTTTATTTTGCATTTTTCTCTTTTTTTTCCTTTTTTTTCTTTTTCATTTGCACTGTAATATTTCAAAAAATCTCAATAAATATCTTATAAAAATATATATATATATATACTGTATGGTTCTCTGGCTGTTCTTGACCGACTACATTCTTTCTTCGGCCCCCCCCCCGTGGGGCTCAGAAGCCCAGTTATGTCACCCCTTGCCTGCAGAGTTGGCAGCTCCTCACCCCTTTTGAAACACCCTCCCGTGTGGAGGGTTCCTTCAGCCTCCTCTCCTCTCCTTGGGAGTCTTGGGGAGCTGCAGCTGCTGCCAATGGTCTCTAAGCTGCTCCCCCACCCCCAAGAGAGGTGCCTCCTCACACTGCCCCACTGAGGCCTGGGAAGCAGCTGCTGGCCAGCCCTAGAGGCACCATAGCCTGGGGAGCTTGTAAGCGGCACCTCTGATTATCCTTAAGTGCCATGGCAGGCTGGTTGAAAACCACTGGCCTACACCATCCCTGCTGAAACCCTAACCTTTTCCTTCTCTGCCCACTGACACACACATTTGGAAGAGAGCCCCCATTCCCTGTCTTTCACAGGCGTCACCCAATTGAAGGGTTGATGCCTGGCCATCACCAGCCTTTGTTGTTCTTAATGACTTATACCCAAAGTGATACCGTGGTCCAGAAAAACAAAGTTAGGCTGCATTGTCCCACTGTTAAATGAAACTGTCTATGAGCCCATCTTAATTCTCAAATAACTGATTAAACTCCAGCACTGAGGAGTCTAGAGGAGGTCAGGGCACCCACAAACAGGGTAGGGTGGGTGGATGAGGGTACCCATATACCCACAACAAACTAGAGACATATGCAGCAACATTATCAAAAGCCTTTTCTGGAAAGAGACTAAGTGCAAACTGTAACTCTATCTGGTATTCAATTAAGTTTTACTCCAATTACACCTATGGAACTTAACGGACAAAACTTAGTCACTTTTATTAATTTCAGTAGGTTTACTCTGAGTAAAACTTAGTTGCATACCACCATTATGATGAAGTACAGAGAAGGTTGCAAAGGGTTTTGCATTTGTGCCTACCTATATCTTAGGAGGAAAAACTTGATAAATATGTTAGCTCGGGTTAGTAATTACATTATATAACATTTTTCTTTTGTGTTTTTTAAAAAATAATTTTGTGAGTTAATTAATGAGAATATATAGATTTCTTCTCCCCTCATTTTTAATAAATTATTGAATAAAACAAAGGTATTATTACAGACATCTATCTATCATCAACCAAAGTTTTTAAAATCCAGTTTAGAAACTTACCATTAACAGGCTGCCCGTTTAGGAAATAGGGTGTACTAACTAGGAATTCATAGGGTGCTGGAGTCTGTTGAGGCTGGGTCCCTGTGTGAATAGGTAACATATTCTCACAGGCTGATGCAGGAGCACCAGTTGGAAAGGCATGAGATGGACAGAGCATGATCCAAGGGGCCATCAAGCTGAAGAGAAGGAAGGGGTTCCAATAAGCCATGTCTGCAAGAGAAGTAGCTGCTAGTTCTCTCTCTCACACTCTCTCCTGCTCCTTGGAAGCAAGAATGAATTCTCAGAGGCTTGAAGAATCTTCAAAATGATGAAAGCATGAGCTTTGCTGAGTCACTGACCCATAACAGATTCACTTTCTACTCATTTCAGATGCAATTATAACCCCCTTCTCTTGCTCACATGACTTCCAAATTGAGAATTGCATATGGTTTCTTAAGGTTTCCATGTGGACACAAGCTAAGGAAATGGATTATGGAACTTGCACGGTGAGGATTTTACAGTGCTTTTGCCTGTTTCAAAGGGGCATTAGTTTTCTCCACTGTCCACTTCTATATTAAAACACACACACACACAAAAGTATTGTGTGAACTGCATCTGTTGGGAAACTGCAATCGGTTGCTGCTTCCTAGTGTGTGTACACACTACACTGACATGTCATAAAACAGAAAAGTGTGCAAACTTTCAGTTCATTTGTTCATCAGATAGAGCACAGGGTTATCAAGACCACCACAGCAGAGAAAAATATACATACAAATTGCATGGAAATTGTGCCTTTTAAAATAAGAGTATAACAAAACCCACAGATTTAAAGTACAGTTTTGACCCACAATTCCTATTTATTTTAATGATTACCATATTTTTCGCTCTATAGGATGCACCCGATCATAGGACAAACCTTGTTTTAGAGGGGGAGAACAAGAAAAAAAATTCTTCCCCTCTCTGCTCAGCGCCCCTTCAGCGAAGCGGCAGGAGAAACGGAGCCCCTGCGTTCTGTGCATTCAAGGTGCGTTTATCCAAAGCCTCCGGAGCAGCTCTGGAGGCTTCAGGCAGCTACCTTGGAAGCTTGGAGAGCGAGAGGGGCCGCTGCGCACTGATCCCTCTCGCTCTCCAGGCTTCAGTGAAGGCAACCCGAAGCCTCAGGAGCGCAGCGGGAGTTCCCGCTGGGCTCCGGAGGCTTCGGGTTCCTTTCGACCTGCTCTTTGGGGTTTGCGGGGGGGAGGGCTGCTTTCCCCCACCGCCAGCCTCAAAGACCAGGTCGGGGAGCAGCGCAAAGGCTGCGCGCCACCTTCCCGCTGCCCCCCGAGCTTGTGGGGCTGGCAGTGGGGGGAAGCAGTGGGTCAAGACTCTCCTGGCTTCAGCGAAAGGAACCTGAAGCCTCTGGAACACAGCGGGAACTTGCACTGCGCTCCGAAGGCTTCAGGCGGCTATCCCTGAGAAGGCACTTCTTATGTCCTTACATGGTTCAAGGGTAGAGATTGTGAGAAGGCATCTTCCAAAGCAATCCCACCCCGCAAATAGCTTTGGAGCCTTCTTGCCTCTAGCCTAGCCCTCACCCCTTTTCCTGTTCCCGCTGGAGTCTTCTTTTGCTTGCCACGCCTGCGGGCTCTCTTCCGGCCAACGCTGCCAATGACAGATCTTAAAAACTTGGGGCCGGTGAGATTCGGCAATCGCAGCATCTTGCGCCTGCTGGACCTCCTGAGCGGAGCGGGTTGTGTCTTGCTCCTCGTGAAGTAGGGTGAAATGTGAGGAGTGTTGCAAGCCGGTGCAGAGGCAGAAGGTCTGGCCGAGATGGTAGAGCACGGCTTCTCTGTCAGGGGCTTCTTCCTAACCCAGTGGAACACCAGTATCATACGCCTCTAAGATGGGTTGGACATGCTGAAGAAGGTGCTGGAGGCCCAAAGACCAGGGTGACTTCAAAGCGGAGGACGCAGCAGGCAGTTCCCTATCAATGGTGCCAAATCCATGCAAATGTTAGCTCCAGTCCTGTTAAATCAATCCAGCAATTATGAACGTTAAATAAGGGATTAATTCCTCAGGCAGTCTGAAAAGACTTTCTGTGGCTTTTTAATAGATGGGAGCCCCCAACTACTGCCACTGTTGACAGCCTGTTGCCCCTTCACTCTGCTTGAATGGGTTATGTCACAATGGTTCCTTCATCAGGTGTTTGTGAGCATGAAAATGCTGTTGGGAGTTTCAGCAATGAAGGCTCAAGCATAACATACTGTTTGAAAGTCTGAACATTTCCTCTTTTTTTATTTAACAAAATTTATATACCACTTTTATAATTTATATACAAATTATTAGGTTAAAAATATACTGTGGTTTATTCACTTAATAGGCTAGTTTACATACTTTATTCCTTCTTATACTTCTATCCCACCTTTCCTCCACAGAGCATACACACTTCAGCCTCCACCTTCTCCATTTTATCCTGACAGCAATATTGTGAGCTAGGGCCATAGCTCAGTGGTAGAACAACTGCTTAGCATGCAGAAGGCATCAGGTTCAGTCCCCAGCATCTCCTGGTGGGACTGGGAGCACTCCCTCTTCGGAGGCTTCACGTTGTTATCGCTGAAGCCAAGGAGCCTGCATTTGCTCCATAGGACGCACACACATTTCCCTTTAATTTTGGAGGGGGAAAAGTGTGTCCTATAGAGCGACAAATACGGTACATCCTGGTTTTGATGGATTCGGCAAGGAGCTTGGCTGCGTAGAGTTCCCTGGGAAGAGGGACTAATTGCTAAAGGACTCTGGAAGTTGCAGCTTTGTGAGGCAGATACAGTTCTTTGAAAAATTATTAGCACCCTCAAATCACAGTTCCTAGGTTCTTTAGGTGAATTCAAGATTGTTTGAAGTGATAGTGCTGCTTTATATGTATGGTACAGATGTGGTGCTGGTGGAGGTTGCCTGTCAGCAGTTAGCACTAGAACAACAACTTAAGCCAGGTGTCAGCAAGGTTTACCTCCCCTGGGTCGGTTCACTCCAGCAGAGATCCCTCCGTGGGTGGATCGTGCACATGTGAGTGTGCGCACCCACTATTTCTGATGTCTGCGTCTGTGCAGACACAATTTCCAGCATCCGTGCAGACAGGATTTCCAGCATCTGCGCAGACACAATTTCTGGCGCCGCAGAATCAAGTCCCCGCACCACGCTGGTTTTGCGCAGCATGCGAGGGCTTGCCAAGTGGATGGCTCAGTTTGGGGGCGGCTTGTGGGCCAGTTAAATGACCCGCGGGGGCCGCTTGTGGCCGATGGGCCTTAGTTTGCCGACCCCTGGCTTAAGCACATGGGTCACTTGGTCAAAAAACTTTCCCATTACAGTGGGATGCATTGCATTTCTTTTAAATAACAGTAATTGGGTTTGGACCCAACTGAGTTCTTCTCAGGGTAGACACATTTAATGGACCTGAATGAACCACATCTATTAATCTAATGGTTCTACTTTAAGTATGACTACCAAGCATGGGCATAGTCAGGAGTTTTGTTAGTGGGGTGCAGGACTTACGTTAGCGGGGGCAGAACCTCAGTTAGCTATTGGTTTTTATTGATTAGGGGGAGGGCAGCTGCACCTCCCTGCCCCCCCCAGCTACGCCCATGCTACCAAGGGATAGTACCCATTATTTATCATTTACATCTATACTTATTGATTAGCATATGCAATATACTTTTTCAGCCATTAAGCACTCATCATCACCTTTTTACATTGCTCTGATGTCTGGCATACAGTTGCAGCTGTTGGGTTAGATCAGCTCCAGTCCTTGAAAGTCTTCTTCCTTTCTTCCCTTTCAAACTCACCCACCCCCAAAGAGTTTTTGGGCCAAAGCAATATTAATACTAGGACAAATTTGCAAATGCTGATCTGAATAGAATGTGTTAGTAGTGGGTGAAGATAAAGCAGCAATGGTGAGTGGCGCCACGTTTTTGGAACTGCGGGACATGTACCCAGAGAAGATTAAATAGCTTATATTATTAACTATCTCTGCAAAGTCTCTGTGTCGTTGGCTCTCCTTGCAAGCATCAAACCACCTGTGCTGGCTTTGTAGTCCAACACCAACAAACGAGTGTTTGTTCTCAGTCTTATTGAGGTATTTCCAACTAGGGAGAAACAGAAATTCTTTTTTGGGTGATGATCATCTTTGTCAAAAACATCACCGTATTTGTTATTATGTCCAACCTGCTCTTCTGTTTTCATACCCAACAACAGTAAGTGAAGGCAAACGTCATAAAGTACAGCACAAATAATCAAATCATGTCAAAGCCGTGATAAGAAATGCATTAAAGCGAAAAATGGGGAGGAGTGAAAAATCAGACGACATGATGGAAGTGTATAACATTATGCATGATGTGCATAAAGAGAAGAGAGAAACGCCCTTTCTCCCTCTCTCATAACACTAGGGCTGGATCTATGCAGCTATTAAAAAAACACATTGCAAAGCTCACAATCGAAAATATTGAGATGTGATTTCAGCTCTACAGCGCCATCTGGTGTTGCAGTGTTACAACGCATTTATCATGCTGTGTTTTGACAAACGTAGCTGAGTCCTAGAACTTGAGGCTATCCAATGAAGCTGAACATAGGAAGAGACAGGAGACACAAAATAAAGTACTTCTTCACACAACACATAGCTAAACTATGGAATCCACTCCCACAAGAAGGAGTGATGATGACCAACCTGGACGGCTTTAAAACAGGATCGGAGAAGGTTCTCAGTGGCTACTAACCCTGATGTCTACATCTTACCTGTACAGTCAAGAGGTAGTAATGCTTCTGAATACCAGTTGCTGAAACCTGTTACATTCAGGTGCTGCTTGTGAGCTTCCCAGAAGCGTTTGACTGGTTGCTGTGAGAAGACTGCTGGATTAGATGAGTCACTGGCCAGTAACAGGTACAGAAAGGACTATTTCCTGGATGCCAAGATCCAGGTTTGGGGCGGCATGTACTCTTTGCTGAGAGAGCCCCAGTGGAGATTTAAAATCACAAAACATGCAGCAAAGTCAAGCATGGAAATATAGGCTGTTAGACCCTTAAAACATGCCCTTGTGAGTTCCAAAAGTTTCTTCGTCCCCCAGCATAGGAAAAGATGGGGCATTTGGTAAGCTAAAAATGGTTTACTTACAAACTTTCTAAAAGTCAAGATTCATGTGCTTTAGAAAGTTGCACAGGCGGTAAAATTTGGGATTAGTTACAGTGGTGAAAGCTCCTAAATTATTAGTATAGGAACTTAAGAGTGGCTTGTGAGAGCCATCCAATCTCAGCTGCAGCAACCACCTCAAACCTCTTTACACATTGAGCTTCTCAGGTAGATTGGTGGTGAACAATAGATTTGATTACTTATTTTCTTCCAAGATAAGGGGAAGTGACCTAGGCTAAGACTGGTAGGACAGCTTAATCTATGGTCTTAACCCCTTCCTGCATTAATTAGTCTTAATAATGTTGGTTATATGAGAATGGTTATCCCACACTTATAACACTTTAAAAGCTTGCTAAAAGCTCCAGTTTCTGGTGAACTATGTCTAGTACTTAATACTAATACTAATAAACATTTCCAGCAAGTGAGAGACTAAAACCATTTCTGCTCTGAGAATTTGTGGGTGTTCCTTCCCAAACGAGTGATAATATTTCATCTGTGTTTCAGTTTCTAAAGTTTAGTTTATTGTTTTTAAATAGTGATTGGGACTGTAGTTCAAAATCAGTAGAAGAAGAAAAAAAGACCACATTCCTTGCACACAAACACAAAAAGATTGTTGTTGTTGTAGAAAACTGTTTGTAGGACTTGGCCCTCTAATAGTGGCAAATTCATTGTGCTTCCTATCTGCACGTGTCTTTTGCAGCAGTTGAGGTCACTGAAATAAATAAAAAGCCTGGTTTGTTTTTCAGAGAAATCCAGAACAAGCGTTTGAAAATTGATTAAAACTGGAACCCAGATTTCCTGTCACAAGCCATTAGAGGAGACAGCTGATCTGGAGGCTAAATATCTCACATTCAAAAACATGAAAGATCTCAATCATTGTTTCCAAAACTTCTGTTTTTTAAAAAATAAATTTTTATTAGATTTTTCCACCATAATAACACAAACCACAAAGCAGATTAATACACAAAAACAGAAAAGGAAAAAGAGAAGAAGAGAGAGAGAAAGAGAGAGAGAGAGAGAGAGAGAGAGAGAGAGAGAAAAGAAGGGAAAAAAAGAAAAAAGGGAGGGGAAAAAAGGGGGGAACAATAAACAAATAGACAATAATAACAAACTTAATTCTTCACAAATCCAACTTTTTAAACATCTTGATTGACTTCCTCAAATCCCTCCCTTCTGAGTTTCCTTGTAATTTAAAAGTAACAGCTTTCCAATATCATTATTAAACTAAAACAATTTCCAATTATAGTCATCTTATTCACTTTTCTTGACATTCTGAATCCCATTTATTTAATTATAACTTAATTTGTCCTAGGCCTATTTGTTTCTTTCAAGTAATTTCTAATTTTTTATATTACAATATTTGTTCAAATAGTCCTTGAATTTCCTCCAGTCCTCTTGAAGCTCCTCTTCTTCTGATCGCGGATTCTTCCAGTCAGGTCAGCTAGCTCCGAAAAGTCCATCATCTTCATCTGCCAATCTTCCACTGTTGGTAGTTCTTGTGTTTTCCAATTTTTAGCAAGTAATATTCGAGCGGCCGTTGTGGCATACAAAAATAATTTAACATCTTTCTTGGGCAATTCTAAACCTGTTATTCCAAGGAGAAAGGCCTCTGGTTTCTTAATAAATGTATATTTCAACATTTTTTCAGTTCATTATAAATCTTCTCCCAGAAGTCTTTCACCTTGGGACAAGTCCACCACATATGGAAAAAGTACCTTCTTTTTCTTTACATTTCCAACAAAGATTATCACTTTTGTGATAAATCTTTGCTAATTTTACAGGGGTCAAGTACCATCTATACATCATCTTCATAATGTTTTCCTTTAACATCGTACATGCAGTGAACTTAACCCCTTCCTCCATAGCCTCTCCCAGTCCTCCATCATTATATTATGTCCCACATCCCTTGCCCAATCAATCATGACCGATTTAACTTGTTCATCCTTTGTATGCCACTCCAACAACAAACTGTACATTTTAGACATATTCTTATCATTAGTATCTAACAACTCCGTTTCCAATTTGGTTTTTTCTGTTGCAAAACCATTTCTCTTATCCATCTTATATAATTCGTTAATTTGATAATATTGCAACCAATTCACTTTATCTTTAATTTGTTCAAATGGTTTTAATTTAAAACCTTCCTGATTCTCTAACAACAAATCTGAATACCTCAACCATTTGTTTTCCATATTTAACTTTTTTTGAGCCTGTGCTTCCATTGGTGAAATCCATTTTGGTGTTTTTCTTACTAAGAGATCTTTGTATCTAGTCCATACATTGTATAATGCCTTTCTAATTACATGGTTCTTAAAACCCCTGTGGGCCTTTACCTTGTCATACCATAGATATGCATGCCATCCAAATCGATTATCCAGTCCCTCCAAGTCTAACACATCATCATTCTCTAATTGAATCCAATCCTTGATCCAGCAGAATGCAGCAGCTTCAAAGTATATCATCAAATCTGGCAGGGAAAAGACCCCTCTTTCTTTTATATCTGTAAGTAATTTATATTTAATTCTAGGTTTTTTTCCCCTGCCAGATAAATTTAGACAATACCTTCTGCCATTCTTTAAAACATTTGACATTATCAATGATTGGTAAAACTTGAAATAAGAACAACATCTTCGGCAATACATTCATCTTAACCACCGATATTCGGCCCATCAATGAGAGTTTTAGATTTGACCATACCTCAAGATCTTTCTTGATTTCATTCCATAATTTTTCATAGTTATCTTTGTAAAGATTCAAGTTCTTTACCGATAAATTCACACCCAAATACTTAACTTTTTTCACCGAAACAAGGCCTGTCCTTTCAAAAAGGTTTTTTCTTTCCTCATTATCTAAGTTTTTTTCTAAAACTTTGGTTTTGCTCTTGTTTAATTTAAATCCTGCTACCTGCCCAAACTCTTGAATCAGCTCCAGTGCTTTCACTGCACTGGTTTCTGGATCTTGTAAAGTTAAAACCAAATCATCAGCAAAGGCTTTTAATTTATATTGCTTGGATCCTACTACAATGCCTTTAACCTCCTCCTCTTTCCTCAACATGTTTAACAAAACCTCCAGAACAGAAATAAATAGCAGAGGGGAAAGCGGGCACCCTTGCCTGGTTCCTTTCTCAATTCTGATTTCCTCTGAGACCACATTATTAACTATGATTTTTGCTTTTGTTCAAAATAGATCGCATTAATACCATTTAAAAATTCTGGCCAACCTCAATTCTTTCTAGATTTTTCATCATAAATAACCAAGAAACATTATCAAAGGCCTTTTCAGCATCAATAAACATTAACATTGCTTTACAATTTCTTTTCGCTTCCAACCTTTCTATTATATCAATTATATTTCTTATGTTATCTTTCATATGTCTCCCAGGCAGAAATCCGGCCTGGTCCTTATGTATATAATTTGATAGAACCTTTTTTAATCTATTGGCCAAAATGTTTGCGAAGATTTTATAGTCCACATTAAGTAATGAGATTGGTCTATAATTTTTTACATCAGATCTATCTTGATCTGTTTTTGGAATCAGAGTGATAAATGCATCTTTCCAGGTTTCGGGAGCTTTGTCCCCTCTTAGAATCTTATTACACATATCTGCCAACGGTTGAATTAGCCAATCTTTCAATATTTTATAATATTTTGCAGAAAGACCATCCGGTCTTGGGGCTTTGCCTAACTGCATCTTATTTATTGCCATCTCAACCTCCTGTCTCGCAATCATGCCATTTAGTAGGAACCTTTTATCCTCGGGAATTTTCTGCATTTCATTCGTCACAAGAAATTGCTCAATTTTATCCTTATCTTCTTTACCTTTTTTATACAGTTGTTTAAAGTATTTCTGAAAACATTTTCTTATATCTGCAGGGTTTTCCATAGATTTTCCATCAGATACAATGTTTGTAATAGTACTTTGCTTCTGTCGCTTCTGTCTCTTTTTTAATTGCCAAGCCAACAATTTCCCACATTTATTTGCAGATTCAAAATTTCTCTGTTTCATCATTTTAATTTTCCATTCTATTTTCTGGTTAATAATTTGAGAAAATTGAATCTGCAATGCTTTAATTTCTTTTGGAATCTGTTGACTCTTTGGCATTAATCTTAAACTTTTCTCTTTGTCTTTTATTTGAGACAGAATTTTCTCTTTTTTCTCATTCTGTATCTTTTTCCTTATTGAGTTCTGTTGTATGAGGAAACCTCTCATTACTGCCTTACTTACAGGGAGAAATGTAAAGTATTGCACTTGGGGGAAAAAAATGAGAGGCACAAATACAAGATGGGTGACACCTGGCTTGAGAGCAGTACATGTGAAAAGGATCTAGGAGTCTTGGTTGACCACAAACTTGACATGAGCCAACAGCGTGACGCGGCAGCTAAAAAAGCCAATGCAATTCTGGGCTGCATCAATAGGAGTATAGCATCTAGATCAAGGGAAGTAATAGTGCCACTGTATTCTGCTCTGGTCAGACCTCACCTGGAGTACTGTGTCCAGTTCTGGGCACCACAGTTCAAGAAGGACACTGACAAACTGGAACGTGTCCAGAGGAGGGCAACCAAAATGGTCAAAGGCCTGGAAACGATGCCTTATGAGGAACGGCTAAGGGAGCTGGGCATGTTTAGCCTGGAGAAGAGGAGGTTAAGGGGTGATATGATAGCCATGTTCAAATATATAAAAGGATGTCACATAGAGGAGGGAGAAAGGTTGTTTTCTGCTGCTCCAGAGAAGCGGACACGGAGCAATGGATCCAAACTACAAGAAAGAAGATTCCACCCAAACATTAGGAAGAACTTCCTGACAGTAAGAGCTGTTCGACAGTGGAATTTGCTGCCAAGGAGTGTGGTGGAGTCTCCTTCTTTTGAGGTCTTTAAGCAGAGGCTTGTCAACCATATGTCAGGAGTGCTCTGATGGTGTTTGCTGCTTGGCAGAGGGTTGGACTCGATGACCCTTGTGGTCTCTTCCAACTCTATGATTCTATGATTCTATGACTTGCATCCCAAATGACTCTTGTTTCAACCTCTGTGTTCATATTTAGTTCAAAATAGTCTTTTAGAGTCTTTTGGGCCTTACTAATCATCTGTTCATTCCTCAACAACTCATCATTCATCCTCCATCTAAAGGAACCCTGCAGGTATAATTTCATCTCCAAAACCACTGCATTATGATCTGAGCAAGTCTTAAGGCAAATTTCTGTTTTAGTAACCTTAGGAACCAAATCTCTGGATACCCATATGTAGTTTATTCGAGAGAAAGATTGATTTGAATTTGAGAAAAAAGTGAAATTTCTCTCCATTGGGTTTCATAGCCTCCATATGTCCGATAAATTGTATTTATCAGTCATGTCAAAGAAAATCTTTGGTAGTCTTCCGGAACTTGGATTTTTCTGTCCCTGTGTTTTATCCATTAATGTTGATGCTACTCCATTCAGGTCTCCCATTAAAATCAATTTCTAATCCATATAATCCATGAGTTTTAAGTCCTGATTCTTAAAGAATTCCACTTTGCCATCATTTGGTGCATAAATTCCCAGCAAAAGAAATTTATCGCCTTGTGCCGTAATTTCAACTGCAATGTACCTCCCTTCCTCATCTTTAAACAACAATTTGGGGTTCCATTTTTCTTTAACATAAAAAACCACGCTTCTTTTTTTTCACTTTGTCGGATGAAATAAATTCCTGCCCAAGTTTCTTATTTTGAAGAATTTTTCTATGAAGTCTTATAACATGTGTTTCTTGTAAACAAATTATATCCAAATTCTGTCTTGCCAGTACGTGATAAACTTGGTTCCTCTTAAAACATGAATTTAGACCATTCACATTCCAGGAGCTTCATGCGATGAAGGAAGCGAGTCTGTTCCCAAGTGCCTCCGTCTCCAACCCCACCCGCTCTCGGAGCCCTTATCAAGAGCTTACTGGGGGGTGAGGGAGTCGTTCTAGGCACCGCAGGAATACCAAGTCCTTGGAATGCTCAATCCGAGGTTTTTAAGGGGTACCGCGTCGCTCTAGCGGTTTCCCCACCCTTCAAAGCATCGGTGCTCTTTCCAGCTTTGAAGCAATGGTGTGTACACAGCCTATGTTTGACCATTTAATGGTTAGCAAGTTCACAAACTGCGTTGCTGCATGCCCAAATTTTGTGGCCTAGAAAGCACCAAGAATTTTCCTCCCTCCAGTCAAACGCATCTTTTAACCATGGCCATTCTAAAGGGTTTCACCCCCAATTCCCTCCCACCCCTCATGCAAAAAGTGCACGTATGATGTGGGCTGATATGCCCTGCTCCATAAGGTGAAAAACACCACCCAACTCGCATTAATCACTTCGCAGCCTCTTGAACGCCTAACAATATCATTGGCTGCACGCTGTGTGCTAAGAGCTGATCTCCACCAGTGTTCTTTTTTCCTTTCAGTAGGATGGAATGCCTGTACATCAAACCTGCAGCTCTATTGGATGAACTGCTGTTGCCCAGGCGATGATTGTGACCAAACACTTGTCACAGAAGCCTGAGAGCCTGCTGCTTAATGAGCCCTGGGAACCTGCATCTCGGAGGAAATAAAGCAGCTCCGATCACAAGAGAAAAGCATTTGGAAAGCACTTTCAAGCTGGTAATGGAGTGATCTACTATCCTTTGCGGGATCAGAGGAAGTGCTGACTTTCATACAACATCCCTTGGTGATTATTTCTCAGAACATTCACATTCTTAATTATTTGCATTTGTGGCTGAACGCAGTGGAAATGAGAGGACTAAAGAAATGCAAAGGAACAGGCATGTTCATGATTTCTCATTCCCTCTTTGCAGATTATGATTTGCAGGCATACACCAAATACTTTTCAAGGCGTACACTGCAAAATGTAATGAAAGAATGTGACAAAGATGTGTTTGAGCCATAGCTTGGTGGTGGAACCACATGCTCTGAAGCAAAAGGGGCCAGGGTTCAAACCCTCCCCCCCAATCTCTAATTGGGGTTGGGAAAGAATCCTGTCTGAAACCCTGGAGAACTGTTGCCAGTCCATGCTGGCAAGCTAGGTAAGCCAATAGGCTGACTCAGTATAAGGCCCTTTCCGTGTTTTTACAGGGGACCAGGACTAGTTGCAGCTCCCAACTGAGCATACACTCAGTGGTAAACCAGGTCTGCCCAGTGTAACAGCCCAAAATGGTTTTCTTAAGAATGACGATGGGGTTTTGATCTTTTCTATGATTAGCAGTGGCAGAGTAGGTTATGCCAAATATGCAGTTTTGCTTGCTGTGTAGGTCAAATTCTGAACAATGATCCTTATGACCCTGTGTGCTGTCCTTATCCTCTCTTTCTAGAGTTGTGGGCAATGGAGTTGACCACTAACGTGGAAGGCAAAGATGCACCTGTGAAAGCTGTAGATGCATCCATGGAAGCTGAAGATGCATCTGTGGAAGCTGAAGATCCAGCTCTGGAAGCCATCAGGAAGGCAGCAGAGTCTATTGTGAAAAATGTTATCAGAGATGCAATATACACTATTAGACACCTGCAAAAGACAGAGGCAGGTATTACAGTATTAACTTGCTATGCTTTTGATGCCTCCTGGATAGTATAAAAGCCACCCTTGCCAGAGATTAACTTATTCCCTTCCCTTCAGTTCCAGGAATCAAATATCCAGTACCAAATATTACATGGATGAAGTGCAAGGATTTCACAGTATTTAATGGACTGGCACAGATTGAGGATTATTTAAAAGTAAGTTTAAAATTGGATACTTACTCAATGCCTTTAGCCAAGTGACATGACTGTCTGGATGCATGAATATGCTGTAAGAATCAGCTGGAAAGGGCCTGTATGTTTGGTGACATTGAAGGCAACACACAGTGCAATCCTTTAGATCAGTGGTTCCCTCAAGGGGTCTGCATAACCCACCCAGGGTGTCTGTGGCACCCTTCACATAACAAAAGCTACCATAGAGATTTCAAATTTGGCTTGGCTTTTGAAAAAAACGCAGTACTTAGCTAATTGGGAACCACTGCTATAGATGTGTACGTGGAAATAAGTTTCACTGTGTTCAGTGGGCCTGAGTCCTTGGTAAGTGGGTTTAGGATGGCAGCTTTATTGTACTAAATAATTGATACTATGTTAATAAGAGCAACAATATTTCTTTATCTTTTTTTTCTAAATTTTGGTGGGTAGGTGCTGCAAGTACCGGTACATCAAATATACAGCAATGAATGATTAATAGCATAGGTAAAGGTAAAGGGACCCCTGACCATTAGGTCCAGTAGCGGACAACTCTGGGGTTGCGGCACTCATCTCGCTTTATTGGCCAAGGGAGCCAGCGTACAGCTTCCGGGTCATGTGGCCAGCATGACTAAGCTGCTTCTGGCGAACCAGAGCAGCACACGGAAACACCATTTACCTTCCCGCCGGAGCAGTACCTATTTATCTACTTGCACTTTGATGTGCTTTCGAACTGCTAGGTTGCCAGGAGCATGGACCGCACAACAGGAGCTCACCCCGTCGTGGGGATTCGAACCGCTGACCTTCTGATCAGGCAGTGAATCTGGCTGTTATCATTAATTGCAAGTTCTTCCGCACCTCATGTGAAAAAGACCAAAGGAACCTGCAGTCATCCTCAACCACACAGTTAAACATTTATGCTCATTTATATCCATCGTTTTTCCACCATGGAATTCATGGCAGAGTACATGCACAAACCACACCCAACCCTGTTTCTCTTCACTATCTGGCTGCTGTGACAGAAGGTGGGGGAGAGGCCTTTTTTTCTCCCATCCTTTCATGACTGCTAGTGCAGGCAATCCATTCGTGCCAGGAGCTCTCAGGTAGGCCAACACCACATTCCCCTTAGGATCCATCTATCCCAACCCTATCTTTGGGCAGGTAACACTTTTTGTCGCATCCTTATAAATAGTGGTACACATTTTTTTGTGAGACCATGCAGGTTCACAAATGAATCATCTTTGTATATTAGATAACAATTATCAGCTCCTATGGGGAAGCCTCCACAGTCTTTCTTGTTTAAGCAAGGAGCAAACAATGGTTTGTTTGTTAGACTTTTAAAAAATTGTTGTTGTTGTTGTTACCTGCCCTTCACTAGAAGGTCAGTTCTATTGCAGCTACTTACAAATGGGCTTCTGGTCTCCACATGTGTTGCAGCATAGATGGTCAATTGGGCAGACAAGGGACTGTACGGCAACAGTCCATTTTGAAGAGTTTCTTACCCAGGTGGGTCTTAACTGACAGCTGGCCTGCTCAGCCAATCACAAAGGGATTGATTGCCCACCATGACATAGCCAAAAGATTCCCAGAGGCTGTGGGTGATCAGTACTGGGCCATCTTAGAGTGACAGGCAGCCAAGAATGGGGCCTGGATAACACCTCCATCATGTGCCCTCAGATCATGGCCTCAAACCTTCCCCTGCCTCTAATCCTTCTCACTACAATCTTGGAAAGTTGGGAGAAAGTGAATGGCCCAGTCAGTCAGAGAGTTTTTGCAGCCTGGCAGGGGATTTGAAACCAGGAGTCCTTATTGTGTGACTCATAGCATTGCAATTCTGACAACGCCAAAGGCTTGACATGTGCTTGACACAGTGGGTTGTACCCACTATGTTCAATTGCTGGCAAAGGCAAGCAAATGCTTGTGCATGGGGCCAGATCATGGCCTATGTTTATTCCACAGACATGGGAGCTTCATGAGAGCTGGCTACATTGGACAAACTATATCAGCGAAGAGGAACTGGAGTATTCCACAAGATACTTTTACCGGGTCCGCTGGAGTATCCCGACCTGTAGAAAGCCCATCCCACGAGCAACAGCTTGTGTCTATTTCGTCATAGAGATTTCCAAAATCAGACCATCAGTAAGTATTTTGACATCACCTCTGAAGACCTATAAGCCCAGAGGATAATTAAATATTCTTATATAAAAATAAAAAAGCAGGAAGGGGGACAGAACACCCTCATTAGGATCAAGTTTGAACTTTTGAGATCTATAAACTTGATCATTTGCCAAGTGTTTGATCACACTCCATTCATGCCCTTTATTTGAAGGCACACATGTTTAGGCAGAACAGTCCCCTGAACTTGAACTTCCTAAAAACTTGAACTAAATAATTGTGGTAGTGCAGACAGTCTAAAGACTCCTGTCAGCGTTATGAGACTTTCTCCCCACTCTTTTGCCCCATCATGCCCCCACATCCCCCACAAATTGGAGGAGAGGAGTATCAGAAATACTTGTGCTGACGGAATGATTATGAATCATGACATTGAAATCCACCCTCCTTATTTAATTGTTTATAAACTATTTAAACTGTTGTACATTTATAGTATAGTCTAATTATGAAAGCTTTTAAGGCTTTGATGGAATTGTTTTGTCATGTATTTAAATTATATTTTGATTTTGTAACTGATTTTATACTTGTAGAAGCCATTTTGGCATGTAAGCAGTTTCTAACTTTAACAATAATAGTTACAGTAATACTTCCTTAAGGGACGCGGGTGGCGCTGTGGGTTAAACCACAGAGCCTAAGGCTTGCCGATCAGAAGGTCGGCGGTTCGAATCCCCGCAATGGGGTGAGCTCCCATTGCTCGGTTCCTGCTTCTGCCAACCTAGCAGTTCGAAAACACATCAAAGTGCAAGTAGATAAATAGGTACTGCTCTGGCGGGAAGGTAAATGACATTTCCGTGTGCTGCTCTGGTTCACCAGAAGCGGCTTAGTCATGCTGGCCACATAACCCGGGAGCTGTACGCCGGCTCCCTCGGCCAATAAAGCGAGATGAGAGCTGCAACCCCAGAGTCGGTCTTCCCATATACTTCTGTCTTTAGGTATGATTTACCTTGTCATCCACCCAAAAAACGGCAGAGGCGGGGAATGTGACCCCACATGGCTGTAGTGTGAATTGGTTTATGTATAGAACTTAACAATAAAATAACTAAAATACAATTTTGTAACCTTTCCCAGTTGGAAAGATTGAGCCGCAGAGGCTTATTGTATACATAGTACCAAGACCCTAGAGGCGCGCCCATCAGACCCCAACATTACAGTCAGGCTTCTCTTGCTTGAAAATTTCCTATTGCTATTATATTTTGAGTTTACTAGTGTCCATGAGGACCAGAATGCCCTTGGAAGGGAGGGTGATTTTAAAAAGCAAAATGGAAGCCCAACATTCTCAGAGTGTGTTTTTCTCTCTCTCCCTCATTTAATGCAGACATTACCTGTTGAAGTATTCTTTGTGGTGGAAACGAATAAGCTAATTCACAGGTATTTTCTATTTTAAAAATAATCCATGAAATAATGGTGGTATGATAAATTCTGCTGAATGTTTTGTTATGGGAAAAGATCTGCTCATCTTGCAAACCCATCTAGGAGTGAATTGTACCTGCCTTTCTCTGTGTCTCTTTGATTTGCAACTAGGACTGCTGGCTTAGAAGAGTCCAGGCCTGCTCTTGTGCAGAAATCAGCTGCAAAAAAAGTACCATAATCTGCTACAGTTTGCAGGACACATGGCTGGTTTGTTTTTTTCCCAACTACATTCACTGAAGATTCATCTGTTAGCCTGCAATCCTATACCTACCTACCAGGAATGTCTAGGATTCTGCGGCTTAGTGCTAAAGGATTGTTTATTCAAGATGTGCCCTGAGTTTAAGGGGCTTCCCCAAAATTTGGTCACATGCTCATTACTGGACACCATGCCTATGACTGACTGAGATTTGTTTTACATTAGGGGTCTAAGAGGGTTGCATCCAATGTAGTGTTAACTAACCCATTCTGGTAGTGCAGGAATTTAGACTTGTGTAAAGTGCACACCTTCGTATACCCCTGTGTGACTCGAAGATCTGTCCTGGGTTTTCCCCAATTCTCAGGAGTGGGTTGTTTTTTTTAAAGTCACCATAAATGGGTTAAAAGGCATTAAATGTACAGATGTGTGCAGGAACAAGCTAAAGGTGGCACGGACATCAGGACAGAAGTGTTAGCATGTCAAAACAGGCCATTTTTAAAAATCAGGATCCACCCTATTCCTGTGACTGTAATCTGTTTTTTATTTTAAACTGTTGTAACCTGAACTCAAGACCTGCAGATAGATGATTATGATGAATATTGTTAGGGAATTAACTTTTCAAACAAACAAACAAACCATAGTTCCCAACACAGATGTGTTAAGTAACCCAACTCTTGTGTTATATTTCTTCTGCTCTCTCTCTCTATAGGCCAGGAGAGTCTCGATTCAAAGAAAAATGGCTCAAAGATGTGATTGAAAGCAAAATAATCATGATGGAGACAATCACTTTTTAATTCCTCTAGAATTGTTATAAACTAAACAATCTCTTTTAGGTTTTCTGCTAGTTTTTATAAATAAAAGTTGTGCATATCTGTAGTCAGCGTCTCATTTTTGGTCTTTCTGTCTCGTGTTAGAAGGCTTAATTCCTGGAGAGTAAATGTTACTTGATCAAACCCGCAAAGCATCAGTGCCCTTAATCTTGCAGTAGACATGGAAGAGATCTCCACTTACTGCAACCTTCCAAATCTATGTAGGCCAAGGGTAACAAACGTGGTGCTCCCCTCCCTACATAATTCATGACCACTCACCAGGCTGGCTGGGGCAGATGCAAATTGTACTCCACAACATCTGGAGGGTACCATGTTAGGAAACGAAGCTTTGCTTACACAGATATGGCCACACTGCCAATGTATGCAAAACTCTTTTTAAGGTAATTTGCAAGGGGTTATACAGTGGTACCTCGGGTTAAGTACTTAATTCGTTCCGGAGGTCCGTACTTTAACCTGAAACACCACTTTAGCTAATGGGCCTCCTGCTGCCGCCGCACTGCCAGAGCACGATTTCTGTTCTCATCCTGAAGCAAAGTTCTTAACCTGAAGCACTATTTCTGGGTTAGCGGAATCTGTAACCTGAAGTGTATGTAACCCAAGGGACCACTGTATCTGCATGTCACTCTGTGTCATAAGCTAGACCGCCAGATGTTTTGGACAACAACACCCATTATTCCTTACTATTGGGAATACTTAATTATATTTTACTGTTGTATTGTTATTTTTGTTTTCCTCTACCTTTTAAAATGTTTTATGTATTCTTTTTCTTTAAACTCATTTAAATATGCTTAATGGTTTTTGTGGGAATGCTAAGGATGGTAGGGAAGGATATACAGTGGTACCTCGGGTTACAGACACTTCAGGTTACAGACTCTGCTAACCCAGAAATAGTGCCTCAGGATAAGAACTTTGATTTAGGATGAGAACAGAAATCATGCGGCAGCACGGCAGCAGCGGGAGGCCCCATTAGCTAATGTGGTACTTCAGGTTAAGAATGGACCTCCAGAAAAAATTAAGTTCTTAACCTGAGGTACCACTGTATTGATTAAGTATTATGATGTAGCAGAGCAAATTCCCCTCAATATAGCTGGAAGCTAGTTTGCAGATTTGTTTGAATCTCATAGTTAAGATTATTTTCTGGTGTTGCCTTTAATCCCTCTTAAAAGAATAAAGACATGAGAGTCTTTCTGAGTAAAGTAACAAAAAGTTTACTCACATTTCAGTTTACAATATGATTCCTGAAAGGCAGACTTTACTTGGTAGTTACACAAAGAAACTATGAGTTCATCTTATATGGAGACTGAACTTGTGCTGCTGGCTAAGAGCCAGCAGACAACAAAATTACATTAAGAATAGAAAATGGTTGCAGGAGAGCAGCGTGGCAGCAAAGGATCAGCAAGGAAGACAAGATAAAAGCAAGAAGTGAGAAAATGGCTGCATGACTCGGCTCTTTTAAGAAGTTAGCCAGAGCCATGCCCAACTCCCAGGTCACAAGCAGCGGAAGGAGCTCCCGACTGGTGGTATAGGAAGTTACACTGACTGGATGTTCCCCTGCCTGTGCCCACTGTAGGGAAACAAGGAATGTTGCATTTGACTGCACCAATGGATTACATCCCACAATTTTATTATTGGGAATTCTTGCTCTCATCAGTCCCAGTTGTTCACCTATTTGAGTAATACCAAGTTAGTACCATAGACTGCAACATGCACACTAAGCCGTTGACATGTGATCTTTATTCAAGACCTGCTTGTGAGCCACAGCCACGAGTTCCAATTTTCCAAATGGCAAGTGCTTTCAAACACTGTCGAAATGAAGTGTCTATTTTTATAGTTGTTTCAAAGAACGAGTCATGGCTTGAAACTGACAAGCCATAGATAAAAAACAACGAAGGTGCACCCAGGGGAACAATTTTAAATGTAACTTTCCAGAAATAATACGTGGTTTTGGAATTGTGAAAGGAATGGTACACAGGATGCACATCAAGCCCGCTCCCTGTACACATTTTATGACTTCACCACTTCCTCCCAACGTTTGCCTCACAGTTCCTTGTGCCCCTGAGGGTCCCCTGAACTTGGGAGGAAGATTTTTTAGACTGGGTTTGAGGCTTCTGAAAGAGCAGAGGTGTTCAGAAGTCACAGTGGATGGCACATGCCAGACACATTTCAATACCGGCATAAAGACTTTGCCTACAATAGGGGTCAAGTTTTCAGCCCATCAAAGCCAAATGGATATCTAACCTGTTTTGTTCCACTGAAACTCTATTTGCACGATGAAGTCAGGTAGGAAGATGCTTCCAATCTTCAAATAGTTCTCTCTCTTGATGAGCTGTCAGTCAGACTCCCCATACTAGTTAATGTACAGGATGATGAAAGCAAAGAGAAACGGAAGGGCGCAAACGCCCATTACACTGCTGGCTCAGTAACAGGCTAGTCACTGGAAGACACTCTGCTGCAGCATTATACAGCTTCTTATTAAAATTATAAAATATATTAATACTTAAAATGTACAAATCTGCACAAAGTGAGCTGCTCCAACTCTATTTACAAGGAATCAGAGCCACTGAAAAAGACTATAATTTAAGTCACTTAAAATCTAGTAAAAGAGAATCAAGTCTCACTAATATACAACAAACAAATCTGTTCTGAAGCTTAAAAAGGCTGTGTTAATGACCTTTTGTCTTTGTGCAATCAATGGTACAATTAATTTGCACCATCTGTTATTGTGGGATAACCAGCCCCATATAACCAACATGCTTAAATCTAATTAATGCATGAAATGGTTAATACAATAGAGTTAGCTGTCCTGCCAGGCTTAGCTATGTCAGTTCCCTTACCTTGGAATCAAATCTATCATTTCCTCCCAGTCTACCTGAGCACCTTAGCATGTGAAGAGGTTTGAACTGGTTACTCCAGCTTAGCAGCATGGCTTCTCACAAACTACTCTTCACTTCCTATGCCACTTCCTAGGCCAGTTCACTTCCTATGTCTAGGAACTTTCATCACTTTGTAACTAAGTTAAGTTTTACTGCCTGTGCAACTTTTCTGACTGATGTGTGGAAGAGCACACGAATCGGACCTTTGGAGAGTTTGTTAGTAAACAATCTTGTAACTTGCCAAATGTGTGGTCATATCCCATTCTGGGGGAAGAGGGAAAATTTGGAACTCACTTGAAAGCGCATATTTTAAAGGTAAAACAGCCTATATTTCCATGCTTTACTTTGCTGAATATATTGTGACTTCCAACTCCCTGCTGGGGTTCTCTCACCAAAGAGTACTTGCCCCAAACTTGAGATGTTGGCATCCAAGAATTCCCATATATATATATATATATATATATATATATATATATGCGCACCAACATTTATTTGGTTATCTAATGCCATTGGAAGATCACTCTGATCCACTCTGTGACTCGTACTGTACATTCAACATTCTCTTAGCAAAGGATTGAAAACAAAGCAACCTTAAAAAAATGCCAAGTTTCAGTTCCACAAATCTTGATTTGCTGCTCAGAATTTTACAAAGTGTCTTTTAAATCCACCAACTCTCACAGTACCTTGGATTCCTAGCAATATTTTGGGATAATTTGCAATAGAGCCTTGTCTCATTTCATTTAGGTAATTGTCCTTCTGCTGCTGTTAATGCCATACAGCAAATTTGTGAACAGGCTATCCACATACACCTGTCAAGGTTCCTATTGATACATATAAACCATTTCCTGAAGTTCAATCAGCAGTACACCCTGCAAGTAGGGCTGTGATGCTGGACACCTGTTTGTGAATCGCTGTAACAGGGGACGGTTGTCAATATGCACAAGAAGAGCATCCTGTTCATTTGTCGTCTTTGCCCTTGGTTTTCCTGTAGACCATCTCTCGGAAGCTTGCCAGAATCTTGTTCTCTCTCTTCCGCCTCTCCTCCTGGTTGAAAGATGCCAGGGCCCTCTTTTCATCTGCACTGTAGATCTGGTTCTCCTTACGCAGACGCACAGCTTCCATTCTCCGGTGCCTGAAGAGAAACATGATGCACATCAAAAAGCCAGTAATGTTCAACAGGAAGAGAAGATTTCCTTCATTACTAGCTCAATTTCTATTAGCCATTACCCAAATGCCTCCCCCTACACTGCATAACAGCAGCAAAATTTCACAGCAATCCCCATCAGAACGCTCACCTGCTGCCGCTCATCACATAGCCAGACTTCTCAAATGATGCAATCTCTTCACTGGTTAGACCAATTTCACCTCTCCTAGGGATGCGTTTTCCAGCTTTTACATATTCCGCCATGGCAGCGCCTTCACCGGGGAGTAAAGCATGTCCATAGCTTTAAGAAAGAGACAGGATCATTACATTACAAAAAAAATAAACAAATATTGGCATCCCAAAGCCCCACTGACTTCTCTCTCTAGCTATGGATACAGAGAAGCTGAAGAGGACAAAGCAAAACAACTTACAAGTATTATTTCATATACAGGCCCATTTTGTGCAAGAAGTCCTAGATAGCTATGGGAAGCCAGAACCTTGGATCCCTTTTCAGTTCACCATTGCAATCCTAGCTTCCTTACAAAGTGGCTCTAAGATAGACAGGGCAAAAGGAGGTAGGTGGGTCTTTTCTCTACTATCTTAATTCTCTTGGCCTCATTATTCCATCTGGATTTCCTCCTGTTAAGCTCTCCATTTTGTCTGGGCAACAATAAAGAAAATGCTGGGACAAGCAGTGCAGCCAGAGTTTGTTCTTTTCCACATTGCTATCTGCTTCCCTTCACTGTCAAGGTGAGACATGTTAGAAAAGGAAGTGTAAGAACATCTAGTTTAAGCATATGTCACAGCATCAAAAGCCAAAATATAGAGAAGTTTTCACGAGGCTCTAGCACAGTTCTCTCGCGTACATTAGCACTGGGAAGTTAGGGAGATTATAGTCCACCGGAAGGTCAGGGCACACAATTGTGGCCCATATTTTCAACTCATGAAACGACCCCTTCTGGAACATCCATCCATCCAAGTGCCAATGAGAGCAGGAAGTTCCCACATCAAATTTCACCTGAGCCACAAATGAAAAAGATGGACTTAAAGCAAGCTACTATTTTTTCCAGACTCACTCATCTGTAGTAGTGGTACCTTGGTTCCCAAATGGCTTGGCTGTCGAACAAATCAGCTCCCGAACGCCGCAAACCTGGAAATGTTCTGGTTTGCGAACTTTTATCCGAAGCCGAACATCTGACGTGGCTTCCAATTGACTGCAGGAAGCTCCTGCAGCCAATCAGAAGCTGCACCTCGGTTTTCGAACTGTTTTGGGGGTCAAACGGACTCCCGGAATGGATTAAGTTTGAGAACCAAGGTACCACTGTACAGGAAAAATAGTATAGATCTAACTAATAGGGTGCTTGCTGAGGATTATTAAGGATTATATATGCTCTGTATATGATCTGAGCTCTGTGAACATCTAAATATGCCCTATAATAGTTAACAACTGTATTTGGATTCCTTGGCTACCTTGGATTTCAAATGCTGAAATAAGCTAAAGGTTCAGCACTTACTTCAAGGGCCGATCATCTTGAGAGGCATGAGTAATGGGAGCTTCTGGTCCTATGAAATCCACAGCATCTGCATTTTCTGCAAGAAAGCAATAAAAGGAAGAATGAAGTCAAAACCTTCTCTAATGCATTATTTAACCAGTTTTTTTAACCCAACTGTACAAATTTTATCCTTGCCACCCTTTCTGTGGGGTCTGCCTGGCCTAACTTCCATCTTGTCCACTTTGAGCTCCATCAGCAGCCAGCCACTCTACACGCAAGGAAGGTAGCCTTCCAGTGGTCTGATCTATTTTGTATGGCATATTCATTTTATTAGCACACCTGATTTTTTTTCTGTTGGAAAAGGTGGGGTATACATATAAACTAAATAACCATCTTACAAAAGGAATAAATTTAAAGCCTACATCAGTTGACATCTCTTTCGGGATGCCTTTCCTTAGCAAAGACCAGTCTAACAGTGAAGGCTGCTCCTGTGTACAGGCTTTTCCAAGAAGCTATGAGCATTCAAAACCTACTTGATCTCTCAATCCAGAGATCATCCTCTTGCTGTTCGTCGTCATCAGAATCTTCGCTGCTTGACTCGCTGAAGTCTTTCCTGCTCTTTTTACTCTTTCTTTTCTTGGACTTTTTTCTGTTGAGAAGTGAGAGGGAAATGGGATAAATATGTAAAATCAAAGCAAGGAAGAAGAAAGGTTGGTAAGAACAAGAAGAAATGTTTTGGCTTCGTGTCGCTTACAAGAATATTATCAATATTAAGAATATTATCAATGAGAGGGTTAAAGAAAAGCCATATGTATGAAGGATAGGTAAAGGTAAAGGGACCCCTGACCATTAGGTCCAGTCGTGGCTGACTCTGGGGTTGCGGCGCTCATCTCGCTTTATTGGCCGAGAGAGCCGGCATACAGCTTCCGGGTCAGGTGGCCAGCATGACTAAGCCGCTTCTGGCGAACCAGAGCAGCGCACGGAAACACCGTTTACCTTCCTGCCAGAGCGGTACCTATTTATCTACTTGCACTTTGACGTGCTTTCAAACTGCTAGGTTGGCAGGAAGGATACTATGTATAAAGTATAAAGGATACTATGGGGGGAAAACCATAACCCAAGAAAAAACAACCTTTTTGGGACCAAATAAAAATCTTTGGCCTTTTGGGGAGCATACAGAACACACAATGCAGAACAAAGCTTGCTCGCAAGGAAGATGTGAAGCACTGAGAGCATAAACACATTTGGTCCCCCTTCTCTTTTCCTTTACAACACAAACTCAGAAACCACTCTCATCAAGTTCAGTGAGGCTTTCTTTCAGATGAATGTGGCCTTAGTTTTGTTCCATATCTATTTACTAACAAAACTTTTACTACATTATTGACATAACTGGTGACAATAACCAGACCAAAAGGAAAGCAAACTAAAATCCAAAACAGAAATAAACAATGCCAAATGAAATAAACAAAAAGCAGAAGTTGAAAGCAGAGTCAAGAGTTCTCTTGGTGATAACATAGTAGCTGGGGAAACAGGAGTTTGATACTAGTGTCATGAAACACAAACTCCGCAATTTTACAAGTTTTTTTTTTTAAAAAAACAGCTCTTACTTCCTATGCTTCTTTTTCCTCTTCTTGGATTTCTTTTTTTCCTCATCACCTGAAATGTTAATAACAAAGAAAAGCAAAAATAAGCAGGGGTAAGGCATAAAAAGTTTGAGTGAAAGAAGGGTGGAAAACCAGTGTGGTATAGTGAATGGTGTTGGGTTAGGACTGGGAAGACCAGAACAGAAATTCCAAATCAGCCAGGAAGCCGACTGGGTAACTTTGAACCACCTGCTCACTTTCCCAGCCTAATATACATTACATAGCAGCTGAATAAGGAATTTAATTATTCCCCAGTGCACAATGCATTGCAGTCCTGGACTATTCACAGTAGGGATGGAAAAGCAGTGGCCTTCCTGATGAGAATCTGCAGCTGTCATCACCCCTGCATTGGCTGAGGCTAATGGGAGCTGGAGGGCCCAGCACCACTATGCCACGCGTGATATTCATTTAAAAAAACCCCACTATGCTTTATGAACATTCATGCAATATCATTCAATTGTAGCTCATCTTCCTGAGAGCTTAAGGGTCCAATGGAACAATGTTAGTATGGGGCTATTGTGATACGATTCTCAATTTGCCAAAATTCTTGACAACTGAAGAAGTTAATACTTCAGAATGAATGGAATAATAAATATGACTTTAAAGACTATGGGAATTTGCTATTCCTTATTTGAACTATAGTGTAGGTGGGTTGGGAGAACCCCCTTTAAGTGTGCAGCTCAAAAGAAGAAATCGAGGCCAATTCCAAGCTGGGAACGCAAGTCTTGCACAACAGGTTCACACATACGTGAAGCAGCTTTTCTCTTCCTTTTCTTCCTTTTCTTCTTCTTCTCCTCCTCTGAAAATAATTTGAAAATGAAATGTTTTTACAATCAAGCCAAACAGTCCACTCTATGGGTTGTTACTTCCTGACCAACAGATTGCATCTGCTACACCTATGAGGCCAGGCTGCAGCCTTGCTTTCTAGAACAGATAGGGGACTGCTGTTGCATAGGGATGGGAGACATCATTTGCAAATAATATGACAAGGCAATGGGAAGTGTCACTGAGTCAGGAACTTTAATTATTATTGATGCAATTTACTTTAGCAATTCCATTTGGAGTGCATTCATTCTACGAAGGCAAGTCAACTCAGGCCCTACAAATACTAATGATGTTACCCAAACGCCACCAAATCAGTGCAAAATACCTTCTGAGCTGGAATCAGAAGAGCTGCTCTTTTTAGATGTACCATCTTCATCTTCTGCAGGAGTGTGTTCATCAGAGCTAGATTTAAAGGCAGAGCACAAAACAATACTAGTGTAGGTAGAAGTGCAAAATATATCACCATAATTTGAAAAGCTGCGATCAAAAGCATATAAAGACTTCAGTGTTAAGTATTTCAATAAAATAAATTTCTGTATGAGAGCTTACCACTGTTCGGATTTTAAAATATTAATTATATATATGAGGCTAAATATGCCAAGGGATTCAACAATTTGATTTTAGGAATGTAGCAAAGTAGAACACAAAATGCATTTGACAAAACCATGGTGCTAAATAAGCCAACATGGGGGGGGGACACAACAAAACAAAATGGAAAAAGGTAATCACCATCCCCCTTATTAGATTTCAGGAGAAGGTCCTCAAGACAGGTTACAGCAATGAAAACAGCAGTATTCATTTATTTATTAAAAAACCACAAACCTACTCTGGGTCAGGAACCTTTGGTGAGAATCCCCAAACTTCAGGTGCTCCAAGTTCACCTATTCTCTCTCTCTCGTTTAATCGCCTGTAAAAGATGCATCTCTGTTAAAACCCAGGACAAATTTTCCATGTATAAAAATTAAGCTCAACACAGGGATAGAGATGCTTTCATACATAAGAGACAGCCTTGCTATAGAGCAAAAGGGTTAGACTGGAGTGGGGAACTGTTTTTCAGCCGGAGAACCACTTTTCCTCACCGACAACCTTCTGGGGCCCACATGCCAGTGGGGAATGGGGTCAGAGACAAAAATGGGTAGAGCGATGTTAGCTTTGTGCAGTAGACTATATTCCTGTCATGCAAACAGTCAAGAGATTTCTGCACACACATACTAGGGCTGTGCAATAAATTGCCATATTGTATCAAAATAACATCATGATAAGTGTTTCAGTAAGGCAGAGACTTGACAGTTTCCTAGGAAGTAGCTCAGCTGAATGGATACTTTGCAGATAATTTGTAGAAAAGTGTATCTAGCTTTGTTTGCTCTTTCCCTCCTCTCTCAAAACCCATGAGAAATGAAGATAACCCTTCACACAAACCAGCAAACTCTTTCAGATTCACTGAAAGTAGTATCTATCCACTTGGTATCTATCCACTTAAGAGCTCAGTCTGCAAGCAATCCAGAAGGGACCCCCCACAGCTAGTCAATCAAAGAGGCAAAGTAAACAAAGAACTGGAAAGCACATCTTTCTTCCCTCACCAGTGGAAAAAAGAGGGGGAAGAGTTTTTGTTTTTATTTTCTGGTGCTGTTTATGTTGTTGGTTCCCCCTAAAAAGCTTTCCTCCATATTGTTACGGTAAAATCTGGGTGCGGGGTTACTCTGCCACCCAGCTCGTCGGACTAAGTCCGCGGGTCCCTGCGGAAGAAAATGAGCTCAGCCGGAGACGGGAGCAAGCTGTAGGAGATCCGAGTTTATTGCGCAACAGGTTCAAGGCGAGATTGAACAGCGAGAAAGGGGTGACATGAACTTTTGAAATTTCCCTCCATGTCCCAGAATACAGTGCAAAATACATCCCAGTTACATCATGAATACATTAAGAAGAGGTTGGGTTACACAGATTACATCACGAATACATTAGGAAGAGGTTGGGTTACACCGGATTAACATATGGAGGAGGGAGGGGGGAATATGCAGAGCTGGAGATATGCGCAGATAAGCACATCCTGAGAAGACAAAGGTCCATGTATGCATAGTCTGTCACCTGGCATCGCCCAGAGGAAGGGCTTGGCAGAGCGATTTGACAGGATTAGGGTCTTGACACCTTGCTTGAGGGATTATGGAGGACAGGGGAGGTGTCATGGAGTCCTAGAGAAATTGAGCAAATTGGCACGTTGATTTTCTATGAATTTTATAGATTTTAGTCCCTTTTGACATTGACAATTGGAAATAAATGGATATATTGTAGCGAAGAAGAAGGTGAAGAAGACATGCCCCCCCCTTCCGTATCAATATTAAAAAGGGTTTTTAAATTTTTTTTTAAAGGAGACTCTCTTTTTGCTTGTTTGCCTTCCTTCCCTCCCTTTGATAAAATGGGAGATATTGGTAGGAAGAGGGCTTTGGGGGGGGGCTTGAGGGTAGAAGATTTAGCTGGCTGCCTTATGCTGAAATGGGAGGTTGGGTACTGTGTGAGAATGATGATGAGGGTGTTTTTCAGTATTAGTTGAACTCAATGGGGCTTATGCATGCACATATTCTACTTATACCTCTATGTGGGGAAGCAGATGCAACTTGACTAGTAAATCACTTAAACTACTCATAAATTAGTTGAAAAATATATTAAATATAATATATGGAAGTTCATTTACAATTTTTATTAAATCTACTTTTACATTTTTTAGGGCCTCCACTGCCACAGGGAGCCTCATCAAGGCCCTTAGCTGCTGCAGGGAAGCATAGCGCACCCTCCACCACCACAAGGAGCTACAGCGGCACCCTCTGCTGCTGTGGGGATGTGCAGTGCACTCTCCACCACTGTGGGGAGGTACTGTGGGACCCCTACTGCTGCAGGGATGCCCAGCAAGGCCCTCTGCTGCTGCAGGAAAGCACTGCGCACCCTCAGGGCTGTACCTAGGAGGTGGTGAGGTGGGCTCCCACCAGGGGCGCAGGTGAGAGGGGGGTGCAAAATCGGCCTAAAATATGTCTATAAATAAAAATATCAATTATTGCCTCATAAGAAAAGCTTTTGAAATAGAGGGTGAATTGAATGGGGGGAGGTTGGAGGAGAGGCGGAAAGAATAATTTGTCCATGGGTAGGGGGCAGAATCTAGACGGTTCTGCCAGGGGCGCAAGATAACCTAGCTACAGCTCTGCGCACCCTCCACTGCTGCAGGGAGATATGGCAGGACTCTCTGCCCCCGCAGGGAGGCCCAGCAAGGCCCTCCGCCACCACAGATATATATTGTGCTATATCGAGATATTGTGACATTTAGCTGCTGATATATTGTGATGTTGAAAACCAGATACAGTATTGCCCATCTTTAATACATACAACACATACCTCTCTGACTAGGTAATTAAGAAGCTTTATCACAGTTCAATGATACATTTAACCCAGCAAGGAGGGTGTGAACAGTGCAAGTTTGGGTGTCTGGGAAGGCGAGCATGATGTAGGGAGTCCAGGAAGACTGCGTTTGGACCCAGGCTGAGGTTCCTCACAGCTGAATGGAACTGCTAAGGCAAGAAACAACTTAATTTATCAGTAACAGTATTTGAATTTTTCTTAAAGGGAAAACAATCTCCCTAGATCAGAGCTTTCCAAACATTTCACGTTGGTGATACAGTTTTTTTGACATGCATCATTTCACTACACAGTAATTCAGTTTTACTAGCAAACCGGAGGTTAAACTAATCCAGAGAGGAACACAGGGAGTATTTGCACAACACACCTATGCATTGCAGCCAACACACTAACAAGTCACGACACAAAATTTGGAGAGCTCTGCCTTAGATGCATTGCAGTACAGTGGTGCCTCGCAAGACGAAATTAATTCGTTCCGCAAGTTTCTTCGTCTAGCGAATTTTTCGTCTTGTGAAGCACGAAATCCCATAGGAATGCATTGAAATTCAATTAATGCGTTCCTACGGTCAAAAAAAGTCCAAACAAAGCCAAATTTGGTACAACAAGAGTTTATTAAGTGCTCTTTAAAGTCACACATACTGTAAAGAGCATTTCAAAAATTGAAGGAACAATAAATTAACATTTAAAAATCAACAAAGTGTACAGTACATTTTCTAAGACTCTGGGGGACAACTCGAAGAAGGTTCCTCTTCCACTCTTTGCTTCTTGCTGAAGAACCCCCTCCTCAACTGTTCCCCCAGCCACCCACCACACAGAAATTCAAATCCAGAAATTTTTTTAAAAAACAGCAGAGTGGCCCAATGGTCACAGAAAATCATAAAAATGCAGAAAAAACCACACAAGCTCCCAGATTCTTGCAAACCCCTCCTCAACTGTTCCCCCAGCCACCCACCACACAGAAATTCAAATCCAGATTTTTTTTAAAAAAACAGCAGAGTGGCCCAATGGTCACAGAAAATCATAAAAATTCAGGAAAAAAACACACAAGCTTCCTTTCTTGCAAACCCCTCCCTAACACAAAGTCCTTGAATTCCAAACACCCCAACCCAAAATCCAAAAACCCCCAAAAAAGTTTTAAAAGTTTAAAAGTAGTTCTGGAAAAGCTTCAAAAATCACCAAAGTCTTCAAAAACCTCAAAAAAGGCTACCACACCGCGTTCTATGAGTTGCTCCTCGAAGTCAAGTCGCAACTGTATTAACGGTGTTAAGAAAAAGAAAACAAACTTGCAAGAAGTTTTCGTTTTTCGTCTTGCGAAGCAAGCCCATAGGGAAATTCGTCTTGCGAAGCAGCTCAAAAAACGCAAAACCCTTTCGTCTAGCGAGTTTTTCGTCTTGCGAGGCATTCGTCTTGCGGGGCACCACTGTACTGAACACGCTAAAGAGGTTAGACAAATTAATGTCCAGAGGTCACAAGAGAGGTGAGATCATTGAAGGCTCATTTTAACTGTGAGTCCTGGGGCACCTGCTCCCTTCGTTGCACACCTTTTGCCACTTGGCCTGGGAGAGAAGGGCCTTGACTGACTCTAGCTACTAAAGCTGAGGCTTCTGAAGAGGCCAAAGACCATCTTGGCTGTCTCTTAGTACAAACCCAGGTCATCAAGCCTGAACTTCCACAACTGCTATCTGCCATGAAACCCCACTGGAAGGATTAGCAGCAGTGGCAGTAGCAACGTTATGTGGTTATAATATTTTAGTCTCTTGTTAGTTATGCTGGTTTAAATGTGCATTTTATATCTGAATTCCTTTAGTAAAGTTTTATTTTTAAATCTTTAAAATAATATTTAAGTTTCCTGTTAATTATATTGCTTTGCATGTATACTTTTTACATGACTTTATTCTGTAATGTTTTATTCTGGATTGTTTTACTTGATGTATTAATACGTTGTAAACTGCTCTGATATTCCCCCCCCTAAGAATATAAAGTGGTACAAAAAAGATATAAATAAAAATAAAGATATTGTTTTAAATCAGAACAAAAGTTACACAACAGCAAAATCAACATACAAAATGCTTGCATCAATGGACTAACATTTAGTGATACGTTGCCCAATCAAAATCACTACCCGACCTAACCTTTGCATATGTACTCAAAAGCAAATCCTTTCTGAATTGAATGAAACCTACTTCCATGCAGGTATGAACAGGGTTTATGCTTGAGACTGAAGTCAATTTAGCCATCACTTCATCAGTTTAAACTGCACTATGTATCACACCTTAAACCTCCATGGCTAGGAGTCATAGTAATAACCTTCTAGCTGTTATGATATAACAAGGGTAGGGGATGAGTTGCAATACTACTTGCCACAGGCAAAGTGCTGCCACCAAGAAGATCCCATTCTCATGCTTCTTCCCCATCCCAAGCTCTAAAGTCAAAGATGATCAAAACTTCTGAAGGCGGTAGGCTGTCAGCAACCTGGTCCCAATAAGGATTGGAACCCATATAAAGCCAACATATTAGATCTTATGTCACAAATGGTTTTGTTATGGTTTAGAATTAGATTGTCATAAAAACCCCCAAACAGCCCTGCTTCTGTGCTTTTTAACAGCAACTCTGGTATACAGAAATAAGGGAAGAATGGAGATCTGCAAATATGGCAAAACTAACCATATACCTACATTCTGAAAGGGTGAGAGAGAAATGACTTGGGGGACAACCACATAAAGGCACAACCACTCTTTGTGTTAACTTTTTATGAGAAACTGGTTAAACTTGGACACTGATTCGTATAGATCGGGAATGGGGAACATGGGACGTTCCATATGTTGCCGGGCACCAACTTCCAGTCTGCATAGCCAACTACATCCAGAGAGCCTCAAGTTCCTTATCCCTGGGTTGAGATCCTCCACACTGATTTCACAGTTGTCCGTTTCGTAGCTGCAGCTAGCAAAAGCGGGGAAAGGAACATTTACCCGGGGAGGGGGCGGGAAAGGGAAGCCTCAGCCGAAGCTGCACCTTTTCCTGCACAGCTTGCATGTAACTTTCCTCTCTCTCTTTTGGTACTTTATTTAACCTTCCGATGTTTATAAAGGAGGGCACGTGCCTCGGCGCTGCTATTTTTTTGCAAGCCTCAATCAAGCGGCGCATTAAACAGGTAAGGGAGGAAGGGATGAAATATTCAAAAGGGGACATATTCAAGAGGGGAGACCCAGCCAGGACCCTTTCTCGGATGAGGCCAGCAAGCAAGCCTCCCCACGTACCTCTGCCTCAGCGACTCCTCCTGCTCCTTGCCGTAGTGCTCTGGGCCATGGCGGTGGCCGAAGTGGTGAAGCGGGCCGGGCCGCTGACGGAACCCGCCGCCGCCGCCGCGCTCGCGGGACCGAGACCGGGACGGAGACCGGGCTCGGGACCTCTTGCTCCGGCTGGACCTGGGCGGGGAAGGGCTGGTTGAGCTGCCGCTCCGATCCCGCCGTGAGGGCGGCGGCGACTCCTCTGGGCTCCGCGAGCGGGACACCGGCGCCATGGCCTCGGCAGGAGGTCCTCCGACGCCTCGAGTAGCGGAAGCGTCGCCAACGGTCAACAGAGAGGGCTTTTCCTTCCGCCGGATGTGGCGTCGGGGTGTGTGCGTGTTTATTGCCCCCTTCCCCTCACTTCCGGCGCTCTTTTCAAACTCCTCCGTCAAGCGTTTGATATCCTATATTGATGGGTCTAAACGACTAGTTTTTTCTATTTTCTGTGGCATTTAAAAAATAAAGACGCATACACACACACTCTCTCTCTTTTTATATATATAGTTAGCCTCTGTGTGAATGATGCCGTTTATAATATTCACGGGTCAAATATTACGTAGATTACGTTTCTTTACTTTTTATCTCTACGGTCACCCTCTGCATCCGGGCGCAACACCGTATAGCGCTCGTGCTGCTACAAGGTGACTCGCAATGGTTCCTAGAGACGGTTCCTTTGTGCTTGGATGGGTTGCAGCCCCTAAGGAGCGATGGAGGCTGGCGCCATGACCGAGGCGGGAGGCCAAACTCCAGGTGAGAACAACCTTTCCTCCCAGTTCATTGCGCTTCGGAGGTGCGGCTAAGGAGCCGGGCAAGCAACTGAGAAAGGTGGGGAGGGGGGAGGCTTATTAGGGACCATTTGACCCAACCCCTTTGGATAAAAGAAAAAGCGAAGCAAGGTCCTGGCTGGGTTGCCGCGCGCCTTTCTTTTCTGTGGGGTGCAGATACCCTTCCTCCAAATATTGGGGATCATTTTTAAAAAAAATAGGACTAGGAACTGAAGGGCTTGTTACGTTTTCTGATTCTGGGTAGCAAAATGTAGGAATAAAAATTAGTTCTCTTGGCGTTAAGAACCATCTCAGTACCTGTTATCACACTTACCACATAAGAGTCTCTCAGATATAAACACACACAAGCACACAAACAAACATACATACACACAAATCCATACGTTCATAAAACTTTTTATCTCTACAGATTAGTTGAACTGGCAATTCTGTTTTCCCAGCTAAGCTTTACCAGGGCTGAGATCCACAAAACCCATAAAAGAAAACAGTGTTTTGATAGTCAGCATTTTGATACCTATCATATGTGCAGGATAGGTGGCAGATTCATTGTTCATTTTGAAGTTCTGGAATGTGATTCTCAGGATAGGTTGGATCCTAAAAGTTACTAGAGAACATTGTTGGGAAGCTACACAAATACTTCTCTTGTACCCTAAATGTAGACAACATAATTAGGAAGTAGTTTCATAGAACTGTAGAGTTGGAAGGGATCCTGCAGATCATCTAGTCCAACCCCCTTCAATACAGGAATGTGTAGCATATTGGGATTGAAACTGCGACCCTGGTGTAATCAGCTCCATGCTCTAACCCAGTGGTTCCCAATTAGCTAATTACTGAGGGACCCCCTTATTTTTCAAAAGCCAAGCCACAGACCCCCTATTTTCAAAAAGCAATTTTCTGAACAAAATGTGGGGTAGTGCCTAATAAGCAAAGGATTTTAGGTATACTGAAAAACAGGCTAGGGCTGAGCAATATCTGGTTTTCAACATTGCGACACATATTGCTAAACCTTGCAGTATTCTGATACCTGAAACTGGGGGTGAGGGAAGGAGCAGTCACAAAGATCCAGTGGGTGGGGTGCGTGCAGATCAGGCGTGGGGATGAGGGAAGGAGCAGTCATGGAGATCAGAATGGGTTGGGGGGGGAGAAGAGGAAGCGGAGTCACCTCCACCACATTGTTTGAGGGGGATGGGATGGGGATGGGTGGAGCATCAAGCCCCCTTCAATGGGACAGCCAGCAGTGGCAGCCAGCTAAGATGCATGTCCAGTGGGGCTGCTGCTGCTTTCCTGCTGACTGAGAAAAGCTGCTCTACCTCAGTGCCAGGGAAGATAGTGCCATGGTGCCTTGAAGTAAAGGCGATCAGTTGCTCTGTTTGTCAGCATGAGTGAAAGGCAGCGCCTCACAGTTAGATACCCTGTTTTCCCTCAGTGTGAGGGAAGACTGCAGTGTTATCGGCTGCCTTTGTCTCCCTCAGCATGAGGAAGGCAAGCTCAGATCAGCAGTGTTAAGGGCTGAGTTCATCATGTGGTATCAGCGATGCCTTGAAACTGGCTGCCCTGCTCTCCCTTGCGTGAGGAGCAATGTATTGCTGCACATTGCTGGGTCAAAATTATTATCGCAATGTGATATCCAAACCGATTTTGGCCAATTTGTTGAAAAATCACACAGCACTAAACAGACCATAAAATTTGAGATATTACCATGCAAAAATGACCCAAAATATAGTTTGGGTCCCCGAACTCCCTGGGTGTGTTCTGCAGACCCCCAGGGATCCCCAGATCCCTAATTGGGCACCACTGCTCTAACCAAGAGAGCTTTCCTAGTGCAGTTCAACAAGCGTTCTTCATTATGTGTTTGGGACTAAAGAAATTACAGTGCTTATAACGCTTCTCCCTGCGCCTTCCCATTTTGCAAAAGATGAAATATCATTAGCACCTTAGGCAACTGAGAGAAATTTTATTTGAAGCCTGTCTTACAGGAGTAATAATAAAAATGTGAACATTAACTGGGCTGAAGTATAATAGGTAGAGTTATTTGATTCACTTCAGTTAAAGCCTTCTTCTTTGGCAATCACTTGTAGCTGAGTAAGATTGTCTTCCATGAACACGGTTTTAACAGTGAGTCCGTAAGTGACTGTGGAGGCCAATTCTGGATCCACACATCCTTCCACATAGGTTTCTGGGCGGGAGTTGAACATGGTGAGGGTTTGTCAAACGTGCCTTCCTCTTAGCATGTTTCTCCCTTTTGTCCTGAATTCAAGCGTCTTCAAAGCCCATGACACCTTTGGTAAAGGCTGTTCTCCAATTGGAGCACTCGCAGGCCAGTGTTTCCCAGTTGTCGGTGTTTATACTACTTTTTAAAGATTTGCCTTGAGAGAGTCTTTAAACCTCTTTTGTTGATCACCAGCGTTACGCTTTCCATTTTTAAGTTTGGAATAGAGTAGTTGCTTTGCAAGACGATAATCAGGCATCCGAACAACATGACCAGTCCAACGAAGTTGATGTTGAACAATCATTGCTTTGACACTGGCGATCTTTGCTTCTTCCAGTACACTGGCATTAGTTTGTCTGTCTTCACAAGTGATCTGTAGAATTTTTCATAGACACCATTGATGGAATCTTTCGAGGAGATGGTGTTTATAAGAGGTGCATGTTTCACAAGCATACAGTTGGTAGTACAATAGTAGTGTACAAGCATTTTTGTTTCCCTGCGACTGTCCCGGTCCTCAAACACTCTGCACTTCAATCTGGAGAAAGCTGCACTTGCAGAGCTCAGGTGATGTTGGCTTTTGGCATCAATGTTGGCCCTTGTAGAAAGATAACTGCCCAGGTAGGAGAAGTGATCAACAGTTTCCAACGTTACACCATTGGGTTGGATTTGTGGCACTGCAGAGGGATTGCTTTGTGCTTGTTGGTGCAGCACTTTGGTTTTTTGGATGTTGAGTGAAAGGCCAAGCTTTTTGTAAGCTTGCGTTTGGAGATGGTTTGGAGGTCATCCTCTAAGCATATTGAAGCTCTATGACAGAAGTTAAGGTAACCTTACTATTTGCTTTCAGCCTACTCAGATTAAAGAGCTTTCTATCTGTTTGATATATGATTTCTACTCCGGTGGGGAGTTTCCTTTCGACAAAGTGTAGGATCATGGCAATGAAAATAATGAATAGAGTTGGGACGATAACACAACCCTGTTTATCACCTGGTCCTAATGTGAATGGTTCACTTTGAGAACCATTGCTGTTGTTGCTGTCATATCATCATGGAGGAGCCAAAGGATGTTCACAAATTTATCTGGGCAGCCAATTTTCAGAAGGAAATGCCACAGGGCAATACGATTTATAGTGTTGAAGGTCTTAGTCAGGTCAGTAAACACCATATACAGGGGCTGGTTTTGTTCTCTGCATTTTTCTTGAAGCTGTTGAGTGGTGAGAATCATGTCCACTGTCCCCCTAGAAGGTCTAAAACCATTTTGGGATTCAGGAAGGGTAGCCTCGGATATTGTTAAGAGATGGTTTGCTAAGATCCTTGCCAGAATTTTGCTGGCCGCAGCTAATAAAGAAATGCCTCAATAGTTTCCACAATCCATTCTGTCACCTTTTGATCATTTTGGCATCCCTAAAGTCTGCTGGGATCTCCTCTCTCTCCCAGATTTTTTTGATGAGCTTGTGAAGTTGTTGTGTAAGTTCAGTTCCACCCACTTTGAAGATTTCGGCAGGTATCCCATCAGTTTCGCTGGCTTTGTTGTGCTTCATTTGGTTAATAGCTGTACACAGCTCTCCCAGATTTGGCCTTTGAAACCATCGAACCTGACATCCTTCTGGACCGTCTAGAGGAGCTTGGAGCTGGGGGCACTGTTATATAGTGGTTCTGCTCCTTCCTCCTAGGCCGTGTCCAGAAAGTGGTGTTGGGGATTGAGTGTTCAGTCCCTTGGGTTCTCACTTGTGGGGTGCCTCAGGGTTCTGTCCTCTCCTCCATGCTTTTTAACATCTATATGAAGCCGCTGGGAGAAATCATCAGGTGTTTGGGCTGGGTGTTCATCAGTATTCGGATGATACCCAGCTCTACCTCACCAGTGAAGGCGGTGAATGTCCTGTGTGAGTGTCTGAAGGCTAACAGATTGAGGCTGAATCTTGACAAGACAAAAGTAATGTTTTTTGGGGGACAGGCGTTGGGCAGGTGTGGAGGACTCCCTGGTCCTGAATGGGGTAACTGTGCCCATGAAGGACCATGTGCGCAGCCTGGGAGTCATTTTGGACTCACAGCTGTCCATGGAGGCGCAGGTCAGTTCTGTGTCCAGGGCAGCTGCCTACCAGTTCCATCTGGTACGCAGGCTGAGACCCTACCTGCCTGCAGACTGTCTCGCCAGAGTAGTGCATGCTCTAGTTATCTCCCGCTTGCACTACTGCAATGCACTCTACTTGGGGCTACCTTTGAAGGTGACCTGGAAACTACAACCAATCCAGAATGTGGCACCAAGACTGCTGACTGGGAGTGGCCGCTGAGTCCATATAA